CTACTAGTAAGATGAGTAAGGACGGTGGAAATTAGCTCTAAAGAGCATCGAAAGGTTTACTCGAATGCGATGCTTACTTCACCTACTGGATGGTCACTTAATACTTTTCACTGGGATAGTTTGAGTAAACTATAATCTAAAAAATGCTACTATATTTTAAGCGAACAGCTAGTCATCGGCTCCGACCGTTTACAGTGATATCCGACAGTCGTTTGCAGCTAGCGTTTAGTTACGATGGCCGTTTACGGATATTTTTACGGTCATCGTAAACGAGGGCCGTATTTCATCGTAACACTTCGTTTACGACAACAGTAAACGACTACAAAATACGGTCGTCGTTTTTCACCGTGATTGATAGGTATACGGCCGTTTACGACTCGGGATGATCGACCTGGGTAGTTGATTTCGTCTTGTTGAATATGTTGTTATTTGAAAAAATCGTATGATTAAAATTTATTATTAGTATCAAAATGAGTAGTTCCATAGGTAAACTCATGCTCATGCTATTATTACAAGAAAATCAAGTCAAAGCAACAATTGCAACATGATGAACAAAACAACATATTCAACGAGATGAAATCCACTATTTATATTGAAAATGACTCCACTGCATTGAGTCGAAAGCTCCAGTAGAAATTCATTATTTATTTTATTATAAAAGAACTAGATAAACAACTACAAATTGAAGTCGAAATAAAAAAAAACAATTTTTTCGTTTTAAATTTCGAATTATTCTTATTTTCTTACCAGAATTGTTTGTCACAAACGGCTATTCGTTTGACGTAAAATAGAATTGAAACTAAGGTGAGGTTTGTATGGGTATGGTTTTATTAGTATGAAGTAGAGTTACAACGGCAACGTTAAATCATCACGGATTACTGGCTTAGTGGAATATTGATTTTTACGACTCTATATTGTTCATACCGATAAGAATGATGATCGTCACTATTGCATTTCTTGTGTGACCCTATATTAAATTCCGATATAAAAGTAGAAAAAAATTAGAAACAAAGTATCTGGATCCAAAAGTTAGAAATCGGATACGTTTTTTTTAATTCAACAAAAATATTATATACACTTTCATTGTCAAAGTTAAACTTTTCGTTTTTGTACTGACTGTCAGTCATTCGTGTGCAGTTGATGACTAGTAAATAGTTATAACTCACAAAGTAAGCAAGAATATATACAGTTAAACAGAATTCTGTTAAAAAACTGAAGTTTATTTAAAATGAATACTTTCTTTTAATCAAAACTTTCTGTTGATATTATTTCTTTTTCAACAAATCTGATTGAAATCTAAAAATAAAGTACATAAAAGTGCATAGAGAGAATATTATATTTTTCTTCGTGTTTTCAATTCAACTTTAATAAATTCAATCTCTTTTACATTTCTATAATCACAGACCATTGACGATACATATAATCGATTTCGGTTCAACACAGACGCACTCTTGTATGAAATAGACAAAACATGAGCAATTATCAAATTCAGATTTTATGTCTCATCACGTCCTACCAATGTGAAGATACTTGATCAGATCGAATGTACTCATTTTCATCTTGGTATTCATATAATAAATCATTGTCTTTAATGTCGCATCGCATTACATGATGATTAACACGTGTTTATTCTGTATTATAGATAATTTTCACCTATTCAAACATTTTTTTCTTCATATTATCGTACATGTAATTAATTTCATAAAATTCATTATAAGTGCGTTATTGTTCTAGTGAGAATTTTCTATTTCTATTTGTGGGTTTGTAAAATAAAATTTCAATGGTTCATCGTTTTTTTAATTAAACAAGAGATTGAAGTTAATCAACTCGGCGAATAAGTACTAATCTATTGCAATAAAACGCAAAATTTGTAAAGATTGTACTAACTTTTTTTTCTAACTAAAATCTTTTAAATATACTATACACCTTCTAATATTGTTCTGTACAGTCTCATAGTATACTTTTCATTGTTAGATGCATATGACTGTCTTTGAAAAATGTGAAAGCTAATCTATAACAAATAATTTGAACACCAAATTTAAGTCTCGAAATTTGACATGAGAATTATCCTATTACAAGTAGTTATTGAATTAAATATATTTAATTTGAACATATAATAAATGCTGTTTTGCGCGAATCTTCAATAAAATCAGTAGCATTTCATAGTAAAATTAATTTAATTTAATGCAAAATATAAATTTCTTTTTTTTCTACACAGACATCAGATATCCTAGAAGAAAAACGTTCTTCGAAAATTTTATCAATTATTTTAGATGTAACATTTCGAGCGCAGGCATTAGGGATAATAGTTCTCGAATTCGGTTAAACACATGACGAGGACATCAGAACTATTGAAGATGATTCAATTAAAATTTTTACTAAATTAATCATACATGTTTCCGAACTATAACTATGACCATGTTTCATACTAATAGTACAGAAAAGAATTTTCTATTGCTGAAAATTGCTGTAATTGATTAACAGATCGTGCACAGTCAATAAAATCAATGTGCTCTTTAGCAACGTTTTTATGCACATCGCACATGAAAATCACTGCCTACATTAAGTAATGGACACTGAACGTTCTTGCTAGTGTCGTAACAATAAAACAAAGTCTTGTGGTTGAGTTCAGTTTTAATAATTCATGAAGACATGCATATGAAGTCCTTCAGCTTTTCTTTTTCATAGAAGTAAAATGTAAATTATTTTCAGTAGCTATTTTGTGCGAAAATTTACATCGCTAATAGTACAGTATAGAAATAGAAATGGACAACCAATACTTGCTACAATCAAATTTTAAGAAAATAATCGGACAATTCCATTTCAAACATTTACTCGTATCAGAAGTGTATTACATAATAATTTGTTTTCTAACATCAGATGATGAGCTTTGGTATTAGCAGTAACTGTGTATGTGAAAAGATTTCCGATAGAATATAATCAAATCAAAAGTAGTCATGATAAAAGCCAAATAAAACGAAACTGTACGAAAACTAGCGAACTTCAACATTATTCTATTCAATCCTGATTGATGTTCATCTTCATGTAAAACTTACAGCATAGGAACTGTAGATTTGATACTCTTCAAAATAATTATCTCAATAAAATATACAAGATGTCACTGATGATGGATGAACATTTTAAATTATACAAATCTGTGGTCTTCACAAATGAGCCAATGAACCACATACGATGTACACAGAGAGAGAGCAAGAGCACATCACTGTGCATATATGTTTGCTAGTTTTTGCACCAATCAGATGCAAAATCCATATTTTATATAAAAAAATAACTATTATTACCTCCATTCAATTTTCTCTTCCGTTTTTATATTAATTGCATGCAATTTTTATTTTTTCTTCATGAATCAATTTTATTATACTAACAAAAGCACGAAAATATTCATCAATGAAATCAAATTTGAAAAATTATCTGTGACATTTTTATTCATGCTGTGTCATTGTTTCCGTTTCCTTTTTTTTTGTTTCAGATAAACAATCTCTCAAATTCATTAGAAAAGAAAAGATGAGTCAAAGTCGCAAGCGAAGTCAAGATAGAGCAGCAGATTCGAAATCACGCTCGAAATCGAGATCAAAATCAAGATCGCGTTCATTATCATCAACATCATCGTATGACATTGTCGTCGCTTTCTTTATCATCGTTTAAATGATATTTTAATTTTTTAATAGTGGTCGTGCAGCTCAAGCACCAAAATGGGACGGCGAATCAGGTTATCGCTTGCATGTATCTCCATTAAATCCGCGTACATCTCGACGTGATATTGAAAAAATATTTTCCAAACATGGTAAAATCAACGAAGTGAGTTCTTTAGAAAACAAACATTAATAGAATAGTTTTGCATTATTAAAAGCAATTTAGGTTTGGATGGCAACAAATCCTCCTTGTTTTGCTTTTGTTAATTTTAAACATCGTGCTGATGCCGAAGATGCAGTTCAAGCTTTAGATGGAAAGTAAGCTTGATTGTGTCTCTTCTATGTATGCCAATAGAAATCTATTTGTAATATTGTCTGTTATCTAGGATGATTGATAATTCACGTGTTGGTATTTCATTCGCTCGTAAACGTACTGTTGGTGGACGTCGAGGTGGTTCATTTAATGGTGGCGGTGGTGGCGACCGTTACTCTCGCGGTGGAGATTATGATTCTTCTAGAAATCGTCGTCGTTATTCGCCAAGACAAGATGATAGGTAAAATTTGAAGTAGATTCATTTAAATATATTTCTTTGTTTGTAATTGAAATAGAAGTTATGATCGACGAAAACGTCATTCTCGATCACGTAGTCCAGCACAATACAATAAACGGGATTATCGTCCTAAATCGAGATCAAAATCATCATCACCAAAGTAGAATAGTACGATTTTTCTAAACGAAAAATTTGAATAATATTTTGAAGGCCTCGTCGTAATCGACCATCATCAAGAGATCGTTCACCTCAACCGCAACAGCCAGTTAATGTTGTGCATAGGTATAAATCATTTGAATTTTATATTCTTTAATTTAATATTTCTCTTGTTCAATATTTTTAGATATGCTGACAATGATGATCGATCTGATTAAAACAAATATTTTTGTTTTTGAAAAATGTGTATACAGGACTAAACAATTTCATCATCAACTTTTTTTTGTCATCTTTGTTTACTCGTATGAAAAAATAGAAAGAAAAAGATGTTTTTTCTTTGATTGTTGTTGTGTATTGATTGTATCAAATCTGACTAGTCTCTGTTGGTTGTTCTAGATTAATTATTTAGTTCGTTTTTTCTTTCTCAAAAAGCAAATAATGGGTCGTAGTCGAGATCGTTCATATTCAAGATCACCCTCACGTTCTCGTTCTCATTCACGTTCAGGATCACTTTCATCAACGAGCTCTGGTCGAGCAGCCAAAGCACGAAATTGGGTAGGTGACTTGGTTTTATGATGGAAAAGAAAATTTATTTCTAACTTTAGAATGGTGAAGGTGGTTATCGTTTGCATTTATCTGATTTAGCAATCGGTGTAAGTCGACATGAAATAGAAAAAATCTTCCGACCTTATGGACCATTGAATGAAGTTTGGGTTGCTTCAAATCCACCGTGTTTTTCATTTATTAATTTTCGTCATCGAGCTGATGGTGAAAAAGCATTGAAAGAGCTTGACGGAAAGTAAGTAAACTTTTTCAGAATAGTCGGTGATGACTTTCTATTTCGAGAAAAATTCGATAGATTTTGATGATTCATAAATATGTATATCGGATAGATATTAATTGTTTTTATAGACTTATTGGTGGTTCAAGAATTGGTTTAAGTTGGGCTCGTGCAAGAAACTATGGTGGACGGCCACTTCATTCACTACGCTATCGTATGTTGAATAGAATTTGTTTTTTCTATGAAATCTTTCTTTTTTCTAGGTTCACCATCACCTTCACATCGTCGTACTTATGGAGACTCATATCGTAGTCGTCGTAGCGATGATCGCTATAGTAAACGTCGTTATTCAAGGTAATTTAGTTGTGAGAAAAAATAATCTTTAGAATATGAATTTGGATCTATTCTTTACTAGTATAAAGATTTTCTAAAGGAGAATTCTAAGAGATATCAAAGTGTTCGATACGTTTTATATTCTGTAGATATGCAATTTGATTATATTTCTAGCTGTTGATGATGAATGGTTACTATGAATGATTTGGTTGGAGACTTATTAGCAGTCGCAGTATTAAGAAAACGAAATCATTTGGCTTTTGTGCTCGAATCTTGTTTTCCTTGTGTATTCTTCTCTTTGTATTCTATTTGCGTGCATCTGTAATATTCCTTACCTATTGGATGGATCGAACATATTTACTTAGTCATACTCTTTGGCAGAGAAACAGTAAAGATGAAGGTATGTTATTAGGATGCATACATTTTATTAGAAAATGTTGATAAAGGTAACCGAATGAATGTCTCTGGTTAAATATTTTCTGTCTTGTCATACTTAGAGTTTAACTCAGTAGAAGAAAACAGCGTTTAACAAAAAGAATTCTTTAATGAACTTTTCTTTTCATTATAGAAGTCGATCGCGTAGTCCAGATTATCGACGATCAGGTGGTAGCTATCGAAGACGAAGTTCAAGTTCTCGATCAAGATCTAAATCAAGAACACGATCACCATCGCCTAGAGGTAGGTTTATACTCTAATCAACTAAATAAAATAATATAAAATTTCAGTAAAAGATACTCGCCATGAAAAACATGCAAAAACATCGAAACGAGAAGATGAACGTCGTCATCGTCGTCGATCAGAATCAACTTCAGCTAGTGATGATAATCGTTCACCGTATCAAAATAATGGGTAAAACAATTTTCTATTCAAGTTCTTTTATCCAAAGTACATGATTCATACTGCATTGATTATTACGATGAAGAAAAATCATAAGTAACTGCGACAAACAACTGATTGACAAAATAATATTATAAATTTTTCAATTCGAAATATAGAAAATATAAATCAATGATTGATGAATGTTTAATCCAATTGTTTTCGCCGTATGATAAAGATTTTCTACTACATTCAAAACCTGCTGAACTGAGATGTAGTCAATATTGATAATAAAAACTTGAACAGTCTTGTCTAGTTATGTTTTTTTTCCGTTGAATAATGTCCTGATTGTCGAAATGATTCTTTTTCCTCAAAACAATCAATGAGTAGTGAATCTAGTCAATGATCTGTTTGAATTAGTTCGACTGAAAACAAGTACCATTTTAGAAAACAAATGTCACGCACTCCAAGTAGTGAACGTCACCAAGCAACAGCATCAAACGGCATTAATCATAGCCATATCAATGATCGTCATACAAAGTAAGTAGATGGGAGAGAGAGAAAAAATTGTCAACATTTATTTTCTGTTTTTCTTTTTCTCAAGTATTCAAGTGGAGGAAGAAGATTAATTCAGTAAACCTGTGTGATGCATCAAAATGAAAGACTTCGTTTTGCTTGTATAACATATAGTCAGTCTCATTTTGTTTTGTGTATTTCATCATTCGCTCATTCATTCATTAGTAGAAGAAAGTGTGCGTGTGTATTGTTATTATTATTATTATTAAGAAAAACAATATATTAAAAAGATATCTAAGAAATGGAACAGTAAATTTTATTTTATATATCTACATATATGTGGAGGACATTTTCTATTGAGTTTGTTTGAGTGAAAAGCAAAACTATTTTTACAATTGAAAATGGAATTTATTAAATCAAAACAATTTTTTTAATTTATTTTCAAATATATATAATCGAATGATGAAATCGAAATATATAATTCATTCACTATTCATTCAATGAAAGAAACGAAAAAATAACACAAGATAAAATTTGTGCATTAATCAGTTGGCTGGCTCAACCCGCTATATCAACACTTGAGTTTATCTGAAAAACAAGGACTTGAGATCTATATAGCCGAGCTCTGATCAGCTCTTCATTTTGTTTACCAACATAGTCAGAAGAAAGATTTTGTCACTACACTATGAAGACAAAACACAACACAACTGAAATTGAAGTGAATCGTAAAGTATAATATTTTCATGAATGCTGAAAATTTTAATGCAAACATTGAATTATCGTCTCCACATTCACTCACACATCCAAGATAAATTATCACTTTTTCAATGATACATAGAAGACAAAGGTTATTACTTTTCCTGTAAAACCTACAGCACATTGAAATCAAGGCTTTTTCCTATCACGAGACATAGTAACTGTCAAAGCGAAAGGCAAAATCGTGGAAATCTTCTTATTTACGACAAATGTAACTCTTTATTGCTTCAAGATATAAATTGCGTGCTACAACTATTTACCTTAGAAATAAAATATGATAAAATAATAGATTTTCTTTTTCTTTACAAGCATAAAAGTCGTCATATATTTACATACAACCCTATATGAAATCAAAAAATGTTCAAATATCTAAACTCTTTTAACAGAACTTAATTTTTAATCAAGTAGAATGATGGCGCCAGTTGATAAAACAAATTTTATCTGGTGACTTTTATTCATAGAGACTAAACCATGGAAAAAGAAAAAGCAAATGGTTTCTTAGAAGAAAGAAAGAAAGAAGAAAATCTCTTGTTACAAAACAAACCAATATATTGTGATGTTGATTACTTTTTTGTTCTTCTCTTCGAAGTAAAATAATACTGAATTGACTGTAAAAGGAAAGAAAAGAACAACGTTTATAGTATAGAGTATGTATCGTTCGGAAAGGTAACAACAGTAAGCCAAAAAAAGAAGAAGAAGAAGAGAGAGAAGAAAAAACTGACAAAAAGCTTGGTTTTGTTAGACGAGCGACGTCGACAACAATAAAAAAAAATGAAACGAAGAGGTGGTCGAGAAAGTGTAAGAGTGAGCTCTTCCATTTCTTCTACCAACTCTCCGCTGTTAATGTTTGTTTCATTTGGTCTGCATCATTAGAAACCTTACTGAAAGAAAATTATTTCTATTTCAAGAATCGACGTGCGTCTGCACACAGCATTGAGTGATTTGATTTAGTTATGTATGTGCGTGTGTTTGCTCGGATAGTAATGATAAAATAGAACAGACACAATAAAAATCTAAATTGTTCACAAGAGAAACAGCAAGCGACTAGTAGGTATACCATCTATTCGATAAAATATCCTATCGACCTTGAATGATTCACTTATTCGTCGTTTAATTTTTGTTAAATCAAAAACAAACATTGAAGAAAAAAGCGATAAATATTTTAATTTTCTAATTTCAGATGGCTGATATACTTTCACTTGAACAACTAGTTCATCTTTCTTTGGGTGATCCTGAGGCAGGTGCTGTAAATTTTAATGTTTTAAAAACTCTTCTTTTACAAATGCTTAAAGCAATGAATCTATTCAACCATAAACCAACAATGTCTGATCATGATGAACGCACAATAAAAGAAGCTTTATTAGCATCATCATCGTTATCGCCAAAGCCAACAAAAACTAATGTGAAATTTGATCAAGAAGAAACAACAAGTCAACTCGATGAAAATGACGATTCCAATAATGAAATTAAACAAAAATTACGGCGAAAAACTCGTGATCGAAGTTCAGATCGGCTTACTACATTAGAAGAAAAAGTAAATCGTTTCGAATCCCAACTAAATGCATTTGATCAAATACCATCGAATTCCGAATTAATCGATAAAGCTAAACAAATATCAAAAAGTAAAAGTGATGATACGAATTCTTTGAAAACAACGAACCATCGTGGTCCTATACTTGAAATATGGCAATATACTCAATTAGAAAAACGTCTTGAATCAGCTGAAAATGGCATAACAAGAGTATAAATTCTTGCAAACCAATATGATTGTTTTTATTGTGAATTTTAATTTTTAGCTTGCCTCCTTACTTCAAGATCTTATATCGGATATGGATGATTTGAAAGAATCACATGAAACAATAAAACAAGCAACAGATGAACTCAAAAAACAACAAGATGATTTGAAAAAAATTATGGATACCTTAAATAAGGAAAAAAATGATTGGGTACTTCAATTTGCATTCTTTTAATTTGACATGTTTCGTTGCTTTTTTAGGCTAAAAAATCTGACGTCGAAAATTTAGATGAAAAAATTCGTAATCTACAAAATTTACTTGTAAGTAGTTCCATTGTAAATTTTATATTATAAACTGATCTGTTATGAAGGCATCATTGCGAGATCGTCTTGATGAATTATCAAAAGCAAATGGAGATATTACACCTATGCCTGATTTAAGTGGTTTCGTTACGTGGGATCGATTAGAAGATGCACTTAAAGGTATTCGAGAATCCATAGAAAAGTCTTCAAATGATGTAGCAGCTGCCTTGGCGTCCGCACGAGACAATCGACGACCCGTACAAGTTGTTGAACGTCAAAGTCAAACAGTATGCATTTAATTATTCAATTAAAAAATTTTATTCTATTTATTTTTATTTTTTTTCTAGTCAGCCAAACGAAAGGTTTATAATAATAATAAAAAATAAAGAATATGATTATTCTTCAATATAACTTTTTTTCTTCTTCTATTTCTCAATTCTATAGGATACACCTGTAGAAGAAAAACGATCACCTTTACAAGAAAATAGTGGTCAGCCATCAGAAGGTCTTTCCGATTTGTTACAACAGTTAGGAACCTTAAATAGTCGACACGAACAATTAAAAGCATTAGTTGAAGCCCTTGAAGTAAATAAATTCATGGCAAAAAAAAAAAGAGAACCATACATTTATATGCTTTTATCAAATAAATTCATTATTTAGCGTAAAAAACTGAATCGTGATGAATTCGATGCATTCAAAAATCAACATGATGACTTATTTGATCGTCTTGCTGCACTGGAACGTGATTTTAATGATGGATTATCAAAACGACAGAATGTAAGTAAATCCTATTTGAACATGAATAAACCACAAAGAAAACCATGTTTTCTCTTTTTTTTTCTTTTTAAATACTATTTAAATTCGTTCATACAACAAGTATTTGTCTTTCTACTAATACATAGGATTCTATAGATATACTTGAATCATATTCTTTTATTTTCTTTATATCTCAACCGATTGATTGAATCTAGAAATCAAAAGTATTACTTTATAACACAGTATTAAATTGTTCCTTTTCACGTAAGTGAGGAGAAATGAACAAAAAAAAAACATCGCCAAGGTCTCTTTTCAATGTCTACCTTACAAAAGAGTACTTGTGAAGAAAGAAAAACTATGTAATGGTAATTGTCGTGTGAATATCATATCGTGAAATCACAGCATAATACGAATTACATCTAACAACGAATCATGCTGGTCTTCACGACAAGAATATACACCTTTATGATAGTGCGTACGTGTGTATGATGATCTAGTAGCAACAAAAGTGAATGTGACTTGTATAAAATGAGAAGAGGGAGAGAGAGAAATAAAAACGAGCACATAATATTAGCATGTTAAGCGAGAAAAAGAGAAAGATAGCATAAAAAACATGAAGAAAACAGCTTTATCATCATAGTCGTCATGTAAGTTAGTTGAACCAATAATAAATATAACGACAAACCTAGATAAGAAAGGTATAACAGATGGTCTTACATTTCTTAGTTGATGTCAAACATTGACTCTTCAGGAGAAAAAAAAATTCGTTGTCATTTCTGCTACGTGAGAATTATGCTATGCTATAAATGATCGACATTTGTGCTAGATATTCTTTATCTAAATATATACATTTAGCTAGTTTAAAATGCTCTTCAGACAAGTGCAGCAAAGTTGTTATTAGAAAGAAAAAAAAAGATAGCAACAAGATGAAAGGAAAAAGAAAAATTGAACAATCAATCAATCGATCGATCAATTTTATTTTTAAATGAATAATTTAATATAAAAATTTATAATCATTCATAATTTTTCTTATAGAATTCTCCTGGTCCTGTACCTGTTCCTTCGCAGGTATTTAATACTGTATTGTTCATATATTCAAATAAACCTATGATTTTTGCTCAAACAGCGTACAGATCATTCCGGCGATTTATCAGATTTTCGAACAGCTTTACACCGTCTACGCGAAGATCTCGATCGTCTCAAGCAACTCGTTCAAGATTTAATAAATAAAGGAAATTTATCTGCTCAAGATATTGAAGTAAATTCTATAGTTCTACGAGATTAGCTATGGCAAAATTGACTATTTCTTCAATAGGCATTGAAAAAGTTAATCGAACAATTAGATCAATCAAAAGCTGATAAGAATACTGTTAACAATGAACTTGATAAAGTAGGAATTTTATTTGTCAATAAATATTAATTGTGCTCTTTTTTTCGATTTTATAGAAAGCTGATAAGCGAGATCTTGAAAATCGTGTTTTGAAAAAAGATTTCAATGCTGCTTGTAATGAACTATCACAAAATCTCAATGATTATATGCAAAAATTTAATGTTCATGTAAAGTTTCAAGATATAGATATATAAAAAAAGAAAAAAAAATGAAAAACATAAAACATAAAATGATTTTCTTTTGTTTTGCTGTGCTTTGTAGGATGATACACAAAAACAAGACTTAGAAAAAATGAATCATGATATCGATGGAAAACTAGATCGATCAGAACTTGAAGAATTACGTGATTATATAGATAAGCAATTGAAAAAATTGAAGAGATTGGCGGTAAGTTTAGATATAAATATATTAATTATTGTTGTCAAATAAACCCCTGTGATTTGTCCGTGTAAAAAAACAATAATTTACTAAACACAGATAGATAGTTATTTACCTACCTTTGTTTTCTTATTGATTCCCTTTCGTTAATTGTTGTCTGTGTTTGTTTTATGTTTTGTGATAATCAAGAAAGAGCAGCAACAGACTCAACAGCAACATGTACATCTCATGTCCGAAGATGAGGCTGCCGGTTTACGAAAGCAGCTTATTCGTTTTCATTGCATCAGTTGTGATCGTCCTATCGATGTTCAACCACACGCGTTCGTGTCATTTGTTATCTTTTTTTTTCTAAACTCAATTATTAATCTTTAAAAATTTTTATATGCCTTGTTTCCAGTCAGCAACCGAGTCTTCCCGCAAATCAGGGTATGCGTCCCATCCAGTCACCCCGACCATACACAACCTACGAACTGGATCAAATTCGCCAATACCAAAAGAGGTTAATTTATTATGTGAAATACGTGTATACATATTCTCTAATGAATATTTTTCGAAAATATTTTAGTCAGCAGTTTAGTACTGATTTGAGCGGCGGTGTAGCGGATGTCTATGCTACTGTTCGGCAGTGTGGTGGTTCACACACAATGACACTACCATTTAAACGACAAATAAAAATACAGTAAAAAATCTAACTTGCAATAATAATAATCGATTTTCTTCGTATTCATTTCAAGACCTACGGTTCCGGAAGAAACAGTGATATCGAGGTTAATTTTGAAATAATCTAAAGAAAGGCTTATAATATGATTCGTTTTTTGTTTTGTTTTGCTTTGTTTTATATAGAAGTGAAGTTGATATTAAAGGACAAGATGGTATTATTTATAAGGGTAGAATTGATGTGGGTAATCTTCCAACTGTCGATATGCAGAAAAAGAATTCGGTTGTTTTACTTGCACCTGTGCCGCCGCAAAAATCACGATCGGATTTAATTCCGAAATCTGCTCCTCCTCAACGTCATCATGAATCATTTGTGCTGAATCATGATCAAGAAGAAAACGGTATATCACCGATTATTCCTAATCTTGAGCCAGCCTTACCCCGAGATGATAATTTTAGTTGAATATAATATTTCTTAAGTAGATCATCAAATATATGTATTTATATTTTGTTGTAACTACGCACAAGAAAAGTGACACTTTTCTTGTTCATCGATGATCTATATATATTTTGCTTCTTTTTCGATACTCTCTTTATTTCTTCGTCTTCTTCTTTGGATCATTGATTGAATGTATCAATGGTTATTTCTTTCTTTCTTTTTTTTTGCCATTTTTTTCTTTTCTTCATATATATGCAATCTTTCGTTTGTTTGTCATACATTTCTTAAGTTCGCCTATAAATTATTTTTTTCCATTTCTTTCGCTTGTTTTTTAAAAAATGATTATTCTAATATTGTCTATTGTCGTTTTATTCATATTTATATTTATGTGATCAAGAATCAGTTCTTCTTTTAATAATGATTAAATTTTAATGATAAATATGCTTTAATATTGGGCAATGATTGTTGCTCATTATCCAAAAATAAAAAGGTAAATAATATGCTCAATCGTATTCGTTCTTACAGTGATATATTTTGAATGGACAAGTAATAATTACCTAATACTCTGTAGAATTCAATATCGAGTATAACTCAGATGAAAAGAATGTAAATCTTTCAATTTTGATTTGATTTTTCATGGATAATCAACAAATGATATATGATTTATATGTAGATACACACGTCGTATATCCGTTGATATGATTAAAAAAAGTAGGTTTAGATATTATCAAATTTCGTTTCGGTGATAATTTATGAAAATAGACCAAAAAAAGAAACAAAACAATAGACTATAGAGCTTTTCTTAGAATCAATTATTGAATTGTTATTTGATGGTGTGTATTTTCCGGTAAGATGTTCGCCTGATTTCGACTGGTTGAATGATATGAATTATCACAATTAAGTGAATATTGTTGTTCAATATCTGATCTTGCTAATAGATTATGATCATTCAGATGATGGTGATTTATTTGACTGTCTTTTTTATTAATTACACGAATCAATTGATTAACAGAACGCCATTCTTTAATTACTTGAGTATGATAACGAAAGCTCACCTGAACAAAAACCGAATTCATTATAGACAACGAGAAAATCTCTCAGTCATACCCAACACCAAACAATATAGATTAAAAATACAGAAAATGGAAGAATAAAATAAGATAAACCATCTAAAAATTGTTTGTTTGCTTGAATTTTTGACATACTCATGATGATCAACCTACAGAACTAAAAAACAATGAAATCTTTTTTGTAAAAGAAATTTACCAATTGAAATACATACCAACTAATTATTGTTGTTAAAAAAATAAATAAAACAATATCATTAATTAAATAACGAATATCCGATGGTTGTAATGGATTTCTTAGAAACTATTTAAAAAATTCAAAATGTAGCTTTATTTAACATCAAATGTGTGTATTCACATAAAATAACGATTTTGGATATCGTACAACTTCAAATTCATGTTGACATATTTCACATTTATTTGTATTAGATATTTCAAGCCATCGTTCAAGACAATTCTGATGAAGAATACCCATTGTTCCTGAACATTGACAAGGAGAAATCAATGATTGTAGATCACCTGTTGAATAACATATTCGACAAACTTGAAGATTTCCCGTTCTGAAATTCCACATTTATATTTTAATTCTTTTGTTTAAATTATTTACTCGTGCTTCTCTTGTTCGTTCACTAAGCTATCTTCATTATTTACAATCGGAACTGCACTTAATTGTTCTTGATGATTATCTAATGGTAATGGTTCGTTCATAAGTGAGATAAGTTCACTACGTGTTTTCGTATCCTCATTCGGTGGATAATATTTTGATGAAAATATTTTAAATATCATTATAATTTTCTCGATTTCGATTTCGATAAAAATCGAGATATGAATATCAAGTTTTCTACATATACAATGTCATTGAATATTCGAAAACAATATTACCATCGCAACCAATATGATTCATTTTCTTTGCATTGTATGACATAAAATATGTCACGTGTCGATTGTTATCACGTTGATACAATTTAAATCAATGTTCATTATTGAATGTCGAACAAATATTGAATTTCATATTCTTTTGATCTATTCATCCGATTGGTGAACATTGCTTTTTCGAGCCAATAAGAATAGTTAGATAATGATCGATCATCACAATTGAGACCACCTGTTACTTATAGGAACTAAAAAACAACTTCAAATGAGTAAGATAAAACCACTGTATGGTTGTCAATCTGTCGAAGACATCTGATTTGTAAAGAAAAGAAAAAAAATCAATCAATTCATATAAATCTCTGACAAATTAATCTATGTTTATTTTTCGATTTGTTCTATTCGTAATTTTATAATAATCAAAGTAAATAATTTCGCGAATGTAAGACAATTGAAGATTAGTCAGAAGAGAAACAATTAAAAAAAAGAACGATTCCACTTAGTATCCTATCTTGTGACTAATAGAATCATATTTGCCACCTGCCTGATTATTTTATTTTCTTTCTTGTATAATGAAACTATAAAAAAGAAAAGAAAAGGCAGGCATAAGACACAATAAACGAACAAACTTGAGTCATATACTTAATGTGGATTTAGGATTATCGTGGGAGGAGAAGGGTCATCATTATCAAGAAATGTATTTTGAAATGAACAAGTACTCGCCGGCAGTAACTGCTCGTTTGAATCAAGCAAAGAGATGTCTTAAATAAAGTCGTTTAATCTATATAGCTAATATATTTTTGCAGGTTATAATTCAAACAAAAATTAAACAATCCTTCTTCTTCTAAATGATCTACATAGATAAACAAATTGAGACATATACAATTATCAATCACTTTTTCTTTCATTATTTTGATCGAACGAATACAAAACAATGATTTGTACAACTGATAACGAAGAGGAGAAAAAAAAACGTTATATTGAGGAAGTATACTAAAATTGTGCATTCGTTGGTGTATACTTTTGTCGTTTGATGCAATCAAAGTTTAGATCAATATCTTTTCACACTATGAACGTGTGCATGCGAGTAGCACTTGGAAGTGATCAGTCGGTTAAATCAACATAGTAGTAGACGAAGAAGATGATCATGATGATGATGATGCACAGACAAAAACAACAGTTGTCATTTGACACATTGTCTATATATCACTCAAGTGGATGATTTGAGCAAGATTGGAGAGTAGGTGTAAGGAATCTTAAAAGAAAAAGACGAAGAGAACGAGACAAGCTGTCACCAAGCCAAACACAAGTGTTCAAATACTTGACCCATCATTTTTTGTGATCTATTCCGAGAGAATAACTATCAAAATGCATCATCTCACATGCGACAGTTAATAAAAACAAAAGCGGCAACAGTTGGATCGTATCATATATATATACACGTACACCTACTCAATGTTTCTTTTATTTTGATTATGCTCACGCAAGGATTAATCGTAAGTAACAATCATTGATTTTGCTTTAAAAAAATGTTTCAACATTTACTTGTTTTCTTTTCTCCTTACATGTAAGTTCATTTTTCTGAAACATTTTCAACACGTCTATTTCGATATTTATAATTTACAATTTCCGCTGAAAGCTTTTTTTGAAAGGCGTAGCTTTTCTTTTTCTAGTTATCACAATTAGCTTTGCATGCATGAAATTCAGATTCGTTTTTTTTCTTCTTCTTCTTCTTCTTCTTCTGTGTTCGTTCCCTCTCACTCGACATGAATCAATCATACAATGGGCAGTATAATACTGTGTTAATGATACGTTGGACATTTGAGAGAGAAAAAAAAAATGAGACAGCACAGCATTGCTAATGAGAGAACGGGAGAAAAAAAGCTAACGTTCGAACGGAAGCACGGGTCATTCGTTAAATGTTCATTACTTGAAATGAATTCATATTCTATATTAATAATTTTATTTTATTTTGTTTTTTTGTTTCCAGGCAATGAAGCTTCGTTCACATGAAATTCTATCAAATCCAATTCTAAATTCAAAATCAATACCAACCAAACCATCATCACGTTTTAAAAAATTATTTCAAGGAAAAAGTTTCTTTAAAAAAAAACCTCAATCATCATCAACACGAACACATGAGTCTGGTCTTCTTCATGGAATTCCTGATTATGTTCGAAAAAGTATTCTTCGTTATTTGCTCGAGGTATGAATTCATTTTAATTAGAAATTCGATGTTATTTTTCTTATTCTCATGAGTACTTGTCAAAAGTCTTGCTTCGATGACAATTAATGTTGATACGACTGATTAGGAGATGCTATGTAGACTATCCCCGCTGAGTCTTTTCTTTTTTCGTTGTATATAATAACAAGTTGTGTCAATTAAAAATCAGTTCATTTGTGTTTATAAGAAAAATATGAAAGTACTCGAATCACTATTCCAATGCTTTATTTTGCTTGTAAGTTATTTAAGACGTTTTTTATTTTCTTTTTAAAAAAATCTAGTCACCTCCTCCTCCACCTTCTTCTTCTTCTCCATTAATTATTCAGCAAAATTCGCCGTCACGAAATGTTCGACCACCATTAATGGGTATTCAGGCATTGAAAAATAAAAAACAACATACTCGTCATCAGACAAAACGTCCATTACGAACAAGGTAAATATTCAATTCTTTTTTACCTCAGGCAAAATGAACTGATCACTCATCTCTCTCGTTTTTCGTTTTTTTATTCTTTTTAAGACCTCAAACTGTTCCTGATAATAGAAAATCGTTAGAGGATTATCAGGCACAGAATAATTATGACATGACCATTTTAAATGCGAATGTCGACGATGACAATGATGATAATTCAATGTTTGCCACTAAAACAAGTACACATCAGAAAAAACCAATACCACAATGGGCAAGAAGTAAGTTTGTTGTAATTGAATACATGATCAATCTTGTTTTGCTTTTACTTTAGAACATGAATTACAAATAGCGATGTGTAATCAAATTTATTTTCATCGTAATCCAAGTGAAATATTCGGTAATACAATCGATTGCTCACCAGCGAATTTACGTACAATACTTCATTCGATGTTGCCTAATGTACAATTAATAGATGATGATCATCAACAACAATCTATATCAATACCTATTAATAGTAATAAATCAATATTGGTCTGAACTGTGCTATCCTGCTTGTTTGTTTCTTTTTGTTTTCAGTTTTGTTAAATGAGAGAATGATGACTTTGTATATAATATATATATAAATATAAATTAAAGAACGAAAAGATGACAGTAAATCTTGATAGATAACTGTCAATAATACATGTTTTTTTTTCTTTTTCTGATTCGGTTCACACATTATTGCTATAATTGTTGTCGGTAGCGGCAAAAAACTTGAATAAACCTTCATAGAAAAGGAAACAATTTCCCTATATTAAATAAGACAATAAGGTACAATGAACTGTACATCTATTATGCAAATTTCAATTGTGTGAATAAATAGCAGACAGACTTTCTAATGCATGATCAGCCTTTTGGCAGCAATGGCATGCATCAATGAAATTTGAGCACTCTATTACAGTTAAGCTTGATTGATCTATTGTTGTTCAATTCTTCAACGATGATCTCCATATTAAATCGAATGAGATGAAAAAAAAGGGAAGCAAAAAGTAAAAACCGTTTTTAATCGAATCAATTCTACGTCTTTGCCTTTTTCCCACATTGAGAGGCTTCTGTTTCGTTGTTTTTTCAAATTGCTGTTCTCATGTTCATCAAAACAAAAATAGAAGTCCTACGCCGATGACATAATTCGTTCAATAATAAAAGCTTAATGTGACAATTAGAAAATACGATCAATGTTTGTCTATTTGCTTTCTTTTTAAAATGATGATAATGATTGTGCATGAAGAAATTCAAGTGTTGATATACTCTATTTACAATATGTTCATATAGCTGTCATTCAGACAAACTATTTGTCTTAATCAAATAGAAGCATGAGATTTTTGACCATCGGTTATCCTATATCGAAATGATCAAAAGTGATAATGATTAATCGTTATAAATTATTAAAAAGAAACAAAACAAAAAACAAGTGCAGTTGTCAAATAGGATTAGGCATGAGTTGATTCGTGTGACAACCAAAGGAAAGTATATGCTGTATCTGTGTGTTCCTTTTGACAGTGTTTGCATGTGCTTCAAATATCTCCTTTATCGTATCACCTGTTTTACCTTCACCTATATCTCTTCCTTCATGAGCACAACTTATCAGTGCACGATGAATTGTTACTCACTCATATATATAAGTGCGTGTTTTATATGTAAAAGCTTGCGGTTGATGATATGAAGAATCAAATAAAGTGTAATACCATCAACACAGGCATCTCTTCTATCAGAAATCATCACAATTCATTCTTAGAACACAAACTTCAATTCAATATTGACATGTTACTGATTGATATGACTTTCATATTGATTTAATCAAACAGATAAGTGGTCGATTTGTTTCTTTTTTTCTCTCTCTGTCGATTTGCATTTTTTTTCTTCAAAACGTTTATTGTAGCAAACTTAAAGTATTATTATTATTAGAACAATTCAATAATTTTTCTATTGTTGAGCACTCGAGAATGTGTTTATTTTTTGAAATTTCGATCTATTAATTTATCTATTCATAATTTCTATAAGGGAAAACAAAATTTTCGAGTTCGTTATTTCCTTGATGTAATTGACATCAAAAGATCATGTAGTGATGTAACCAAGGGTGGGCTAGGCTGGGCACCGCCTTACCACTAATCGACTTCGGCCTATCACTACAAGAAAAAAAAACCTAATAATTATTATCATTGACATTATATTTCATGGTTTTTTTCTCAAGATCTTAAGGTAATATCCTACCACCCATGATCTTCTTATTATACCACTCAAATCATGTTTATGATTACACGTAGACAACAACAACAAAAAAAAAATACACTTGATTATGGACGAGTCAAAAATCAAATACAATTGGTGTTAAAATTGACGCCTTAACATATTGCAAAAGAGAACATTATTAACAGGTGAATATTATTCGAATCGGTTGTAAGAAGAAGAAAAAAAGAACTGGTCCCTATGAGGATCGAACTCATGACCTCCGCGTTATTAGCACGGCGCTCTAACCAGCTGAGCTAAGGGACCATGCGTATATCATTCGAAAAATTTCATACCTTCTTTGTCATAGTATACTTACAGGATACATGTATTTTTTATATTTAGTCGAATGAAATACAATTTCTTTGTGTTAATACAACAACAAAAAACGTTATATTTTGATACAGATGCGGGAAAGATAAAAATTAATAATGTAAGCACCACGGAATTTATCACCAAGAGTAGCGTATCAATGTGCATCAACACCTTTCTAAACAAAACTATCTATTAATTGTTTGATTATCTTTCTGATTCATTATCTTTTCTCAACTCTGTTCACAGCTAACACATATGAAAAGTCACCTGTTCAATTTGACACCCGGCTAACTTTTCTTTTCTTTTTATTATTATTTGAAAATGAATAAAGTTTACAGAGTGTTGCATTTTGAATTCAATCATATTTTGAAAAGAAGAATCTCATGGTAAAGATGACACAATCGATAAGATTAATTTCATTTTTGGAACGACGATTTCTTCTAATTGAATCCACTTGCTAAACTATGTGACAATCATATTAGATCTTATCCAGCTATCTTGTTTCTTTTATGTCTGTTTTACTGGTTCATAGATATTACAATTGCATTTTCCTTCACAAACATCGAGAAAGGCTTTATTTTTATTTTTACTTTTTGTAAACACATAGCAAGAAAATTACACACCACATAGAAAAGAAAAAAAATAATCGCATATGTTTGTTAATTGATCTAGGAAGAAAAGCAGAACGACAAAGTATACTCTTTTCGAGATTTCAATATATTATTATTCATACTTGATTAGCCGCTGCCTCGTCTCCCATGGATGCAGCCATCATTTGTGCAGCCATATAGTTAACTTGAACATTATATGTTGCTTGTACTGAGCGTTTAATTCGTAACATCTCACGCATAGTATCTTCATTACCGTGTTTAATTTCGAATTCTTTCCATGTTTGCCAAAAATCATTATGTATCTAAATAAAACTATGATTACTTGAATAAAACTTCGAAAAATACTTACTCTTGGATCACACATTTGTGAACAATGTGAATAAATTGCACGACCACGATCGATTTCACCTAATTTTCTTTCTAAATCAGCATAACGTAAACACATATCTCGAACAGCACGTTCTTCTTCTAATGATTCAATTGCTTTCTCATATATTTCACGTGTTGCCGTTATACCTTGCATTTCACCACAACGTTTTATATAAACATTAAACATCTATAATATAAAAATTTAATAATAGAACAATATGAAAATTTTTACATACTTCTTCTTTTTCTTTTGGTTCAACGGCATTTGTTGCGCGTTCATAGATTTTTAACGCTCTTCTATCCAGACCATGTTGTTCTTCTAATTTCGCATACAATAAATAGAGATTTTTAGCAAATTTCGGTGGACAATGTTCTAAACATTGTTCGAATAAATCTCTTGCTCGTTCTAATTTCGAACCATCAGAGTAACGTGCAACAAATTTACATAGATATGTTAACCATATATCATAAACATTCGGCCATTTGAATAATGCAATGCCTTTTTCATAGACACGAAAACCATCTTCATAATATTTATTTTCTTCGAGATAAAGTGCATAATTTATAATTATTTGTGGTGTGGCTATACGTAAATCAAGAATACGATCATAAACAGCTCTACAGGTTTGAAATGTTCCATAGCATTCTTCTAAATCAACATAAAATGACCAAAGTTTTAGACTTTTATGTAAACGTAATTGAACTGCTTCATTGGCGTCATAATAATCGACCTAGAAGAATAAGAAATTTTATATTGAAAATATTAGTTCAACAAAATAAATAAGGATCAATACAATGTGAATGATTCCAAAGCGAAAGCAATTGGCAAATATACAACTTTCACTGATTGAATCAAATCTGAAGAAACTTTGCTTCCGATTTATACTTAGGAAAAAGAAGCTACCGGTAAGTTTTGTTATCAATAATTGTTTGACCGATATTTTTCTGTTTCTACTTCATTAACTCATATAGGATGAACGCAAACTTTGTATAGTGTCAAGTAATAATATCTCATAGAATATTCCATTCCAGTAGAAAATCCTATTATATGTGTGTCTTTCCCTTGTGAATCTTACTAGAAGACATTTCAAGAGTAAAAATCCGTAGGAAAAAAATGAATATTAATTCAATCCACGTTTCTCTCTGATCAAAATAACTAAACTATTGTCTGCAATGGCTCTAAAATAGAATTACCTTATGTCTCGGTAAAACAGTTGCTCGTTCCATTAATTTAATGGCTTCATCAGGTCGTTCGTGTTCTAGTTCCATTTCACACCAAGCACACCAAACGGCTGCTAAATCATCGACATTTCGAAAATTAACTTTAACTGCTTTATCGTAAATATATCTAGCTTCATCGGGCTGTTGATATTTATCATAAAATTGTGCAAATGTAATCCATACATCTTGTAATTTTCCTGTACAAACTTTTGGATCAATTGTTTGTACAGCTGTTGTGAATGTTTGAATTATTTTATCGTATTGTTCACCGTATAGTTTTACACGTTTGAGCCATTCATTAACATTATGAGGATTTTGTCGAAGTAAAACACTATTTAACATTAATGGACGACGATCCATTAGATATTCTAAGCGAGCAAGACGGAGTTCAAGTTCAAGATCATCTGCGAACGAGAAAAATTACATTTCTTTTTATTCATTTATTCATGTTGTTTTTACCGTCTTCAGTTATTTCTTCATCATCGTCATTTGGTTTATTCATCAAAGCAGTCACAAGACCTTCTTCAGATTGTGCATAAGCATCAAATACTTGTGTAAAATCACGAACAGTAAGAACAGATTCAATTGCTTCTTCAAATATATCACGAGCCTTAAAAAACAAGTGATTCGTTCAAAAAAAATATAAAAAGTTATCCCAAATAATACTTTTTCAAAACAGCCGCTACGTATATAATAATCAGCAAGAGATGTCCATAGTTGTCCTACTTGGTCTTGATATTTTTGAATTCCTTGCCGAAGAATCGGTTCAACTTGAACTGATTTTATTTTTGTTGGATTTTTCGATACTAATTCGCATAATTCATTCCATAACTTAAAAGAATAGAAATTTGTAAAAACAATTCTCAATAATACAAAAGGAAGAATAAACGATAACATTACTTGATGATTTGATTTTCCTTGACGTGAAACGAAATTATCTCGATTTAGCATATCAACAAATAATTTTGCACATTCATCTAACTTTCCTATTTCTCTTAAATAATTAATATATTCTTCAACACATTCAGGTTGTAACTAGAAATCAAAATTAGAATAAAAGATTTTGAATTTTGCTTGTAATATTATCTTACTTTAAGATATCTTTTATAGACTCGCATCGCAGTATCTGGTATTTCAGGATAAGTTGTAACAAATTTAATATATAATGGCCATATACGAGTATGTTGTGTTACTGGTAATGCGCGAATCGCTCGATCAAATACACGACGCGTTCGAGTTATTTTACCTTGATCCATTAATAATTGACAATAATCAAGCCATATTCGAGGCATCTAATTAGACAATAAACAAATCGGTCCAAAAAAAAACAGGAATACAATTCGATAAAAATTACTTTATGCATAAACACAAGTGAACGTTCAAAAGTATTATTAACTTCTTCATAGGCAGAATCAATAATACATTTAGAACGAATTTGTTTTCGTCGAAGTTTCAAATAACTGAACCATAGTTTATAACTGAAATACAAGAAAATTGAAGAAAACAAAAATTGATAAGAATGATGCACATACCTCCCAGGTAATTCACGTAATGCTCGTTCGTAGACAAGATTTATTTTTTCATTGGGCCCCTCTTTAATATGATCAATATATCGAAGCCAAGCTTTAACTGAATATTGATTTCGTAAACAATCTTCTTCATAGAGTATATCGGTTTCATCCTAAATAATAATAAAAGTATATTATGAACTAGATTTTTTTCAAAAATATTTCTTACAAAAACCAGCTTGGGTGTGGATAATTCTACGTCTGCTGATGAATCGTCTTCTACAGTCATTGCTTTTCTGAAAATTACAGTTGATTGTGAATGAGATGAGAGATGGATGAAAAGTGAATTTCAATATCTTCAACAGAGAGATTTTCCTATTAGTCGACTGCATTCGATCAATGAAAATTATATATGTCGCTCGTTGACGATGGCACTAGTAGACAGATTGAATAAAGAGTGGGGAACGCAATAATTATAAACAAGTACACATTTACTCTGTGACTTGGAAATATTAGACGTACATAGTACTACAAGATAAATAATTTTCTTTCACAAAAAAATAAATAGTATTTTTTCATTAAATATTTTCTTGTTAAAATTTCCTTGATAAAATTATATTTTGATCGTAGTTTGAAAAAGTAACCATTATACTCAATGAAGTTACTGGACGTTCAGCTATAAGTTTACGTCATCTTGTAAACATAGAGCATACGAACTGACATTGCAAGAAATCTTGTTGTGTTGAATCATAATCAAAGATAGATATTAAAATACGAAGCATATTTTATACAGGCTGTTCTAAATCTAGTATTGAACCAAAACAAGAATTTTATTTTTTCAATTGACCACACGATCGAATGTATAAGAAAAAAAACCTAAGTTACAAGCTATATTTAAGAACACATTTTGCGATTTACTAATATGTTCCTTGAGCAATCATGGCTTCAGCTACTTTTTCAAATCCAGCAATATTAGCACCAGCAACAAGATCATAGCCAAGACCATATTTTTCTGAGGCTTCTTTGGTTTTTTTATGGATATTGACCATAATTTCTTTGAGTTTAGAATCAACTTTTTCTTTTGTCCACAATAAACGTGTAGAGTTCTGTGCCATTTCAAGTTCTGATACAGCAACACCACCTTTTGAATTAGAAGAAGAAAAAAAAGAATTAGGTCATTATCAATTCAAACATTCTTAAAAAAACTACAAACCGGCATTAGCAGCAATAGCGGGTCCAAGAATAACACCATTTTTCTTGAAATATTCAATGGCGTCAGGTGTAGTTGGAAAGTTAGCACCTAAATATATCACACCAAATGATATTCTTCTCATACACGTCAAATAAAAAACAACAACAATATGAGTTACCTTCAAAAACATATTTAACACCATTGGCAGTTAATGTCTTAGCTTCTTCTAAATCAATTTCGTTTTCTGTTGCTGACGGAAAAGCAATATCACCTTTTAGATTCCATGGTTTTTCTTTTGGATAAAATTTGACACCAAATTTTTTAGCATAATCTTCTAATTTAACATTATTTTCTCCTCGAATACGTAAGAGAAAATCAATTTTTTCGTCAGTATTAATGCCCTCAGGATCATGTATATAACCATCACGACCGGATATTGAAATAACTTTTGAACCAAAATCACGAGCTTTAAGACACACTCCCCATGCAACATTTCCATAGCCTGATAAAACAATTACTTTGCCATTTAATGAATCCCCTTTTTCTTTGAGTACCTAAATCAAACAAATAGAGTATATGAAAAAGAGCCTAGAATATTTCTTGGATTTTTCATACTGCTTCAGCATAGTACATGGCACCATAACCTGTGGCTTCACTACGAATATGACTACCACCATAGGCGATACCTTTTCCTGTTAGTACACCATTCTCGAAAGCACCACGAATTCGACGATATTGTCCATAAAGATAACCGATTTCTCGGCCGCCAACACCAATATCACCAGCTGGTATATCAATATCAGGTCCGATATGTCGATAGAGTTCGCTCATAAAACTTTGACAAAAACGAAGAACTTCAGAATCGGATTTACCTTGTGGATCAAAATCAGAACCACCTTTACCACCTAAATAAAAATATTTTCAATGATGGTATTTTCAAATGCTTCTGTCTCTCTCTCTCTCTCGCTCATTCTAACCTCCAATTGGCAAGCCAGTTAATGAATTTTTTAATATTTGTTCGAAACCCAAAAATTTGATAATACCCAAATAGACCGTGGGGTGAAAACGTAGACCACCCTTGTATGGACCAATGGCACCGTTAAATTGAACTCGATAACCACGGTTGACATGTATTTGACCTTGATCATCTTCCCAAGGAACTCGAAAAATAATAACACGTTCAGGTTCTGTAAAACGTTCGAGTAAAGCCATTTTTTCATATTCTGGATGTTTCTGAATTACTGGTCGAAGATTTTTAAGTACTTCTTCAGCAACTTCAAGAAATTCCTTTTCATCAGAATTTTTCAATCGAAGTCGTTCAATAACGCGATCGACATAATCCCCAGGCATATTGTATTGTTTTGATTGTGGTTGTCGGCGGTGTGATAACTAGCATTGAAAATCTTCATCGTTTAAATACTCCTAAAAAAAGACAAATCACCCTGTGATAAGCTATGTAATAGATACTGAAATAATTGATAAAAATCTATAGAAAAAACTTTTGCATGCAAAGTCTGCCACACCATTCATTACACATCCTCAAGATCATTCGCTGCACGCGTGATCGCGGCCAACCCGTATACTAGATAACTGAACTGAATCATTTGATTATTTAAAAGAACGAGCCCATTAATGCACTTGTACAGATTATTTTACAATTGGATAAAATAACAAAATAGCTGAATGGGAAAAAATGGGTTTAGCATACAACATGGCTGCATATTATTTTCATGCTAGCTAACTTCGTTCCGTCCTGTTCTTGTTCTATTTTTCACTAACGACATCATCGATCTTATTATTTTCATTGGTTCTATTGACGCTACGCGACATCAAACTAAACCTGCAATAGTAAAAGTATTATTTTAAATCTAAACTATAGAAGTCTTCGATTTTTATAATATAACGATGATTTGTTTAATAAATTTGATAGAAATCGAATTAGTACTATTCAATTTTTAGAATCTTGTCAGATGCTGACATTGAGCAACTAGAACAATAACTTTTGTTTTTGATTCAAAATATGTGTATCAAAAATTTATCGGATAGAGACTGTGGGTGCAACTATAGGCGTTGTTGTAGGTGTGCGTTAATAAAATACTCCCTCCCCTTTTACACTTACTGAGAAAGTTTAAAAAAATATATTCTAGAAGGATGAAATCGTAGTGAAGCAACTGTTAAAAGTATCGATATTTTTTATGTTTTCCTCTTAATTTCTATTCCATTCATTCACTAAACGTTGCTGATCTGTTTCTTTCTTTCGTCTACATTTTCCTATTCTAATTTAATTTTTTATTCAAAGTATGGACTGAAATTAATTCATTCATTTCTAATATCGTGTATTATCAAGCATATTCAGTTGCAATGAGAACAAACATATAGAACAACGTCGACGCATCACAGAATTTATATTTGAAATCAGAAAGGATGAGTGTGTTATCAAAGAAACATATTCATATTCAAATTTTTTTGCCATTCACAACTATCTAAGCTACAACAATTACTTTGTTTTAAATCAATAATAAATTGTTTTCATTTCTATAAAGTTTTGTACTTTTCATGAAATTGTTGTATTTCTCAAAATGTTGACATTTTCTTTTCTATTACTTGATAAATCGAATAGTTAGCATAGATTATGACTAATTTTGATACTTCAAATACACTCTATCAAGACTTAGTGTCATAGGCGGCGAAACGGTTTCCCTCTAGGATAGGCTCAATTTTCCAGCTAAATGAGATAGAGAAGCGACAGGGCTGCCATGACCATTCCAACTTTGTGAGGGGCCGGTGTAAAAAAATTTTTCTTCAAGATGCTGTGCTCAAGGATGTCGCAAGCACCCAAAAATTTGAAACGACAGTAACCAGTGGTATCAGATCCACCTGATTTCGAAATATTTTCAGAATTCTTTGCTTTTTTTTCGCATTTCTACTGGAGTTTTCTCACTCTTTCGGGATTTATCCGCATTTTTTCTCAATTTTTCAGGAATCGCTTCTCATTTTTTTTATTGGTTTTTCTCAATGTTTCAGGAGGTTTTTGAAATTTTTCTGATTTTTCAGAATTATCAGATATAAATTTCTGATTTTTCACTTTAACATCTGACATCAATAAGGTTAACCGATAAAATCGTGCTTAAGGTAGTGAAAATTTCATTTGTGAAATATAACGCAAGACAATTTTTCGAATATTTGGGGTGTTACATCCCCGCCACCCCTCGATCAAGGCACCCTTGGGTAGCTGATCACGAATCAACTTCCGCTACTTTTTTCAATGGTGATTTCTTGGTTGATTTAAATCTTATGAAGCCCAATGAATATCTCATCGAATTCCAGTTCGTATTGGTGATAAAGAAAATATGAACTAACTTTGCAACAATACGTCATATGTTACTGACACTGTAAGTTATACGTGAAAACTAAACAATAATGAAAGACTTAGATACAATTGAGCCTACCCGAGCCTTCAGCTGTTCTTGTTTGAGCCTACTCAAGCCTACCCTATTCAAAACTAGAATAGGCTCAAACCTCGTGAGCCAACAGACTCCGCCGCCTATGTTTAGTGTATATATGTCCACACCAAATTACTACGTGCATAGGTTTCAGATGTTCCATACTATATCTGCTCTACTCGATGAAACTATCACCTAACGGCATCTTTCCGTTTTCTAAAACTAACACAAATAATATTATTTATGGATTATTGTTCATAGTAAGCTGATTCTAAATATATAAAAATTCTAATATATAGTTAGGTCATAAAAAAATCCTTCGCACAGTGCATCATGAGAAAAATACAATCCAAAAGATAACGGCAATGCTTTTATTCATCACTAGTACTCGTGTACTGAGAATATGTAAATATTGATCACGATGTTGACCATACAGAAAAGTTTAAGTGTACTTTGGCCGTTCTATTCATGAGAGAAAGATTAGAAAGATACTGATTAGATATGTCCTTGAAACGGTAGGACTAATTTTAGTACTAAGTAATCTGCGCGGTTCTAAAAATAGCTATTTCACAACATAGAATTGTATAACTAAAAGTATTCTGTGAGGCTTTATTGTTGGTATGTCCTTGAATTGAATGTCATCTATCTTTTATACTTATTTTTTTTCGTAGGAATAATAATGAATAAAAACAATGCTGTAATAGCAATTATAAAATCAAAATCTATTCTTTATTCTTGAGAGGTTTTGTTTTTAGAAGAGTTAATAACAAATAAGCTCTACTTATTCTTGATGAATTTTGATTCAATGAGTTAACTGTTGAATATTCTACACTAAAATAGGTACATCAAAATAATATATGATGACATCCTATGATGAATAGATTTTGTTATGAAAACATGTATGATTCGATGATATCTTTTGAAGGTTATTGATGATTACACAATATGTGTAAATACTACAGATTACTTTTTATTGTTGGTCTCATTGGCATATAAATGTAAATTAGTGCATATAATATCAATATTTTAGTTGAAAGAATCTCGGTAAATAAACCCTATTACTTTCCATTATCCTAGTTTATCTACACAGATATGTTTTGTGTTAGTGCTTAAATAATGTTTATCTGCGCATTCCTAATTTTTCTCCAGGGCAACAGAGATAAATAAATAACGAGTGAGTAAAAATATTTCACTTGTATTGTGTGGCCCGTTTTATTTTTTGGTAAGTGGATCTTATGTTGCGATGTCAGAGCAACTATTGATGGTAGTTTAAATAGTAGGAAGTTGTTAATTGGCGTGTGTAGAAAGCAGAGACGTGCACAGGACAGGGGGTCCTGCTGTCCTGGAGGACAGGATGAGATTTCGATTTTTGTCCTGCCCTGACGCCCGCCAGGACCAAAGTAGCCAGCAGGACAGGTAAGGACAGGACGAGAAATCTTGTCCTGTGCACGTCTCTGGTAGAAAGATTAATCAAGCTAATTTTTTTAAATTTCAAATAAGAGAAACAACAAAATGATGGATTTTTCATAGTTGCCATACGACTATATAGCATAAAAATCATCATATAATAGCGATATATACGATGAGAGAATCACGTAGTAAATTGTGAAAACTAAAATATATCGCATAATTTGTACTGAATCTTTCTTCAGATTGCTTTTAAATACATTCTATAAATCAATCAAAGGCATATAGATCAGAACGATATTACTACTATTGTGTCGAAATAAGGAGTCAGGCTTGTTTTGTTGAATATCATGTGAAAGCAGTAAGTTGAATTCTTTAATCACAGTTCGATATCTGATGTATTTAAAAGCACCACCAATGATTATTTATCAGTAAGTGGGTGTTGATGAGATTGACGAGAACTCTTCTTTGACGTTGAAGCTATTACTTTATTGAAATAAAGGTTAAATACAAGAATTCATTTGAATTTTCCTTATTTTTTATCAATGATGTCGTCAATTCAATGTATCCTTTGCATAGTATTGAACAAAGAAGTAATAAAGATCTTATTTCAGAATGAAAATCATATATAACACTGCAAGATGTGATTCTTTTGTTTCTATACTAATTAGATATCCAGTGGCTGCAATTGAAAAACATCATCAAGTCAATGGTGCTTCACCCAATCTATCATACGGTACTAATGTTATCAATCAAGATAAATGTATTGTAATTTTACTCCGACCTATTTCAGTATTATTTGAGATCAAGCTGAGTTTTGAGGATGATTTTTATGTTATTCTTTTGTTAAAATTTTGGTTTTCTGTTTTGTTTTAAAAATAAAGATTGACATCGAATGATTTTATTTTTTTGATCCCTCAATAAATCAAAAATGTTTTTTATTACGTTTATTTAATTGGTCTCCAATTAAGTTCAAAATATTTAATGTTTGTCAATCTAAGTTGATATACTCAAACACATGAAAGTTAAACAGTTGAATTATTTATTAATGAACGAAAGACAACAATGAATCTTTGTTTTTTATTCTGGATAATTTTTACTATTTTTTTTTGACATGGGGTTATACGTTTTACTAATCTCAAAAGAATTCTTCTTCAACTGTTCTGTTTACCTCTATTGTCTGTATCTCTTTGAAATGAACTGTTAGATTAAGATTTTGCTTTTTTTTTGGTTTTTTACAACGTTCTATGGAAAGAAACCGCCAAGGATAAATGAGACAAAACGAACTATTGACTATGAAAACATATCACGGCGACTACACGACAAATAAAATTTTGAAAAATGATTTTGGTCAATCATGATTACAGCGTCTATATGTAATAGTTTAAATAGATCATGAGTTGCGTAGAAAATCAACAAGAGTGATAAGAAAAACTCTGATGATTGTATGAGTATTGAACTATTGGAATAATATAAATAGATGTAATATTTTAAGAGGAAGTCAGTCTGAATTCTAAAGTAAGAGAGAGAGAGAGAAGATAATCAAGACATTTGTTCAAGAGAAGAATTATTCAATCTTTGAGATTATTCTGCAATAGATAATCTTTTACTAGCTTCTTTTGCTTCTAGCATATCAGACAGATAGAACCTATCTTCTCTTCTTCTGCCGTACTCAGTATTTTGTTAAATAACATCCATTTCTCTACGATGCTTCCTTTGAAAGATGATTTTCGCAGAATTTGTTCGGTGCTTTTTTGTATTTTTTTAGATTTGTTATGATTTTTGCTGTTTGATGGACGGAAAATCATAGGGAGTTAGCTTTTTGCGCTCTTGGAAGATTTAGGGTATGAGTAATGCTCCGAAAAGATCTGTTGGAAGTATGATTTCTGTGATTTTCGGTGTGATTTGGAGTAGGTTTTTTGGCTGTTTGCATTTTTCAGTTTGATTTCTATGGGAATGTAGTAGAATTGACGTCTGTGGTGTGCTCACTATCGATTCGAGGGATTTATGAATGTATTTTTCTTTTTGTTCAGAATTACGGCCGTGAACGGTCGTATACATTGCAGTGCTTGATCGTTTCCTGTTTATGATACGGCCGTATACGATCGGATACGGCTTCTAAAAGGTCGCTGTGTTCTGCCATATACGACACGGCGACATACGGCTGTATCTAGTCGTTGTAATGCTCAACCTGGGCAGGAAAGAAAACATGGATTTTTGTTGAAACATGTAAATGCGAAAGTAATACAGATAATAAATAAGTCATGATATGAGCGAACATATGCATAACAGAGAGAAAATGTAACATAGATGATGACTAGTGTCGTCGCAGCCCCCCTGCCCGTTAAAATCTGAAGACTCAGTTATTACATAATAGATATTCGTACTGGCAGTATTTGTCATTTAAATCAATTTGTATTATAATGAAAATGCTAAATTAAGAAAAAACTACGAAGATGACAAATAACAAGTGAATGATAAGAGTAAAAACAAAAAATACGGCGCTCATAACAAAAGCTTTGCTCTAAATATAGAAGTAAACAAAATACAGTGTATCCCAGATCGAACAGTCCGCCCTGAAAACGGCCGGTTCCGGGTAGTTCCTTTGATTTTGTGTGAGCAGTATTCCGGTTGGAAATTTTTCGGATTTTATCCAGTGATTTCCGATCAATTTCTGCCGGAAAGCACCGGAACTTGGCAGGAATCCGCCGGAAAAGTTCGACCGTATTTTTGATCGGAATATTGCTTCCATGTTCCAGCGATTTCCCGTGTTTTCCTGCAGGATATGGTGACTTTCCTGCATATTTCCTGGAGTATCCTACGGAATCCGGTGGCCAGAATGTTCGCCCTGGAATATTGCCAGTGGATGATCATGCGAAAAACCGACCTATCGTCTTTTGGAGATTTTTCACGCTGTATTTTGTTTTAGTATAAAGAATCTAAAGATATACAGGTTCAACATTTCAACTCCAAAGGGGTTGTGGTAATAAGTTGATTTTTTTCTTTTTCTTTAACATGTTCTTCACGAAACGTCGTCTTTTTACTTTTTGATGCATTCTGCTCAGATAAAACGATACACATTTACAACTGTTTCTCATCATTGAATATTACAAAAATAATAATAAGATTTGAATCTACTGTTTAGTTATTTTTTCATACGTGTCGCCGTTATGTAAGACACATGTTGTGTATCCTATTTATGGTTTAGTTGTGTACGTATGCAGTTCTTTTTTATTGTTGTTGTTGTTGACCTTTGGATTAAATCTTTGTTGTGTTTGTCGCAGGATATCATGCATAAAAATATTTATTTGCTTATTTTCATTTATATGAACTGTTATTTATAATTATTATTGATCTCAAAACAAAACAGTTGTATTTAATAGAAAAAATAAGAAATTTAATCTTTTTTTATTAAAATATTTAGTCTAGAAAGAAATCTACTGATAAATGTTCCTTTTTTTGTCAAAGCCTTATAAAACCATACAACATAAAAGTAATAAAAGTTTTAGAGATTCTAATCCAATTGCAGGGATTCCTCACTATTCTCAATCTACTACTGATAACAGGTAGATACTAAGGTCGACTTTTACACCACACTTCGTATTTTAAAAGCAGTAAAATAAAATAGAGCATGTGTTTTAATAATGATAGTATATATGCGCATGGTACTTTTGCCAGATTATTACAAGCAAAATAAGTGAATTGCAGTTACCTATAATTAGTTTCAAAAAAAGAATGCAGTCTAGACAGATCGGGCAACGTGAAATTCGTTGACTCCCGCTTCTGACATGAGTATTCTAGAATATAATTATTTTAATATGAAGTAAATAATCGACGATACATTGTATGAGTAGAGAGTAGTCTATTTTTACGACTTATGACGACATCACGTTAATCAAATTTGCAGCCACAAATTTAGAGGAAGAAAAGCTTCACAGATATCTATTAATTATATTCTTTTCACCATATACTTGTTTGGCATAATTCTCTGTATAACGTTTGTGTTTAAATTTCTATTATTTTGATTATGAGCATAAAAAAAATTATCCAAAGAAGTGTTTGGCATGCTCTGATTGAAAACATATATTCGATTATCTCAAATAATTGTTGACACTACAAAAAAAAAGAAAGATTCTTCAGTTCACGAACAGAAAAAAAACTCATTTCTAACACTGACATAGACAACACAGAAAAAATTACGAACAACAAGAAAAGAAAAAGATTAATCAATCGAATTCGAAGAAAAGAAAACAAATCATGTTGTAGACAATTTAAGAGGTAAAATAAGACAGAATAATAATGAGATTCAAATGAAAACAAAAGATTTTATGTTGTCTAATGATACAACAAAGAAACCAAATAAATAAAGAAAGGGCATAATCATCATTTATTAATGATATTAAACTTTTACCCATGAAGATCCAAGCTGATATTACTTCCTTCGAATTCGTCGAGTGTTAAATCCAATAGGTTATCATCTTCGTCAATTTCTTCTAATTTTGATTGATGAAGTATTTCACACACTCGTTTTTGATATGATTCATTGTATTTTTTCGTATTTGAAAAACGTCGAAGTAAACTTGATGTTACTCTATCTTGTTGATACGTTTTTGTATACACTTCAGCTAAAGCTATAGTACATTGTCTTAAATCATATTGTGTATATGTTGATAGTTTAACATGATGACGTGACCATACAATATCAATATTAAGATGTTGTTTAAGCAATTGAATTGCATATAAAAGACAGCAAGCAGCTATCATAGACGAACGATAGGACGAAAATGGTCGATCGTGCAGCAATGTTAATGTACATAAGTAATTCGATAACATTGTTACACTTTTATAGTCATCATCATTGTTATCAATGGGCATGGAAGATCTAAGATCGATAAAATAATGTTGTAGAAATGTATAACACGTTGGCCCAGATATAGAGAAGTTCAGCATCTATAAAAAAAAATGAATGTTTCAATTTTTGTTACAATAACGAACAAGACTTAAATTCGAATGAAAAACAAATTTAAGGAGCTTACTTTCATGATAATCTGTTCCATTCGAAGGATATGTTTTGTTTCATATGTATTATCCGTAATAAATGAAAATTCTTCTAATGCAGGTGGATACATTTCTTCATATTTCGATGCTACATACATAGATGTAGTACCTAAATAATAGAAATTCAGTGTAGTTTTATCGTTATAATAATCAAAAGAAACTAACCAAGTAATTGTAACTTCGATCGAGTTACGTTCACTGTTGATAAAAATCGATCCACATATTGAACACAGAGAAAAAGTGTTTCATCATTCAGTTTATACTCATCAGTCACTTCAATGAGCCAATCGATCAAAATTGTACGCATAGCAGGATTAATATCTGATTGATATTCCATAAAATTTGCTTCTTAAAAAACAAAAACAATCGCTACAACATGGCACATCTTTTTTTTGATAAACTATACTTACTAGGTGCATAAATATGTTCTACTGATTTTAAATGTTCAAAAATTGATTGACGATAGTCAGGCCTAGAAAATTCAATAAAATTTGAATGAGAAGTTCAGCTCGGCAGTGAGTTCATGTATGTATGATCTGATTAACAGATTACTTTCTATATTATAAATAGAAAGTCGTTACTTTCTGTGCGATTTTGGAAAAAGTCAACCATAAAATTCAATGTGATACATCCAAGGACGACAAAGTCGTTTTGACCGTCAATATAATTGTTGACTTTTTTATCACTGATAAAACCTCCTATTGATGTCAGTGCTGATAAATTTAATTCAGAGGGACTTCAATCTCGAGTTCGTGAAACCTATTACAGTACATATGCGTATCCGACCAGAACATTGAGATTTACTAGATGCCATTTATCACTTAGCTTGCTAACTAATAGGTGAGTCAAAACAAGATTAATACTGGCCCTGCTTAGCGTTATTTATTAATTTACAACTATTACAATAGAAGCGAAGTAAAATAAAAATCACTTGTCTTTGTACTTACAATTCGAATAAATCTTGTTCAAGTTGTTCGCGTGTTTTATTAATCTCAGAACGACATGGTTTTTGTTCAATAAAAAAGTCTGTTTTAAACATAGGGGAAATGACCATATCATTTTCATTCTCTTTTGAATATTGTTTTATTGCTCGTGCAGCGGTGAGAATAGGTCTTGTCGCAGTTGGAACTTCATTTTCTTGTTGTACAATCGTAGTAGATATAAATTTGGTTTTATTTGTTATTTCTATAGATGAGAATTTTTGTGATGAAACATCTTTAAGTGGAAGTCGATTGTGTGTCGGCCGCAGCACTAATCGATTCGAATCCATCATCTTGAAAGAGAAACGATCATGAAAAATATAAATTACCTATGTCACTTTTTTTCTATTATTTTATTTTGAATAAAGTCTTACTCGAATCTGAAATGGACTGTGAGAATATTATGAACTGTACTAGTCGACGAAAAAAGGTTGAAATAGGATGAAGAACAAAGGAATCAACCTGCCTATGCTCTTTGTTTAGAGCGCTTGTTTTATGTATCGACCAATAGATCACGTGGAACGACGAAAGAGTTCGCTAGTCAATGTGTCAGGCTGGAAATAGAAGTGCATTGAGAAAAAGAGAATTCTTTAGTGAAATTTGTTATTTATAATTTAAGAATTAATTATTTATAAATGTATTTGCGCATAAAAATTGAAAAGCGAGACGAAACGCTCTTATGTGATACTTTGAAAAAAAGTAAATTTTTCTCTGCTCTAAAGTATTATTCAAATAGATGAATAGAACTTCATGTATAATTTACTGCGAATATAGATAGAAAAATAAAGAATATGAGATTTTACAACATTCATTTAAGCACGTCTAGATACAGATGACTTTGAGTTACATGAGCGAATGAACTACGTGATGTTGAATATGATCTATAGATCATACTCATTTTTATATTTATAATTAAATCGGAGCAACATATTTGAGTTTTAAAAAGAAAGATTAACGAGAAATATTCTCTAAATACTATTAAATCATGAAGTTAATTTAATGTAAAGACATGAGTAAAGCAAATCGTATCATTGCAGTGGCGGATCTACCAGTTAAGCTACTCGACGATCGCCACCCCCGTTAAGAATTTTTTTCGGTTTTCACCAGCAGAAATGAAACAGAAAATAGTCGTTTTGCCTCAAATAGACTTGAAAAACCGTTTTTCGGCCAGGAGCGCCACCTCCTAACATATTTTCTGGATCCACCACTGTATCATTGCTTTAATAAGACTTAAAGAAGATTAGTTTCATCCATCGGGAAAATGTCAACTAATTCTTTTTACTGTAATCTCTTAGACTGAAAATAAAGTTAATTTAAGTCAATTAAAAACCTTCATTCGCATTCTTGTCAAATAAAATCATTGAATATTGATGACAGTGATGATATGTCTTACGGCAAAGATCTTAATGTTATTAAGGAAAAAAAGAAAATATTGAACTACCATTTAACAAAGAGAAAAAATGAAGAAGGAAAACACATAGCCTGATGTTTATTACAAAGCAAAAACATTCAATTAATCCTACGTATGACGTCCCATCTATCAATTTTCTAAGGAACAATTAATTGGAGATAATATGCTACTCAGTGGGAGATTTTCTTTTTCCTGATGAAATATAGGCATGAAATGAAGACTACATTCCTACATTATCGTAAACAAATACTAATCAAGTATAAATTATTCAATAAATATTTAATACAGCACGTCATCATCTTTTATACATATATACATATTTTATTTTTTCTTAGTATTCGTTATTGTTCCTGGATTTGTTTGTCATTTATATGAATATGAAAAACACAAAAAGAAAGACTCATAAACAAAAAAACAAAAGCAAGCATTGTTAAAGGAGACAATCTAACCCAAACCAGACGCTTTTAAATTTTCATCAATTAAAATATTATTAGCAACACCATAAAAATAAACTAATTGTCCTTGATATTTTTGTCGATCAACAGTTTTACAAACTCCACAACGTCTATAATTCGGTCCTCTTTTACAAGCCAAAAAGCTATTCCATATAATTTCATCGTATTCTTCATCACCATCTGTATTTAGTGCGTCAATTATTTCAATATGAATTTTATCATCATCATCATTATCTTTTGATAGAACAGGATAGCTTTCACGAGATTTTCTATATGATCCTTTTCTACTGTGAATTTTTTTCGTACGATTTATTGTCGTTTCGTCATTTGTTTCTGGTACAAGAACTTTGGTTAAAACATTTCGAACATTTTTTGTTAGTTCATACCATTCGTAAGGTTCTTCTTCGGGAAGTAATTCATGTGACGGTTTTGGACGGTAACGTTTATCATGTTTTAAACGTGTTTTCATACGTGCGAATAATTTAATTAATGAAAATGAATGATGATCATCTATTTCATTATCATCTGTATCATCATAATATATTGTCGGAGGTAAACGACTTGTTGCTGTTGCTGTTGTCGTCGCCGTCGTAGTATAATCATGATTATTATTATTCAAGTCATTTATTGAAGAGTACTGTTGTTTAGTCGAAGGAAACGAGTATTCATGTTCATCATCGCTATTATGAATAGTATCTTCATGTTGAAATGAATTACAACGTAGAATAGATGCTTGATTGCTTTGTTTCTGTTGAATCGAACGTAACAAATTGGTTGTAGGAGATTTACGTAGAACACCACAATGTTGTGTTAAAAAGCGATAATTTTCAATGAGATCACTTTCAGCTTCTCCGATTTCTTCATCATACTCTTGATGATGATGATGATGGTGGTGTTCATTTCCGTCATCGTTATGAATATAATCAAGGCCGTCGACATTGTGAGAATTGATATTTGATTGAAGTGTCATACTTATTGAAATGAATATAGTATTGATTAAAAAAATTTGGATTAAAAACTGTTTTCTTTCTCGGTTATATTCTCTATTTTTCTTGTTTTTTAAATATTGATATCAAAGTTGTCAGTTAAACGTTGTGCGTGTCGTCTTTTTACCTTATTGCTACTAATATATACTTTGAAGCCATTATTCGTATGAAAATAAAGACGGAACTCCTCATAATATTTTGAAAAGCGACGATAATGTGACAGAGAAACGGAAGAATCATGTCTATGAGAAAGAAAAAGAATACGATAAAGAGAGAAACAGAGAAGCACCATGCAAGCAATATAGATTCAGCTTAAGTTTGACTAAAAAAAACATTCTCATCAGCACACTTTCTCTCTTGCTAAGAGGTGGCTGCTGTTGTTATTTTTAGTTTCTGTGCATAATTATCTCATTTCATGCAACAACCATTAAAGCTGATGTCTCATAAGACAAACTTGGTTAGATCGTAATAAAAATTATATGAGAAAAGAAAGAAAAAACCTGTTGATCTTTTTTTCCTTTAAAAGCAGTTGAACATTAAACTGAGAAAATGATAAACACCAACGCTACACGTATGTCTATTTTCGGCATATTGCACCAATTAGAGAAGAATATTAAATTCTTCTTATTCTTCATCCTCGGATATTATTATTAAATAACTGATTTATGTCTATTCTTTGTTAGGAAATATCCACAGAAGCACACTTACATTCATGTGCACTCATTCGTAATGAAGCCAAATGGTTTATTCAACTCGAATTACGTAGTTCTTTTTATTGAGCGTAAAGTTTATAATAAGCAATAATTGTCAAACGTATTTGAACTATTTTTATTCATTCTTCAAGTCTATTCATATAAATACAATCAAGAAAGAGAGCAAAGAGACAGACCAAAAAAAGAAAAATAAGCCATCTGACATACATATATATATATATAAAGAATCATACAGAAACAAAAAAGAAAAGAGGTAAATTCGACAAGAATTAAATTTACTCCTGTCCATGAAGTAAACAATATATGCCACGCATATTTTCTGTTCGATGTTCATCACAAAATGAACTTAAACAATCAGCGCAAGCTATGTCTGCGTCAATACCACATATGTCACAACGATGCGAAGGGCAAATCCAACGTTCTGAAAACAAAAAGCAATGTAGAGAAAAATAAAAGATAACTAATGATTCGTTTGTGAATTTATTTACGTGTTGGAGAACGATTTCGAAATGATTGTCCTTTAACTTTAATACATTTTGGATGAAATTTTCTTGAACATTTTGACATTTGACATGCTATTAATTGTCCTGTTAAGCCACAACCAAAACATGTATCAGCATCTAGTTCACCGGTTATATTCGATGTACGTATGCGATTTTTATTACTATGGCGCCCATTTGACGTTCCGTGTGAACCAGATGTTGATGATAATGTTGCGTCTGCTAATGATGGGACCTGACAATAAAACGTTTTGAAATCAAAAGCAACAATGAATCAGTGGAAATTTACTCCTCCAAGTTTTTTTGATCGACCCATAAAACCTGTGCATGTTTCAGCTCCACACAGACAATGAAATATTGTATCACCACGAAATTCTGATTCAACCCCATATTCAAATGTTAATTCTTCGCCTTAAAAGTCAATATTTTTTTGCAAAATTTTATTATAGTTTTCTAATATAAATTATTTATTTACCTGCTTCAATAGCACGTACAGCAAATAAACCGACACGTAGATCACCAGTGATATTCCATTTTTCCGTTCGTAAATTTGGATCGCAACTATGATTTGCAAACCGTGATAAATTACCACGCGGTCCCGCATCAATCACACTAAGAAATTTTAATATCATTGATAATTAAAAACAAAAAAAATACGTATTTTTATTTCTTTCTAATTTACCGATCTTTATCGAGCACAAGAAAATAAAAATCTTTGACATTATTTTTACGAGCTAATTTGACACGTCGTTCTGTTTCTTCGTATGTAATTAGTTCGCCAACATATTCATTCACAAATTCACCCTGAAGTTGTTTTGATTAAAAATAAGAAAATCAATTAGAGACTCCTTCTTGAATTACCTCTTTTATTGGTACTAAAGTTCGTAAACCCCAGCCGCGACCAGCTGTCCAAAACACTTGCTGCGAAGGATAATTACCTGCAAGACAAAAGTAAAATAAATAAATGTAACTTAATTGAATTAAGAAGTAAACTTACGTTTTTGAAAACGCTGAATGTAATACAATGAAAATAAACAATAGAGCTAATAAAAAACAAATAGATAAAAAAACAAGATTCTACCTGATTTTTACATTTGTCACCTAAATTGAAAAGAAAAGGCGGAAAATGATAATTTCTTATAATCAATCGTTATTTGAAAGCATTTATCTCGCAATGAACTTTCTATTCTAGCTTATGTTAAATACTTCCGTTCTAACTATGTTTTAGAATGTACTTAGGTGATAAGACTGTATGACTTTTTTCGAATTTAATACCATCCTTAATGGAAATCATAAAGCTGTCTTATAAGCATTTACAATATTCGAAGATTGACACAACGATAAGGATGTTTTCATTTTAATTAGTTTCATCTCAGATAATTTAGAAAATAAATAATCAGTCTTCAAGATTCTAATACTTCAATTTCACGGAGCCCAGGCATTGAATACATTTTTGAGAGAGTATCCATATTCATGTCTTGATAATAACAAATAAATGTGAAAACTTCGGATTTCATCCGAGTTATGTGTATTGCAGAAAGTGCATGGGACATATGAGTCACTCTAGAATGTCTGAACACCAAAATTATCATGAGAAACTAGGCAATTTGATTTCTGGATGCAGTTTTAGTGCATTTTGAGACGTTTTTCAGGCGATGTTTCGTTAGAAAGCTACGATTTAGTTCAAAACTAATATCAGATTCGGAATCAGCGTTAAAAACTGAGTCGATTTATATATGTTGTGAATAATTCTGAGAAAAAACATTTTTCTTGAAAAATCTCTGTACTCCCCCTCAGGGATGGTCTGATCAAAAATGACAATTTTTTCGATAACTCAGCCATTTCTTGACGGACCCTTCCCATCTTCGAGCTCGACCTAGATATTGATGAGACAATTCTGCGCACAAAATTTCAGCTTAATCGAATGTAATTGTGAAGAATTATCGAATAAACGGACGGCCGGACACACTGACCGATTTTAGCAGTGTACTCACTTTTTGAGTACGCAAAAAAAACACGGTCATTCTAACTTTAATAATTTCAATGCTCCTATTGTTTGATTCTCTATTGATTTTCAGCTAATATTAAATATTTTAATTCTGCTATCGGAAACGAAAGATTTTGTAGTGCGTCGAGCCTTCCTTTCAAGTGACATATAAGTTAGTTAAGCATCCAGCAGAGAATCAATTAAGATTGATAAGCTTTCTTAATTTTATTTTTAGAAGAAAAAAGTAGAGTAAATAGCGAGCTATTTTTGTTTGTTGAAAGTACCGGTAATTTTAAGAATAAACTTTGGTTTGTTAATGTATAAAAGATTTATTTAATCCTATAAATCCATTCAACGAAAACACCGTTTATCTATATTTTTTTTCATATTTAATAAGATAAGAAAATGGGCTGTATAATACTCAATTCATTATTTTCATCAAGCTCTTTTCTGCGAATTTTTATTAAATTAGTTACAAAGAAAATTAATATTAAAGAGTCGCAAACAATCAGATAAGACGTCTGTTTCTAAACTTAGTAATGTTATGAATATGATTTTTATCAATCGCAAGAAACCGATACGACTCATTAGTTAATACATTCAGTACAAATATTCATTTGAGAATTTCAAAGAAGTTTTCTTCTGCCTCAATCTATAAAGAACAGAGTAGATAGAAACGTGCCAAATTTTCTTTTACCACTGTGACACACTCATAGCCTGGAGGTTTTTATAAGTAATCCTTCACTGTACAAGGGCTTTTCTTTGTAATAAACATTTTCGAGATTTTTTTCCTACTAAGCTAGCTTTGCAAAAAATTATTCAAATACACTTTTTTCCTGCGTTGTAGTTGCACAACATCTTATTGGTTAATCTTAAGATCTTGTTTGAATATTTGAGCTAATATCTATTGTAGAGAAATATTTCGGCCTTGAAATCAAACTTGAAATTGGAAACTGAATCAAATTAGTATTTTTCAAATGAATTATTTCTTAATACAGGAATTCCTACAAGTAAATTCAGTACTAGAAAAGAAATAGATTCCAATTATTCTTTAGAGGATTTACTTTTGTAGGAAAATATATTTTGAGGAAGTTCATACCGCTTAACGTCTATTATAAGGCTTCGCTAGATTCTCATGCCAACTTGTCTTTTTCTAACTTGATTTTCATACAAATAGTAGAAATTTGATATCAATCAAAAACATGCGGTTTTTTTCAAGCTGGTAGAATATGAACCATGTTTACATAATTTTCCAAACTTATTGAATAACTAAATTTAGTAGGTAAAATAATGGCGCACTTCTTTGAGCAAATCTTATGAGATGTATTATTAATTTTTCTTCAAAAAAGAAAACAGTCGCGGTATGTCATGTTCACTCCACCGAATTTCTAAGTTGTATATTTCTCGATGCAGTAGAAACATTAGTCAAATTTCTATTTAGATTGGTTTTCTTTTTGGCCGAAGAAAGGCTTCGTGAACGAAAGCGTTTAATTTCAAAATTATTTTTAGATAATATAATGCACGATGGACAACTGTCAAATGTATATTTACTCTAAATAGATAAACTAATGAATCAAGTCGATTTCTTATCATTAATGAAATTCCTGTTTGTGCTTCATCATAAGATTTAGAACAACATGAGTTTTCATACTGTACATCTATATATATATAGGCTTGAAAACTTTTAGTGGACGTGAAATTTTCCATTTCAATAGCACAAGTTTCTTTCTAATTAGCTCTAATAAAATGTACCTGCTTGATGTATGTATTATTTTGCTTGAAGATTAACTATATGATTATTTAAATAAAAAGAAACCGATGCAATTATTTTTAATTATGCATCATGTCAATTGCACTAAAGTTAAAAAAGGAGACGACGCAAATTTTGATAAGATTAAAAGAAGAGTATTATGAAAAAAACTGTAGGCGAGTTCAGTCATTAAAGTAATGCAATACATAAAGATGCTAGCTGATAATTATATCTTATTTAAATTTACTGCTACAATCATAGAAATTGACTTGATTAACTAAAAGCACTTTTGATGCTTATTGAAGCAAAACTATGATCGATAAATGTTACAAAGAAAAACAAATTCAATCACTCACCAGCAGCGCAAACATGTGGATGACATTCATATTTAAGCATTCGATTGAGACAATGTTCATCGGAACTACATGGATCGGGTTTATTTGGATCACAATCACAACGAGATAATTCTGCTAATGGTACTCGAAGGATTTGAGCTTCACCAACTGGTTTTAATGTCTAAAAACAAAAATTAATAAACAATAGATTTAAGAAAAACGAAATTAAAATTTATACTTTTGTATGTCTATAAATAGGCGTGTGTCCATGCTTATTAGCACTTCTATCAATTAATTTTGAGCGCCCATTAACTGTCGAAGTTTTTTCATTATCATTTGTAATTGATTCATCAGAATTCATATCCAGAGATTCATCATCCGTATCATCATCATCATCATCATCGTCTTCAAATTCATCGTAGGCATCATCTAACGTCATTTCTTCAAGTTTAGTTGCTTCACCATAATTTACAACAGGATTTGTGGAATAAAATTGTTTTAAACGACTATAAAGACGTCTAGCTTCTCTGAGACCTAGATAAATTCAAAGAATAGAAGCATAATTTTGTTTTTTTTTTCAAATTTTTACCATCTTTAAAGCTTGGTTCTGCAGCAGAGAAATCACGCGCATCCTTAGGTTGAATACAACGATTTTCAAATGATAAACAATGATGTTTATTAGCCCAAAAAAATTCTTTTGAACCAAAAAAATTTACTAGAAATTCCCCAACTGTACGTTCTTGTGCAAGTAAATTATCTGGTGCATGACGTTCATGTAATATTCGACTTGGCCAACATCTAAATATAACAGAGAGAGAGAGAGAGAGAAAGATGTGTTCTTCTTGTCATTCATCAATGATTATTTTGTTTCCGTACCGAAATTTACCCATTTTAATCCAACATATATCACCATATAGCGGTTTTAGATCACTTAAGCAAGGATCACATTTCCAGTTCGTTGGCTTCTCGTCTGTTTTCGATTGAAAACATGATTGATGAATTGTTGCTGGACAATCAATGCAAACAATGCATTCCATTGTGCGTGTTGGTTGCCCACAAATGTAACAATACCGTGCAGCACATGGACGCGCTGGTTTTCGTTCGCTCGGAAGATGACTTGGACAACAAATTGATGATGAAAATGCGATGGATAGAGAACCAGCTGGTAAACAGCGTTCGTGACCATGATAAGCCGTTGTACAATACAAACATGTAAACACATGACCTTTGAAAATATCATTCATTAATAGAAAATATTTATACTAATTAATTATGTAATAAATATTTCTAGAGTCATTCTATCTTATCGTAGACGGGTTTTTATGATAGAAGTGTTGAAACCAGAATATTCTTTACATCTCTATTATTTATTAGTGTCTATGAACGAGATACCGTTGCAATATCACGCCAAGTTCTATGATCTAGATCTCCCAGCTTTTCGAATACAACAGAGAATACCTTCTCGATGATCAAAAATGTTTAAGAAAAACGAGATCTTTTCAAACTTTGTACGACTTTTCTTTGAAAAGCTGCGATTGTTTTTTTTTCGCCTTGGACGTTTTCAAGCCTTATATAGATGGATGTCATATCGACGAAAATAGATCGTGCGATGCTTAATGATATCTTATTTTACTCTGAAATACGTGTTGTACTAGATCAACGTATGCCGAAAACTTTCTCTGTCAAATCTGGGGGGAAAAGAGTTTCTGATCCACTGGAAAAATCTATCATAGCTTTCTGTTTGCCGTGGGGCAAAGCTTCAAAATTTGAGTTTTCAAATAATGATGTTGAAAAAATTCAATTTAAAGACTGAATGTTTTTACTAAGATAGACTAAGGTAGGAAGTTTATTTTTCGAATATAAGCTGGTATCCTATTTCTTCGATCATGCAATGGTGATTAAATCTATGAGTTTAGTAGGAAAATAGCACTGTTAAAACTAGTGATACTTCAAAATTCATTATTAAACATAATAAATAAGTACCTATATTATCATTTGGTCGCTTATGTAAATGACAAGTTGCACAAATATGCAGAGGACAATAATATACGCCCGATGGTAAAGTAGTTGTTAAATTTGAATTTATTAAACATGATGAATGATAGATTCGATTACATTGATTAAATCCGCATTTCAACTCATTATCAGTAATTGGTTGTTGACATAAACTACATATTAAACGATCTTCAAGTAAATACAAGTTCTATCTCAATAAAAAAATGCATTCCTTTTCAATTTTATCCTACTTGCTAAACATTCGGGACACATTACAGTTTGTTGGTCATCAAAAATACCGACACATTCACGATGAAAATAATATCGGCATTTGCCTTGACACAGATTCGTATACGATGAATGACCACATACGCGACAAGCAGGATTATACGCTATTTCTTGTTCTTCAACATCACTTTCATACTAAACATATAATTATTCATTGTATTGATACCTTAAACAGATGAATTTACTTCTTCTTCGTCATCATCATCATCGTCATCATCCATGGGCAAACTATCCACAGGTGGTGTCTCATATTCCATAGATAAGTTCATTTCTGATAGCTGTACTTGCTAAACAGAAAAAAAACAATAATATTTAATACAAATCATAAGAATAGGTTTTTTTAAATTTTACATCTCCATTTGTTAATCCATTAGTAGTAGTCATTGGTATTGATGATTCGACAGACGTACGACGAATAGGCATCTGAAATATTTAGTAATTCAATATTCGAGCTAAATTCAATCTGATCTAAAAATTTTAAAACTGTCATTTAAAATAATTTAGTTTTTATGAAAGTAGCTCATCTTTAACTTTCATAATTTCAATGTTTTAATAAAAATAAAAAAACATTGATTTAGCAGTTTCTTCACTTGTTACTAAATGATATTCTTTTTCTGCAGTGCCTAAACATACACAAAAATATATCTTTAGATAGGTAGATAATGATAGCGAATAATATTCTTTCACATTTCATCATATATTTACTATGATAATCGGCATGATCAGAATTATCTAATTTATATGATTCCTCATCAGTAAATTCTTTACCCACAATTCGATAGCAGGTCATAGTATGCTCATCATCAATATCAATTTTCTGCGTTCAAAAAAAAAACTTACGGGCATTTCAAAAATAAGTACTAACACTTTTTATTATCATTTTCATTTTGGTATAAAAAGTAGTCTCTAGTTTTTCACTCGAGATTAAAATTGTAAAATTAATTTGGGCGTAGCACTTAAATATTTATCATCATCAAATTCAGTAACAACATCATATTTCATTCGTGAATATATCAGATAAAATGATTATGTATCTTGTACACTGTTGAATAGGTCACTATTGAGATGATAGTTGGAGACGTACCCTGGATGATGCGAAGCCTAGGAAATGAAATAAAAAAATGTATCAATTTCAATTTTCGTATAGTGAAATATTAACATCAATGAATATTTAAGTTAAATTCTATTTGTGTGCTTGTATTATCTAAGAAAAACATAGTTTTTCCCTGTTTGAAAATCATTTTTGTCTTTGAAAGACAAAAAATTCAACTATATTATATCATACAAAGAGAATATAAGAAGATGAATGATTCATACGATCGACCAATCATTAAAATTTAACAGCGCCAACTGCATTTGTCTGTCAAATTCTTTTTGATCATAATAAAAAACAATTTCATAGAGAGTCGTTTAACGTATACGTTGTTTTCTCATAAATATGCAAACAACTTTCATTGAAGAAAATATTAATCATGAACAAATAGAAGATCTCTGTAAATTTATTGAATCTCAACCGTGCAAATCATTAGAATTTCGTCGATGTAAAATATTAGATTCGTAATAAAACTTCCCTTGTTTTCTGAATATTTACTTATTTATTTGTTTATCTACTGGTTTAGTGATTTTGATGAACTAATGAAGAGTTTATCGAAAAATGGTGAATCCATTGTTTCGCTTATATTTAATATTCAAATGATTAAAGAGAAAAAACGTTTTAAACGATTCACTCAAATGTTATCTCATTGTCCGAATCTGATCAATTTAAGGTAATAGTAAAAGAAATTTTTTTCTGAATAAAAGCTAAAAATATTTTTAATAGAGTTCATGGTAATGATATCGATGATGATATGTTTACTCAACTCGTTTTAAGTTTAAATGAAAACTGTTATCAATTAAGTTCATTAGATGTTGGAGATAATAAATTAACAAATAAATCGATGTCTAATATTTGTTCATTAATTGTTCCTGATGAAAATAAAACAGGTTTTTGTAGACTTAAAAAATATGAAAAATAATCAGTTTCAGGATTGTTGTGTATCGTCTAGGTTTGGAAGAATTAATTTTAAGTGCTAATCAATTGATTACAAATGCTGGTTGGACAGAGCTTTTCTTTTCAATAGCTTTTAGTTCTCGCATTCGTCGATTATCATTTGATTATAATATTTTCGATAATTCGACTGCAGCTATGCTTAGCATGCTAATTGCGTCAAGGTAGTTTGTAGAAAAATTGAAGGTTATTTTAATTTTTAATTTTGATTTCTATTAGTCGAACATTAACATATCTAGATTTAGAATGCTGTAGTTTAACAGAATTTGCTGGAAAATTATTTTTGGCTCTATTTACAAAATATCCAGTAAAACTCGAAGAGATCTGCCTTGATCAAAATCCATTGATACTGGATTCAACTCGCACATTAATAAATGAATGCCTTGGTTTGAAATCAAGATCGAATTCTATTTCAAGTCATCAACCATTATCGTATTATTTACCAATTGATGATGATGCATCAACTATCGCCAGTGCAATAAGTGAAAAACTTTCTCCAGTAAAACTCAGAAGGAAAAAGAGAAGATCTAATATGAACCGATCTCCCAGAGTCGTTATAAAAGAAGAAACCAAACCTTTTACTTTAAATGAGATAAAAGTACCAAAAAAACGAGCTGAAATAAGAAACAAAGAAAACAAAGAAGAAGAATATATTGAAGAACTTTTACCCATTGAACCTGAATCATATGGTACTGTAGGACGTTTGCCAAGTTGGCATCGATTATGAGTAGTGCCTTATTCAGATAGATGCTTTGCTTTTGTGCTTTCAATTAACAAAACTTTATTACTAAACTCTATTTTATTTTTAACTCGATGGGCTTGTCAAATATTAATTCTAATGAAATAAACTCACTAAACAAAATAATCGCTATATACTTTTATTCATCCAATTTAAGAATCTTCTGCTATATAAACCGACTTCTCTTTTGAAATATTTGTACAGTTTGGCAATTGTATATGATATACAGATTTTGTTCTAAAATTCAAATTAATTTATTTGTAAATTTTCTTACTATTTACAAATACTTATTTATATATTTAAAGTTCTCGCTTACTATTATAAATTATTATTTTCGGTTCAATGAACAAGTTGACTGTTCCTTGACTTTTAAAAATAAAAAGTGCAGAGGGAAGATTTTTTTTTATTCTGAACTTCTGATACGGTAAATATATTTTGCTCCCTTTAAACAATAGTTCGTTAGCACGTCTAACAAGTTCGCCATGCTTGCTATTTTTCTTCGAAACAATTCAATGAGCTACTATGAAAAATTATCGTGGATAACTTGAGCTCCATACGAAGCGCCTACTTTTAATTTTTTGTGTACAGATAATAAAAAAATTAACAGTGATCTGAATCAGCAGCGCAAAAATACAGTTCATCGAATGCCAACATAGTCTAAGTATGCACAGTGATTTATCTACTGTATGGGCAGGGTGGACGGCGCCCACCCGAAAATAAACAGTTGATTTCATAAAAGTAACGAGTGGCCCATACAGAATGGTGGTCTCATCATTTACTCAATATCGTTTTTGCTCTTCATTGATTTGAACTGAACATTTTCCCAAAAGATTGAGCATTCAATTCTCTACAAACTCATGTGTAAAAGATTCTTTTAAACTACAAAACCGCTCGGTACTAAAACGACGAAAAAAGGTTAAAAGGTCGTCAACTTTCAAGCTCAACATACATTAACATTTGGAGTATGTTGCGACAGTTTATACGCAGGCTTAAGTTACGGGAGAAACATTTTCTGGTATTTTCAAGTACGCTCTTTTTGATATGTTTGAAAAACATTTCTTTAAAAGTGGTCTTCGCCTATTAAGTCGATATTTTCTGAAAAATCGTCCATAACACCTTAATTTCGGTTTACAAGAAAGTCTACGGCAAACGAAACTTTGCATCACTCGAACAAGTGTACAGGGGTGCAGTCGAGTATGTTGACTTTCAAAGAAAACAAAATATGTCAAAAAATAACACTTTTTAAAAGAATGACATGCGTTTTAGTGCAAGCATCAAAAACATGACATGACAGTTGTGTTTTTTAGAAAAAGCGAAAAAATTGATGCAGAATTTTTTACTCATTTTGTAATGAAAAATAAAATTGAAGACATGAATCTTGCCCAGAATCTGATGCTCTTTAACATGGTAGACCAAGTTTTTTTTGTAGATCCTCACATGGAAAGCAAATTTTCAAAAAAAACCGGATTTAGTGCTTGAAAGTTTAAGGTTTTTCGAACTTTTTTCTTCGTTTTAGTACTTAGCCATTTTGTAGTTTAAAAAATCTTTTACACGTGAGTTTGTAGAGAATTGGATGCTCAATCTTTTGGAAAAATGTTCAGTTCAAATCAATGAAGAGCAAAAACGATATTGAGTAAATAATGAGACCGCCATTCTTTATAGGCCACCCGTTACTATATGATAACAAATTTTCTAGCCAGCAGCCCCTCCAAAAATGAAACCTAGATAAAACACTGTCTATATGTACAGGAGGCTATTTACAAAGCATCTTTATGTGCATCAGCTTTAGCTTTATGAGCGTTTTCTCCAATTGTGTCACCAACTGCTGAAGAGCCAGCTCCCGCACGTTCAGCCAGTGCATTATCTGGATTTTGTGCTTGTTCCGTATGTTCGTTATAGGATTCAGCGGTGGCTGCTTCTTCAAACAAAACTAACAATATATTTTTAATTATTTCTATAGAAGTAAAAATAATACAAACCACAAACTTTTTCTGCAACATAATGATATGCATGCGATAGTGTATCACCAAGTTGACCGATGACACCTTTCACTTCGGTACCTTATTAGTATGCTTCTGTCTTTGTTTCATGGATCTTTTCATCGACTATAATAAATTCTACAGTATATTTCTACATGAAACAAGTACAAAAATACCTTTGTCGTTAGCAGCATCAATACCATGACCAATGCGACTATCTACTGATAAATTTTTGTTTTCATCAGCTTCTTTATTGGCAAGATGCGAATTAGAGCTTGATGCTTCTATGGAATAAAAGAATTCATATATCTATTGATAAATAAGTCATTATATATTTGCTAACCTTTTATTTTCCCGACGTATCATTATCTTTACTGTTTTCCATGATTCTTACTTGTGTTTAAGATTGACGAGTTACTTTAATTTGAAAATGAATGATGTCTTGCTGATGCTCGCATATAGTATAATCGCTTTCTAGAAATATTCTTCTCTCTAAGATAAAAATGAATGAATGACAGAAACTAGTATGTGATCTGGTAAGAGAAGCCAGAGAAAGAGAAGGCACTCAATGTTGATATGCACTATTGAAAGTGTGGATTTAAAAATTCCTTGGCAGAAGTAAATGTTGATATAAATGACAAAAATCGACTCACTGTAAATCTCTATTTTTATTTTTAGAAAAAAATGAGTTTCGTGCAATGAATGCCGCCACATTATTAACTGTCTAATATGTGATTGGGCAACTACTAAAAAACCAAACCAACTTCATTCTTTTATCGTTGCTCATTTGGTTAAAATTACATGTTGCTGATAGAAGCTAATTAATTGCAAACGAATTCACCAGAAACACATAATACAACGCTGGGTAACCGTAAAAGAAAAATCTGCATCGGTCTTTCGTGATACTTCATTATCGTCTGGGGTGAGATCTAGATCATAACTGCTTCTACTGAGATTGGCATCATATGAAGCATCATCTATGAGAATTAGACTGACGAAAAAACCTTGTAAACTCTAAAATTCAAGGAAAACATGAGTAAGCTTATTGAAAAAGCGTAGCTATTCAAGCATAGTTCTGATGCTGGCACTGTTTCGTCGGACGTTTGCACCAAACTGTGGAGACTAGGCCTTTTTTCGCACATCTACAACCATAGCAATTGCTTACAAACTTTCACAGGGTTGTTCATTGTTTTGATGAGTGCGAGTGGCTCAAAAATCTGACATGTTTTCAATTTCTGGGAGCGGTTAACCCCTCCCATCCTCTTCCCAACCGAGTAGCCTCCACTTTCCACACACTGACGAACGTGGATCCGACGGTATATAACTAATTGATAACTACTTCAATTGAATTTGACGCCAGCTGTTCGTGTACAATGATGATAAAAAGCACAAGTTCATGGCGATGCCATTTTTATCTTACACTGTTGCCAGTATATCGTACAGGATAGATGTCAACCAACCCATAAAACTCGTTAGTTTTACTCTGTCAGCGACTTTTGATTTGGAAATCAAATTGCATTTGTTACGAAGTCATTTTGAGTGAAGTGTGACTCAATACAAGCAAGTTTCACCTAAATGCATTACTGGATCTCGATTTCAACATATATTTAATGGCTCATGCATATGTGCTCACAGTCTACAAAGATAGACAAGAGATTCACAGCTGAATAGCAATCAATAATGCATTGCGTACACTTTTAAAAACACACGTGAGAGGTATATAGAGCTCAGAGTGATTTATCATAGCATAATAAGAGAAAAAAGAAGGAAACAGAAAAGGCTACGTACGGCTATATTTGCTTAGGATCATTGAGATCATATCAATGTAATGAATGAGTAACAACAGATAGATAAAATTTATTTAGTGTATTGATTAAATATAGACGCCAATTAATTTTTTTCTTAATCTACCATTTTGTGTTTCATTGTTACGCGGACGTACATGGATAGCGTAAAGTTCAGCGTGTATAGCTAAATGATTAAAAAGAAACAGCTAGAAGTTCATTTATGTTCGATAACAAAACATGAATAATGTACTTTCACCTTCATTAACAAAGCATTTTTTGTTATCGTAAAACACGAAGAAACGTTCTGGTTATTAATCGATCTCATTGCCAACTGATTTGTAATAAAAAGCTAAAATCAATATTTTGAAGATCTGTGATAATTCAAACGAGAGCATCAGTGAGATTTAGGACTTTTTCGATTGCTAAATCTTTGTTCTCCCTAGAAAAATTGCCATCACTGTCGATGGTGTCATTATTATTAATAATAAGAAGTGTTTTATTTGCAAAATTTATTATGACCATCGATTTGTCTTTTGTGTTATATTACTTTCTCATTCTCAGTAAAACGTCAACAAGTGTTTCTCCGAATAAAGTAGAACTAATGTTGTATTTGACTTTTTCCTATTTCGGTTTATTTTTTAAAGCGAACTGAATCTCCCTAATGGTGTCAGCTGCATTATCTTTTCTCGTGCTAAATGGTATTGATGTTCGTTTAGAATATCGACAGACAAATATTACAGTTTTTACTCGATTTATTGTTTCTTGTTCACACTCGCTTCATGGATTGTACTCGATCTCGAATTGCTTGTATCTGACTTCAAGTTGCGTTTATCTATCTAATAGTACTAGTTTCGTTTGATCTATTCGATAAAATAAGTTTTGGAGCTTCCGATTAACGATATCTAAAGTCTAATGTTCACAATTTAAAAAAGTACTCGGATCAATTTATACTAAACACCTATTTCGAACATTTCTGTATCAGAATTCAAGATAAAATCATCATTATTTTTAAACAAAGTATCAGCTGCAATTGAATTCATGTAAAATATTATATGTGCGACATGTTATAACCGAACAAAAAAAAACAGACTGAGGGGAAACTCTACTCATATGACAATTGGAATAGGAATTATTTTAAAATTAATATCTACAAATTTTGTTGAGAAGATGGCATTATAATGTACATTGTAATCGTCTTTATGTTCGATCGCATCTAAAATAAATGAATGTCTGAAGTGTGATTACGGTAAAGTTCAAGTATTTTGCTAGTTCAACTGATATTTATTTATTAGGATGAGGATATTTTTTAGAGCATTATTTAGTTCTAACAAAATGACCTAATTTATTCGCCCTTTCAATTGTATCCATATTTCGCAATTTTATGCTAAAATGAAAATTCAATTACGTAAAGAAATATGTCGTTCAAAGACAATACAATTTTCTATAACCGGTTCAGTTGTTAGAGAATTATTTTTGTTTTAAATTTGAATTGATCATTGATTTGCCTTACACTTCATTTGCTACTATTTCAACAATTTCTTTCATTCTAAAGGGAAATCGAAGATTTTGATAAAACTTAAATCAAACGAACTAAAAGTCGGTTTGCCATTCTCATCAATGCGAAAAAAGTGAATATATTCAAGATTTGTTTAAAAACATTTAGAAATTTAGAACTCTAACGTTAGTCACTTGTCGATATCTGGAGTGGTGGATCCAGAATGTCAAAGAAAGGAAAACCGTATGTCGAACAGAACGATACTCTTGTTTAAAAATTGCTTCTCAACGTTTTTTTGAGGAATTTTAACTACTTTCATTTTTATATCTTTTATGAAAAAGTGGAAAAACACTTCAAAACGAGGTGGCGATGGTCGGTTAGTCAAACAGTTGGATTCGTTAGTGGTTTTCTGAAGAAATAATGGATATTCAGCCGTCATTAATGTTTCCAAATAAGTGTTGGGGTTCATTTTAAATGAAACCCAATGCTCAATTATAGAGAACATTGATATGATGAAAACGTTCAACAATTCATGATTCATATGAGAAAGTCAAATTTTAATTCAACATATTAGGAAAGCATTTGCTTTCTGTAACCGTTCGTTCTGTTATAAGAAAAAGCAAAAAAACAAATACAATGAATACGAGAGATGTCAAATCGGTTGGTCCATCCAAGGATCAAATCTAATCCAAACTAGTAGCTTGAATAGGCTATTTAAAAAGATATAAGGCAAGCAATAAAGTATATTTTAACTTTCAATCAATTCATTTTTACACATTGGAGGTCGAGTTTGTAAATTTCTGTGCTGAAATTCGATGTTTACTCGGATCTTTATCACTTCAACGAAGCCAATCAAGTCGTACTTGAGTACGGAATTTCTCATGGCAATCATTAGAATTTTATAATTTGCTCCATACCTTATCTTGATCGATTTAGTCGAGAATTACAGTTTTCATCAACTTTCACTTTTCCTGTCTCAATTTATTAAGCTTTTCATTATTCTGCAACGATACTACTTTCATACGACCCTTGCTAGCGTTCTAAATTAGACTATGGTTCTAAGAAATCGTTAGATGCAATTCATACACTTGCTATTGTCTCACAAAAAATGACAGAAACTACTTCAGTTGTGCAACAGAAATTTGCCAATTGTTCCACGGGTGTTCCGGGACCATCGTTACGTATTTTTTCCAAAGCATTTCGAACTAATCACTCCTCAATATTATAAACAATATTCACATCAGTGTATTGACATTTTTGTTTGTTCTTGTATATAATAGAGAATACAAAAGTCACAATAACCAGATTTAGCAATTGTATTAGCTACTCAATGGATAGGGCTGAAACCCATCCACAGAGCAGTCACCTGAGCTTGAGTTAACCTAGCGATGAAAAAAAAGACGAACTCTGGCATATTTGATAAAAAATAATATTTGATGATACTTCTGAGTGCAGTTAGACAATGAAAGTTAGTCCTGATTATGTTCATGACATCAAGCGTTGCTTTATTATAGATATTAGTCATAAGCTTCTCATTTGGTATACTGTCTAAAAAAAATTTGATATATATTTTGATTTTTGTTACAACGCATTTTTTCCTTTTCTGTCTATGCAATAATAATTTTTTCTTATCGTAATTTTTATGATGTGCCAAAAATATGTCAATAAAGTCATGAAATCATTTTCGTATTGAGTGCAATAGTAAAACGTCAAGCACACAAAAGAGCACTTCAATAGATGAGTATACATCGAAGTAATTTGATTACACAATGAAAACTAACATCACATACAAAAAAGGTGATCACAAATTTAAGACACATTACTAAATTTTAAATGAAATTACCGATAAAGCACTATTGGGATCAAGTCTTAAGACATTATTTATGCAGAATTCTGTTGTTCAATTTCAAAGAAAAAATAGTAAAATTGGCTTTGTTAGTATTAAGATATTCAATAGTAGCACGAGCTCAAATGTTTTTATCGTTAAGTGAAAAACTGAAGCATAATCGTGTGCAGAAAGAGAAAATATAAGCCTATAGTTAAATCCTTTCACTAGTAACCATAATTTTCCCATGCCAATGACAGATTCAAAATTTCAACGAGAAGATAACAATTTTCAGGTAACCTATTTCGAAGTAATTCTAAAGAGAAATGACATAGTCTTGTGGTCTTTGATTGTCATTTTAAATTAATAGAAAAGTTCACTGAACAAATCTGATTTCAACACCTTCTAAATTGGTCTATATGATTTCTGTACGAGAGAATATGCCTGACTACTTACTGTGATGATGGCGAGGAGAATTCTGATCACGATGATATGAACCAGAACTATTACATCTAAGATTTTTACTTCATTTGAAAGATAACGGATATCATGATCATTGGAAACATTCTTATACATTGCTAATATTCATCTATTGGCGAGACACTTTCACAATTTTAGGGTTCAGTTTGCTCGTTGTACTGATTTATTAATTAAATTCCAAAATTTTTATCATGCCCTCTATCTGAGAAGAAGAAGTAGTGGCTGTCAAATCGCTGAAATGGTGCATTTCCCAGTGGCACCCACCCAGAGATCATAATGAAATCCATTGGTTCAATTTTACATCCAATAAAACAGTAGAATGATTTACCAGGAAAAAAGAAAAATAAGTAGTATTAGTCTTAAGTTTTAATTCAGTGCAATAATACATGGTATAAAGAATAAAGACTTTTCTTGATAAAATAAAACTTGATATTTTTACTATTTCGAATAGGCTACAACAGCAACTCAGATAAAACGACCCGCGCTCGGTGGTGCAGCTAAAAAACGAGCTGCCGGTTCTCGATCCGATTTAACTGAAGAACAAAAAGGAGAAATTCGCGAAGCTTTCGATTTATTCGATGCTGACGGCACAGGAAGCATTGATGTTAAAGAACTTAAAGTATGAAATTAATTTAAATCAAACGAATAAAAAATTACAAGAACTAAATTTATTATAGGTTGCAATGCGTGCATTAGGTTTCGAACCTAAAAAAGAAGAAATAAAAAAAATGTTAGCTGATATTCAAAAAGAAAATGCTGGTAAATGACAAAAAAATAGGTCAATATTTTTCTAAAAATGATAATAATCATTAGGTACGATTGATTTCAATGATTTCCTTCAATTAATGTCTCAAAGAATGGCAGAAAAAGATTCGAAAGAAGAAATTTTAAAAGCATTTCGGTAAGAATAATTGTTGGCTTATACATTTTTTCTTTATTTTCAATTTCTAGACTTTTTGATGATGATAGTACAGGAAGAATTTCATTTAAAAATTTAAAACGTGTCGCAAAAGAATTAGGTGAAAATTTAACCGAAGAAGAATTACAAGTAAGCTACTCTTTCACAGAATATTTTCTTTATGAGAAGCAAATTTTTGCTTTTTTTCGTCACAGGAAATGATTGACGAAGCGGATCGTGATGGAGATGGGGAAATAAACGAGCAAGAATTTTTACGAATCATGAAAAAAACGTCATTATATTAAATAGTCACATTTATTTATTGTGTTGTATATCAAATTATTTGTTGTCAGTTATTTTAATCGTTCCATTAAAGAAACAATAAAACTAATCAGAAAAAAGTATTCTATGATTTTTTGTCCCTTGATGTGTTCACACCCGCGTGTTATACACTCTATTATTTACCATATATTCACCTATGCGGAACGGTTTGCTGTGAAAGTATACAGAGGTAAAAATACTTTTCTGATTTTTTTTCATCATCAAGCCAACCAATCATTTGAAATGAGTATTCAATGAGAGAAACCATGTTTATTAGCGCTTCCTTGACTTATTAAAAGAAATAAGGTAGCTGTAAAGGTAAATTGTGATGACTAGTCGTTATTCACATCGGCAAACGAACGCTGATATATTTATAATTTTATATGTACGCGTAGAGAATACGTAATGGGCGGCCTTTTCAGTCGGTCATCACATCACGGAAAAAAATCAAAACGAAAAAAAGGGAAACATGCAGAATTAGAACAAACAAAAGAGTCGCCTGAACTCGATCGGTATAATTCGCAAAATGATACTGAACAAAACATAACAGATAGGAACATAGCTAATGGATATGAAGATTGGAATAAACAAATCGATCATCAACAGATAACAAAATATAATGGTAAACTTTAACTATCACAATCAAATAGAAAATTTGATAGAAAAAATATGATACATATATTTGTTTTTACCGATAGATCCTCCGGGTGCACCAAGTACTTATGCGAATAACTATCCGATGCTTCAAAATGACATGATGAATCAATCATGGGCATCACATCATGATGTAAATAATCAATATTACCCAATGAATCCACTTACAATGTCATCATCTAATATGCCATATGATCCTCAGCAATATATTTCCAATCAAATGCACAGTTCATCTATGAAGCAAGCTCAATCAATGTTGCCTGATGAAAGATCGTCGAAAAAAGTACAATTTGCTCGTACAGTTCAACAAGGACCGCCATCGAAAACTCCTTTGAGTAGTACACAATCATGGCATGAACCCAGTGCTACAACTAATGATTTATCTGTTTTAATGTCAAACCAGGACTCTATATTAACGAGACAAAGTGTGCACCGATCAGTTCAATCTACATCGAATACATCACCAGCTCAAGCAGCTGTAGAAAAACCTATTTATGTTGGTATTGATCATAGAGCAACGTTAGCTGAACGTATTCAACGAAATGCAAGTAAACGTCAACATACAAATGGAGATAAAAATAATATCGATATATCGAATTCAAGTACAAGTAATCACCGAACACATTCTCATGCACATCATCAACATAAACATCAAGACTCCAATGATTCATCGACTTCTAAAGTCAATAATCAATCGAATAAAATGTCAGGCCCTTTACAAGCTAGATTATCTAATAACCATCGTTCAGGAACGACAACAATGCCATCAGCAGCACCTAACCGATCAGTACACCATAGTGAGCAGCCTATTATCAATGAAAATGACACAAAACTAACAAAAAGACAACAGCATCGTCAAGCACATGTGCAATCAGCTGAACATCAATTACTTGTTGATAACGAAATAAAGTCATCAAGACAACGAGGAGGAGCAGGTCAATCACAACCACAGAAGCAACCATTAAATCAGCTTATTAATCGAAATAATTCACCTGCACGAGCAGATACAACGCGACGAACCGAAAATAAACAAGAACCTATGCCTATCGCGAGAATTTCTCTATCATCGCAACCTCAACAACGACTTACTCAACGGCAAAAACATAAAATCTCAATGCCTCCAATAGCAACTACTTCAATAAGTGCTACTCGAGCACGTGTATAAACTTCAACTTGAAATAAAAGAAAATGTTTTTCTTTTTTGTTACAATTTATTTAAAAAAGAAAAAAATGTTTCTTTTTATGCATAATCATTTTCATAGTTTTTCCCAACCATCCAACAGTGGTTTAATATATAATTGGTCTTTTTCAGTGTTATCCGTATCTTTGCAATGAACTTCCCATTTTCGATTATCTCCTTTATTCATCATAACTAATCGATTTTGTATTTTACTATCAAAATCTTTTAATGTTTGATTTGTTGATAGAACAGGAGTTGTAAATGATGCGTCTAATGGATAATGCTCATCGCCAGGCATAAGTAACACCATTGCTTCTGGTAGTTTATAACATATGCCTAAGATTCGTTGAATATGATGTTTAGAATCATTATCACATTTTGATAGAAATTCAATTAAATCTGATAGTTTTCGAAAATTTCCTAGACGAGCTAATTCGTAGATTTGTGGTGGCAAAAAGCTTATTGAATTTTCACGATATTTTCTCACTGCAATATCAGGTTCTAACCACTAGAAAGTAAAATTAAGCTTTATTCGATAGATAAAATCAATTAATAAACATACATCAGCAGAAACTGTTTCATGATCATCATGAGCAATTGAACATGGATATGTGTTTGGTAATGTTACTATATAGAAAATAGTATCAAAACGTACTTTTGCTATCGCAGCAGCCAAATATTGACTCCATTCGAACAATGAATGAACAGCAGGTTCAATGTCGATTTCTTTGCACATAACAATAAACTGTGATGCATCATGACGAATTCTATCACGCCATTTATTGATGAGTTCGTTTGATAGATTTAACATGGAAGAGTGTCTACTTAAAGAAGTCTCATGATGAATAGATAAAGAAAACATAATAGATTGCTTTACTCAGAATTAGATGATGTACGTGATTTCGCAAGTAGAAGACCAGTCTCTTCGAATGTTTCACGAATAGCACAAAGACGAAAAACAAGACCAGGATAAGGATGATCAACATCTTTATAAATATCAGCTTTTCTCTTAGAAAATCGATCAATATTGATCGAAGACGAAAGATATTTAGGCCATTCCAATGATAAATCACATTGATCAAGTTTACCACCGGGAAATCTGCAATACATACATGAAAATACCAGTCCTAACAATTGTTTAATAGTGTCGAAATTCTTTGAAATAGGATAAACACTTTCTGACTTTTTAGCCTAGTTTTAGAGCCTCCAACAAACTACATATCCAAGAAAAATTTATCAGATTTCTGTTGATTATATCTTTGCTACGGTTGTTTTTTATCAAAAAAAAATTATCTTGTTTATGAGAAAAAGTGAAAATGATGAGCAATTAAGCAGCCATTGATAATGAATAATCACCTGTCCAGGGTTAGTTTATTTTTGAATCAACATGATAAATTGATATGCTCGTCGCGCTAAAACGTCTCAGAAACTTAATACCCAATGAAAAAAAAAAACATTTTTCGATCATTTTTGAATATCTTCTTATTGACAAAAAGAAATAGAAAATTACTGTTTTTTCTTAGGATCTTCTTTTTTTTATGATATTTCAATCATAGAAATATTTAATTTCAAATCCGAATCACCAAAAAACTATTCTCCATAATGTAGAATGAAATGATATTATCCATTGAAGATCGGCTTTTTGAATTAAATAAAGACGCTTTTACAATTATTTGGCTATATGCCAGCGTCATATGACAGTAGTATGCTTCATACACTAGACTGGAAAATCGCCCCACATTTTCATACAAAAAAAAAGGAAACTACAATACATCGACAGCTATGATGAGTATAATTTTTGTCATACCATACCAATGAGTCATTGCTGAATCGTGCGATGAAAAATTAATTATACTTTATCATAATACAAATAAACCGCAGTCATAATTAATCATTACTCAAACTTTTCTCATGGTTCATACAAAATTAATTCTATTAGCTGTACGATAGGAATTAAATTATCTCTATATATTGATTCGAATAGATAAAATTATTTGATATTCAAGCAGGTTTTGATACTAAGTTAGCTATTATTTGAAGCAACAATTATTATCTGTAATCTTACGCTGAAATATTCGGTGCGAAACGCATGTTGGGTGAACGTTTTAAGAATAATGTTGAATAATCAAATAGACTTTGGCCATGTATATTATTGATTTGTTTTTTACCCATTAGTATTAATGAAGCGGATTGACGCCATGGAACCATAACTGTGGCTGTGTGCTTTTTTTTGGTGTAAAGTCTTTTTATAAGTTTAAAATTTATATATGATCCCAAACAAAAAAAAAGACCAAATACAGTTTATATATTAAAAAAAGAGGAAGAGCAAAGAACAAAAAGTTAAACTTTTCCATAATTGTGTATTGGTTATATTGGCTTTTTCTTTTTTTTTCTTTTTTTTTGTTGACAAAATACAAACTAAAGCATTCCAAATGCACACACAAGCATGCAAAGCAGATAACAAACGGAAAAAAAAGGAAAATTACTAAAACTAGCAGAAGAATAATTTTTGTACAGAAAAGAAAAAAACAAAAAGGCAAGTTTTAAATTCAAGTTCGCTTTATTCACGATTGCACTAATATTTAACATAATAAAAAAACAACTGAACTTATGTACTTTCATTCGAATCTTGTTCATTATGGCCATATTTAGCTAAGCGTATGGCTTTAAGACGATTGCGTGCTTCATCTAATTCACGTTCTTTGGTTAAAATAGCTTCTTTACATTTGATTTCTTGTGCAATACCCGGTACAACACGTAATGAGACTTCAAAATATTTATCTTCATGTTGCATTTCAACAGCACGTTGAGCAGATCGTACGAGAGCATCAGCGGCACGTTTTACAGCGTTACCAGCTGTTTGTAAACGTGCCATTGATTGACTCATAAAGTCGGCTTTCACTTTACAAGAAACAAGTAATGCTGCTGTATTTGAACTAACTTGTTTAGCACTTGATATTAATTTTTCTTCTGTACCATAACCATGAACAAGTCCATTTGCAGCATCACACAATACATGACATGCAGATGCAACGTAACGTGCCTATAAATAAAGAATGTTAATGAGAAGAAAACAATAAAGAAATGTTACCGCTGATATTAATCCTTGAGACCATTGGCCATCTTCTTCAGAAGCTGATTTTGAAAGCTAGAATACGGTCAACACATTTATTTACTTTTTTCAAATAAATAAGATAACATTACAATTAGTAGTTACATCGACTGTTAGCTATTAAGCATGCATTTCGTTAGTCAAAAAGTTTCTGTTTAGATGGAATCGAAAACAAAAGCGTATCGAATCTGAGCATCACAAGCGAATGAAAGTGAATTAAGTTCTTTTTTTTTTAATTTTATTAATTATAAGTAAATATAAGCTCATGTACCTAGCCAATACCAAATTTCAATAATCATCAGTGTCTTTCAAATTAATTGTCCGGTACAATAGCAAGAGTCGACATTGTTGTAATATCCTAGCAAAAGTTTTCAGTCATAGTAAACTTTCATTTATATTTAGTGTTATTTGATAAATATCAATAATTTTACATTTCATCTATGGTAGCTTTATATTTCATATATCATAAATCAATCAGGGTTCGACAGAGTGCAATCAAAAGTATGAGCCAATATGAAAAAAAGCTCAATTGATACGATTAAGATCCAGGTCCACTAGGGTATTCTCATGTCAACAGTCTTTTCTAATTTTATTTTATTTCCTAGATATATTAATCAATACTATAAGCAGGAATCAACAATTAATTCAACAGCTTTTTATTATCTACTTCCGGGAAAATGTCTATTCGAATGATTGTACAAGCATGAAAATTGAATACTATTTTAATATATATTGAAAGCACATTTTTCCCCCCGAAAAGAAGAATAATTTAAACGTATACATATATACATCCTACATAAAACTATAGGATGATCTAAATTTGTGTACCAAAAGAAGCCCACAAATAAACGAATAATAATCTACGTGCAATAGACAATCTAAGTAGCTACGTACGACGAGAAGAACAACATTAATATATATTTCAATAATGTTATACCTGTGCAGGCGATGTGCTTTTATTGATGGTAGGCACTGGGAAAACATTTTTAGGCAAAAATGGATTCGTGCGTTTCTAAAATATTTTTCATCGCTATTTTATTCTAATCATAACAATTCGCATTTTCATTATCAATAAAGCTCTATTACTAATATGGAATGAGAATTGAGTTGAGACGTCTAATAGGACTAATTTTTTACTTACTTTTACTTGTGAAGCAATTTCTTTTTGTGCTGATGTTGCTGCACTAATTAATGCACCAGCTGCATTCGTTATTGATTTAGCTGCTTCAAGTATTTGCTCGTCAAAATTAAGATTTTCATCTATTTCCTATATACATATGGGAAAATAAAAAAAAAACACGGATTTATTTTTAATAATAAAAATAATATCATCATACTCCATCACAAATACAAAATCAAGCAATTCGTCGGGAGCTCATCAGCATGATTTGAAACTTATTGAATAACAGTCAAACATTTATATATGTGTTGATATGCTGATCTAGGTATTAGGAAAAGCCCTCAAGAAACAAATTAATAGCTAGTGTGATCAAGGTTGCCACATTAAACAAATACGAAATTTTTCTTTATTTACTTTTCGTTTTACTCAAGTGACAAACCTTGATCACAATAGCTATTTATTTACTTCAATAAGGTTTCAAAATATCTAAGAGTCAGTACACTCACACGCATACAATGTCGTCACTCTTACTCAGTAAGTTTCAATCAGACTGACGAAAAATATAAACTAAAATAAAATATGATGTGAAAATAAAAGAATTAGGTAAATTGTGCTGATACGAGCAATACTCGGTTGAATCATGCATCAACAACCAAATATCAAACATATCATGACAACAAGCCTCTTATCTATATAGATATTGCGTGCAATAAAAGAAAAATAAGAAGAAAACTTTTGTTTTATTGTTCTTTACGTTCTTACCTTAGGTTTACGACGTGGCTTAAGAGCTGATAATTTTTTCGCCGCCGCTTCGATTGATTGAGCAGCATTAAATAATTCATTTTCAGCAATATATGTTGGATCATCTGGATCAATAAAATCAGCACCTATTGAAAAAAAAATATATTTATACAATAAAATATTGATTAATTTACCTTTCAGTTGTTTCGCACATTGAACAAGTTCTTGTGTTGATTGAGCAATCATTCGTGAATAATTAAGTAATTTTTGTTTTGTTTCATTCGATGATTTTTGTATTAATATATGTATTGTTTCTAATAATTCTTTGTAATATTTAATACATAATCGTCCACTATCTAATGTACGTTGTTGCAATATTTTATCATCGGTTATGTATGCACTTGATTTACAAACAAATAAAAAGTCTGATACCGATTTACGGCCTAAATTAGCTGCAGCTATAATATCATCTTGTCGACACGATTGGCCTGCTGCTACTGCCTTAGCGGTTGCCATAGTAATCTAGCAAAAGCAACACATAAAAAATAATAAAAAACAAAGAAAAGATTGTGTTTATTTTTATTTCGTACTTGTTTTGTAACACGAATTAATTCTTCAGGTGTTGTTTGATTTGTTGGTATTTGCCCATTATTAAATAATCGAAGTTCTTGCGCAATTGATTCAATAGTTGCCTCAAGTGCATTGGTTCCACGTTGAGCTTCATCTTCAACGGACTTTACCGTACGCAATAATGATGTAACATTTGTCACCATAATTTTAGCACTTTCTTTTAATTTTTGCATTTCAGGATCATCGATACTTTTACCACTAGCAGATTTAGTCACACTAATTAAATTATTTAGTGCTAAAGCGACGTCTTTAACACTATTGATAAGCATAACTTGAGCTTCGCCATCGTCAGCACCTAACGATGCTGCACCCAACTTCACAACTTCAGCAAGCTGAAATAGAAAAGGGCTTTCATGCTCGATTGTGTTTTCCCCTATTTACTTAGCGATAAAATCGATTGGTTATATAAATACCCAATAGGCAAAAACCGAGTTGTTATTTATTTCGTCTGTTCTTTCTTCATACTTTAACTATGAGTAAGATATCTCATACAAAAATGGGTCATGGGGAAATTTCACTAGAGGAAGTAAAAGTCGAGTGAATCTATTTCTAGAACAATCTAGATATTTTTATAGAAAGAAATTGAATTCATTTGTTTATGACTACTCTATTGTTCGTTGAAAGTTTAAATTTCTTTCTAATAACACAGATATTGTATTACTAGTTTGTTTTAGTAGATACGTCATAATAGAAATGAATAATAGTTGTTGGTCTCCTTCGACGTCTTACCTTAGTAATCGTTCGTACAGCTGCTTGAGCTGCTGACGCTAATTGTTCTTGTGATGATGCTGCGCCAGCTACTAATGTTTTTGTATCTTCAACAAGTGCTTTCGCCGTCTTTAGAATAGCTTCACGATGATCAGCAAATGTTTCACCATCTTGCTCAGCATTTAATGTGCCAGCAGTAGCAAATAATATTGTTGTATCCTTTATTTATTAAGATTGAATATTATAAATAGACAAATAGCGGGGGGAAAAATAAAAAATTCTTACTAGATCAGCAATAATTCCACTAACTGTACTTGCAGCATTAATACAAGCTTGTGTTCCACGTGCACTTGTTTGTAAAGCAGCCAATACATATGAAATCTAGACAAAAAATAAAGTTATAGTCACTAGTAAATAAAATATATTATATTCAAATTACTTTTTCGATAACTTTTTGACATAAATTTTCTACCGTATGTTTCAAATTATAATCATGATTATTTTGTTGATATAAACCTAATTTTTCAATTAATTCAATGCATGTTAAGCCTAAATCGGCTACAACACTTTTAATACGTGTTGCTAAATCATTCGTTACTGCTGTACCAATCGCACCATATGTTGCATTGATTAATTCATTATATTCTCGTGTTAATTGATTAGCTAAATGGCGAATGTTTTCTGTATGACTCGTTTGCGTTAAAATGTCTTGCGTTGTTCGTGCCATTTGTCTTAGAATTTCAACCATACACGTTTGATAATCAGAAAAATGACCTTGATTTGCTAACATAGTCGTATCTAATGTTGATATTAATGTACGAATATTTTCACTTAAACCACTCATTATACCAATTGACGATGATTGATCTTCAAGTGTATGCACTAATTTGTGAATTGATTTTGTTAATAATTCACTATTATCATCAACTACTTTATGCCATTGAGTATTTTTTATATTTCCGCCTGATTCTTTTGTACCGATAATTAATTGTAAACTTGTTTCAACAATGGATTTAACTTGGTCTAAAATAAGACATTTTTCTCGTTTATGAATCATACATGAAACATAGTCGATTGTATGATGCACAAATGGTTCGATATAAGTAACAAATTGAGTAACATAGGAACCAATACGTTCAGCATCACGTTTCGTTGATTGACGAATATCGAGAGTTAATTCAGATATAAAATGAGCAGTCGAAGAAATTTGTTCTTGATGAAACTATAGAAGAAATTAAGAATATTTTCTCTTGTCTCTCAATGTTATAAAAATCAGCAAAGTTCTATTCAAGAAAAAAAAATAGAATTATACCTGAAGAGATTTATCCGTTTTACGTAGTGTTTCAACATTTGTAAAAGCTTTATCAACTTCTGAGTATAATGTGCGAAGTTCTTGAATGGCATGATCACATTCACGTTGTCCAGGTGCCATTTCTCTATTTAAAAATAAATAAATTCAAAGGTTTATTTTTCAAAAAAAAACAAAACAAAACTACTGAAGTTCTACATACTTCACTGATGTTGCTAAACGTTTAATTGACTCTGACACATTCTTTGTATGTCCAGCAAGTTGTTGCCATTGTGCTGGTTCTTTTGCGTTAACTATTAAATTTTTCGAACAATCAACGATACGACATGCGCCATCAACAACCTGTCGTGCGGCTGCTAAAACAGGTTCTTGTAATTGACGTCCCTAATAATTAAGAAATGGAAGACAATCAGTTAATTAATGACGAAAATAAAAGTCATACTGTAGAACTAATTAATGCTGGTACACTAGCAAACTCTCGTGACATAGCATATGTATAGAGTTCATCGATAGATTGAAGTAATGGACGACTTGTTTCAATGCATCGACGATGATTTTCTGGTGTATATGAACTATCTAATACCTAAACATCATATGTTTATAAGAGACATGAATAGGTTTTGTTGCTGGAGTAAAAACAAACTTTTATAGTTCGAACAAGTTCAGCTGTACCATTTGCAACATCTTTAGCTGACTCAACAAAACGTCGTCGAGCTATTGGATTTGTTGTATTCGATGATGCATCGCGTGCTGCATTGCATAAAACAGAAGTGTTTTTCGCGATTTTCGTTGCTAACGGTAGAATCTATTTAAAAGAAGAAAAAAACCCAGTGACTATCGAACATGATGATTCATATGTTGTTTTGGAATAGGAGAGAGCATAAAAATATATGTCGACAATATTCATGGTTCTCATCGAATCTTAAATAAATATTTACTTCTTTCCGATCAATATTTGTATTCGATAAATCTGCGCATGCATGTCGAATAATTGTAACTGAACGAGTAAATAACGGCTGATCAACAATGGCTGAAGATCCTTTAGTTGATGTTGCTTCAGAAATTCCAATAAGATAACTAGCCTATAATATTTAGAAAACGAACAATAGAACGAAAATATAAAAGTGAATAAGATCAGTTTACTTGTGCTGATGATTCTGCTAAAGAACAAACAGCTTTTGATGCATCTTGTACAGCTTGTGAAAATAATTGATGATTCGTATTTTTCGATGCACTAGCTATATGTGTCATAGCTTCACCTAATCGTTTGGAATTATCAATAACATGATCCAGCGCTTCATAATATGTATATTTATTCGATGGTTGTAAAATGCATTGTTGTAAAAATGTTTTTGATGCTTCCATTTCACGTATAGCATTATCACATTCAAGACGACCAATGGATGTTTCGGATTTTGGTTTCGATGTCACACATACAGTTATAACATGATTAATATTATCTGTAACAACTCTAGCTGCGTTTGTTAACTGTTGATTATTTTCACTTGTTATTGTTGCTCTCGGTTCAACAGATATTGATTTAGCTTTTTCTAATAACTGATTTGATGATGCATGAACATTTTTTAATGATATTATAAAATTTGTACGTTTTTCATCTTCCGGTTGATGATTAGCTAATTCGACGCCACTATTAATAAATTCTCCAAAAGTACGTGTAAAACGTGTTGTTGTTTTAGCTAAATCTTGTGTTAAACCTGAACGCGTACTAATAACTAAATCGGTCGTAGCTTGATTAAGATTAGCTGCAGTATTTGTTATTTCATTTTGTTTTGTTTCCAAGTTAATGGTGGTTTGAACTTTATTCTTGTCAAATGGACCACCCAATATATAGACATATTCTGACACTTGTTTAATAGCGTCATCGAGATAACGTTGAGATGGCATACTTGAAATACATGCACTTAATGCAGATGATACTTCACGTGCTATTTCAGCAAGTTTATTCTGTATTTCAAGATCGTTTGGTGTATGTATTGCTTTTTTAGCTTCACGAACAAGACGTGTTGAACGTTCAAGAACTTCATGTGAACGTTCAATAATCGATTCTCGAGTTTGATGATCATTCGATGTAGCAGCTATGCCACGAGTTGAATTTGTTAATTTACGAAGTGTTTGAAGAATTTCGCGTGTGCATGATTCAACAGTTTTTTCATCATTCTAAAATGGAAAGATAACAAACGAGAAGAACAAAACAAATAGATAACGTACTTGAGTAACAGCGCTTAGTAGTTGAGATATGATTGTATTAACGTGTTTACAAACGGAACATAATTGAGCGGATGATGTATCAATCTAAATTAAGAACAAAATCAAAAAGAAAATATTCAGCACTACTTCGAATTTAGAAAATTTACTGTTTCATCAGGTTTAGCACGTAGATGTCCATCTTTTGCTTGCCGTTTTGTTTCTTCTAATTCTCTATCGAGTATTTGAATTGATTCAACAATTGATTCAACATCAAGTGGCATTGAACCACATAATTCTTGAGCCTAATTTAAAAAAAAAAGAAGAAATTCTTCTTCTATGCAAAGACTTTTTATCATCTTACTCGTGCAACACAGGCACGTAGATCAATTAATGATTGTGTTAATTGTTTTGAACTATTATTTAAATGAAGTGCTTGTGATTGATCATGAACTGTTGGCACAGATGCTTTAGCCAAATTAGCTAAACGTGTTGCTGGACCAATAAAATCGTCACATGCATATAATAGATTCGCTTGAGATGAAAATGAATCCGGTTTAACCATACAACCACGAATACCCTGAACGACTTTTGGTATAAGATCAGCAACAACTTTACATTGTTCAACAAGTTGTTGATGAGATTGTTGATTTTTATTTGTTGTTGCCGAACCTGACGTTGCAGCGATGCATTGTGTTGCGCATGCTGCACACTGTTTGGCACATTGTTCAACACGTTTAAGTACTCGTCGTTTTATACTATTACTTGTTGCAATATTTGTAGCGGATCTGTAAAAAAAAAGAGAAAGAAAAGAAGATTTTAATTGGTATTTATAATTTTTTTCCATATACAACGGCTAGAAAGATTATTCGACAGAGCTTATTTCCACGGATTAGAATTTGTAAATATTGTTGACTGTAGATTAGACGAACTAATTCGATACACGAATCTATGTGATTGTAGTATCTTCGAGTTCTAAATAATTCACTTTCAATTGCTATAAAGTGCATGTGAAAAAGGTTAAGCGAATAGGTGCTAATGAAGTCGTGTTTTAGAAATTAACTCTAAATTCATCTTTTTATAGTAACTATAGATTGATAGAGAAAAGAGTTCTTCACTATCAGACTAACCATTGAATATATATATATATATATATTCTATTTTCTTACCGAAGTTCTTCAGCAGCTTTTTTCAATTGATATTGAAGTTCAGTATCATTGGGTTTCATTGCGCAGCCTTTGGCTGATTCAACCATTTTAGCGGTTGCATCAGCAAGCAGTTTTGCTGCTGATAATAATTTCTTTTGTTGATTTGTATCATCACCAGCCAATTCAGCCTGTTGTCTCAATGATGAAACAAGTTGGGCTGTTGCTTGTGCTAAAATTTTCGCTTGTTTAACCATTTCAACAGCATCACCAACCGATGAAAATAGTCGATCGCTTGTTGTTAAAATTTTATCAATGGATTGATCATGATGTTTAACAATATCAAGAATTTCTTCATCAATTTCTTCGTCTTCTTCTTCAATTTCATCATTGGCAATTATTCGACGCGTAATAGTTGTTGTTGTTGTTGTTGTTGTTTTATTTGTTAGTCCATCTGCTTCAATAAGTTTTGTATCATTCGTATAAGAAGGATATAGACCATCGGAATTCGCAGCCGTACTATCGGTTACTAATTTGATATGAAGTAAAAATTCGTTGAGACTTTTACGAACTGTTGTTGCAGCTTCGGTTAATTTCGAATATAATTCATCGTTAATTAACGGTGGTGTACACGATTGAAGAACACATTCAATTGAACGTGTTACACTACGAGCAGATTCTATTAGTTGTTCTTGACACAAAGAACTTGATATAGTTGCAGCGACAACCTAAAATAGAATATGTTACAAAAAGGTGGTTCTTACGGGGAAAAAAAGAAAACGATCTTACTTTAGTACATGCAACTAATTGAGATGTAGCTAAAGCACATTGTGTAGCTGTTGAAATAATATTATTAACAGTATTTTGTTCTTGTACATTAGTTGCAATATCTTTAGCTTTGAGTACATATGCTGCTGTTGTATTTGCAACTAATTTTGCTAATAATAATAATTTTTCTTGATATTCAATTGAAGAATCAAAATAGTTTGTTGTTATTTCATTAGCTAAACGACGAACAAGATCTTGACTTATTTCACCTAGACGACTAGCGGTTAATAATATATTTTGTCTTATGGATGGATCGAAATTATTGTCGGATAATGCTTCAATATGTGTTAATAAATCATTAAATATTGAACATAAACGATTTGTTTGTTCCATCAAATTTGTTTGATCATTGATTAAATTTGTATAAACATCCATTTCTTTACAAAACTCATTTAAATTATTTGTTATTGTTGAGATAGCTGCACCAAGTGAATGATTATAGTCGGAATTACGACGATTGGTTTGTTGATTAGTATTGATATCAGATGTTAATATAACAATTTGTGCTGTCGAAGCATTTATCGCTGATAGTTCACTGGTTAACAATTGATGACTGACATCAAGACGATCTTCAATTGAGTATTCTTGTTGAGTATCCTAAATAGGAGAAAAAGAAAAGAAAAAAATTCTATTGTCAAAATAAAATGATCAAACAAACAATTAAAGATGACAACGGAGGTTGAGCATATTCCATTTGCAATTCATGTGCTAATTGAGATTGAGCAGAATTAACTGTATTGCGAGCATTTTCAATTGATGAATATAAGACTGTACCACTCGTACCACTATGTAAAATAGTTGATAATGGTGGTTGTTCCTTTAGGAATTATAGAAATAAATAATGGCTACAACAAAATTTGTCTTTTTCTTTTACATGTATTTGTGAACTAAAATATTCTTCTTGTTCCTGATCAGAATACATGGGATATGGTTGACTGGGATAATATTCTGGTCCATAATGTTGATATTGAGAATGACCGGTGCCATCTGAAAGTAAGAAATAGTTATCAGGTAAGAGGCCAACATTATTCTGGGTATTTTCGAACGCTATCTTGATTCATGATAAAACGGACGTTAGATTTTATCAAGTTTAAACAAAAAGAATCTATATATATATCAAAGTTGACTCATCATATCTATATAAAAAAAATATAAATTTGTATTCACACGTCTCATGTCTATAAAGTACTCATAATCTTAGATCTATGTTGAAACTATTCAAATCCGTAAAGGATATGAAAGAAAACAAAATTAACTTTGCCCATAAATGTACCAGCAGTTTTTTTTACAAACGCTGAACATACTACTACTAGTATTGATGTGAAATCGATTGTTGGAAAAGAAGAGGTCGCTGAAATAGAATGGTTGAAGTGCTCTTCGATTAGTTCCGGTAGGAAACGTGACGATTGTCTGATTGTCAGGTTGTTCGATTTTCATTCAAATTTCCTCGCCGCTATTTCTCGTGAGAATTGCTCTATTCTTTTTTCTTTGCTCCGTAAATCTTTTTTTTATTGATGCTCTAGATTACTATATAATGATTATTTCCTTATTTGTTTTCAACATTTTTCCTTTCTGTTTATTTTTCATCGTACCCTAATGGAAGCTTTTATATTAAGCTTTTCTCTGGTTGTTACATCACTAGTAACTATGTTGATCCTATCAGAATTTGTACCACTACGCTCACTCATGTAAAAATAGACTTCACTCTATTAATCTTAGTAGTTTCAGCATGGTGCTGATAAGTTAAGACTACATGCTGTGCGTCATATGATTTGTTACTATCTATATTTATAGTAAAGAATACAATATGTTGATAAGAAAACTCTCAACTGTGTAGATCTTTGCCAAAATATAATTATCCAACATAAGAACGAATAATTGGAAAATAAATTATGTGTTTATTTTTACATAATAAAATGCATTATTTACCCGAATATGTTCCACGCATCAATGGTGGTGAATAAACATTTTGTTGATGAACATAACCAAATGATGGACAGTTAGGTTGAATAATAGTCGCTCTATGAAAAGCGAACAGGTTATTATTCTTTCGTCTAATAATAAAGATAATAAAGGCATCTTACTTTCCCGGTGAGATAGTATCTTCAATCAATGTTGCTTCTTCATCAGCCATACCCTCACGCATAGCAATGTCTTGGTCTTTTTTCTGAACGAAGAAGAGAAGGGTATAAAAAGAAATGCTTCATAGTCTTTTAACGAAGTTTATAAAAACAAACCTTTTTCAAGATAATATCAATATATCCAGCAATTAATTGAGATATCTGTTGACCTTCATGTGTCTGTACTGAATAGTAAGCAGTAGCATAGTCTCCAAAATCCTTAAAACAGATACTTGAAAAGGATTGTTTTATACTATAAAACTTTTATTTACAAGCGTAAACGTATTGGGCGATGCTGTCCATCGTTTCACATGGGTTAAAGGCCATACTTCAAGAAACTAAAAAAGAGAAAAGAATAGCAATAATTCTATTCATATTTATGTGTATATATTTACATCTTTTGTTCGTTCATCAACTCGAACAATAGATTCTTTTGTGACACCCAGCAGACGTGGAACAAGTTTATTTTTGCCCGACATTTTTTCCTAATAAAAATAAAACAAAAATTGGTTATATAATTATCATTTCAAATCATTTTTGTTACTTTAACGAGGAAAAAAGTTACACCATATGTTCGTAATGATCGACATAATTGCGTATATTTTAATTTAGCATCAAGTTCTGATGCACCCTGATATTTTTTATGTTGCTAAAAAAAAAAGAAAAAGAAATCAATGGAAAATCGAAACAAATTTTTTAACAAAATTTACTTGAAATATTCTCTTTTCAACACCTTTTGTTTTTGTATATTCTTTTGGTAAAAATTCTCGAACACTAAAAATAAACACGAATTTTTATCAAAATCTATTTTAACACGAAAATTTAGTTTCGTTTTTTTTGTTTGTTTGCAACGTTCAAGCTAGGAAATAAGGGTGAAGGTAAAAATTTAAGTACTGGAGAATTGTTTTGCTTTTTTTTATTTGAATAGTAACAACTAGATTAAATTAGAAAGAAAAATCTTTGAATAGTTGAAATGATTCACAATTATGAGAAATAGTTTTCCCGTTCGTGTCTATCCATATGAATGAAATATTTTTAGGAAAAAAAAACTAATTTTTTTGAACTGGTCAAAAGCGCCTTGTCAACGCGACCATTTAATGCCGGCAACACTATTGAATACAATAGAATGTCCTCGACCTATCCTTGCCGAAGGACAACGATAGTATGATAGAAATAATAGGCTACCACGTCTCCATTTAATTGATGCATTTGCAAGATATGTTTAATGACATCCAGAAAATCGATTTTCTCGATTACGTTCCTTTCAAAACTGTTAATGAGATTTTTGAGAAATACTCCTTATAGTACATAATTGTTACGGTTACTGAGATAGCTTCTATAATTTATTCTAGTTGTTACTATTACGAAAAGAAAATTAGAAATATGGGAATTTTTTCTTCATTCGTCTGTACATTAAATATTGAAATACAATCGCTCGTGTAAAGAAAATCGGTACACAAACTGCGCTGAGTGAATGTGATCAAAAGTTAGTAAATGATGAATTTATTTGAACTTTCCTATCACATTGCAGAGAAAGAGATCACAAGCAATGAAGTATGTATGTATGGAAACAAAGAATTCGTGCAAAGAAAAAAAGGTTGTTTTGGTTTATTTCAGCCACAAGTAGTTTTTTTTTTTCTTGCATTAGATTTTTTTTACCACAAATCCAATCGATAATAAGTTTCATTCGACGAACATTTATTACAACAACTATTATGTACAGATATGCAAGATTAAGTGTTATTTTCTTCTTCGTAATCTTTTAGATTTAAATAGAAAATAATATTTTTTCTTCTTCTTCTTCTTACTCAAGGATACTTGGTTTATGTTTTGATTCTTGATAATCACCAAATTGTATTTGACATTGCAAGCCAGCAAATTGAATAGCCTCATCATATGTAACTGGATGTGTTCCATCGATAATTCCATTTCGACACTGAAAATAGAAGATAATTAAAATGATTTCGTTTGTTTATTTATTTTAAATATTCTTCTTACTTGAACATAAAGTAAATTTAATTGAACAGGATCTCGCTGATCAATATTTGTATCAGAACAGAAATATTTTCGTCGTAAAATAACTGTTGATTGTTCATGAATATCTTGTTGACGAAGTGTTTTCGAGTGGTCAAGCCAGACAGCTAAATTATTTCAATATAAAAATTCTATTCAATTAAAATTAAAACTAACTATCATCATCTGTATGACATTTTTTTCTTAATTCTTCCATTTTTTTATCCGTTCGTTGAAGAGATCGTTCCTAGAGAAGAAAAATTGTATGAGAATTATTTCTATCTCAGAATAGTTCAAGTATTTACTCGACGAAGAGTTGCTGTTTTAACACTACTAGCATCATCAGCATCAAGATCATAAACAATAGAATATTCATCATAATTTGCAATACCAAATTTCGTACAAATATAGACCATTAATTGAGCTACAATTAATGAATCATCGACCAAAATCGTTCTAATCGTACCATCTAATAAACGAATTTTCAATGTTCGATATTTATTTCTATAGTCAACATTATCCTACAGAAGAAACAAAGGCAAATAATTCAACAAAAAAAGCACACAAATGAATTTCTATTAATCATACGCCTGTTTTTAAAGCATAGTAATTCAATGGTCTCGATGAGTCGAGCCAATAACTTCTTGATGGATGTTGTACATCATTTACAAAAAGTCCGAATTCTGATGCTGAAAATGAACAAATATTGATTTCTTTTTTTCTATTAATATATTCTATCAGGAAGAGATAGAAAGTGTTTTGTTTTATTTCTTACGATCGTGATTGATTGTAATTGGTAAATGTCCTTGAATACTACGGCATACATCTCCAACTAACATTTGAACATCGAATTGCATAGGTTGAATAATATTATCATGTGGAACATGAATATTTAATGTTATCATATGTCCACCAATAACATTACCGTTTATTACTGAAGATCCGTTACTTGCTACCATCATGCTACTATCAATATGTGTTCGTTGATGCTGTTGCTGTTGTTCGTTATTTTGACTTGTTCGTTCGCAAACATACCTCTGAAATATAAGTAGAAGAAAAAAGAAATTGATGATGATAAAAAAGATGAAATTGAATCCTATTCTAGAAAAAAAAATACACGAGTATTGACTATTATTAGGTTTAGTATTCTTCCAGGAAATCGATTCTACTCTAACTGAATGAGAAAGAAGGCCAATAAAAATCAACATAGAACACGTTCGACCCGATCACAAATATATGTGTGTGTGTGTGTCCGATGTTCTGCAGTCTGTGTTCAACGGTCCAAAAGAAGAAAAAGAAAAAGAAGCAGCAAAAATTCTCTTCATCTTCTTCTCTTTTCTCTCTCGTCTGTCCTGTTCAGTTAACAATAAACCTTCTTCATTTTTTCTCTCGTTCTCTTTCTTCTACTCAACATTGTTAACCAGAGACTGACCAGTATGTTGGTCGTGTTAAGATGACGAAAGATATGTGGCACTGACATATATAAAACATCATAGACACTTTGTGTAAATTTCTCTCATCGCATTAGTGATGAATGGTGCCGTCAGCGTCGGTTAATTATGTTTTATAGGGTAAATTTTATCCAGAATGGCTATAAATCTACGATTCACCTAGACTTTTATTTTTCTACAAATTAAAAATACCCACAACACTCGCACATGATTCATCTATCCAGAGAACAATAAAAGCTGCCACTAAACTATTCGGGGAAAAAAAATAAAAGAAACAAAACTATGGCTACTCTATAATGTTACAATATTGAGACTAATCATTTTGTTTTTAATGATTTAATTGTTTTCTTCGTTTCAATAATTAAATCCTTAAAATTAGTTCACAATTATCATCTGATTATGTACTTGAATGAATTAACTATTCTTTTCTGAAAAAATAATTATTTCACTATTGTCAACAATTATATAATTCACTCGGAAACATTGCGTCAATACATAAGTATCACATTGATTGCTAATAAAAATGTGCATATAAACTAGCATAAGACATCGTTTCTTTTTAATACATAGCTAATAGTAATAATAATAATGCAGATATTTATTGATGATAAAGATAATTATCGTAATTGTTCATCATTTATAACAAGCTTACGTCGGATTCCATTTGTGCATGTCAAGTATCAGTTTTTGTCGACAATCGGATTATAAGATAATTAATGATATGAAGGTTTTGCTTGTGTCAGAGTGACGTGCAAAAATCTGCCGTGCAATCAATCTTAGATGTACATACAGAAAGTCTTACCGTTAAAAAGTTGTCAGCAGATATTTTAAATAAATGGACAACTTAACATCTCGTGAGACAAAACAACATTCATTTATTTTACACGTTTGACCTATCGTGACGACTTACCTCCTTCGTGATTTCCTTGTAGAGAGCCATTGAAATTCAGATAAGTAACATAGATATGATCGTACAAACGGAAAGCTAGTGTTATGTGGAATAACAATGAGAGAGAGATGGGAAAGTATTTGCTCAAGAAAAATAAATTTGCTCTCTAGCAAGAAGAAGAAAAAACGAAGATTATTGTAGCACTATAACTGACAGGCGTTCTTATTTGTATTGCTAGAAACAGGCCACATTTTTTCTTCTTTCTATGGCTATTCTCCTATCATCTCTTTTTCAGCCGCAGTCAAGTATTTCCGCCTCCTCTCTTTCTTCATCTCTATTTACACGAGAAAAATCCTCGAGACGACAAGATATATCAACTTTTTCTCATCGACAAAATGCCAAGTCAATTTAGTATATGGAAAAAAAAACACGATAAAGAAAGGAAAAAAAGCCTCCCAACTTGTGATTAATACTTCGTAGCATAGTTCTTATAGAGAATGTTGAATTATAACACTGTTTAATAAATCTATAAAATCAACTTCAAACGATTATTTATTGATCAATGATACTTGACTTTCAATTGGTATTATATGATATAGATTAAGATATGCGACACGGCTTTATTTTATAAAAATAGCCCCATCTGTTTTTTGTTGTTCATGCCGTCCTTAGTAATTTTAATTGCCAAGTAAATAAACAAATAAAAACAAACGCAATTGTAATGCCTGTAAAAGAAAATTCATGTCGCTTATTTGTTGCGTTTCCTAAACATGAATTTTCAACTTTAAAACATTGAACATGCCATGCAAAGTATTATTTTCATATCGTTAACTTATACGTATATGTATCTATATCCCTGAACATTATTTTTCAATGAAATTATTAAAAATTTTCAAAACTACGCACATCTATTTCTTCTGACAGGTAAATGAGGAAGATTTTTATTGATTGATTATCGAAAAAGAAAACATGCGTAGAGTTTATGCTTTAAGTAACAAAACAACAAACCCTATTATAGCGGCAAATATTTAGACATGGAATCTCGGTTACTCGGTTATCAGAATGCCTACTCTAATCGATTGGCATTTTTTCAGTAAGTAAATAAATAAATAAATAAATAACCACTAGTAGTCTGCAACAAATGAACCGATAAAATGATGCTGAATATACATTATTTTATTTTGTTAATAATATTTAGCATTCATAGGTTTAGTTTTAATATTTCTAAAAATGTTATGATCACAGTGAATCTCAGAGTAGATGTCAGTAGTTAATTGTTACATTTAGACGGGAATTTTTATTATAGAAAAGGAATCGGTACATGTGATTTGCAGAATAAGCACAACTAATAATGAAATCAATATCTATTGGCTTATGAGCACACCATTATTAACAGAGAGCTCTCGATGAATGATGGTGTGCTCATAAGCCAATAGATATTGATTTCATTGTCAGGGTGGGGTGGGTGGGCTCATTCTGCGCATGTACCACGATTCCTATAAGGCTTGATAAATGCGATGAAACATGATGATCTTATTTTCCTCTTTGATTTATTGAATGAAGCAAAAACTAGATTGCATGTCTAAATAGAATTTCTATCTAAGTAGTAGATAGTCAAAGCCTACCCGCTTATTTGGAGTTGGATACTGGGAAAAATAGTCATATGATTATTATTTTTTTCTTCAATTCGATATTCATTTTTCCTAGTTACTACATAAATTATAGATATAATGAATGAAGTCTCAGACAAATTTATCTTCAATGCTTTTCAGCGACCCACATTGACAGTTTGTTTTTCAGCCAATAGCTCTTTCTTTCATGGGTTGATATTGATTGGTCGAGACAACGAAGAAAATATTGCTCCTTCTGAGAAAGGTATCATTTTTTTCTGTTTCTTACTTTCCTTTTCTTTTCTTCCTGCGTTGCTTTTTGCATTCTTTTTCGTGGTGGATAGACGATGTGGATGATGTCTTCTCTTATTTTCTTTTTTTGGCATTCTCTTATTTTCTTTTTTTGGCATTCTCCATTTTTTTTCGTTCCAACGCTTTAATGATAATTTTACAAGTAGTCAAAATGCACCCCGCTCCGCAGCGAAACAACAGACAACAAGTTTTTCTCCCATATAATCTTATTTGCATTGTACCTTTTCACTTCTATTATCTGACCAGTCTTTGTCTAAATTTTGCAGATTCATAACTTATAAAGAAGCAGACACTTCGAACGGGTTAGACTGCTTACAAACAAACATACATTTATCATCTTTCAATCATCATGCTGTATGTCTACATTTCTTTTTGGTTGAATAATTTTTCTCTAGTTTCTGTTTTTGACAGAATATGACATTTTAGAAACTAGATGGAATAAAACAAGAAGTTTGACAAATTAATTTAATGTAAACTTAAAAATAGAAATAGAAATGATTCATGAGTAGTTTCTGTTTAATTATTTTAATAGTTAAAATTTTGATTTGCTGCATGATTAAGCCATCCAAGTTTTTTTTTCTTTCTTTTGCCCTAGTTTTACACAAAAGAAAGCTCACATTCCTTTCAACAGAATTTAATTCCCGTTCATTTTTTATTTTTTTAATTTTTTAGTGGACGTAGAGCCATCGGCGCCATCATCGGAATTATTTCAGGTTGCTGTCTATTCCTTTTGCTGATTGCCTGTTGTATAGTCTATTATCGTCGTTATTTAACAAGAAAAGGTTAGTATACATGCATATATTTGAGCTCTAATTCTATTTATCACAGTGAAGGGAAAATCATTGAGAGATCGGTCACATAAAAAACACGTCGCCAAGAGTATGATTTTATAATATTGAATTCATCTGTGTTTCATTACATACGAAATATTTGAATCATTGTTAGCTATTTAAAATGCGCAATTATGTTAGGAGTGATAGAATTTATAATGAGTAATAAAGAAAAGAAGAAAAAATAAAGTTTTTTTTCAAATTCAAAGTGCTGTTCTCAATCATGAAGACTTCAATTTGATATTTAGGACATAGCTACACTCCTACCGCTACTGTTGAAGTAGACAGCCGTCGTATGTATCATTTCGTTAATATTCACTAATACATAAGTTGCTATCTAAAATATTATCACTTTGCTTATATGAATATTTTTCGAACATTGTGAACTTCAATTGATGTGCTGTTTACGTTTCTTATTACACTTTTTTAGGGATCAATGAACAAACTAGCACTGAACAGCCGCATAGTCGGAATCAAGCGACGAATTGTGCCACTTCGGATTGTAAGTTATTTATAAATGAATACATTCATCAATATTTTGTTTACTGTTTAGCTCCACCTTCCTATTCCGAAGCTGTAAAGGGTTTACGCGATGTATAAAGATATATCTTTCTTTTCTTTTATCATTAGAATAAAGAAATTCGTATCACTTTATTATCTACTGTTTCGCATAATTCTTTTTTAATATATTTTTTCCATTTTCGTTTACACTTATGTTTATTCTTGATAATAATTGTATCCAGAAACTCAGGTTCATTAATAACTTAATGAATAAGTATGAAACGCATTTGTTTTCTACTTATATTTCAGATTTTGTTTTCATTATTTTTAAACGAAATGCGAGATAATTATCTCCTCCGATGCCTTTACACTCTAGCCATTATTTCATGTAAGATGATAATTATAAATGTATGAAATAAAAGTTTATCTTTTAAATTACATTTAGGTTTATTTTCATCCTGTACAGATGGTAAAGGATTTAGTGGAGGACGAGGTGGTGGCTCTTTTGGCGGTGGAAAGGGTGGTGGATCATTTGGAGGTTCTAAAGGCGCAGGAACATTTGGTGGATCATCAAGCTACAATCGTGGAAGTAGTTATGGAGGTTCCAATAGTATGAAAAAACCGTAAGTAATATGATTACCAATTTTGTTTTAAACTAATTAATTTCAATTTTCGTTTATTTTATGATTATAGAAGTAGCTTTAAAAGCAATGCTATGAGTTTCGGTGCTGGAGCATTAGGTGGCATTGCTGCATATTCTGTAATGAGATCCATGTCATCATCGTATCGTTCAAGACCTGATTATTATGAACCCGGTTATGGAAGTAAGTTTTATGATTTTATTCCTAAAAAAAGTTCTCGAAGATGAAATTCATTGCTGATCTTTCAAGGAAGAAAACCCACAAAGCAAACTGTCAAATTGTTCACCTCCCATAATTTCGTAATAGAATCACGTCGAGAAAGTTTTTTAACTGACATTTCTTATGGAAATCCAATTTTCGACGTCTTCTCGTAATCACTATTTGAACTTTGTTTATTGCGTTTTACGGCAGCGAAAAATCATATCGGAAGCCGATGTACATCTATTAACAATCATTATTTCTCTATTTATATAGCTGGAGAAACATGTCTAAATAATGAAGACTTGAATGGTACACGATTTGGACGGTTTCGCTGTCCATTAAATGGATTTCCCCAAGAAGCAAAACAGTGTTGTGGTGAATATGAACGACAATATTGTTGTATTGGTGAAAGATCTAGGTTTGTTTCAATAAATAATTAAAGTAAAAATATTTTTATCATGAGAATGGACCATTTTGTTTTTGTAGTTTTCTGAGTGGTTCTTCGAGTTTTATTTGGATAATTATTATTATAGTCATTATTTTGATTATTGTCATTGTTTTTGCACGACGTCATCAACAAAGACAAAGTATTTATTCTTATCTATTTATTCATTCTAATGTAAATTCTCTTTTATTTTCGTAGAAGAGATTGTTATGGTTCCAATGGATATACCTGCTGATGAACAGCAAGGACAACCATTTTATAATCCACCTCCACCACCGATGGGTTATCCACCACCACCAATGGATTATCAACCACCGCCAATGGGTTATCAACACCCACCAGCTGGAAATCCTTATGCAACTCAGTCACATAATTATGATGGTAATTTCAATTATTATCCACCTCAACAACCAATGCCATATCAACCTCAACAACAAATGCCATATCAACCTCAACAACAAATGCCTTATCCACAACAACAAAACATGGGAAATCAACCTCAACAGCAAGGTTATAATCCTTATCTAGTTAAAGAAGGTAAAATAAAAATTTAAGAAAAAAATTTATTTCAATATTACAACTTGAAGCATGTCTAAATTGTAATTTAAAACAAAAATATCTTTTATAGGTTTTCGACATTAACTTTTGATCATAATTATTTGCTATTGATAAGTAATTGAATTTATTTGTATGAAATGAAACCTAATACATACACTCAGAAAAAGCATAGGCTTATTGAAATGTTGTATGCATGGATCTGAATTAAAATGTAGAAACGAAATAGAGTTCATTCTTCTGTTTAGTAATTTTTAGGACAAAACTTGTTTTTGTTTTTCATTATGACAATTTACTGCGATGGTAAAAAAAGAAAGTTATTTTCGACATCTGTTTATTGCCAGAAATAAAAGTTAACCAAACCTTTGATCTCGAGTATTTGTGTGAATGAGCTTTAACGCATCAGCTTGCTTTGTGCTGTCTAGTCCATTGCAATTAGAATTTATAATTATCGTTTACCAGTCGCATAAAAGTATGTCAATCAAACTCAATTGGGACTCCGGTAGCAATATAAAAGCAATTATGAAAAATGAAATAAACAGAAAAACGCAAGCACAGAGGTTAATTACTGGCAAACGTAAATAAGAAATATAATTTCCTTGACAGACCGAGTTTTGCCATACCTGAATATTGTATTAGAAAAATTGTCCTTTTATAATTTTAGGTAATGCACCGTCATATGATGATGCTACGTATAATAAAAAATGAGTATCAACGACGAGATCCATACTAAGTGAAATGCACAAAATTCAGTCAAATTATAAAAAAACTCGCAACGTGATGATCTTATCTATATCAAAGTTTTTTCTCTGAGTTAAATCTCTGTTTTGTATATTTGTGCAACCCTTAGTTTCTCAAACGAAGAATATGCTTACATATTTATATATTAAACATGGCTTTATATCTCTGTATCAATATGTGTTTTTCTTTTAGTGTTACTTCTTTTCTTTATATGAAAAATAAATAAATATAGAATTAAACTCGAATCGCACAAGGAAGAGATTGATCTCTTTCAGTTGCGTGACTATCATCGGTTGTTGTTGCTGTTTTCTTAATAGCTGATCGACGACAATTAAATGATGCTTCACGATTTGATCGAAATGAAAGCGATTGAAGACGATTTGGCAATGATGCCGCTGTAACAATGTTACCTGTTGGTTGTACCACTGATGCTAATGAGACATTTGATCGATAGGATGCATAAATATTCATTTGTCTCCATACACGAACAATTTTATCTAGTTCACGTTCATAATCAATTCTACCAGTTTTATTTGGATGTATTGTAATAGCATTCCAGTTTATTGTTAAATATGATTTTAAATCATGAATTATAGGTAAACCGATTCTAATACGTAGAACTGTGTGACCATAATTTTTATATGCTTGTACATAATCATCAATCAATGTTGATAAACGTTCGTATTTGCCATTCAATGGTTTATATGCGAGATCCGTACGACGACTTAAACCTAATCCACCGTAGATTTGACCATATTTAACACCAAGAACAATGTGACGATAAACAATTGAATTGAAACGTGTTTTAAATGATATATTAAAACGTTCAAGACCTATAATACCCGTTGTTAAATAAATAGCAATTAGAAATGCTTCAAAACATTTTATTGGTAATGATTCTGTCATGCTTAAAAATGAAGAAAGAAAAAGTTTTAAGCTTTTAAAAACATACTTTAAGCGTTAAATTGAAATATCTTACATATGTCGAGCTGTATCCATTAAACCAGATATTGGGCGATTAGCGTTCAGATCAAAAAACTGCATACCAGTATAATTATATTCAAGACGTTGAACATAAGTTTGTATCTGTTGTAATTTTTCTTGAACAGTTAAACGAGGATTCGGCGCTACATTATAAGGTGGATCACCATATACTATTGAAGGATACTCAGAAACTCGATCACGTATTGATTTTATTTGTAATGCATCTTTAAACGAAACAAAAATAAAAGAAATTTCTTGTTTTTCAAACAAAAAAGAAAGCAGAATTTTGTTTTGATCGATCATTCATTTCATTCATGATTATCAGATTTTCTGCTTTGATTCGTACTCATTAGAATTATTAAAGTATTTCCTTGAATATGCAAATCTTGAAGATTTGTCATGCAAAGTATCAAAATGTAGTAGAATGATTGTTCCAACAAAGAATGGTTGTATTCTCATGCTATGCACATTCGAAGCATGTAAAAATATTCTATGACGATATCTATTCGATAAAATACCAACAAGTTACTGTCATTTTGTTTTGTACGCCAAAAGAAAATAATGGTATTATAGTGTTGTTTTAAAGCACTCTTATGTGAAAACTGTTTTCTTGTTTTCAAGAAACTTTATTGTACAAAATTGAATTCTTCTAATGAGGTATTCAACTGAAAACGTGAAGAATTCGTTCTGTTTTATTTTCAAGTGTTACAATTAAAGCAAAATATTGATGTATGATCATAAACTATTTCAAGAAACATTACATTTCAGTCTTTGTCAGTAATATTTATATGAAAAATCGACAACAATTTTCTGAACTCAAAGTTTTTATTCATTAACAAGAATAACATGCTTCCGAGAAGATTCCTTTACACGAAATAAACATTGGTTAAAGTTATTATATTTTTCAGTCGATACAAAAACTATATAGCTAAATATGTCGACTTGTGAAAATTGAATTTATTAAAGTTTTTCTAAAGAACTATCTACAAAATGAACTCACTTTTAGGATATTGTTCCATACAAAAAGTCCACATACGATCGGTACATCGATCTGATAATGGAAGTCCATCGCGATTAATATAGAATAAAATCACATCACCGCTACGTATCGGTTCATAGCCACATGTTGTCGTCGCCATCAATACTTATGATGCTGTGTAGCACCATTTAACAACGAAAATAGCATAAACAAAAAACAACAGGGTGGAGAAAGAAAAAGAAATTTATTTAAATTATACAACGTCAGTGTATTGAAAATAATAGGAGAAAACAAGAAAAAAAGTTGCCGATGCTTTTTTCTTCGCGTTCTCGTCATCTTGATTGAAAAATAACGGCAAAGAAAAATAACGATTGAGGTAGAAAAGAATTTGAGCAGCTTATGAATTTTGACTTGCAATTAAATATGTCTGAAAATTTACTTAATAGTATGCAGATAGCATGACTGAGATGGTAGCGCAAAGTTCTGATTAATTGAGAAAATTTTTTATAACAGAATTTTACTCATATCGATGTCATTTGCCGATAAAAATATTATTTATTCATGGGTACATTCCTTCATAGAGTATTGTTGTTTTTGATTGAATAGAGCAGAGTTTAAATGTTTTTGTCTAATAGTCTTCGATATGAAACTATTATCTATCAGCAAAATATTTTAGACACCTAAAATGTATCATACTAAGGATACTTTTAATTTTTTTTATATTGAAAATAATTTATATTTCATTCATCACATCAAAATCATTTGTATATAGTACATGAATAAACCACACAAACTGATATTTGCTATGTGAGTTTATTTAGATTCTACATAGAAAAAATCGCCGTCGTTGATTTCGAAAGTCGATCTAACGTCTTTGAGCTGGACTATTGGAATGAACTTTTGTTTATAGGTAGATCGAATGACTCGTAGCATATTCTCGTAGTTTCGAAAATGAAATTTTCAACAACAAACAGTCGTTTCACATAGTTATACTACAAAACTTGAATTCACTTGAATGTTTAATATTTTATCAAAAGGGAATATTGTTTTAAGCTGAAACTAGGTTGATGTTCTTCAAATCTTCAGAAGTATCTAAGGAGAAACTTAAGCGTCGTAACTCTGCTTCTTATAATAGAGTTCCAATACTTCTCCAAAAACTAGTACATACATCATTATACACATTGCAAGAGAATGAAAGTGAATTGTTTTTCGGGACTCTAATTCTGAAGGATATCAATCTCGTCACATCAAACAGAAATGTGTATAGATGTTTAGTCTGTTTGAAATGTATTTTTTTCGACAAATATCAGTTTCTTCCGTATCTGTAATCATTCATTGTTCTCTCTTCAAGCAACATGCTTTACTCTTGCCAGGTTCAGTCCTTCTCAATAGAATACACAGTTAAAAATAATGAAAGGTTAAAAAAAAGAATCCAGAATGAAAGAAGTATGACAAGAAATGTAAGCTGTTGCCATCCTCCCAATGTATGAACAAACCGTTTAAGACAAACAGCAACAACAACACCTCTTCCAAGTTATTAGAAATACTTTGGATTCAGTTATGTGACCGTGGTGAGTAAGTCATTCAGATGATTCGAGAATCAAAACATAATACTTTGAAGTGAGTATATTGAACAGCTTCGAACTAGATGTGATTTTGAATATGCCCAATCGATTTTAATTTAAAAGCCAATAGATTTATTAATCATGTTTCTTTCTTTTATCCTGTTATTGGAAACAATAATGTTTTAGTGTTGTCTATATCAGAGCTACCAACATCAACTGGTCCCTGGATGAATGTGAGAGAGAGAGAGAGGTGTGAGGTAAATACTTAGTGAAGGTTCACAATTACACCCAAGTACACATAAATCAATCCTCACGTCTACAAGGATAGCTGCCGATTAGCATTCTATCCACTATTCTACTCATTATTTTGAAATTGTAGCTGATTGTGCGGCATAGAACAACAGATCAAATGAAGCCATCTCGACCTGATACTTTCCTTATAGATAGGACTACTTAAAATTTCGCCTGACAATGTTTTCTTCACGAAGTATAGCTATTCTCTCCATGAGAGCAATATCCATCTTTCAGGCAAATTATATTTTTTTGAACAGGTAGCTTGTAGAAATTTGAAAAAAGATAACGATTTTGATAAAATTTTACTTCTATGTCTTGTTCAGTGCGCTAAAAACCTTTCTGATATTTGCACAATTGGTGTATAGCTGTAACTTTAAATCAGATCATACATTTTAATAGTAACTCATTAGCTCACATCGACTGACTAACTCTACGACACGAAATTGATATACAGATAAGAAAAAGTATCGAATAGCGACAATAGAGGAATGAAAAGAAAAAAAGACACCATTATAGACACGTGTACTTTCTATTCGGTCGCATTAGAAGCAATAGAACACACATTGTGCACTGTGTTCGTTAGTCTTCACGTAACGCTTTGAAGATGACACAGACGAAAATAGTGAAGCAAAGAGGACGCGCACTCCCTCACATAATATGCGCCATCCTCTAAAAATAAGATGAGATCAGTAAGTCTGCACCCAATATTTCAACATATAATTTTCAGCATTTTCCTCGATTTTCACATGTTTTCTTTTTCAAGTTGATTATCTCGTCTGCAAGGCACATTTCGAATTCAGTAGAAAACGCAAAACTTATTCATCATAACCATATTTCAGACTTTAATATTTCAATGCAGCTCAATCTTGCAGATGGAACAATACTGTGCATTGACTTGTGTGAAACTCATAATTTTAATTGGCTTGAATCAAATTTTGGTCGTATCTTTTCTGTATTCGACCAACAGGACTCTGGCAATATTTCCTTTGGCTGTATTCGTTCAAATTCTGAACGTATCTTCATCAAATATGCTGGAGCAAGGCCCAGTTCGTTTGACGGTCTTCCAAGTGATGCTGTTGCTCGTCTTCACCGAGCGACTACTGTCTATCAGGATATACAACCTCACGAGCATTTATTGGCCATGCAGATGGCATTTTCCGTAGAAGAAACTGGAGGTTTTGTTTTAGTCTTTCCATGGCTCAATAGAGCCGAGTGTTTGCATTCTCACTGGGTTTATCCGCCACCTGCCAAATACGAACATCCGCAATCACCCTACTATCGTTTTCGCCAACTACCACTCGAACAACGTCTGATCGCTCTTCAAGCGATCTTCTCGTTTCTTGAACACGTCGACAGATTGGACTACGTAGCAATTGACTTTTACGATGGCAGCATTATGTATGATTTTGATTTGAACACACTCAAAATATGTGATATCGATTTGTATGAGAAAATTCCTTGTCGATCAGCGCTACCACCTTGGGGTTCTCCACGATATTTATCTCCAGAAGAGCTGAGTGGTGATAGCCTACTCGACCATCGGACAAATGTGTTCCGCATGGGTGCATGCGCGTTCGGTCTCATCGGTGGTGAACTCGATCGGTCACGATTGAAATGGGACGCTAGTGATAGCTTGTACCAGATAGCTTGTCGAGCAATAGCTGATCATCCCAGGGATCGGTATACGAACGCCACTGAATTTCTTTACAAATGGTATCAAGCTAGAGAAACACTAAAAGCTAACAGCCAATCAAAACAATAGATATCTGTCAATTAATAAAATAGTTTTGTTATTAACGGCCAAGTAAAACACGCGTTTAACATTAAAACAATCATGTTGATCAATAAAATTGATAGAAAATTAGTGGTTGCTACTTCGGAAATATTAAATTTTCAGAGATCTCAAAAATTTATGTTAGGTACAATGGAAAAACAATTCATTAATCGAGTAATAACTAGTATCACAATAGCTAGTATGATAGGGTAGTCCAACCCGACCGTTGAATTCCGTCACAACCGACAGTATAGATTCGAATGTCATTCTTCGACCCAGAATTCGATAGGAATTCACAAGAAATATGATCGCATTCCTGTCAGTTTAGATTGTACTCAACTGTCGAAATGATCCATCTGGACCAGCTAAACTTTCATATTCAATTGTTAATTTGTCTTTTATGTGATTTAAAATAATAAAGAAAACTATTTTTGAATAATTTAAACAAAATCATACTTATAAAAGACAAAGTTCAACTGATAGTATATACGATCTACTTGCATCATCACTATGTAATTCTAGCGAGGATCATGAAGTTGACCTATAGGATCCAATGTCTCATTTTGGTTTAGACATATTCATTGATAGAATGATACTCTATTTTGGATTTGAACACTGTATAAATAGACATGTGAAAACAGCCAGCAGATAATCTATCTAACTGGACAATACGATAAAATACCGTTAATTGTCTATATAAAACAGAGATTATTAGCAGTTAAGTACTGGGAAATCACTTTTTTAATACGAAAAAAACAAGTCTAACAAAAAAATAGTCTTGGCTATTCAACAAGAAAAGCAATGTTTTTCTACTGTTCCTTGTGAGATTCTTCTTGTGTATGACATTGTATTCGGGGGTGGGTACGCTATTGGCAATCAATTACCTAGTTATTACTGCCGTGAATAGAATGGTTCATATTTTTGCATTTATTTATATGAAGATGATTCTTTCAAAGATTGAAAATTTACAAAATAAAAACATTTCTCATAACTATTTTGTTCAGTTTTATTTATCGCCCTTATTCTTATTATATTATCTTTAGTTATTATACATTCTGGGTAACGCTGAATCAAAGCTAATGAGATCGGCTAAAAAGATCTTAATTCCATATATTGAATTGATCTAAATTTTGATTTATTTTGCTCAGCTCCAGCTAAATTTAAAGTGGAACATTTTTTTGCAACATCAATAGTGTGAAGGTGGCTAACAATTGATCAATTCAGTTCATCAAATAGATGCACTTGTGCAATTTTGATTTTCCTTGTGGGCCATTTCGAACATCGGCAACGTTGCCGTACACGGTTTTATCAGATTGCGAAACCATGAATTCCTACATTGATTTTCATTATATTTCGCCGTAATCTGTCACGTAATTTCAGTAGGTATGCTCTTTGCTTGAAAGTGTCCATGGTGTTTTCCGATGAATTTACTCTTTTTTTTGTTGTGACGGATAATAGCACAGGTTTTCGATGTGTAATATGACTTTTATCCTCGTTAGATTAGCTTCCGTCAGTATTTTTCGACTTGCAACTATATAATAGCAAATAATGCTAGTTCCCATCTAAGTTTTTGTTGTTTAGTGATGTAATTATCTATAAGCATAGCCAAATAAAAATTTAGTTAAATAAGCAATCAAGAATAAATAGGTTTCGATGGTTGCTGCTAAGTCCTAGAATCCGTCAAGAATAATGTTTTTTTTTCTCCTTGAAAAACAGAAATTCTTTTTATCTGACTCAATTATATAGTTATATGTAGTTTGTACTAGAGAGTATCTTATAACATTCTGCCTCTATATGTATTTGATTATGCTATTTTAAAGATGCAAGTTTCTTTTTGAAAAAGAACAGCAATATTAGTGACTCTTACTCCTAATTTAGATGGTGTATTTATTCAAATTTTATTTTCTCATATTTTGCAGCAATTCAGCATTTGAAAATGTATTTGTTCAAATACAAGATTTCATCAGAACTTTCAAAAATCCAGAAAATGTCTAATTACCTTACTCAATGTATCATATAGTGAATGAAAGGATTTTGTACTAGTGAATAAAAAGAATACCAAATATAACCTACACCCTGTAATCATCGTCATTGGTCACCCGCGAGTCTAGCCATTTGTAACGAATCCAATTGATGAATTCATCTAATTTAATAATGGAAATTTGTATATGCTAAAGAAATTAACCATACATCAATACAAAATCAAGACATACTAATATAGTAGTATACGTACAGTTTTTTTTCCAATAATACAATTATACAAATGCCGGATTTTTTCTTTTAAATATGTTTTTTCTCAAAATGCCGTATTGTTATGAACCTGTATAGTAGACATATATGTCTACCATAATGATGAAAACTATAGCTGCATGTAGTAATCTAAATCGAACAATCTCAGGACAGTGTTTTGCTGCAGCAATGCTTAAAAACAGTTACTCGGAGGTTAGCCTTGTTTGAGAAGCTAATGTACGCGCTTTTTTGTTGAAAACATTGATAAAAGATTGTTATGATTTCTTGATGTGTTAAGTTAGAAGATAAATACGTGTTTAGTATGCGAATAAAAACTAAATTTGGTAAGCATATGAGCTGAAAAATATCAATTGTCATGTTATAGTTTAACCTATTATTAAGATAAAACTTTGTCTAGTTTTTATTGTAATGATTAATCCTAAACAATATCCTATCCTGCCAACAAAAGTAGATTATTTGCTTTAACAACATAGAAAAATAATTCAAAAAAAGGTCATACTAGCAGAAGCGAATTATTATAGTTGATTTATCATGTAATTACGTGATAAATTTTTCGATGTTGCTTAAATCTAGCCAACAGCTACTAACGACTATCTGGGTGAATCAATTCATACGAACACACATGTGGAAAAGAAAAGAATTATCATCTATCGATCCTATATATATAGAATGAATTTTTCAAACTATGTAAATTTATTTGATCGTTTATTCTATTAGTCTGAAAAAGGTCATTTGAAAGAAAATTTGACTCCTTACCTGAAGATTAGATTCATTTAGTTTTCAATTTATATCTGAACGTTTTCGTAATAGTAGTGTAATTTTGATTTTCATAAAGGCGCTATAAGACTCCATTCTTGTACAAATAACGAAAAACCACAATCCAATAAAACATGATTGAAAACAAGCTGCAGCTTATGAATATCTTTAATTACCATGGATTCATTTTCTTTGCCATCGAATTTTAATGTAGTATAGTCATTTTCTAATCATATATGGCTCCAACACATTAACTGTCGACTGCCAGAAAATATCATCTCTTGGACAAGGAGTAATTGCTTGATAATATAGAAGAACTTGATTAGAGCATATATTTAAAACTAGCATTTATCTAAATCAATATATCAATACAGCATTGTCTAATAATAATAATAATAATAATAATAATAATAAGACGAAGATATTGATGAATCTAATGATTTTTTTTCTTTCTTCTTGGATATTTCGAACATAACACTATGTTCATCTTTGGAATAAGATTAGCATTGACCTTCATTGCTGTCTTGATAATAAAATCCATAATTCTCAATTAAATTAGAGTTTATTTGGTGTTCCATTTATCCTTATTTGGTTATAGCTAAGCATGATTCATTGAATTCGTAAATAGCTAAATGAATTGACGGAATAAAATGGTTAATTTGGATAGCATTTCGATATATTTTCATCTTGTGAAACTTGTAAAAAACTGAACAACTTAAAATGACGATTAGTACCAGTTGAACAAAAGACAAGTAATGGTAAATTGTATATAGTATGTTATCATTCGAATTTGTTGAAAAAACTATTTTATTGCAAAAAAAAAATAAGTGATTTATATCGTCAACTTTATAGAGACGAACAAATTGATACACTTCATATTTACTTACCCTCATTTTGATGATCATACAAGTTTTGTAGATCCTGCATGTATGTGATAACATATATTCATTACTTGACATTTTTTACATCCTTATATGAGGTGACATGATCTATATCAGAATACTAAACTATCCTTTCAAATAAGCGTATTATTCATGACAATTGATTCAAGTATGTAACAAGATCTTTTAATTAAGTTTTAATTTCTACTTTTAGATAAATTAGAACGATTATGTCAGATAGATAGCAGGAAGTGGTATAGGCTATTCTTTCACACATAGGCGAGGAATCAGTTCACTTCGATGATTGCTATCATACAAAACTTCTGAATAGGCTTTAAAAACTATCGGTGCAGAATTATTTTGACTTTCTGTGACACACAAGTTGACATCTACTAGACTCATCGGACACATGTCTTTTGCACGTCGTTTGAGTCTGTAATTGTGTGTGAATTAGCTTGAGACTCAACGCAACTCCAACTCAGTGGTTTCTGATCATGCGCGTGAATATTAGAACGAATGAAAAAAAATATTGTTGTTTTCAATTAGTAGGATTTATTCGAAAGATGCGAAAAACAGTTCAGGAGTCTATTTTGAGAGAAAACAGCTGAACACGACGATTATTATAATCAGTAACATAGAGATTATGATGCTGATCGAAGAACAAATCGTGCGGGTAGTGGAACTGATCTGCATTTATTCCACGACCATTGCCACCGACAATGATGATACCTTGTTGTGCTCCCTGAGGCCAACTAACCACACGATGATTTCCCCAGTCTGCTACATAGAGAGTTTCCGAAGCATCAACGAAGAGCCCGTTAGGATACTCCAATTGTGCCAGACCCTTTCCGTGACCTTGACCTCCAGCGACGACGATGCCTTCTTCTGCATCTTTAATCCATTTCACTACACGATGATTGTTCCAGTCTGATACGTAAACATTCTGTTGTGGATCGACAAAGAGATAAGTTGGATAGTTTAGTTGATTGAGACCAGCACCTTTACCATTACCACCAGCTACCAGAGTGAACCCGTTCGCTCCCAGTTTATATCGTCTTACTTCATGTGCTTCGATATCAGAAACGTAGAGATATCCCTGATCATCCATAGCCAATCCATAACAGCATATGTTCTCGATGAGAATTTCTCCTTGCGCTTTATCATTAACAAGAAGCCATCGTACCACTCGTCGATTTCCTTGATCCGAAATAATCAGACTATTCTTCTCTTTATCAATCAACACATCGATCGGACGATTTAGTTGATACAATCGTCTTCCTCTGCCATTACCACCAGCAACTATTTTTCCATTCGTATCATCTTTCTTCCATTGCATAATACAATGATTGCCCCAGTCAGCAATGAACACTGTTTGATGATCATCAACAAAGAGACCTTCAGGATAGCAGAGTTGATTGATGGTAGTGCCTTGCTTTCGTCCACCAGCAACAGTCACTCCTTCCTGTGCCCATTTGGCATTTTCAGGAATATTGAGCATGACTATAATAAGCAAAAGAAAAAGAAAACTGGAGATCTTAGCCATCTTCTTCTTTCTCTGCGTTTAATATGAGAAAGGTGACATAAAAGTAAAATTGTGACGATTCAGCGAGAGATTTTCGTAGGGGTGCCATGTGTTAAATCTACATAGAAAAGCTTGAAAAAAATTAAACACGATAAAAATCTGAACGAAACAGAAGTAAGTTTTCACGAAATCCCATTCTTGCATATGATAGAATTTTACTTCTTTTTGACTAGAGCTATGACTTTATGATTTGCACTAAGGTAACGGCTCATTTTACTAGTTAATAAGAAATTTCTCCAAAGCTGTAAGTAGTTACGAAAGGCATAGTATATGACTTATGGTCTACTCTTACTCAGATACAGATTGAAATCAAAATTGCCACCGTTAGATCAAGCATTAAAGTTTACATCGAACATAATATATAAGATATTTACAGAGATGAAGAAGAGAATCTGAACAGCAAATACTTCTGTTGTACGATGTACAAAAATGACAAACATGAGCGTTTCTTGAGTAAGCTCTTTGTTTTGACCGATATCCTCCTACAAATGGTATCATTTGATAGAGGATAAATTTTGCCTTTCAGCTCAATCTGCTATAGACGGATCACAGACCAAAGAGTAAAGTGTAACTGAAAATACTTTAATATCATGCTAACTTTACCTGTGTTCTCCTTCAACTATAGTATAGCAGTGAGTAACGAGAAACATAGATTTCGCACCTTTTCACATCTCACAACCTTAGATTTCTAGTCTGACTGTGAGTAGAGGGCTTTCAATTATTACTTTTACCAACATCTAGACTTTACAGTTCTAGCTTTATGTCGTTAAAATATGTGGTATCACTATATTCGCAATTCTATTCTATTGATATTGATTAATTATCTAGTTATCTATTAACTGGGATCGATGAAGTGAGAAGGAGCGTATAGTATCTTGCTGCTAACTGTATCACATTCAAGATAATTTCTATTACTTTTCGAATGTTTTTGAGTGATTTACTTGCCACGATCAAGAATTTGTAACTGATGATGGGATGTTAGTTACTGTTTGCAAGAACGTTTTTTTACCATTGACTTATGTATGTTTGCTTTTTTTTTTAAAGGACTCTTATCTTAGACTCCGCTGCATATCGACATTATATATTGCATTTCTATTTACTTTGCACCATATTTTTTCGTCTGTTTGAATTTTTTCCAACGTAAACGCTTTTAAGACGAGCTGTGAAAATAAAGAAAACCCTTCAGCTCTGAATATACAGATTGACATCGATTGGTGGTCACCACCTGGCAATGGGATTCATGCAACAATAGAAAGTTACAGACAATAAGATATTTCTCTATATTTATAATTATTTTTAAACAAATTTTTGAAGCTAATTACAAATCGAATAATCGTTAGAATTATGTTTTTTATTGTCAAATTATATAGTTTAGAAGACTCGATGCTGTATTTTACTTCGTTTGTTTTTAATAAAGAAAAGAAAAAGGAGACTTTTCAAGTTGAATTTCTATTGGAAAGGAAAATTATAATAGAAATTTTGATCGATTTATCTGAAGCATTTATTGCTACGAATGCGTCTGTTCGACTTTGGAGTAATCCAGTAAAAAACTTTCATGACACATGTAGTAATATTGGTATAATCGGAATTTTTATTTTTCATAATCAATAAACCCTGATACATTTGAAAATACATTTCATATTTTTATTGTATACACACGACATATTTCATGTAGTAGTCGAGATGTGAGGACAATTCAAACTTAATATTGGCTCAGCCTCTTTTGGAGGAAAATGTGGAATTAATTTATACGTATATCCTTCATCTATAATTTTTGTTTTCGTATCAGATAAGATCATTTTTGTGAATTTCCAAAATCGCCTTCTAGTTTCTACGGTTAGATATATCGAAGGTATGAGAGATAGTTGTACCAAATCCTACGTTGATTATCTGTTCACAGCAGGCAAATCTTCAATATCTGTTACAAGTGAAAAATCAAATAAAGTATAACATTTAATGAAAGGATTTTGAATGCAAAATGACTCCTTTAATCGATAGAAATTGTCAAACTCTATGTTGACCCCGACTATGAGTGAATCCTATCGTGAAATACTGGTCTACAATATGCTGCTTATACCTTTTTTCGTCGATTTAATTCTCCAAATAAATAGTTAATCGTTAGCACTATGCTGGAGTAAAGACATCGCCAAATCATAATCATTAGAAAGGGTGATGGTAAAAACAATTTTGAGTACAACACTCAAGTATTGGTATTCAATTCTCAAGAGTCAAAGTTTTCAATGAAATAGTATCATTAATAATTTGATCAACATTAATAAATTTTTCACGAAACTATCTTGGTTTTTGTTTTAATTAAACATAGTACATAAATTGCAGCATACATTGAAATATCATCATTCATCAAATTAACAAATAATTAATATTTGAATGATATATTGTCATTCATAAAAATCCACATTAACATATTCTTTGAAATTGTCTTCACATCGAACCTGTCTCGGTAGATAAATTTCATAGTAACGACTTTGTAGTTTATTTTCTTTTGTGTTCGCAATCATCTGATGAATTCCTAACTGTAAATTTTCTCATACATAACGATAAAAAGAAGCTCTCACTCTGATGTTGAGTGGTAGAATTTTAGAGAACTGTTTTATATTCAATCGTTTAACAAAATATCAATTTATCTATTTATCGACATTCGAGATTTTACACTGTTTTGTTTTACAGTCGAGTAAAACTAAAATATCATATCTAGCTGAATTGAGGGTATGAATGTGAAAGGGAATTAGTGTTGTCGGATGTCAATCTCGAAAATCCGAAAAAATCCAGAATAACTATTAAACTGTCGAAAAACTTTCAAAATGCAGAAAAACTATCGAAATCCGGAATTTTCCGGAAAATGTGAAAGATCTGATAACGTTGAACGAAATCAAAAATTCAGTAAACCCGTTCTCACTCGACTTCACAAGTCTATTGTAATCCATTTTTTCTAGAATTTATCTGTCTTCATGTAACCATTCTTGTCTCTGATAAATATTTGAATTCTGATGAAACCATTTTCTTTTCTTTTTTCTTTTTTTATTAACCGCTTTATTTATTGTGACGAATTCGCCATAAGGCGCTGACCGTCTTATCTTATATAGTGCAATCTGTCCCAATGGACCTTTTACACGAAAATTAACAATACAAAAGACTGTTCGAAATCATGAGAAAAAGTCAATAAGACAATAGTGAGTGATTGCCTTAGCTAAAAACAAAGTGATATAGAGGATCGAAAAAGGTGTAACAGTCTTTACCGAGGAACGAGGACAAACTTTTGTTTGGTCTGCCTTTTGGCATTCTCTGTAGGTACGATTTAATTCGATAATGCTTATAAAGAATATTAAGCAGATGTTTGCTTTGTAATTCTGATGAAACCATTACTTCATACTTGTTGTGTTATATATATCGATGAACTGACATTCATTTGCGTGGTGACAGGTACTTTCGTTTTATTAATAAATCATACTCTGATTTCTAGACATATATATATATATATATATATGTATATGAAAACAAAAAGTATAACGACGAGAAAAAAAAACGACAAAAAATGGCATTCACTTTCAAATAAAAAACACATCACGGTAAAACTTTCTAGACGGATAAAGAAGAAACTTCTAAGTAGAAAAAAACGACTTTTTTTGCATGATTTCTCATTGTTTTTCAATCATTATGCTCATCATGTATGACATGAAATAATTTTTGTAAGCTCATTGCAAATGTATTATATCGACGATTAAAACTACTTGGTTTGTTTTTCCACACTACACCAAATATGTAAGCAGGTATAGCTGTGGCTAATAGAAGTAAAGATGTACTTATATTTTCTAAATCAGTTAATGCACTCGCAACAATAAGTATTACTAAAATTGAAATAAAGCAAATCGGAATAAATAACGGCACTTTAAGTGGTCGTTCACGATCCGGATGCTTGTAGCGAAGAACAATTAAACCAACAGAAGCCAACAAAATACCTATTTAGTATGCGTCTATATTACTAGAAGTATATGCAAATAAATTTAAACTTACATATCCAATTGATCATACCAACACAAATAATTAATTTTCCAATATTCGACATGAAGAAAAGAAAAATAAAACTAAGAATGATTTCACATAGAATGGCAATCATAGGTACACCAGTTTGATAATGTTTCATGGAAAATATATGTGGCATTAAACCATCGCGACCAGCAACTAGAATATATTTAATATTGTCTTATTAGAATGGAAAAGGAAAAGAAAAAGAAGTGAATGTATTTTACCATTAAACATTTGTCCAATAGTAAAAATATTTCCCGATGCCGCTATATAAAAAATAAAAACAGAATATTGTCAATCATAAATAATATTCGAAGAGAATAAGAATATTTACCGCCAACACATGATAATGTTACACCAATTGGTATAATATATAGTAGAATTGGGAATACACGTTCTGCAAAACTAACAGCTGTTGCATCAGATATTAAAATATCATATGGAGATAATGCCGTAAAATAAGAACTGAACGTTAGAAAATACACAAAGATGCAAATCAATAATGACACAATAATTGCACGTGGTAGAGTACGTTTTGGATCTTTAAGATCATCGATTGCATTATTTAAATAATTCCTTTAATAACAATAAATTGTATCAGTAAAAACTGAAAGAAAATTTAATAGATATTATTTCTTCTTACCATCCAGAATAAGGAAATAATCCAGCATATAATGCACTTGTAATTTTTCCATACGTTGAACCTTCGAAAGGTTCAGCAAAGTTTTCTACTCGACCAAGATACATACGATAAAAACCGGCACCCATAATGCATACCAGTGTAGCTAAAAAAAGTTAAATATAGAATAAAATCAAACCATAAGAGCAAATAATAATTTTTACCAATTTTAAAATAATTGCATACTTGATGAAGACGACCTGTCCATATTGATGATGTTAAATTAATAAAGCCAACTATCAGTAAAAGAAATGATGATAGACATTTAACTAAGATTTCAGGTGGTGCACATGTTGGATAAAACCAATAAACAAGATAATTTGATGCTGTTAAAACACTTAAAACAACAATCATTGGTCGTGATAATGCAACTTCAATCCAAATACGAAGAAATCCCATGAAATCACCGAACGCTAGACGAAGATATGTGTAGTCACCACCCGATGATACATATGCACAGCCAAGTTCAGCATAGCATAAAGCTCCCTGAATAGAAATAATTCAATATAATAAAAATTTATTTCCATTAGATAAAAGAATATTCTTTACCATGATACATAATAAACCGCATCCAATCCAAACGCCAATCGAGAGACCATAAGAACCAGAATATTCGAGTACTGCTTTAGCACTGATAAATATACCTGAACCAATGATACATGCTAAAAGAAGATTGATTGAATCGAGAAGACCCATGGTTGGTGCATGTTTAGACATCCTTGTTGATAAAGATGGCACCAGGGCTGCATAATCATTATTAGATTGACCCATCTAAATATTTAAAAAAAATGAAATAAATACGAAACCAAATCGAGCCTCAAATAGTATCGTTCGACATGTGGTTAACGCACAGTCTACCCTTTCTCTTTTCGTCTTCATCTCCTTCTTCTTCTTTTTCTTATCTTTTCGACATTCTTACATATATCACATATCATGTCGATACGAAATATATTAATAATGACTAGATACGAAAAATGAATTGGTGGCACCCAAAAAAAAAGGAGTAATTTACAAACGAGTGCTATAATGCACAAAATATACTTTTCAGATTTTGATTCACTGACGATCAAAAATGCTTTTTTATTCCTTAGAAACAATTTTTGCAGTTGACTCTTATCATGCGCATGGACTACATCACACAAAGCGTTCTGGAGAGAAGAAATAGACAATAATACAGCGAGAAAGAATAGAAAATGATCGTCCAATCGAGCTAACCGTACACATCCCATCTCTTTTCTTCGTGCATCATACTAAGTCTGCCCTGGTTATATAACCAACTAGTATAACAGGCAAGAGGAAAAAGACACTAACCGAACCTAGCAAAGTAAGAATAAGAAGAAAAAAAGAGCAACGAACGAACAATCGGGACAAGGAAAGAAAAGACGCAGAATAGTTCATTGAGCCAACTGTTCTCGCATTATCTGCCTCATGTTCTTGATTATATATATATGTGTGTGTGTGTGTGTGTGCGATAGCGAGGTGATTCTTCCTTGAGTTTCTGTTTTCTCTTCTTTATTTAACATCGGACATAGGATTCTCTCATGTTTATTTTTAAGACATGCGCCTTCGACAGGAATAGCAACAAAATTAATGAAGTACGTCGTTCAATTAGGCATAGAAGAAATGTGAAACGGAAATTGATGACTTTCAACAAATAAAAGTTCTGTCTGCAATTTGCTCAAAACGCCATATTTCTCATAAACACTAAATAAATTTACAAATTTTTATAAGAATCATTTGGTAGGAATCTTTCTGCTTTCTCTTGATTGTATCAACCAATTAGTTCTTTGAATAGTATATTTTACGATCAAGATAAACAAGCAAAGTAGATAAAGTTTGCACGAAAGCACACTAATATCAGGAAAACAATACAAGAATAAAAATTGATCACTATAGATGATCAAATCGATAAATTAAGCATTGATTTTATTTAGGGATACCATGCGATAATAGTTATTGGTTATCGAGTAGATCTTTTTTTTTGGTGCTTCTGTAAAAGGTTCTTTTTTCCTTCTTTCATCATGTCTCTTCAGATGACGCCCAACAATTTAGATTTACATGATAGAAACTAAAATATACTGGAGCATATATCTGAATTTTTTCCTCTTTTCCTTTCTTCTACCATTAGTAGTTGATAATAGAGTGAAGGACAGTGACAAGAAAAAGACTCCTATCAGCTGCTACTGTTTCACCAGCTTACACTTATTGATAATAAACGGAAAATAGAAAAAGAAGAAAGCTAGTATTGCTTTCAAATGCCTCATTTTCTATCGGCAGATGATGTTGAAACAGCTAGCCAAGAGAATGATAAAACATCATCAAGAAAAACAGAGAATACGTCGAGACAACCAGTAAAATATTTGTTTAAAGAAAAAAGAAATAATACCAGAAGTTTGGCAAAACACAATTTTTATCATGGTTTAAAAAGTAAATACAAACGGCATAGTCAGCTAGCTGCTTTAATGGAATAAAATTTGCTGTGGTAGATTAAAAAAAAGCGCATATGGTTTATTTCATCTATTGTACTCAAAGAAAGTTTATCAGTAAAACCTTTGACTGAGTTTAAAGGCCACACCTTTTGTTCATATGACTTTGTCGTCATCAAATTTATTTTGATTGTTTTAATATTTTGCGACAGATAAAGCAATTTATTGAATCATAATCTAAAGGTATTAATCAATATTATGTTTACATCTGGGTGTAGTTATCTCATAGATGTCCTTTAATAAATGAAATGTATTGAATCTTAATGTCTATTTCTCACATTTCTTAAGGGTACAAAAATATGATTTTTATGTATCCAATGATTTCAAATGTTAAACTTTATGACATCGGCCGTCAATTTTGTTTTTCAAAAAACAAAAATAATTCTTTGTTGACAATAAGTAGAAAAATTTTTTAAAAATGTGAAGAATCTTTCATGAAGTCTCTGCCGAGTTTCTAAAGATGTTAACAAAATTTTTATTGTCGAATCCATATGCCAGGCTTGTAAATTTATTTTCCTTTAAGTAGTAGCATCACGAACGTTTGCAAAAATTATCAAATCATGGACTACAACATTCTTTATCTATGAATACATGAAGGGTGTACTTTTAACCATTGTCTCGATGAGAAAAGGCTTAGGCAAATCATGCTCTTCGAATACAAAACAGAAATATGTAGACGAATGATTTGGTAGGCAACCATGTTTTACACTTAATGTTAAACAAAGAAAAACTGTTTTTTTTTTAAAGGAAAATTAACATTTTTGTACAGCTTTACATTCTCTGTCTTTCGATATATAAAGAGATGCATTTTCATATTCAACAAATGAAAGAAAAAGGTATCCGTTGTTTAGTAAATCTCATCGTAAAATAATTCGTGTAACTAAAATGAATGTCAAATATTGAATAAACTCCTGATAGAATATTCTGTACACTGTATTGATCGTGAAATTGAACTCGAGCAAGGATGGACATAATTATCGATCGGTATGCTTTCTCGTACGAGTAAGAACAGAATGAACTTTACGGCAATGTGTACATAGTTAGTAGCTATAACATTCATGTAAAATATTGAAATATACGCTACAATGGATATACATATCAATGATTTTGTAAATATTATTTCAAGATTATAACGAAATTGTCTTTTTCTTTAATCAGAATTAATTACTAAATTACGATATCGTAGAGTATTAGATAACATCATATGGATAGAAATAAAACATTTTTCTTTTCTTTTTTTATCTAAAGAGAATTGAAACCATACTGTCCAAATGTTAATGGAGGATATGTCGAAACGATTGAATTGTTTTATTGATCGTTAGTTTTTCTCCATATCTCTATCATTTATTTATTAATCGATGAATATTGACGCCACTAGCATCAATACATAGATCCAGAATTGATACGAGCAAAAATCTATTTAATATAAGATTAGTAAAGAAAAGCTCACATTGTCAATAATTAATGCTTATTTACGTTACTTATCGAGTATTAAATAAACAAGAAAATCAGATACTGATAAGGACGACTGTACAAATAGACGAATAGTTATTGATAATGAATTGTTCGACGACAATTTTATTGATCGATGCAAACTGGCGATATTTTAACTATGAAATCGAGTAATTTCCAGCAATTTCTCATTATAACGAAATATTTCAAAAAATGAATTTTCAGAATATCTATTCAGCTATATTTTTTTGTTCTATTTGATTTAAAGAAAGTTCTTTGTTGGAAATCCCCATGAAAAATATGGTTAAAGATGATATGGAGTTAAAATAGTATCTATTTCGTTCAGAATCATACTGAAATCATCGGTTAGAGTACATTTTCAAAAGCATAAACAAGTGTTCTCAGTACAATAGATCAAGGAAAACGTGTTATATAATGCTCGTTCATTTTCTATAACAGATAATATCTTGCCAATAAATAAACTTGAAAAACGGCATTTTCATACAGAAATCGTATATGCTTTATATGAGGGTTCCAATTATAAGTTAATATGATGAATCATACCAAGAAAAACAATTCTACATTTCAGTAAACGAGTAACTAGAATTGACTTACATACATGGTTGGAAAGAATAAAAATATGTTGCACAATGGTCGAAATTTATTGTACTCGTTCTGCTGTTGCCATGAGCTATCATACCTCGACAGCTTACTAATGCACGATTTTACTTTTAAAAAACAATATCTACTATTGAGTCTTTTGCAATTACCTGCTAGAAAAAAACTTGTAATTATTGAATCCACACGAATGTTTGTTCTCTTTTCTTACCTGAAATAAAGCCAATAGTACTGCGTCTACTTTTCTTTTTAATTAAGAACAAAATATTTTTTCCCTCAAGTTTTTCTTTGAAAAACAACAACAACAGAACATGCGTGTCTAATTATGACTAGTATCTAAAATAGCCTATATATTTTCAACAATGTTTCATCTAAAGTTCAAACAACATTTTCTTTTTTGTCTCAATAAATATGTTTATAAAGTATAACCTAATAAGGCACAAAAAAAAGTCTGTAATAAATAAGTATATATTGAAGAAAAAACAAACGATAAACAAAATGTTTTGTAGTTTCAAAATAAGATTTATTCCTATGATGTTTTTTTATTGTTCCGTAATGATTGCATGTGAATATGTTTATTATATCTTGGTTTAGCCAATGCTTCGATGCGATCAGTTATGTGTGCCTGAAGTGCACTTTCCGGAACCTCATGTGGAGCTTTTTCACCATTCATCGAGCTGACTGGTTTCTTTTTTGGCCGAGCAAGTTCAGTTAAACGCTCTGAACACTGTGCTGTTAATGCACCAGCTTTAACACCACTGTATGCATAATTTGTAAAATTATCAAAAAATTCTATATAGAAAAATGAGATTATTGTTTTTTTCTGTTGATATATTATCAATAAAATAACCTTGTCGAATAAGCCGTTCACGTTTGATTCTTGGTCGAGCTAATTCATCAATGCGACTTGAACAGGGACCAGCAGATAATGTTGTAAGTGAAATGCCAGAATAGCGTGAACATGGACGACGTAACCATGGATGCATTGCAATTTTATCATTATAATAACTACTTCGTGAAAAAACCGAATGATGTGTATCCAAAAAATCAAAATGTCGCCCCGAATAACTACTTAATCGTGATGTTTGTGAGGACATTAATTGACTTCGCATCGTAGTTTCGTCGCTAAATTAAAGAAGAAGAAAACAATACAGAAATATTGTATATTGATTCTTATGTTTATTATTACTTCATATTTTGTTTTTGATCAATTTAACGGTATGAATAATTATTGATTGTCAGTGTGAAAACAAGTAACCGTTGCCTTTCAAAATTGCTAACACACGACTAATGCAACATACGAACAAGAACAACAATAACAAAGAAAAAGAAGCCGGCATTGTTAAAGTGCATGTACAGCGAATTTTTTTCTTGCGTTCGTATTTTTTTTGCTTCAATAATTCTCCTAATTCCATTTCTATACAAAAAGAGCACAAATATGATAATATTGTCCATTGATGAACAAACCGATATGTGATTGAATCTTATTGAACGGAAATTCTTTTTTGTAAGCTCTGTCTATCTATACCATTTCCGGTTGTTATTGATGCTAATTCTTTTTTTATATCAAATAAATATTCGCTAGAGAATAGTTCGCATCATTAACCGAAATCATCATCGTTTCATTGATACATAATAAATTAAAGGATTTCAACCGAATAAAAAGAAGTGTAAGTGTTCGAATAAGTAACCATTTTGTTTTTTGCTTTACTAATCGACTTTTCGATTGTTTGATTAAACTGATGGTTTTATGTAACTATGCATTCTTTTATCTTTTTCTTGTTCTTGAGTTTTCTTCTCTTCTCGTTTTCTTTTAGTTCAGTTCAGCATGCGATGAAAATACGAACCGATGAATAGCAAGTCTAATCCAATTTGTTCTTATCGATTAGAGTTTAGTTATTATAGTGAAGGAAAAGACGAGAAAGAAACATTCATATAGCATTTTCCCAGATGTTGATTTGTCCCGAATGTTGTCTCATCATGTTTTGTATCTCGTTTTTTCCGTTATATATTTCACAAATGGTCAATCAACAATTAGAATCGGAATTATCGATGATAATTACAATCGCGCCGATTTTGCTACTATAAAAGTGCCACATGTAACTTTTTGTGGTCGTAAAGGTTTAAATTTCGAATTACATTGGTTAAATACATTAGATTCTTTACCTAATCTTATAAATAAACTTGACATAGAACAAAATTTAACAAATATTTATTTAGCATATACAATCAAATTTCATACAGACTTAATTCGTAGCTTTTCTCAAACCAATAATATTCCATTTATTAATATGAAACCATTCGGAAGTAAAATAATGGCATGCTCAATAACAACGTATGTTATTATTTTTTGTTTTGTTTGATATATTCTTAGTATTCATTCTTTCGATAAATGTCTGTTGTAGATCAACTTCTCAAGAATATTTCATTATGCCTGATATTCTTCGAATATTACTTAGCTATCTAAAATATAATCGTGTAAATAAAGCAGTATATATTTATGATAATGATGAATCTACCTATAGAATTTATGAATTACTTGAATTAATGAATAAAGATGAATATTATAATAATTTTACATTGGATCTTCGAACGACAAGTTATGAAAATGTTTATTCAATTCTATATAATATTGAATCAAATTCGTTACAGAAAGATCAATTATCAAACTATATTTTGCTTGATCTTCATTCGTATGATGAATATGAAAACATGCTTCATAAAATTTCACATATGGGTTTGTATATTTTTGGTGTTTTTCTTGTCTGCTAGTTTCTGACTAGTATTCACACAAAGAAACCATAAGAGATTACGATGAATGATAAAAGCAAAGACGTATCCCAACACTCGAGGCAGAAAGTGATTAAGTTCTAGGGAGAGAGAGAGAGAGTGTGTGCGAGGAAAGAAAACGCGCAATACACAGACGATTTTCGAACGCAAAAGAAAGCGTTACGACCCATGCGATGTTCACTACTTACACTGCAACATCGATGAAAATCGTAGTCTGATTGGAGCTTGTCATAAAATCTCACGATGAGACAAATATAATTATAGGATATCATAGATACAAGTTTGAAGACGGAGAATAAATCAACGTTCTTCATCTTGTATTTGTAATGAATAGACACGAGCATAATTTTTAAGATAGTTGTGAAATTCAAATTAATTGCATAAAAGAAATGACGAATGCGCTTGCATAAATTAATAATCAGATATATCAATTGATTTTAAATGTTTTATCGTACGATTGAGTCCCTTTTGTATATTTCTTTCATAATTTTCTTACTCATGTAATCGTGTATATCTATAACATGGCAAAGATTTCGAAACAAGATCCAAATACAAAATTGATCGATGAAGTTCGAACGACGATTGTAGAGAGATGCGTAAATTTGATAAAATCAAGGCTATTTATGTTTATCGGCTTGTCCGAGCGTAACGCGATGACGTTTTGTCCACAGTTTTCTTAAGTTTTCTCAGCAATTAGATTACTTAGAAGGTGCGTTCTTTCGTTGGAAGATGTGTCTATGTTTTGCTCAAAATATCTGAAAATATGAGCTCGATTGAGTGAGCGCTTCGAAAACTATAGCAACAATAGTTGAGGAAACGCGATGACGAAAAAAAGACAAAAAGTTCTGGGTGATGTGATTGTTCTTAATTTTTCTGCGAATCTTCTGCAGTATCGAACGGAACATTCTATAGGTATTTTGTAGCCGACAGTTTGAGGTTTTCAATGAACAAAAAATATTTTCGAACAGTTATCTTATTTTAACAAGAGACTTGCTTCATTAACGTAACGCATTGACGATTTCGTTACACGATGACTATAAATTTTGTAATGAAATTTTTTTCCCATCATCCTCTGCTGTAATACAATCCCGTTTACCGGTTAATAGGTAACTAACATCACGATTATAAAATTTAATGACTAATTTGTCATGATATTTTTTCGATGCCAGTTTTTATCGAAGACGTAATTTTTCTAATGAAGCACCTATTAAATTTCTACACCTTTGACTGTCACGGATACGAGCTTTTTTTGCTTCATTTGTTCAAATTTCAACTTATTTTTTGATAAATTAATACTATAGAATTGTTGTCGTTCAGCATTAGATTTAGTCATTTTGCTGAATTGCTTCAGCTTCAATCGCAAATATACTATTCAACTTAGATCAATTTAAAAATGAATATATTTTTTTGAAGAGAAATGATTCAATATTGATTATTCAAGCAATATAGAGATTAAAATTATCGTTATAACTGAACGAGAATAAACATTAGAAAAACCTTGAACGATTTTGATTGGTAATTCTATTTGAAATGAACAATATCCACTTAGACCATTGGACAATGTTGTGTGCATAACTTAATATTCTTTCATTAGAAATCGATTGCTTACAACTTATACTGATTTTAGAGTAAAAATTCTTTCCCTCAAGATGCTCTTTTATGAAAACGGAAAAGTCAGAAAAAAGTAAAATTCGTCATCGCGTTACATAAAATTTCTATAACGCGCTATCTTTTTAGAATAAAATCCTATGCCTTAGATAGCCGCAAAAAAATTAACTTTACTTATTTGCTTTTAGTATAAAATTAGCTGCGGTTCAGTAGTGAAAAACAAACAATAGACATATTTTGTTACGCGATGATGTTATAAATAAAGTAAACTTACATAGGCTCTCTGTGAAAATCTATAATACATAGAACATGATCTGTGGTGCCGAATGATGCACATTTCGATATATTCTCTATTCATATTGATCCACTAAATATCTATTTATTTCTGCCAAGATAAAAGTTTGATAAATCAGTAGAATAAGTTCACTAATTTTTTTGCATGCACAGTAGCTTCTCTTTCAATAACTACCACATGTTTTTTAAATGTAAAAAAGAGAAACAAAACATGTTTGTGTGTACTTTCGACTATGCTCTACAAGATGGTAATATTAGATTTTTCAAATACAGAGTTCGAGACACCCGCCCCAGAAGTTACACGTTACGCGGACAAACCGTTATCTATTCCTAAAAATTCACATCTCCTAGAAGTAGGCCTTGTGAAAAAATGCTTGCTTCTATAGTTAATTTTCGTAATAATAAAAAACAGCAATCATGCACTAAAATACTACTATTTTAAAGGGTGAAGAATAATTTCAGAGAAGACTAGTCAATGCACTATTTATATTTTAGGACTTACAAGTGATTCTTATCAGTATATAATTATATCGACTCTTAATGCTTGTCCATGGATGGCTAAGCTAAATTTTTTTGGTAAATTAGTTTTTTTTGATTATCAAAATGATACCTGTACTATTAATTATCAACAGTCATTGAAGTTCAATCAAAATTCATTTGCACTTCGGAATTTGAAACGTTATGAATCTTACTACCGAACAACACTATCATTTCGTGATAATTTTAACTCGTATAAACTATTAAATTCTACTCAGGTTTCAATAGAAAATTCTTCGTCGTTATTACTCAATGATATTAATTCAAAAACAAATCAATGCCAAAATAAAACAAATGCGAGTGATAAATATTTTTCATATTCCTATTTTAATTCTCAACTGCCTAAATCGTTGAAAATGAATGCAAATTCAATATTTGACGGATTGAATTTCATTGTTCGACTTCTGACTTTAAATATAATTGATTGTAAAACGTATCGTTTGAAACAAATTAAAAAAAAATTTACCTATTGTAATACTGCTTATGTGAATGTTTTTTCAACACAAAAATCTTCGTTAGATAACATTAAAAAACAAATTCAACTTATTGGACGTTATTCAACTATGAATGATGAGTATCAAGCATGTTGCTTAGATGAAAATGAAAATTTATCTTCAACAAAAAAACAGCTATCATCAAAAATCTACTATATAACCAATGTATTCGATGAACCTTTCCTTATGCTACGTAAACGAACTCCATTACATCAAAAATATAGTCAACGACAAGCTAATTTGAATGAATTACAAGGTCGTACTTTTGGTTTTGATCAAGTAGAAGGTTATTGTGTTGATTTGGCAGAAAAAGTTTGCTCAATTTTAAATATAACTTGTCAATTTCGTATTGCTGAAGATGGCCGTTTTGGAAGTAAAAACAAAACAACAGGCATTTGGGATGGTAAGTAATTACTATGGGCAACAATTCGTAGAGATTCCATTGTGAAGGACACGTCTTTGCTGATATGACAAGAGAAAGTTCTCTATGTTTGATGTATCGAGTGTTCAAGATGGCATGATCTCTTAAATCAATGTGACTATTATTTAAGGTTGTTATTAAAATAGATAGAGCGATCAGATTATCAGTAATCCATTGTAAAATGATTAGTTTATTAAGTATAAGCAATAGGAAAATAATTCCAAGTGAACAGAAAAAAATTCAAAAAATAGCGAAAGAAAAAAAGCCGCATGAGAATTTCGACATTAGCGAAGTTGATTCAGTGTTGTGAGTCGAGAATGGATGATTCATATCCAATATCAAACCATAACCACATTTTAAAGCTGCATCTAGCAAAGAAGACAATCAACCGCAGCACATTTCATAAATTCAATTTTGATACTTACGTAAAAAGAGTAGAGTAGAATTCAAGAAGCTTTTTTACCTTTGCGTCAAATAAACAATAGAAAGAAGAATTAAAAAGGATGAGTGTTTTTATTCATAAAAAAATACACGGGTTAAAAACACTTAGGACGAAAATAAAAGAACATATGAAGAACAATTCAGGAGAAAGAAGAGTGAAAATACTTTATTTTCATCTTGATGTTTTTAGTGCTATTTTGTTTATCAAACAAATTAATAATTGAACGTTTAAGAAATGTAATGATCTCTAATTTTATCATTATTTCATTGATTTAGTGTCTTTTGCAAGACTACAGTAAAACAGCTGTTTCTGGTATAATGCAAAAATCATTTAAATAACCGAAGGTTCATCATCGTTTTGAGAAAAATCTGTAGATATTAATTTCAACATGGAAACTTAATTATTATTGAAGCTTGAGAGTATATTCATATCAATGGTCTTGAATTCCGAGAGATTGTGTAGAAACCAAGTTAATTATTATTCTTCTAGTAAAAGCTTTTATTTATTTATTTATAGGAATGGTTGGTGATATCGTATCTCGAAAAGCTGACATGGCTATTGCTCCATTAACTATTAGTCAAATCCGTATGGAAGCTGTTGATTTTAGTAAACCATTTATGAATTTAGGTGAGTTCATTTGACTTACAATTAATGGCAATTCACTTTTTCTTCTTTTGTTTTTTTTTCTTTCTAAAAAGGTATATCTATTATGGTATGAATTTTATTTTTCTATTGATTTATTTTTTTTTCTGTTACTGAAATTTTATAGATTAGTAAACCCGATGCACAAAAACCAGGTGTTTTCTCATTTATGCATCCAGTTTCAATGGAAATATGGTTATGCTTATCATTAGCATATTTTGCTGTCAGTGTTGTTCTTTTTTTAACATCACGCGTTATTAATTCAGGTTGGCAACGACGTGTCGTACAGCGTCCATCCTATCGTTCATTTTCGTATCCAAAAAGTGTCAACGACCGACGTAAAAGTTTGATGGAGTTGCAACGTCAAAAGCGTATTACTAATTTTTCCGAAACCATAAACGACTTACCAGTAACATCGAGACCATCAATAAATTGTCGAGCACGCTATCGTACAAGGCCGCAAACGCAAACGCAAACTCTAACTAAGCCGAATACGAATGCGCATAAAAGAAAAATTCAACCCAAGAACAATAATGTTCATTTATTTGGTATTTCTAATGCATTGTTTTTTACATTTGCTTCATTTATGAGACAATCAATTAATCTGGCACCAAAGTCATCATCAGGTCGCATAGCAGCTATATCATGGTGGTATTTTTCATTGATATTTGTTTCATCATATACAGCTAATCTTGTTGCATTTTTAACGGTGGAAAAATTAGTAGCGCCCATTGAAACTGTTGAAGATCTTGGTATGTAGGAAAATTCCATTCTCGAAATAGCCCGAGTAGTAAGTATATACTATTTGATTTGATTAGCTAAACAACAAGAAATAAAATATGGTTCAGTGAAAAATGGAACAACATCAGCGTTTTTTGAAAAGTCTTATGTACCTGTTTTTCAAAGTATGTGGGCAGCAATGCAAAAATGCTCGTCAGAAGTATTCGTTGCCACTAATGATGAAGGCGTAGCTAAAGTACGAAGTTCAAAGGGAAAATATGCTTTTTTTATTGAGTAAGTTAATCATCAATTATCATAATATATGAATGAAATTAATTTTGAAAAATTCAGATCAACAAAAAATGAATATGTTAATGAACGATACCCATGTGATACGATGAAAGTTGGCTCTGATCTTGATTCAAAAGGTTATGGCATTGCAACAAGATTAGGTTCTGATTTAACTGAAGCAGTAGATATAATTGTTACTAGTTTAAGAGAATCAGGATTTTTGGATAAACTTAAACAACGTTGGTGGTATGTTTTGTTTTTCTCCACGAAGAAATCTCGCAAGAATGAAAGGTCACCTAGAATTTCTAGAATTGAAAATCTTGGTCTTTTATTTTGAGAGAAAATTTGAATCATGTGCTTCATTTGATTTTTAATTCATAGGTATGACGTTTCGGAATGTTCACAAACTAGCAAAGATAAACGTTTTAGTGAACTAAGCCTTTCAAGTGTAACTGGCCTTTTCTACATATTTCTATTTGGTATTATTCTATCATGTCTTACTGCGTTTACAGAATTTCTGATAACAGCTAAACATGATTCGGAAGCATTGAGAATTGATTTTCGAGAAATTCTTCGAATAAAAATGATCGAGTAGGTTCTTCTATTGTTCTTAATATTGATTAAAAAAAATAGATAATTTCTCTTTTGTGTTTACTTTAATAATAGAAATATGATTGGCATTACGATTAATAAACAGCGGCAACTTGAATATGAACATATCGACCACGCATTCAACTATCAATATTACAATGAAGAGGATGAAATAATCAAGCAATACACAGATTATCAGTTACAAAAAACACAAAGTGATGTTTAAAACGTTTACATTATCAATCATTTAATTAGGCATCTGTTTTCAATATGGAATACATACGAAGAACGATTTCTAAATATTTTTTGTTTACAATTTCGATAGAACTATATGAAATAAAGTTGATATATAGATTATTGGCAATAACAATATTTTTCTTTTCAAATCATATCATGCATACTATGAAAACAGTCGAAATCTCGACAACTATTTTACGATAACTCAATACATAACCTATTAGTTATCTTTGGAATGCTACTATTCCAGCAGGTTAGACCGACAGTTTTAAGGCATAATATTGAAAACGAATAGAAAATCCTTGATTCTCTGATTTATTTTATTGTAAGCCATATATTTCAGAAAATTTTCAAGTGAATATAAATAGTTTTATTCAATGCTTCACACAAGTTAGAATAGTTTTTTTTTTGTTAAGTGTCATATTGCCAGTTATTCTCGTGGCATTAAGCTGGGCAATCATCACGATGTATGCAAGCACTACCAGTAGTATTACTTTGACGAACATAATCAGAACAACCACAAAAGCAACCAGCAACACATTGCTTTGTACATCCTGTAGGTTTCTTATTACAGGTTTCAACACAGGCTGAACCACAGGCGTTATATCTTTCATTTGAACCACAACATTTTTCTGGTTCAACACATTGACCGTTTGCTGCTCGATAGTAACCCTTCGTACAAAAACACCCTGATTTACATAAATCAATACATAGTTTGAGTGGTTTTGGTACTGGATAACGTAGATCATCACAAGTCGGAGGACATGCAGAACCACATTCTAGATATTCTTCATGTTTGCCACAAACCGGTGTAATAACGATTTTTGAACATTCTTTACGTTTAATGCAAGGACTATCAGTGCTACTCGATTGGCGTACGTATCCATTCGCACAGAAGCAACCAAATTCACAGCTCATCACACAAATCGCTGGTTTGTACGTACATGTTTCGATGCAGGTTGATCCACATGCATATTTTTCATTCTTGCCACATTGCATAATAGTGGTAATACCTGTTGGGAAAAAAAAAGACGACCAATTTTAGACGAGTGAAATAAACAATATGAAATCTATACCAATCGATAGACCAGCAGCCTGTGCTGTCAATAAGAATGAGAGAAATATCGATAATATACGACTCATCGTTAATCCGTCTTTAAATCAAACTAAGTCGCCTTGTTATAGTATGTACGAATGAACGAATATTTATAGTCCATATCAGCAATTATTCATTGGATGAAAAAGGCCAGAATTAAAAAGCATAAGTTATAATTGATGCTATTTCGGCAGCATGAAATAAGTCACCAAATGGCGAAATAATTTTCTATCCCATAAAAACACTATTCATGGATAGAGACAATATCGATTGAATTATTATCAGAAGCATTGTATGTAACGATCATATAGGTATAATCCAAATAAAATTGTGTTTCTAATGATTTATTGAATACTGTTTCAAATTCAACTTGTTAGATTCTATATTTAACTATATATTAATACAGTATGTTTTTTTCACTTTTCGGCGATATAATACGATTTTCAATAATCTGATAATGTTCCTAATACAATAATAGATACTCTATGTACAGCCCAAAAGTAGATATCAAAATAAAAGCGTAACTACAACATTTTGAAGTCGATTAGCTAAGAATTCATTCGTGATTTTAATTTGGAAAAAATAATAATTATTCTCCCTCTTAACAAAAATAATGTCAAATCAGCAAAGAATCGATTTCAGTCTCGTTGAACAATTTATTGCAGATTCTTTACTGAAACGAAAATACTGTTACTAAGTAACTAATACACTCGCGACACATATTTTCTATATATATATACTTCACAATTAATAGAGGGCAGTACCTTGAATAATCCTTCAAATCGTTGCCATGCAAAAAAGTACCTCTACTGGAATATTTCGTTATTTTATTTTTCTTCAAAAGAATCATGTTAAAAAAGTTTGGACCAGGCACTGATTATTATTCTGAAACGACAGAATTAGACTTGAAACGAACATATATGTAAGTAAACAATGAAGAAAACTTCTTTGTTTTTTTATTTACTTTGATTAAATTAGTAAAAATGAACGACAGTCATTACTCGATTCTTCTATCATTCAATTACCAAAAGCAATGCAACAAAATCAGGAAACATTGTTTATGTCATCGGTTGAAAAAGCTCGAATACGAAATGAAACTTTATTAAAAGTAATAATTCATCAGAATTTTATAAATTTTAGATTCCATTGATTTTTGTAGTCCATTCAAAAATTAAATAACGAAATCGATAAACATTTAAAACAACCTGATAGTACAAAATTTACGACCTTAAAAGTAAAAACACTTTTCTTTATAGTAAATTTTTGTTATTTTTCATCAATATAATCTGTTTTAGAGTAATTATTGGGACATGGTTAGTAAATTATTGCCAGTATGGGAACGCGAATTAGCTGAATATGAAGAACGTAAACGACATGAACATAATGATAATAGGCAAGATGTATAAAAAAAACCAAAAACAGCAAAACTTATCATATGTTCAGGATTCAGATCTTTGCAATCGATCGCCCCTTGAGTATTTTCTTTTTGTTTTTATTTTTTCATATTCATTCCATGCTTGCTTTGTAATTTGATCAATTAATGGTATCATGGGTTCTATTGTTTGTAACTTTGCATTAAATTCATTGACTGGAATTAATACAGCTGGAAAATATTTTTTAGCTTCTTTTATATTCATTTCATTATCATCGAAAAGAGCCACATGAAATGGTTGAATATCGACTGTAAATGCAGATATTTCTTGAATTTGTTCAATACAACTTTGTATATGTTCTATTTTTCCATATGATCGACTAGGATAGGATTGTATTATAATTTTATATTGATCAGCAAGTCGTTTATTGATTGAATGACGTGATATATTTTTATCGGTTATTTTTAAAAGACGCCGAACTACAGTTTGAGTAACGATACCTAAACATTTTAAAGTCAATTAGAAATAGCGTTCTATCGTAAATTTTGAGAAATTTATCCGGGGGAGATTTCAAACAAATCTAATGATGCTTTCTGCAGATAGTGTATATTGAAAACCGATGTGATCTTGCCGTCTTCTACCATGCGATATTTTTCAAAGGGATCATCGATATTTGCTGCATATCTTGACTTAAAAATACTTCTCTTTGATTAATCAATTATAGCGAAGTAATTATATATTCGGCAAAAATTATTTACGATTTACCAAGATGTTCATTGAATTTCGTTGGTGTATTTTCGTTAAAACTAGCAATGCAAATCCATTTATGTTGCATTAAATATTTAATAAGCCAAAAAAATTGATTACGAATATAAATATTTTCAAAGCTCATTGAACGTCCGCTATCATCATCGATCAATGTTTTATCAAAATCAATTGCTAAAATTTTTAATGGACTATCAAGAATTTTCTTTGCTAACTTTATTATAAGATTTTGTTCATCTATAGGTACTTTGGCTTGTTCTGAACGTACACGTAAATGGTTTATTCGAGAAAATATATACATCGAATTAAAACACACAAATAATATAAAATGAATAAACAGGAAAAAGAAAAGAGAAAACGCGCTATGACAATAAAGCATCAGTTGTTGTTGTTGTTGTTGTTGTTGTTGTTGTTTCAATTGGTAAAGTTGGAGTATCATTTGATGTTTTATCTAATAGAGAATTAATAGCTTGTTGAAATGCTATATAATGTTCTTTATTAATAAATTCATATTGTTGAACTGGTTCGGCCTAATTAAAAATACAAGAAATTTTCAGAGACTAACAAATCCATAACTGCTTACAGATCTTAAAAACCATTTATGTCTCATATCAATCATATCTTTAGCACATGAGCCAAATCGTCTATGACAAGAATTGATAATTTGTGAGCTAGATTTCGTTTGTAATTGTTTCATAAAATGTGTTAATGGTGATGATTGAAATTCTCCTGCATTTAACTTTTCTTTTTGCTCCTTTGTTAACAAACGCTCAGATACACCAAGTAAATTAATGCTATTATCTACACGAGCTATACGTGATGTAACTTGAGTATTCATTGGAATACGTTTATCACGAGATAGCAATGACCAATCCATAGACATGTAAGCTTCAAGAGCCGCTATAAGAAAAATAAATTCTGGTTTAATGTAAACAAAAACTGTTGAATTTTGATTTTACTTTGTTTTGGTATAACTGGCTCTTCAATATGTTCTTCAGAGTCGGTTACATTTTCTAGACCTATAAGAAATATAATGTTCGTTCATTTTGTTTTTCAAAAAGGTTATATTTATTTTTGCATGTAATTACCTTTTTCTTTCCCACGCCGATGTGTCGAACGTCTAAATAAATCATTATGTAAAATGTTTGAAATATCAAATGCGTGTACTTACTTTTTTTCAGGTGAAGATCTTGTCACATCTCGACGATCGCTAGCACCTCGTGATTTTGATGAGGATGGCGGTGGTGGTGGTGCAGGTAAATTACGATCTTTTGAACCATTACTTTTGCCAGGTCTTGATTCGGGTTTTTCTTTATATTGACGACTTGATGGTTCATCTCTTGATGAAGTATTTACAGGGCGACGACTATCCGATCTACAATATACATTAAAAGAGATTTTTTTATAAATATTTTTTTTTTTGTTAATTCGGCAAACCGGTTGCTTGTTGATCGATTATCATTTTCAGTTTTACGACTTGTTGCTGGCTTTTTTGAACTATCTATAAGATGAAAAGAAAATATTCGATTGCTGTTTGTACAAAAGATATATTTACCGTCATTAAGTCGTTTACGTTTTGTTTCAGTATTGTCATTAGTTTTTTCTTTGCTACGATTTTTATCGGAATCATGAGAACGTTTCGCTGGTTTAGAACTACTTTTATCACTCTCATGAGTTCGTTTGACGGGTATTGTCGACGATTGGGGCACAACTTTTTTATCGGTGGATGGCGATGGAATAGAATCGTCATCGTCAAGTATAACACATATTGGTGATGGTGGTTGAACAGATGTAGTTTTTTCAAGTTCATTTGAAAGTGTAACAGATCCTTTTTCTAATATGTCAGAGGTTGTTGTTATTGAAGGTGATGGAGAGAGTTGTACAATTGGTGGAGTTAATTGTGAAGCACCTTTGAAAATAAACATAATTAGAATACAAGAATAATTATGCCAAAAAGTATACTACGATCCGATTGTTCAGATGAATTTCTAAAAATAAAAACATAAAAAGAGATTATTTAGTAACACTTTATCTGCATCGGAAATGAGAATAGCTCACTATGTCAAGTTTTTCTTTTCTTTTTAAACATTTATTCGACGTGTTTTATTTTTAATTAACTTAAATCAACTGTAATTGACACTTAGTCGGTCTAATCTAATTTTAGAACGATGCTGATATATACAATAGAACCAATATCTTCTATTGTTTAAAATCAAATTGTTCTTTGCAGAAATTATAACTATACAATGAACACAATACTAGACATGAACATGATCGTCTTGATCGGAGTTCAACTATACTCTCCGGCGTCATCATTTATGTCTACGTGCGTTTAATGTCGTCTTGTTCATTTACATCTGTAAACATATTTCGTCCGCGATTATTTTTTCTTTTTTTTCCTAATGCTATCATAGTCACTGTACATCGAAGTTTTGGACGACGCTTCACGTAATTTAGTTCAATCTTTCTACAGACGTACGACATGACCTAGTGCATCAATAATCTTAATCGTTTATTTATAGTGTACGAGTGAAAATATAAATGACATGAATTATTCATTTGAGTATGTAATGATATTATGAGTTAGTCAATGTTCTAATCACATGTTTATCATGATTTTGAAGGTGTTATAAATTGGATGTATTTCGTGACTGAGATGAACAGTTGGTTACTATAAATAGTACAGCTTACTGTGCTTTATTTGATTGATGCTTCGTGTCTTCTATTTTAACTTGCATATTTCTATCATTAATCATTGCATTGTTAGTTGTTGTCACAGATGAACGCCGTTTTTGTTGATCGGATGATGATCTACTAGGTGATTTTCTTTCTCGTTTAATATCCATTGATTTTTTATTATTTTCAGCTTGTTGATGTATTGTTTCGATAGATTTTTTATCTCGACTAATGATTTTTGATCCAAGAAACTCAATATCTGGATTTGATTTTGTATATTTACTAGTTCGTTTTATATTTTCATCCTTTTTTCTGTCTGTTATAACAATCGTACGTTTCGGAGATTTAACATTCGTTTGTGTCTGACGTAATAATTGATCATTAAGAGTTTCATCTTCATCATATTGTGGTGATATTGACTCGCGAGGTTTATATTTTGTTGATGTTGAATGTGTATCGGATTTCTTTTTACTTTTATGTGATGAATGAGTATATTCAGAATCTGATGTCGAATCAACAGGTGAATCACTACGAAAAATAGACGACATAATTTTCTAGTTAATGAATAGAATACATACCTATCCATAGAACGTTTATTTTTGCTTGATGGATGACTTTTTTTCTTTACTGATGATTCATTTAAATTCGATGATGATTTTCTTTTCGTATCAGAACTGCGACGTTGAGACTAGTGGGGAAAAGGGTTTTTCTTTATAACAATAAACCAAATGGCAAAATTTCAGCTTACTTGTTTATGATCAGAACTACTCAGTCGACGATCTAAATTATATTAATTTAGAAAAATTAATTTAGAAAAAAAAATTAATTTCTTTTTACTCGACTGCTCATTTGATGTCAGGCCACTTTCAATAACAGTTCGACTTGATGGAGTAGAAGTTGAACTCGAAACAGCTCGTTGTTCATTCGATACAGTTACAGTACTTTTTATTGATGGTAATGACATATCGACCACTCTTGTTATTGTCTGAATCAATGAGAAAATAAATGCAGAAGGATTTCTTTTTTCGTCTCAATATACCTTTGTTATGCGCAATTCTCCTTTTGATCCTTGCTGTTTATCAAGACTAAACGAAAAGAAAATGATTCGAATAAAAAAGAAAATTATTTATTCTTTATTTTACTTGGGCTGCTCGTGTATATATTTACAAGTATCACCTAACGGACACGTACCATCTTTTATATAAATATTACAGAAACCGTGTGTCTATTAGAAATTTTAGTATTAATTAAAGATTATCAACGTATTTAATCCAATGAAACATACACTTTTATGACTAGTATTGGCTGTGCTAGAAGGTGAACTATTTCCTCCACCGCGTTCGATACGCTCAAATACACTTTTTTTCATTGGTGTATGCGACATATTTAGTGTATTCTTATTAAATATGCATGTAAATTTGCAATTGAAAAATTCAAGATAAATACGAACAGAATTGTTGTCAAGAATAAGACCTTGAAAATAGATTTTCTGGGAGAAAGAAAACTTATTTGAGTTGAACTAAGACGTTTTGCTAATGGTTAACATATTTTTACGAATCAGAATTTTTCCTATGTGTCGCCACATTTCCCATCTGACCAGGTGATTCATTTCCTGCTCTATTATATTTTTTAATGTTTTTCTCCTCTCGAATAACATTGTTCTGTCTTGATTATTCATGTATTCATTAAGAAAAAACAGAAGACGAAATTACTCTATGATGATTTACATAAATAAATAAACAATTCAAATTTTATGATAAACAGTATCATTGGGCTAATTTATTGTTATATTAAAGATTAAGCGTTATTTATCATTGATAAATTAGTCGAACCTTGTGCGTAGAAGTTTAAATGACACAAGTAGAGAATCTATCCTTTTAAACTTTACAAAAATGATAAATATTAGAATTGAAATATTTTTTTTTATAGATGAATGATTCGTATGATATACCGAGTGAGCCTCGTCTCTCCAACAATCTTCAACTTAGCCGACCACCACCACAATCAAGAACAAAAATGAAATCCAAAAAGAAATTATTATTCACGCCGTCGGATTCAACACCTATTTCTCTTGATCTCGATGATACTGTTCCACTTGATGGTAAGTAATAGTTGATTGAAAAAAAAAAGAAACTTTATCAATAAGAAGAACGACATTATGTTTCTTTTGCTCTTATCTTTTTATGAAAGCTTGATGTCGCATGTAACATTGCGATATTAACCTTTCGACACATTCTGGTTTGTCTTATCTGATTTTATCGTTTGTTAAATTTAATGTCCAATGATTTCATATGAGAAAGAAACTTGAGCATTGACTAATATTGAAAATGTGCTTAAAAATACAATTAAAGTAAAGTATTAGTTTCTGATATTTAAATAGAAACATTATAAACCCCTACACAGATTAGAAGCCCACCCCCTGGGTTAGATTTCTCCGTTGGAAATCAAGGTTTACTTCATGAAAAATGAACTAAAACCGAAAGGATGAACATTTCTCTATCAAATAACGCAAAAACTGGCATCAGGACATGCTTTGTTACAAAATTATAGCTTGCGGAACAGAGACACCACCCATGGGCTTCTGTTCTATAGGGGAATTTAATATGAATATGCTTTGACATTTTCTAATAAGCGAGAATCGATGAATATTTTTTACCGCTCCTGAAAATTTTGATATTAGTACACGATTGGATTATTCAATAAACATTTCTCATATTCATACTCGACTAGATGAACATATCTACTTATTCTTTGAAAATGTTCGTTGTAAGAACAACTATTTAAAGCAAGTTCGATTTTTAATCATCCTTCTTCGTTTTTAATTACTTCGATAATTTATAATTGCTATGACTTTTTAATCAATATTTGTAGATGTTCGGTTGATAACAAAACTGTCAATCATTTCAAAAAGTGAAGAGCATGAAAATATTTGGTAGATAGTGATTTTTGAGTATTTGCCTATGCTTTTTCTAGAGGATTTAAACACTCAACCTTTTCCTGCTCAAGATGCCTGATAGATAAATGGGTCTAATCTCCATAGTTTTGTTTTAGTAGTCCTCTTGATAAATTGAGTAACCGAGTATAAAGACAATCTATTTTTATTACTATTTCTTCAGTTAAAATGTTCTTTTTTTCTTTAAAATAGATTCAACCATCGACATGAATTCCAACATTTATTTATCTTCGCAATTCATTGAAAATTCCTCATCATATGTAAATGAATTAGATCCACCAAATAATCCTTTACCCGATGATTTTTATGCTATACCTCGTCAAAAAGACCGTCCTATATGTGATACATATAATACTATAGTAAATTCTGCTGAAGATGTTAGTCCATCGACACCACCAAACGGTTTTGAAAATGGTCATATTTATGCAACGCCGCCAACATTTTCGAAAAATTTTGTTATTGAATCAAATGTATCATTTGATGATAGTCAAGATGTTCCAAATATTTCACTTGATTCCGTACCTGATTTAATCAATGACATTCCAAATAAAAATGATATTTATTATTCTTATCCTGAGCCGCAAATTAATACGGTAAAGAATAATTTCTTTTGCTAAATGCTCACTTCGTTGTCGTTTAAATAAAAAAAAAAAAAACAACAACAACAACAACAACAAAATATATAAACAAGTTATTGAATGTACTTTTTACATGATAGGAACGAAAGAAAAAGATGATATGAGTCAGACAAGTATGCAATACACTACGACGTTGATTTGTCCTATTTTGTCTATTGCTCGCTATGCGTGTTTCTCTTTTGTTTGTGTGTCGTGATAAAAAATAATAATCCTTAATCGATTTGAGGTGCATATGAGTGTTTAATATTTGGATGCATCATGTTTTTGTGTTTTAGCAGCGTCGAAAACTTGCCAATAATAATGGCAATAACGATATGTTTATTTCAAAATTGAATCAAGTTATTAAACAGCAAGCTGTTCAACGTCAACAAATTCCAACATCCATGAAAAAAGATGAAACAAAAAATTAGTAAAAGACTTTTCAAAATTAGTAATAAAGAAAATATGAAAGGAATTTCCCTTTTGTTTGTTTTAGTTACTCGATAGAACCAATCGAAGATAAACCACCATTAGTTCTACCATTAATTGACGAGTTAATCAATGCATCATTAAATAATGATAATATTTCCATTACATCAGGTTTGTAGAAAAAGAAGTGAATAAAAAAAAATATATATGAAGAATTTCGTATTTTTTAAAATTTAGATAAAACAACTGATTTTCTTGATGTTGTTCGAGAAAATGCAAGTAATTGTAAATGTGCTGATTGTGATTGTGAATATCCAACAGTTGCAATTATGTCTTGGCTTTTCGTTATATGTCAAAAATGTGCTGGTAAGCAAATAAATATGTATATATGTATAGTATATAACTGGAGCAAAGTTTTGTAACCTGATTGACGTTGATAAGGCTGCAAATATAATGCTGATAGTCGCTTAAAAGAGAAGAAACAAATTCTCTTGTATGGAGATTAAGAGATTAGCTAGACTTGTACTAGTAAAAGTAATGAAAGATTTTTATCTGATGCAACTGGTTAACCCGACCCGACTTCCCAGTTGAATGGTTCTTTTAACTCGCGCGCTACTCTACGTATTGAGGATGTACTAAACTTTTACAGATTACAGAAGGTCGAATATAAATTCTCACAGTAAAATATTCAATAGTATCAAAGGGAAGAAACTTGACTGAAAACAAAAACGACACTTAGTGGTGACTATCATTTGAATTTGAGCTTAAATAAATGCAAAAACACAGTGAATTTGTAATCGTTTTTGTAACATGATTATCTATATTTTTTTTCTCATTAGCTATTCATCGTTTTTTAACATCTGATTTTCTTCGTTTACAATCACTTACAACAACATCATGTGATCCTGATTTAATTGATTTATTACATGATTATGGAAATGAATATTCAAATAAATTATTAGAGAATCATTCTTTGGGTATATTAAAACCAACGTATACATCGACACAACTTGAACGTGAACAGTATATTAGGAAGAAATATTTAGATAAAATGTATCTTCAACCATTACAATTCAATAGAATTAATCTTACACAAGAGCAACTTGATGCACTGCTATATGAAAATGTAGAAACATTGGATTGTGGAAAAACTTTACATTTACTTATGCTAGGGGCAAATCCAAATTTTTCACAAAAAATGTTTGCTGTTGCTGATCATGCAAAACGTCATCAACAAATTAGACAAATGAAACTTATTTTAGCTAATGGAGGTATTATAATTTTCATACAAATCAAGATAAACGAATAGTTAACCGAATAGAGCGATATTTTATATTGTAAGAATACTTTCGAAAAAGACAATGGACTGCTTAGCAGGCACTTGTTTTAACAGTTTTCTGATACATCGCCGTATTCTTAGTATTTGAATAGTCGTTTTTCTATATAACGTAAGCAATTGTTGGAAAGCTCAAGGAACTTTTAACGAAGTATTAAACTATAATACAAAGTTTGAGATAAAATTAGTGTCCTTATGAGCATTAAAGCAAATCTTCAATTCCTTGTTATATATTTTATTAAAAATTGAGGTAATAGAATTTGCTTAGAATAAAGGTTTGTGCTCATAGGTAGTTTCAGTAGCCTTAGAATGTTTTCAATGATTGTGCGGGAGGAAATATCTTGCGACAACACATTCAATCTCTAAAAATACTTATCATGCACATCTGTGGCACAAAACTCGAATACACTTAAAAAGCGACCACTGTCAAGAGAATATTTTCGTCTGTTATTGGTTTTAACAATAAAATTTAGTTCATAGCTAACAATTACTTCTGAAGTGCTGCGTGAGCGAATTCTTTACGAGTCTTTATGGTGGAGTCAATATGAAATCAAGCGACATATGTAAACTGAGGTACATTTCTATTCTAGAATATTTTGTGACATCTGTTTATTATTGTTTTTGCTTTATTACTCATCAATTCTTTTCAGTTGAAATAGTATGACGAATTTGATAGATTGAAGATTTCGAAGATTGATTATTCTTATCGATGAAAACCATAAAATAGTCATGATATCAAGATTGCATTGAATCATCATCTGTAAATTTGACGTGTGATTTCTAAAATTCATATTGGAAATATTTTTTGCTGATGTGAAAATTATAAGCGAGAAAAGGACTTCTTGAGTTTAAACATCAATATGACTAATAGAAATCGAAAAGGTTTCGTAGCCGTAGATTTCTTAAATATACGTACTATATAGAGTAATCGAACCTTTGAATTGAATCAAATCTTTGTACATATTTGCTTACGATTAACCCGCAAAATATTTTTTTAAGTATAAGTAACCCAGGTCGAACAGTCCAGCCTGGAAACGGCGGGTTCCGAGTAGTTCCGTTGATTTTGTGGAAGCAGTATTCCGGTTGGAAAATTTTCGCATGTTTTCCGATCAATTTCTGCCGGAAAGCACCGGAACTTGGCAGGGATTCTCCGGTAAAGCCCGGCCATATTTTTGACCGGAATACTGCTTCCATGCTGCAGGATTTTTTCCGTGTTTTCCTGCAGGATATGTTGACTTTCCCGCACATTCCCTGGAGTATCCTACGGGATCCGGTGGCCGGAATGTTCTACCTGGAAAGTAGTTCAAAAATCGTTTTTTCTTCGTGCTGAGATTACGACTTATTCTACTGCAATTATCAATCTACAAAAGTTAGAAATTATCACAGATACATTTCTACTTTAAAATATTTCCTTATTTCTCAAGAAATAAAAGTGAGTGTACACCATCGTAGATGCAATCTTGTTTTTGTTTTGGCTATTGAGTTTCTCCTTCATACTTTATTATTTCATACTAGAATAATAGTTAATCATCAACTAAATGCCGTTTTCTCCGAATAAAAAAGAATCAAATCGTTTCATTAGCTTTGAAATCACAAGTTAACCTTGACTTTTTCTACAGTGAACAACAAACCAGGCAATGTTCAATGTAATATCCGAGCTTTTCGTATGAACATGATTTATTTCAAAATTCTCAGCAATAATGTTCAAGATGACATTCGAAAATTCATCCCTTGCGTGAACGATTTTACCCCGAAAATTCTTGTTGTATGAATGAAGAAATTAATTTCCTTTATAAAATTATTTGAACTGTTTAGAAGATTTTCTTCTAGTGTTCTCCGCTGTGCCTTCTAACACTTGAGATAAGAATAATACGTATACGTGTATTCATATTACATTTCAGCACGTACTTAGGAAGATTTTTTTAGAAGGCTGAATGATAGATAAAAGGAATCCTCTTCTGAAAATCATTGAATTCATATTCTTATCTTTATATATTAGGAAGTCTTGTTCTTCTATGAATTTGCCTGTTTCCGTGTCTCCCCTATCAATCAACAGTCCTTGATTTGTTTTCTTTGAATAAAAATGTCTTCACGTTTTTTTACTTTGACATTTAAATAAAAACTTCTTCTTTTTATCATATTTCAGGCTTATCTGAATTCGATCTGATGAAAACAAATACAGATGATCTAGATCTTCAACCGTACGAAACCACAATTCATTTAGTAACAAAACATGGAATTTTAAAAGAATTTTTAACTCGTTATGAAACTGATCGTATCAAAATCTATTCAATAACAAGTACAATTGACAGAAATAATCAACAAAATATTCGATATTTATTCGAAATCGATTTAAATAATGTTCTTGCTGTATGTAATCAATCTGTTAATTCAATCTCACTAAAATCACGTTCAACAAATATTCCAACAATAAATACAAATAGCCAATGTACATTAATTGTTGACGAACAAACATCATTTAATGAGTATGTTTGGATATTTCCAAACGAAATTGAACGTGCCCTATGGATACGTGAATTATTAAAACGACAATATTCGTATCATCAATTAATTTATTCCGATTTTATTTTACTAACAAAATTAAATGTACAAGAAGGTATTAATGCCGAAAAACAACAAGTTATTGCAGTCGTGTATCCAGGAAGATTTGTTATTTGTTCAGATACAATATTTGATCAAGTTGATTTAAGAAAATACTGTAGTTTAAGTAAGTTTTTATAGTATTTTTTAAAAATTTCCGTTTTGTTTATATATACATATTTGCTTTCCATAGCTCATCAAAAAAGTGAAGAATTTACAGGGGCTGTTCTTTGTCTTGTCTCAAATCGTTTTCTTTATTTATCATCGCCAATATCAAAATTATCTGATATGTTATATTCATGTCTTCGAGAGGCAACTAAAGTTAAAACTTTAACAGATTTAAGTTGTCAAATATTAACATCCCAAAATGTACCTGTAATTGTTGAAAGATTAATTAATTTTATTTTCGAACATGGCTTAGAGAGCAAAGGTAAATTAAGTAGATTATTTAATAAAATCATTTTCTTAATTTTTCGACTGACTTCGGCTGAAATAGAATTTAATTAGTGTTTGAAATGAATTCATATAGAAATAGTCAATCGGTAAATTCTTTCTTTAGTAATTAAGATTATTATCGATGATAGAAATATCGTGAGTGTTTTTTTTTCGAATCATATAACTTGACGAAAATAAATTTCTCACCTTTGCAAATCGCTTGTGTATGGTAAGGGTGTGGGTGTGGTTGAGGTGGTCACCGTGTTGTCAAAATAGGCAACGTTACTAAAATAATTGGAAAGTCTTCTTCGCAAGTTCTAAACTACTTTTCGTTTATTATGCATGCCTAATTTATTTGTTCGAATCACTATTTTCCTCTAATATTAACATGATAATGCAATTAGTGCTAGTTTCAGCTTTACACTACAAAGTTCGGGCTGCTTTAAAAAAAAAGCTTTTGTTCTTCAATTACAAAATTTTTGACCCATTTTCGTAGACCCGGTATAATTCGGGTGTTACTTACATAAATAAAAATCTGATACAGTAGAACTTAATATATGTTTCTGACATCTTTTTGGTCAAATACTGTACAGAGTGAGATCATAATCTAAATTCATTAGATAGAATCACAACGAACAGACAGCAATGGCCTTCTTTTCAATAGTATTTCTTTTTTACATAAACTGACGAGTTCAGTCATTTTTGATTATTCGTCTAGCAAATGTCAATATTAATGTAATAAAAAATGTCTACGAAATCATCTCGATATGAACGTATTTTTAGTGAAAATGGGAGTTTCGGAAAACGGAAGACAAAATTTAAGTGATGTTGTTAATGATATTTTATTTTTAAGAAACTTTCGAAATATTTATTAGTTTTGTTTTTGGTTCTCGTTGAAAATCAATAAAATATGTTGAAACAAAGTGAAGATAAACTTCATGCTGACTTTTACTTGAACCTGAAACTCTAAGGATATGGTAGGATATAAAATGAAAAATCTCTGTGATAGAGCAGGGCAGGACTAGGGTAAGAACGTCATACGGCAGAGTGGGACAAGGGTGCGAAGTTATACGATAAGGTAGGGTTAGGATACAAATAACTCTTAGCCTGCGGGACTCTATGTGAAAGCTGCTCATTATTTTCGTAGATCTTTTCTAATTATTTATTATACTCAAAGCAACCATCTATGATTCTTCTCTCTTTTAATATTGATTCCAATGACTAAATAAGAAATCGAACGTATGAATCTAGTGAAAACAGCGTTCATCTTGTTAGTGATACGTAACATAAAACTTAGAAAGAGTATGCGATAGATCTAATACAATAGTCATTTCCTTGCTATAGTGAAGTTGCTATCAAGTCAATTATATATTTTTTTGTCCCTTACTCTTGAGAAATTCTGGCGTATTTCTACATTAGACAGAGTATTTATATGATCATAGGTAACACTTATTGTTACATCACTTCTTTATAACAATATTACGTAAAGACATCTTTCTAGAACAAATCTATGCTAAGTGCAACCTACGCAATCTTAATTAAAAATCTCTTCGTCGTCATAATTCCATGCAGAAATTTTGACATATGATAATTACAAAAGAGCTTATTCATAATTCTGTAAATTGTAGCTTCTGGAAGACACGGCAAAGTGCTTTTTCTGAAAATTTCCTCTACGTCCAAGAACCGATTAACCTCCATACAAAAATAATTTACTCAAATAGACATAAAAGCAATTAAATGGTAATGACGCAACTCAATTTGAGTGAGGTCCGTCTATACTAATCAGAATGTGACTTTGATATTTATGAAAAAAGCTTCTTTCCTTTCAATAATCTAACTACTAAATTAAATGTCATCCATCCGAGATATGACTTTTTTTGAGAAAAAAAAGCATTATCATTCATCACTTTCAGTTTTTAGAGTTTATTAGCTTGATTATATTAAAAATACTCGTTTTTTTTTATCAACAGGTGTTTTTTCACACAATAACATTGATTTGTTTTTGATTGCACGAGACTGAAAAAAAATGAAATAAAACTCGTTCGAATGAATCAAAACTAAGATTTTTACCGGTGACACTGCGAAAAAAGCCTATAACCTTTTCTCTATAGAGTATATAAGAAAAAGCCTACCGAGTCTACTAATGTATCGAGAACAAAAATATTGATAAAGGTGTCATTTTCACATCGCACTATAATGTTTATCATTCTATGGCGAGATAGCTAAATCAAAGAAATATTTTACTTGTGCTTTTTTTTCGATACAGGTGTTTACCGTCAAGCTGGACAAGAAACAAGAATAAAACAATTATTAAACGAATTACTTGAAGATCCATTTACAAATTCATTAACTCGGGAAAATTATACTGAACATGATGTAGCCAGCGGTTTAAAACGTTTTCTACGTCAATTAGAAACTCCTTTATTGGGCACACGTCAAAATTATGATGCGTGGTTACGTTCAACAGTTGATTCTAATATACCCACTGAACAACTTATTCAATACTATCGTGGTTTACTTGTTGATTTAAAACATAATTATCCAATACATTATGCAACATTACGGAAAATGTTATTACATATTCATACTGTTTCTATGTTATCGAATCGAAATGGAATGGTTCTATCGAATCTCGTTTCAACATTTGCACCGTGTATTATATCTCAAGCGCTTGCACCTCCACCGCCGCCACCACCGCCTCTCGTCAATACCAACGCTGGGGAGACACGGGAACGTCGCGGGATGTCCTTAGATGATATCGATATGAAATATTCAAAAAAGCAAGAAGATAATATTTCGTTATTTAATGATGAAACACAAGACTCGATTGGTCTTCTAATGAATACGTCTACACCAGCAAAACTTAAACGAAATCAATCCCTTCAGTGTAAGAATTAAAACTTATTTGTAAATTAGAATGTTTAGTAGTTTTCTACTTTCATGATTGACCGTACCATTTTAAAGGTAGTATGAAAACCATCTATTTTGTCTGTATAAGTCTTTGATATGTGTCTTATATATCATTGCATAAAGTACTGAACAGAGAGAACACAAAATAGAAGATGAAGGAATCCTTATAAATATTCCTCAAATTTGTTAAAATTCATTATTTTTGTATTAAAAAAACGCATAAATAGGTGTAGTAAACTTACAAATCTTCTTTTGTCAAGATATTCAATTACCAAAAAACTATTCGTTTACCACAGAAATATCACAAAAATTGAGTTTAACTTGAAGATAAAATATGTCGCTCAAAGATTCATTAGAATTATCCATGTGAAAAATTTCTTAAAAATAGCTATATTTGGATGTCGAAGGTGCATGAAGAGGAAGAGCTTTAGACATTTTTTTGACTTCTCATTAAGACTTTTATTTAAATTTAGTTGAATCACAAATGACTTTTTTTTATATGACATATGTTTAGGAAGTTGTTGATTGGATTTTTTCAGACGTAACTATAGAAACATATGTTAAGTGGCACAATATTGTTGATGACAGATGACAGGGAAAATCTGAATGAAGATTCAACAATAAATTTGATTAGCTCGTGGCCGATTTTTAGAAGTAGAAACAGAAGTTCTATCTCGTAAAAAGGCGATTATATTTTTATAATGACATTCTCTTTAGTAATAAATAGTTTCAAAGCTGTAGTATAAATAATAAACTGAAAGTGCTATCGGATAGTGTTTCATCGATTTTCTACCGATGAGGTTGCTGGTTTGAAACCAAAAACCATTCTTTTGAAGTAAAAACAGTCTATATCAGTTTCATCAGTATTCTTGTATGCAATCACTTTCTCTAGCTTAATCATTCTAATATCTGCCTATCATTTACTGAGATAAATAAATCCGAAAAATGATTTTATTTTGTATTAGCTTGCTTCAATTGTTCTATTATATCGTATATTCGCTCTCCAATTTCTTTGCTTTCAAAACCTGTCAGATCTTGCCTATAGACTGATTGATAGTCAATTGTTTAGCAGAATATTTTATGTGATCCAAACAGAGACTTTACAACATATATTCACTTAAACATGTTCTGGTATCTTATACTCCATCAGTTCAAGTGATGAAAAAACGGATAAAAAACAGCGTTGTCATGTTTTCTTTTCGATAGGGAATAGCAATTAACTTGAAACCTAATAATTAATTCGTAATGAACGTGTGCCATGTCTATGGTTTTGTGAAAGATAAGAATAATGAATTTTACAATCACATGAAATATTTTAGTTGCTGTCATATATACAAATGACTCAACGATGGAAATGCCCGAGAAGATTTAATAGGAAATAAAATTGTACTCGATGAATTCCATGAAATAATATGACTATTAAAAACTTGCTTTTTTAGCTTCTCGTGCTTCGATGATTTCAGTATCGCCGCCGTCACATTTTCCACTATCATCATCGTATGCTCGTGTAACACCATCCATCCAAGCGGACCTTGAAATAATGAATAATCTTTGTCAATACTATCGTGAACTATTTGATGTAACCAATGATGAAATTGATCATGAAAAAAAGTGTGTTGAAGCATTAATATCACTACGAAATAATCAATGTCAACCACGTAAATTAGATGGTACCATGGTTTCAGTCTATTTTGAATCACGTGCTGATGAATTAAATGGCTATGCAATAAATATTCTCGAGCAAGAAACAACAGCTAATCATGTTATTGATAAATTATTAAAACAAATTAATAAACATGACTGTTTCTTTTGGGCGTTGTTTGAAGTTATTATAGATCAAAATCTTGAACGACCAATGTATTCATCAGAAAATATATCTAGTGTTTTAAATCGTTATCGAACTTATTTACCACAGGAATTGAATCGACAAGCAACATTTGTCGTTAAACTTAATTATGTGCAATTTGAAAAAGAACGTCTACAGCAGCAACCTCAACATGATCTAACATCTATTGAATGTGAATATTTTGATTTAGTTAGCAAACGTTGGATACCTTGTTTATGGATATATGAAAAAACAAATGTAAAAACTACTGTTTTTTGTTTTTGAAAAAAATAAAAAGATCGAATATCTCAATTTGTTTTCTATTTAGCTTCTGATTCATCGAATATCAAGTGAAAAATCCATGAAATGGAAATCTCGTTTCACAAATTCTTCGTCTACGCAAAATAATACCTATCGAAAGGAGGCAATATTAAATTCAAATACAATACTATCCGATCAGCAATCATTAATATACTCGTGGTTTATTCAAGATTTATATGTTTATATTGGTGCTGATCGTCGTATTGTAAATCCGTTTGATATGAATGAATATCGTACATTAACGATATTAAATGTTGATTTAATAAATGAAACAACATTTGGTACTGCATTTCGTTTCAATGGTCGCCATCAGATGTTTGCTTGGTATTTGGAATTAGTACGAATAAATGGACACGATCAATGGGCAAGACAAGCATCACATACGATACCTGATGGTGTTAACTATTTACCATTACAAAATTATCATACACCATCGGCATCATTGTTATCAACGAGAAAAAAATCCGAACAAATAAAAACAAAATTAATTACGAAATCAAGTTTTGTTGCGTCTAGTTTAGGCAAGCAATTGCGAAAATAACTTTGCTTTTGTCTCTCAATATACGGTGCTATGTTAATAAAACGAACAATATCCTTTTTTGCTTGTTTTTCTTTTGTATATCTTTCAAACTTTTGCCGTTGTTATATTACTGTCTGGTTTCGCAATCTGTCTTTTTTTTGGTTCGTGTCAATATCGAAAAATCTTCTTTTTTTCTGTCGCACTCATTTAATCACAAAAAAAGAAATGTTCCTCGAAAACATTTTGATAGAAGTTAACAGAAAAATAAAGATGATACTTCTTTTAGATAAAAATGAATTTTTAAATTGTAGTACTTATCAAAATTTTCAATGTACATAGCAACGTTATTGATCAACAATTTTAGTTCTTCCAGTCACAAAAAGAGGTGTGTACAATCGAAAAAAACATTTTCTGTAGAATTTGACTAGAAAAAGCCTTCGACAAAACAACCAGTAAAAAGTTTTGCCAATCATTTTTTATTGTGTCTGGTTCTTTTCATTCTTTCCAAATGCATCGATAAAAATAGGAGAGAAGGGGCGCATTGCACGACCTCTTATATAACACATCATTTTACCCCATTTATATTTACATTGGTAAGACTTTGTAACTCGAAGCATCGAGGACATTGTCTCTCTATTTCGTACTGTTCTTCCATTCATCTATCGCTTACATAAGAAACTACTTATTTTCTAATGAAAACACAATATCCAATGAGAGCACGGAGAAACAAAATGTAACCTTGCTGGTGACATAATCTATGTTGGCGAAAGCAAAAATGTACTAAAACACACGCGAAAGTAGAGTAAAATTTCTGTCTTTCAATTAGTGACAAGTTAAAAAGAAAATTTTTTTTTTTAATTTTTTTAAAAATTTTTTTCTTAAGTTTTTTTTATATGTTGTTCATGCAACAGTATCAACTAGGTCATCATGATACTTGAGCCCATAACAAAATCGAGTTACATCAGTGCATCCGATGCACATAGAGTTACTGTGTTGTAATCAGTTGAAGAAGGCCATGTAGAAAAGGAAAAATAAATAGAACGATGAAGAATACGAGAAAGCGGGGGCAGACGAGAAAAAAGGAATTGAAGAACGAACGATAAACACTGCTCACGTAATCGATTATTTTCTGTTGATGTTGCGAAGATTCATTTCTAGAACACTTGATAACTAGTATATAATAAAGAAAAGTTATCCATGGCTCACTAAAATGATTGTTTCTCTAGAATTTAGTCAATTATGTTTTCAACAAATAATCGCTCGACGTTGAGGAAAACTCGTTCTCGGCGTCAAAAATCAAAACTAAAGCCACATCATTCAACGCAATCAACAAAACTAGATCACAGAACAACAACACCAAATTCATCTTTAATTCATCGTTTTCACGATATATTAAATGATTTGAGACCTTCCTGGACACGTTTTCTATCATATAGTATTCTCGAACTCGAACCGATCTGCCATCAATTAGCTATACAACAAATGTCATCAGCAACATCCGTTACGGAATATTGTCCATTAGCTTGTGTATTTTGTCAAAGTTTCATCTATGAACCAATAACACTCTATTGTGGTCATACATTTTGTGATCAATGTATGAAAGACGAATCGTCAGCAATAGATTGTCCACGATGCCCACAGGATATTCAAGGACAAATACAATCGCCTATTGTACATGCACGCGAAAATTCTTATGAAAAAAATCGGTTTCTTTTACATATATTTGAACAATCAGAACAGTTAAGAAAGCACTGCCAGACTATTTTACTACGTCGAAAAGGTCAAAACGAATATGCACAAGGAAATTTTCAAAAAGCTATTGATACTTATTCACAAATCATCGATGAATGTATGTAAAGAGCTCAGTGTTGTTTTTTGTTTTCTTTTGATTAACTTCAGTTGATTTCTTAAAGATGATAGTAATGATCATTTGGCATTATATAATCGTGCTAAGGCATATTTAGCTTTACAAAATTATGATCAAGGTCTTTTGGATGCAACACATGTCATAACAGTTAAACCTCACTGGATAAAAGTTAGATTTTACATTTGAATTTATTCTTCTAGTGAAATGCTCTTTTCATTTCTATTAGGGTTATTTATGCCAAAGCGAAATATTATTTGAAATGCAAAATTATACTGCTGCACTTATGTCATCATTAAAAGCACTAGTAATCGATCCAGAGAATCCAACTGGGAAACAATTAATGGCTCGAGTAGCTATTAAAAACAGAAAATTTATTCATTATTTATTTTCTTTTTTGTTTTTAGCATCTTCATGCAGTTTTACATAATATTGATGATGACGATGATGGAGGTGCAACAACAACGGAATCCGAACTGGAACAGTTACAATTAGCTTCGTTGTTTCAGGAGCATCCTGAAGAAAAAAATAGTACAGGTATGTACAAATTTTCGGAAGATATTTACTTGTAGTGCAAGAAATTATTTATGTCTGCATCATACTTTGTTTGCACGTGATATGTTAAGAACATGTGATCCTGAGATATTTATCACGTTTCTAAAAAACAAACAGAGCACTAAATTTCTTCTCTATGACCAGGTTTTTGTGTAATACGAGATGTTTGAGAACTTAGAAAAAGCTATGCAAAGATAGAAACCTTTTAAAAAACGTACATCTAGCATTTATCTTTTATGACAGAATAAAGAAAAATCAGAAATAGGAGTCACACAAATGGACCAAAGGATACATTGTTATGAGTCATTCGAAGATATTTTTATACTGTCTTCGTAAAAGTATCGTGAAAAAACATAATGTTAATTATTTGATTTAACGAGTACGTGAAAGGAATCTTTGAACACCTATTGAAGTATGATAAGATCATATTCATGAGTTTAATTTTACGATAGAATATCTCAATAACGCTCTTGAGAAAGATATACATGTTTGTGTCCTGCAATTCTAGATAGTGCCTCGATAATAGTGAACTCTAGTAATAGTATTATATAGCAGAACATCGACCGGAGTAGAACCGAGGTTTTTTCCCTAATCCGAAATGAAAACAAATTAATTATTAATCTATTTTTAATGATGATATTTTAATCCAGTAATAATAGGAGATCATAGTGCATAATGTTTCCTAGCAGCTTGTATTGCAAACGTACTCAATTAAATCATACAGAAATTTTCTTTAAATATTTCTATTTAAGAAATGAGAGTTACTGATTCATGTCCAATTAATTGTTCTAAAGAATATCAGACAAATGAAAGTGATTATTATATGACTACCGGACAACTAGAACCACCATGTTATGTCATGTGGAATATGAAACACGTATTTTTGTTCTAATAGCATAGAATCGTAGGCCAAACAATATGAGAAGCCAACAAATTCTCACAGGACGCCTTTCGACTGAGATGAAACAATTTGATTAGAAATTTATAAATAGCTTTTCTACAAAAAAAACAAACGACTTTAGGGGATTCCATAATATTACTTTTTCTCTAGTAGTAAACTCAAAGCAATCTTGTCTCGTAAATGATTTTTTTTGCGTTTTCATCCTTTATTATATTGATATAGTTGAAGTACTGAAAACTGTGACTTTGGATTTCCTAGAAATCTTTTCTTCGATGAATTCTTTCCAAAATTTAAGGCAAAACAATAATAATTCTATCGTTTTCTCAATAAGCGATCGAATACTTGTTCGTATCATTGATTTATTGGTATATTTAATTTGGAAAAATGCTTTGGATTTTTGTTTGGTGTTTTAATTCACAAGTTCTTTCCTTGTAGAAAACGATGATAATCAATTGAAAATGTGCAAATTATCGCGTATGTTCATTCGAGTCTATTGTTTTATGAAAATAAAGCATTTCTATATTTCATATAGAATCATCAGGTTCTTGTTGTTGTCTACTACTAGATGGTAAGAATTTAAATTCAACAGATTTTGGATGTTCCATATGTTGCAAGTAAGATCTTTTTCTCTTGTGAACTATAAAGAAGAAGAATTAAACCTATACACTAGCTTACTATGGTTTCCGATAACAACTCCATGCGGTCACGTATTTTGTCGTGAATGTGTGATACGTTCTGTTGATAATACTCAAGCAAAATGTCCGATTTGCAAAAGTTCATTACAAAATGTAAGAATTGTTACAAAATTTGTATTGTATTTAATAGAATTATTTATTGTTTTCTTAATAGTTTTTTCCTATGTTGATACAATCACATGTAAATAAAAGTGAGATTATTTCAAAAATAATCGAAACTTATTTTCCAATTGAATTCAATGAACGACGGCAAATATATGAACAGGAAAACATTCGAGGGTAAGCTGTTGTTGCTTTTTTTTTAATATTCTAAATCGATGTTTGTGTTTACTTCCTTTCTTTCTTTAGTGCTTCAATGTCGTCAACCTTAATGAGTAATGAAGGTCAAACGGAATCACAGATTTTTGAAATCCCAATATTCGTCTGCGTTTTGGCATTTCCGAATTGCGTGTGTCCATTGCATGTATTCGAGCCGCGCTATCGTTTAATGATGCGACGGTCAATTGAGACACAATCACGCATATTCGGAATGTGTGCGTATGATGAGCAAACAGAGTAAGAATAAAAAACAAAAACATGAAAATCCAATTGAAAACAAAAATATTCATTTCCTTTTTTTTATAGTAATTTTGCTGATTATGGTACATTGCTATATATTCGTGGACGTGTTTACACACCGGATGGCCGTTCAATAGTTGACACAATTGGTCAACGGCGTTTTCGTGTTATTGAACGTGGAATGACAGATGGATACAATGTAGCTCGAGTTCAACTTGTAAAAGATCATCCAATAGAACAACAAGAATTCGATGGTTTGTTAATATATGAGACAGAAAAATGGAAGCTAATTTATTTATTTAAAATATATTAGATTTATTTCAACTGAACCGCTACACTTACAATCGTGTCCGTACTTGGTTTGATCGTCTTGATCCACGTAAACAAACGCAAATTGTTCAACGATTGGAAGGCTATCCAATATGTGATGACCTAACGCTAGAATCAAGTAATAATCTTAATTTATTTTATCGCATTAAATACGAGATATGTTTTGGAATTTTTTTAGAGGAAATGAAAGATGTAATAAGAAGTTTTTATTTTCGTCGTTCGAATTACCATTATCTAGTACTCCTTTCCAACAACAAGATGAATACGGAAGTTTTTCGCAACATTTCATAGAAACAGGGTAGAGTGCTACGGTTCTCACCAGTGGAAACCGGATATAGAGTCGTATTGAGACTTATATAATAGGCTTTCAGAAATTTTTGTTGAAATAGTTTTTAAACAATTTTGTAAAAAAAACAAGATCGATTTTCCATAGGAGTTGCTTTTAGCATTGTTTGAACGTTTTACATGGAGTTCAAACAAATTCCTCGATAATTAAATATCGAAAATTTAAGTCATGCGGAGTTTTCTAAATATTCAATAGACAATTTGAATGCTCGCGAGATAATAAAAAGCATTGTTATGCTCCTCTCACGGCGTCAGAAAACCTCCAGGTGAAGAGCGAAAGTTAGAGTGCATGATTCGTCACTACTTAACATCTTTTCTTTTCTAAGGAGAAAAACCATAGCATTCCAAACTTTTACTACCGGAATTTATTTAAAAACACAAACCTAACCATATTGTTTTTAAAATGTGAATGGATGATCCTAGAGGCGCAAGCGTAAATTTGTCATCGTAGGGTTTTATTTTGTCCCAAATATAGATATGAAATTTAGGACTGCTCATGTATAGATTAGGAGTTCTCATTTTAATAAAAAAAAAATGTTAACTATGCATATTATTTACCCAGCTGATGGGCCTAGTTGGACTTGGATTATGATAAACTTATTACCAATCGACGAGCTTCTTCAAAGTACTGCGCTGGCTTCCCAATCATTTCGCATTCGTATACAAATGATTAGTGATGCTATCGATTTTCTCCTTAATCAACAAGAAAATCATCAACAACAACAAGAAGAAGACAAACAAGAACCTGAACCAACAGCTCCGACAAGCAATTAAGAATAGACATGAGCCTTAATTTTAATTTTAATCTGGATAATAATGAGCCCCGGTGGTTTTCATTTCTCTCATAAAGAAAACAGCGAAGAAAACTTACGATGTTTGTTTTATCGTTCATTCTATTTTTTTTTGTTATTATTTCATAGAGATGGTATGTGCTTGCCATTCAATAAAAACATATATATGTAAACAGATGAGGAAATAAAATTATAAGGAACTATTTTCAAAATATTACTGTTATTAGTTCGATAAGAAGAAGAAAAATGATGGATAGTGTTCCTATGATAGAAAAATGTGTTCGCCATTCAATAGGTAACAGTGATGACGAATGAATATGATGATGATGAATATGATGACATTCTGGTGAATTTAAATGTTTATCATTTGCATTTGTTTGAGTTTCTTTATTGAGTTTATGCATTAATGGATGAGAAGATAAGTCAATAGGAGATATTTTGTCTAATTTTGATTGATGAAATTCCAATTGATTATTATGCATCGCTTGTTTAAGCAATTCAATGCGATGAGCAATTGAAGATGACACTGACGATAATGGAGAAGATTGATTTTTTGATGTCAGTGATAATGTTTTAGTTTCATTGAGAATTTGACGTATTTTCGGTTTACTACGTAAACGTCGAAGATATTGTGGTGCATAGAAAGAGCGAAGACTTTGACTATTTGTAATGGTATTTTTTCGAGAAGCATATTGCAATCCAATACGGTTCTCAACGGAGCTCGATACAGGCAATGCTGCTGTAGAATTGTTTCTTTTATTATTAACTGTGATTTGATCTATTGGTTTATTCTAAAATACAAATAAAACTGATAATAAAAATAATTTGAAATATTTACTTTCGAAGTGAATACTCTTTTACTATTCTCTAAAGTAGTTCTATTATGCGAACATCATTTAAACTACATTTAACATTAACAGATACAGGGCTCTATTCATTTATTTCATGTTAGGAAATCTTTGCTACACTAGTTTAAAAACGCTTGTCCGACTAAGAGCACATCCTTAACCTGACAGAAGTTTGAGTATATCAAGAAACTTTGAACTCACAAGTCTCAGTTCAATATTTGAACATCTGTGTCACGTTCAGTGTCTTTTCCAATTAAAGAGACACATCGATCTCTGTCACTCTCAAATTTGTCTACCCATTAACTCAGCTCATCACACGAGCGCGTACAAGAAGTTCTTGGTGTGACTATGAGAAATCTTTAATTATGCTCCAGTTTTCGACAGATACTAACAAATTCTTAAATCATTTAGATTTCAACTTGAAAGTGCCATCACGAATCAGACATGTGAACGCTAGAGTATCCTAAAATTTTCAGTTGAATTTTTCAATATATTCTATAAATCCTTAGATCTATCAATGCCCTGAAGACTGTGTCGTTTTCAGCATATAGATGTGATTGATCATAACTTGATTTCGATGACTCATGAGAATAAACTATTTTGAATTTTTGCTAGTCTGATCGCAAAGCACTTCTTCGCCCAACATACTTGATCTCAAACGGTTAATAACTCTCTATATTATTTAAAGATGAACGAGTGCATTTTTTAGAATCAAGTTCTAGAAAACATTATAATGAATTATCGAATGATGAGTATTCGTGAAACAATGAGGAATAGAAATATCTTGTGAATTGATCTTTTCTTTTCAACATTTCTTACTGCATTTTGCAAGCGATAATTAACTAAATCAGGACACTTTTCTTTGATAGGTACTGATTTTGATGAATTTAACTGTGAACATGTTGTTTGTTTTGCTGATAATGCTTCATGATGATATTGATTTTTATCCATGTGTTTCTCTTGATGAATACAATGTTTATGGTAAGTAGATAATTCAACAGGAACGTTTTCATCATTTGATGACAGTGAAAAGCAAGGTTCAGTAAATGGCAATCGTTCGAACGGCTCGAGATTATTGCTACTCTTATCATTTTCAGGATTTTCAACGAGTGTTGACGTATTCGTATCATTATTATCTGCTGTTGTTTCCGATAAACGAATGTTTGGTTTAGGTAGTTGAAGAGGTTCTTTGATTTCACTTCTAATTGCAGTGTCGCTATTGAGCATTTTTTTGAATATTCGACTCATTTTACAGCGAACGCTACCTATATGTTTAATTGATTGGCGACTTTTAGAAGATGTTAGTTCCAGTGGTATAGTAGTTAGTGTTGCACGATGAAAAGCGGGTGTATGAAGGGCCATTCTCTTTTTTTTAAACGCTGTTGTTGATGAATGTTAATAATAGAACATAGTATGAAATCGTTTACGTTGGATATCAAAATGAAAATTCAATCGGAAATCAATAAAACAAATATGATCGATTTCATTTTGAAAAAAAAAACTTCGATCTGTTAGGAATTATCGTGCGCGCGTATAAATTTTACCTACAATGTTTTTGTTCTTTAATTTATTCTTGTTGAATATAAAACATACGGCTCTATCAAATGTTTTGAAGTAGATTAATACAAGAGTAGTCCTTGATAATTTTTCAACTGCTATAATAAAATTGTTGAGCCATAGTATCTGTTTCTTGTCAGAAGAAATTATTACTCTATTATGTGTAGTAGTGAAACGCTTGGTACTATTAAAAAAAAACATCTTAGCTGGCGGTATATTATCCCTGACAATCTTGAGGACATCGTTAAGTCTCATTTCATCGATGTCTTTGTAAAAAATTGCATGATGATAGCTCTTTGGAAAACAGATCATACGCAAACATAAACTAGAGTCTAAATATCAATATGGCGAGTGCTAATGCCTGATTCTTTATTTTATTTTACAATATGAAATGATGAGCAGCTGACTAATAAGATGAGACAATGCATAAAAAATCGCATGAATGATTTGCAAATGTTGAGCGCTATTTTCAATCAAATTACGGGAGTATTAAAATTCACAGTGTTTTCATAAAATGTAAATTCAAAGTAGACAATGAAAGTTTGTGTTGACAAAGGTACATGTGCAAGTAGTACTATGTCCTCAGCAAAATGAGATAGTTTTTGAAATTGCGGAATCATGTTTCTAGCTATGTCTCTTTAAGAAAAGAAATGCAAAAATACAGTTATAGGTCTTGGAAAATTTTGAGAGCTCGAACGCGTTACAATTTTGTGAAAATAATCTATTGTACCGTTCTGGACCATTGAAAGAAATACTGCTATGATACAGTTTTATACGCTGAAAACTCGGGCTTATCATTTAAAAACAAGCTTTGAATTTTGAGAATTCATTGACGGCTTAAATTCCTTTGCAATTGTACTGAGCATGATTTTCTATATTGAAAGTCCTTATAATACTGTCTGCCACATTTAAGCTCAATTCAATAATTTTGAAGGTTAATCAAGGGGGAAACGGCGGACTTGAAGTAGAAAAGTACGGCAAAGTACGTCAAAGTAGACTACTTAAAGTAGCTCAAAGTACCACCAAGTAGCCCAAAGTAGGAAGAAGTAGCTTGAAGTAGCTGAAAGTAACTTCAGGTAAATTTAAAGTTGAAAAGTGCTTCAAAGTAAGCTACTTCAGGTAGCTGAAAGTAACTTCAAGTAGCTTAAAGTAGCTCAAAGTAACTTCAAGTCCAAAAATCCGCCGTTTCCCCCTTGAGGTTAATACAAAGTAAAATTTCTTATTCTCATTGAAGCTGCTCTTTTTCTTAAATATTTTTTGAACAATTAAAATCTTAATAAGGAACACAATAGAAGCAAAACATACAAATATTAATATTATTTTATTTTATTTTTCTCTGCATAAAATAAACGAAAATGCTTTTCGAGAGATTTTTTCTTTCTCTAGCTGTTGCTTTTGAGAAAACGAGTGATGATAATCAAGTGGGACTGTTTCAAGCGAGGTAGACTATTGAAGATTCGGCGAATGCATTTGTCTCCAGACAACTAAGGCAAACGCACTCAAGAGTTTCCACAAGGAAAAATAACTTAAAAGTACTCATGTAGATGTAGTTACTCGTACTGAAACCAGCACGATTAGAAATTGAACGAAATGACTGTTTATTTTATCTTATTCATTGACATTCAGTATCATCCATCTTCATATCGAACACCATTCAAATAAAACATAATGACTCGTTTGTATCGACTATCAATTTCATTGGTCAAATTGAATACAGTAACAAGAATATTATAACCTTGTGTACGCCGAATTCAATCGAGAAAGCAGGAAAAAACGTAAATCACAACTACTTTTAAAAACATAGATCATCAACTTCATATGGTTAGAAAGATCAGATTGTCGAGTACGTATCCACAATTGTTGTCTCATAAAATAAATGACTCTGGTTAAAGTGTTCACTTTGATTTATTGTATCGAGATTAAAGCCAAGATTTATATCAAGAATAACAATAAATATCAGCAGATAGAAATTTCCATAGGAACAGAATCATACAATGATAAATGTTGAAAAACTAATGTTTATCGTCTTTCAATCGGTTAAGAACTAATCAAAAAAGAATTACTTGATCCAGCGTATTTATTTCTTTGAGAAAAATGTTCGTATATTACCACATAAACAATAGTTTGTCGTTCCGCTTTAACAATCTCACTCGATTGAGGAAGTGGGTGTGGATTTTTTCTTTTTCCACAGCTAAATCCTCAAGATACTTTTTCATTCTATCTTCATTGAATACGTACCGATTGATTCTACGATAAAGACAACCAGCAAATGATTCTATAGTCTGAATAAGCTGATTTCCATGAGGCAGTTATAATATCAACTACAAGATACTCGTACATTACGTTTGCAGTAGAGTTTCCATTGCCATAAGTTCGAAAAAAGAATGCATGTCAATTATTTGACATAGATATTGCACGATCAATAAATCAACGTAGATGCAGATTCATTCAATAACAGTCATTGCTAAATTAGAATATGATGCTAACTTGCTTCATTGAAACAAAACTCAAAGTTCGTTTATTGATCGTATCGAAACATTTAAAAAAGAAATAGCTAACTGTTTCATAAAGTTTTTTTTTCTATCGATTGACGAATTCGTACATGCAGTTTTATCTTCTATTTTTTTTCCATTAATAATGATGAATAATTAAAACTGCTTTTGTAAAATATTAAGAAATACTTGTATACAATCATCATGATTTTCAAACGAATATTTTTCATAATTTGATGTAGAGAATATTTTTAAAAGTAAATTTTTGGTTTCATCGGGAATGTAATTACAATTAAATAATTCAATATTATGTGAACATTTTATTGTTGATTTTTCAATAGATTTCAGAAAATTATCTAGCGAAAATAAAGTTTCATCTCTGAAATCATTTGTTAAATTTTCTATTGTTGATAAGGATGAAATAGGTTTATGTTTTGGGGTTGAATCAGAAATACGATGATAATTTTCAATTAACAATGCTAAAGTTTTTTTCGATGAATTATCTTTCATATTGGAAAAAATATCGTGAAAAAGAATGATTAATATTTCAGCCATTTTTGATGGTTTAATTCTATTCAACGTAGAATGGCATACGTGATTGAATGAAATTAAAATCATTGTAAATAGATCACTATAATTGATATCAATCATTGATGAAAACTAAAAATTAATAAAGATGCCTCATCAATGCAGAACAAGAACCTTATTCGAGTTAAAATTCTTTCTGTAAAAGTTTTTCGTTAATTACTTCATTTTTATTCGATTGCTGTTCAGTTTTACAATCGTTAATAAAAAATTGTTTTTTAAGTAAATTCTCAATATAAATATGAAAAGCATCAATACTAATAATAATATCTCTATCCGTAGGAAACTTTTCAGCCGTTTCAATACTTTCAAATATCATTTGTATTCGTTTTAAATGATATAATTCAACATCATCTTTATGATGCATACGTGAATTACTTAATTGATAGTTTTCAATATCGATTTCATTAGTGAAATATTCATTGATATATTTCGGTAAATATTGGTCAAAATAGAATAAATATCGTTGGAGAATTTCATTTTCAGATGCATGAATAAAATCGATATGTGTTAAAGTTTGTCTTTTTCCTTGTTTTTCATCATAATCATCATTGAATTTTATATGACGATTTGTTTCTGTGGACACTATTGAACTACGTTTCGATACAGACGATGAATGTTGCTGATTATTATTTATATCGATTATTGTATCAATTGAAAACGAATTTTTCATGTATTTTGTTTTTAGATGAAAAAAAAATTATTTATTTATTTCACTTGACAACACTTCAAAAAAATTCATTGATCATAGCAATCAAAAATTTCCAACCGTCTACTAATTCTTGTTGCATGTCAATGTCTGCCATCTAGAGTATGTGCTTATATGCAATAGTTGATTGCTTGATTCCTATCTAATAGTCGATCGAATTTATCGTTCTATTCTATATTTTTGTTTTATTTTCTCCATCTAGTGGTGGTTATATTGTTTTTTCTTTTCTTTTGTGTCACGTCATTTTCTTTCGGTCGATCGAAATCTATCTGTTGCTACCGTATGTATTAACTTACAAATAGCAATTAATTACATTAATCTAACGGCAATAAGCTAAGCTATATTATAGTTTATTAATTATTATTTTTCCTCGCACATCCGCTTATCAAGTTTTCATTTATTTGAAGATTTTTTTATTCTGAATGCAGGGAGAACGAGACGGACAAACATTATCACCGTCTCCATCCATGCTAACCGATGAGACAACTAAAAATGATAATAATTCAACATCAACATCCTCCTCGAACAATTCATCAACTGAGCTAGCATACCTTCCTATTGGCTGTTCAGTGAGTGCAAAATATCGAGGAGCATTCTGTTCAGGTAAATCTTTTATGCTTGTCTAACAAGTCAAATTTCTTTCTTTGTTGTTTCTTTTTCTTTTAGCACAAGTAAAAACAATTGAAAAACAAGTTAAACTGAAAGTCACATTAGTTGATAGTGGTGATACAATAACAATATCTGAAGAACAAATAGTTCATTCTGTTCCATTACGTATTGGTAATACTGTAACAATACGTTTAGCATCATCGAATCGACGTCAATCAAATGATTCAAATTCTAATCATCATTATTCACGTAGCGGTTTAGCTGCCTTTATTAATCCAACAAATCCCGATGAAAAACAAGCTACTATCAAACAAATTATTGATAATAGCATTTATACAGTTATATTTAATGATGGTGACGAAAGATCTCTAAGACGTTCGTCACTATGTTTACAAGGTATTCGTTTATATCAAACACAATATGGACAACAAAAAATCCTAGAAGAAATTCCCACTTCAACATCACCACCACCAACCATACAAGCACCATCGGCATCGACACCCTCATTAGTTACGTCGAATGATACAACAAATACGAATGCAAATGATATAACATCGATTGTAGCTGTTAAACGACATGGAAATTCTGATCAACAAGCTTTTCCAGCGTTGATACTTAAACGTAAAGCATTGGCCGATTATATGTGGGTACGAAGTTTTGTTGATGGAAGAGAATATATTGTTCATACACGTGATGATGCGCATCCGTATCATAACAATTCTGATATTCAAGCATTGTGTCGTTCAACATCAAAACAAGCAACACAAGCTTGTGAAAAATTTATTAAATACAATCATATACCAGCTGTATGGCATAAGAAAAAAAAGAAGCAACAAAAATCCGATGATAAAAATTCGCAAAGTGATGCTGAAAGTATCAGTGAAAGTGATTCGAGTTCAAGTGAATCAGAAGATGATGATGAAATTGACGAAGAAACAACAGAAGAAAAAGATTCATTTGTAGCTCAATTATTTGCTTTTATGGACGATAGAGGTAAATTGAAAAGATATTTTTGTTGTTCCCTCGTACAATTTATTTAAAATAGAAGTAATTATAAAGAATCACATAGTGGATTGATGTTTTACTTTAAAAGTTTACAAAAAATTTTTAAAACAAAAACACTTGAGAAATCTTCTAGTTTCTCATTAATAGGACGACCGATTGTATTGCAATTTTCATCTACTGAGACTAGAAAATGTTCCAGGTGTCTGCTCTTGCGCGTTACTTCAAAGTAAAGTGAACCATTTGAGATAATAGAAAAAAAAAGTAATTAAATTCTTCGCAAGATTGAATTTTGCTAATAGAGATATCTTTGATTGCACAACTGATTCAAATTAATTGGCTATTTCGAGACGTAAACAGGTTAAAATAAATTTCCGATATAATCTATCTGAGCAAATTGAAAATTACTTCAGGCTACATATGATATTCGCATGAACCACTTAATTGATAAAATCTATTCATATAAAATAATATGGCTGAAGCAAGTTGTTTCTATATAATTTCTTCTTAGGTACGCCAATAAACAATATTCCAAAAGTTCAAAATTATGATCTTGATCTTCATCGATTGTTTAAAATCGTTCGCATGTTAGGTGGTTACAATAAGGTTTGTATATTTTTATGTAACAAAATTTTTATAAATAAAACAAAACTAATTAGGTAACAAAAAATGATCAATGGAGTAAAGTTCATATAAAGATGGGTCTACCCGATGAACTATCATCGGAAAATGGTCGATCAATTGAACATGCATATAAAAAGTAAATAGAAAGTGAAATATTTTATTTCAATCTTCAATTGTTCTTTCTTTCTTCCTTAGATATTTATTTGCTTATGAAGATTTATCGAAAAAATTAGGTTCAATGAATGCACCAAGTGCATACTTCGGTGGTCGCACAAGTTTAGGTAGTGATTCACGACGAAGTTTAATACGTGTACGACAACAACAACATGAAGAAGAAAAAAATCAAAAGAAAATCACTAAAACTAAACCATCACCTGCGGCTGTTAAACAAAGAGTATTGATTTGATCCGAAAAAACAATTTCTGACTATTTTCTTTTGTTTTTCTAGTCTCGTAAAAGTGATGAATCTCGACCATCTACTGATACTAAACCAGTACCACCGCCTACAAAAAAATCTGCACCAAAACCTTCGGCAATTCCAGTTCGAAAAGGGCCGAATAAAATGAAATCTGCCAATATTCTTTCATCGAGTACATCCGAATCTGAAAGTGAATCTGACAGTGATTCGTCCGACAATGAATCGAATCACTCTTCATCATCAGCTTACAATAAAACAAAAGCTAAACCTATTGCTACAACGCAACAAAAAAAACCAGCAATATCATCATCAGCAATTCCGAAAAAAGTTAATCAAATATCATCATCAACAGCGATTAAACCGGACGTTAAAAAAGTTTCAACAAATAATAAACCGACCGTATCATCAGCAAACGATAGTAAACAATCGAAATTAACAATAACAATACCAATAGCAAAATCAAAAACAGCACCGTCTACAAATGTACAACAAGTTAAAAAAACAAATGTTATTTCGTCAGCAAAAGATGAAAAGAAAAAAGTTTCCGACACGAAATCTGTGCCAATAAAAACTGAACCTAAAACAATAGTATCATCATCGTCGTCATCATTGAATAAAAAAACTGTTATTTCAACTCAAAAAACTTCACAATTAACAAAAGCAAATCAAAAACAATCATCCAATTCAACAACTGTTAATAAACCATCATCGACTGTATTACCATTTAAACCTAAGACAGTTCAATCACAAACATCAACAAACAATAATAATAATAATAATAATAACACAAAAGAACGATCGGGACTTACAAAGCCGACATCATCATCTGTTGAATCACGCCAAATAAAACAATCAAAAATAAATTCATCATCAGTTAAAGCTATTTCACAAGAACGATCATTATCAGCACCTGTTAAGAAAACCAAACCAACTATCAACGAAGAAACTATTACAAAACCTATTTCATCAGCAGCATCGATGAAAATTCCGAAAATATCTGCAAATAATGATTCAATGTAAATGAAAAAAGAAATTTGTTTTGCATAGATTCACATTTTTCTTTGATTTCTTTAGGAAAAAATCAACAGCTACATTGGATAAAATTCCTAAAAAACAAGTATCAAAAGAAACGACAGTTAAAGTAACAAAAACGCAAGATAATACACCGTTAAACAAATGTATGTATTTATTTTTCATAACTCAGATTCTGGCTTCTCACAGCAGTGAAAACAAACAAATGCGCGAATAAGATACCAAATGAGCTCCTTTTAAAAATTGAAGTGAAACAAGATCACAGATCTGTTTAAGTAACACTAACTCTGAGCTCATTGCAAGAATATAAAGCAAAAGTTTAAGCTCAGATTAATTTTCTCTCGAAATCCTGAGAAAGATTTGCCCTCATGAATGAAAGTTTCTCAATATTAAATATTCTTTAGCTAATCATGATCAACCAACAAAAGCTCATTCACCATCTCCAACTCGGCCAGTAGTACCTGAACCACTAAAACCGACCGTTGTCCGTGATCCATCTCCACTGCCTTTAACACCAGTATCACCATCGCCATCGCATCGAAATTCATTATCTTCAATTAGTGATGAACCAATAACATCAACCATTTTACCAAATTCAATTAGCTCTCTACAAAGCATAAGCTCTTCGAATGAAACAACACCCGGTATGGATATATATAAATACATATAGAAAAATTAATTTCAACAATATTTCTTCTATAAATTATTTGTTTTAGAAATCAAACCAATTGAAACATCTTTACTAGTTCAATCAATATCGATTCTATCAACGAAAGAATCTACTGACAATGAAATGCCTTCATTAAATCCAAACAAACGTCCACATTCGGATGAAACCTCTGAACTGATCAATATATCTGACATTTCTGAACCATTAACTCCATCCAAACGACTTCGCCGTTCAATATCATCGCAAGAAAGTATTGAAACATTCAGGTAAAAGTTATCTCCTTGAAAAAAAACCTAAATACAAATATTCGTTTGTGTTTTATTTGGCAGTACTGATCAGCCATCATTAATTGATTATATATCTGCCAATCGTAATACTCAATTAACCTATGAAGATATTTCTATCAATGATGTATTACTTGTAACATGGGGTACTCAAGGTACAAAACAATATCCAGCAAGATGTATTGAAAAAAATGATGAAAAAAAAGAACTATTAGTTCATTACACCGGATGGAATTCTCGGTAAGAAAAAAGAAGCACACAACAAATTTTGATTCTATTGTATTTTTCGTTTTAGTCATGACGAATGGATTAAATTGGATCGTGTTATTGAACGTAAGGATTCAACAAATGCAAATACAGTTTTTCAACAACGTCCACGTCGAACAAGTCAAATAAATAGTGTACGACAACATCTTGATTCAACAAATTCTACAAATTCAATTGAACAAAACAATCAACCACAAATCACAAACTCATTAATTGTTGATATCAGTTCATCATCTGCAACCATTGATGATGACGAACAAAATAAAATTCAAAAAACAATTTCAATCGAAAAACCTAAAATTGAAGAATCTGATATTGATGATAATAGTCAAGGGCAAAGCGAAAGTAAAGATTTTTGTTTTCTTCCAAACCAAATCACGTTCATTTTATTTCTTTTTATCTTAGTGTGGAATCATGTCGAAACAATATCATCAACAGAAGATGATGCGCTTTCATGTTCATCGACTACTACACGTGCAAATCAATTAGATTTAAATGCATTACCTATTGAAGAAATAGCAAATATCCGAAGAAGTATATCAACGACGAATAATGAAAATAATCTTTCAACTAATAGTGAATTTGAATCACCTGATGAAATTGATAATGAAACAGAATCAACACGTGACGATGATCAGATTCAATCGATTATTCCAAAACGAAGACAATCAAGAGCAGCATCATCAGCTAATAAAGTAAGATCTTCTGTCGAATAGAAAACCATATCACAGAATATCTGTTAAAACGGTTTATATAATTCTTTTGTTTTTAGGTTGATCCAACACTAAATTTAAAAGTTGAACAAATCGAAGAAATACCTCCGTTATCATCCGACATGTAACTATTCAATATAATAATCCTTTTTTTAAAAATCACTATCATAATTTACTCTAGCCATGAACATTCACATCAATATCCATTATATGTGAAAGAAGAAACTATTGATAGTACATCCGTTGATCCTCAATCATTTCAACCACCGCCGTTACCGCCGCCAACATCTCTTCTCATCGACTCTATCCTTCCGTCAACAAATATATTACCATCACCTCCAGCAACAGCTACTGGCAATCGTCGTGCTTCTGTACGTCAACAAAAACGACGTTCACTACGTGAACCAAGTAGTACCAAAGATTCATCTTTATCAGCAAAGAAAAAGAAATTAGATAATGGAAATATCATTAATACAGATATGGGAACAGATTATATGTCTAATATTGATCAAACATCAACAAGATCAAATTCAACTGACCAACAGTTTACAGAAAGTACAACTGGTAGATAAATAATTTTTGTTTTGTTTTAGGTTTTATTTTACTTTATTTTAATTTTCTAGGTAAACGGTATCGACCCCCAGTAAGAAGAGGTGGGAAGAGATCTGCTAATCAACAAGGTTAATATTAATTTTCTCTTTGAAATAAAAATATTAAATTTATTATTCATATTTAGAATACGAAAATGAAGATTACCGTTCAAATTCGCCATCAAATATAACCATGCGTCAACAATTAAAAGATATGTTTAAGCATAGACCAAGCCGTTATAATTTTCTTGATCTTAGTAATACATATATAAATTTCATTTCTGAGAATCTTTTCTTTACTTATATTCGATTCTTTAGATAATAATTTAGCTGGTGATGAGCGTATAACGCATTTAAAAGATCGTATGCGCGAATGTCAAAAAGTGTTTTTTAATCTTAAAAGTGCATTGGTAAAAATTGAAAAACAACGTAAAATATTTGTTCGAAAACAAAAACCAATTATATCTACAACACCGACAAGTATGTCAATAAATAAAAGTTATTCTTTATCTTCGTTTTAGTAAATGAAATCGAATACTCATTTTAAATAGAGAATTTATTCCTTTCAATACAATTGATAGGAATCAAAAGCCTCTCTAATGTGTGCGACACTATTAGAATCGACCAAGAGCTTTCTTTCTCGACAGAGTTAATCATCATCGACAGGTTTTCCATTCATTTTTCCTTTGCAAAACCTATAAGTATTCAGTTGCTATCGCTCTTCCGCTACAAAACTTGATCATTTTTACAAACGCTAATTCAAACTTTTTCACTAACAGGTGTTCACATGATTCGATGTTCATATAAAAACGATTAGGGATACGTCAACTGTATTGCTGTTCTTTCATATTGTTTTCTTTCCTTCTTCTAAAATATATGGTTAGTAAATGGTTATGTTTTTACATGTATCCAATGATTGCTTTCTCATGCTATACGTGAATGATAGGATTTATGTTGCTCACATTGGAGAGGTTTTTTGTTGCTTGATGACATTCGAAATAGATTTATGTTGCTTAGAATACGAAAGCTGCTTGAGTATATGAGAAACTATTTCTTAATAAAGAGATTCGCTCGAGTAGTCGCCAATCGATTGTCCAGTAGAACGATGCACTTTCAAAGCGAGACTTGACTGTATTAAATTTTCGTTTAATTTCATTTAGTTATTCAAACATCAACTACTGAAATTTTGGGAACAACAACGTGTACATAAGTTTACTATGATAAAGTTTTATTTGGACAATAAAATGAAACCAGTGTGTTCATCTTCTCTCGTTATATATAGATATATATACTATGTATTTTTTTTTGTGTTTATTGTTGTCGTTTTGTGTAATCATTTTTTCTTTTCTATTCGTTTCTATAAACACGCTACAGTGCTTCATTTATCATGAGTGTATTCATAATGTAAATTTGTATTCTCATTCGCTTACTTGTTTTTTCTTTCTCGAATAAACAAGACGAAAAATATTTTCACAAGTGTTAAACGACTAGTAAAAATATATACTGTTATCGATAGAAGAATGCCTATGCAAAAACAAAACCGAAACTTGTACATAATGTCGCCGGATTGAATCCGCTCGATAGATTTTCATAAATTAATTCAAATTCAAAACTTCATTCGATTTTGATTGATCACAGCTAACCATTCTATAGTTTTACATTCAGTTCTTGTCCACTCAAAATGTAGGATAACTTAACTTTAAATATATTCTAGCGTACGAAATTTTTATTGAAATGTATGCAATCGAAAAGCTTATTTAATAATGATTTCTAAAAGTAGTTGTGACTTATTGATGTTCGTGAATGCTTGGTGATCCTATGACTAATCGATTGAAACAAGAACATAGCGCTCTTTGGCGATATGAACTCAAGCATTTGGTCTTCCCGAGAAAAGTGACAGAATGTTTATAAAAGGTTGTCTTTCTTTGATTTTGCATCTTTTCTCACTGTTGAGATGCAAAAGTAAACTTGAAAGATTTTCTAACAACATAGAAATCTTACTCCATAAAGTGAACTAACTGAACTTGTCTCTAGATTTTTTACCAATCCGATATTTGCCAAGACACACAGTCATACAAAAAATGGTTAATCTTTCACATGCATATTCACAATTACAAGTTTTCAGTCATGATATAATTCCACATAGATCTATGTCAGATTTTGAATCACGAGGAATATATTTTACGTATTACTAGTTCACTAGTTTGAATAAACAAACAAGTGGCAACACTTTCAGATGACAATGATTTCTACTCAGTTCTATATCATTCGACAACAGAAATATCGGCTTTTTTGGACATCTTAAAGATCGTTCACTCTCTTGTATAATCTACTTTCTCTGCAACATAAAACCCAGAAATTATTTTTTCGTTCACAACTCATCCTACTTAGCGTATGAATTGTAATAACATAACAAGAAACTAACACAGTTGCTTTCAACAAAATTTATTTATTGTATTGTAATATATATATATATATATATATATATTAAAGAAATTGGATAAAAAAGACATCTATTCACATAAGTCATTTTCAGCTGTTGGACTCAACATATCATTTGTTATCGATGTTTTCTGAGCACCTGTTGATTGTGGTGTATAAGTAAAAACCAATGATGTTAAATAAATTACACCATCGCGACGTACAAATGAAATCGGTGTTGATATTGATCGTTTAGTCCGCAATATTGTCGGTATTATAGATGAAAATTGTGGAACTTCAGCAATAATTGTTTCATTTGATCTAAATAAATATACGTATGTAAGTAAAATAACAGAAAAGGAAATTTCCAAAGATCCCACCGATATTCTGTACATGGTGATTCAGTTTCGCCAAACCATACTGATAAACCCGATGTAAAATTTTCTCCAGTTAACTCAATGGTTGCCGCTGTGCCACCACCATCAATCTAGAAAAGTTGGTATTGAAAATACAAAAAGAAAACTTCGCTATCAATACATACAACCATATTTTTTGCAATCGGAACGGGTGTTATAGGACTTGATACGGGACCTCTCGCTTCAAACCATGTATATTCTGCTTTATCAGTTGATATTATAGTCCAACATGCAGCATCATTAATATCAACACGAAAACGTTCATTTGTACAGACTTTACCCTGAAAACAATGAAAATAAATTTTTCTCTATTTGTATTTTTCTAGCAATTAATCATTACTGCTACGGCAACAATACGTTCATTCACTAATGATAGATAAATATAATTTGATGGATGATTTTTAAATTCAAATGCACATTTATGTAATTGAGATACTGGTTCATCACAATCGATTAGTACGCGATTTTTTTCAACTTTTCGAATAATCTTTTAATAGAAAAAAAAAAATATTAAATAAAACTTTGTTGTTGGTGCTCTTTTTACCAGAGAAGGTAATGATTGGTGTGTTACTGCACAAACAAGTTTAATAGTTGAACCATATTGAATAAAACCTTCTTTAACTAAAAATTGGTTCGATTCAATTGATGATTCATCATCATCATCATCAACTAAGTGAATATAAAATGATCCCCATTCATGTGCACTGGCATGAAATTGTTTATTTTCATCAACATGTAAAAATCTTGTGCTAACATTTTGACTTCTAATACAAGAAAAAAGGTTTCAATAAATTTTTTGTTACTTTCTAAAGAAATCTTTTCTCATACCGAAGACGATTAAATAAAGCAATTTTCGTTCCCGATTGAATGCATACCGCTATATATAAATGAAAAAAAAAACATTAATGTCAAAAAGAATAATTTGTTTTTTTCAATTTATATTTACATTCTCCATTTTTAATTGATTGCTTTTTCTTTGATGGTTTTGATATAACTTTTATTTTTTGACTTTGAAATAATCCAACATATGGATTTGGATGATAATCGTCTGTATAAAGGATTTTGACGCTCAAGTTAATATATTTACGTTTATCCGTATCAGATATATATAATGTTTTAGCTGAACCATATTTTATTTTTCCTTTTTCCATTAATAAAGTTTGCATTTCATTCGATAGATAATTTTCACTTTCATTGGAATATGAAGGCTCACTTACACCAATCATGGCACATATACGTTCTTGTTCATTTAACAATGTTGAACTAGAAGATCTATCGATAGTAAAATTCCAACCATCACCCGATAGATAAACACATGGTGGTGGACAAAAAAATCTGGAAAAGAGTTAAGTAATTTTTCTTTGTTTAGGATTTTAACGTACAGACCGTTTTTCATTTCCATAAGATTTTTGTGCAACTTTAGCATGAAATATTGTTACAGTCCGATGTCGACGTGTAGATAAATAAGCAGACATGATTGCACGCGATATTGGACGATGATCAAGTTCTTCATAATCACTATTACGTATAGCGAATGCATCCCGTGGAATTATTGGTGGATTTTCTGATGACGCCGGCATGACTGCACTACTAGACGATGTTGTTCCACTACCTGAAAAAAATGACATCTTCTGTAGTAAATATAGTACGTAATAAACTTAATATTCTCTTGCTCTTTTGCTCGTTTTCATTCGTCAATATTTTTCGTTACATCTGGCATATTTTCCCCATCGCACAAATATACATAGAGAGAGAAGAACATATGAACAAAATACATGATTACCATTGACAATGAACACAGTATTAAAAAGATCATTCATATCCATCATTCTTATTTTTATGAAGCTGAGTACGAAAAACAATATCTAACCATGAGTCCAGATGGTTATTTTATTCTCAAGATTTTCTTATCAATGATAATGATTATACTTACTACTAGTCGCTATGTTTCTTTCCAATCGTTGTCGTTTATTAACAAGACGTTTTAGAGGTTTTGGATGATTTTTTAATAATGGATGGCAATTATTCACAATTGATTCATTCTTTATCGAACTATCGATTCGACATGATGAATTATTTTGTATCATATTTGTTGGACTCGCTGAAACTTTCGTTAACATTTGATACATAGCCAATTGCATATTAACCATCAATTGATAATCATTCTATGTGCAAGAAAAGAGCAAAAACAAATAATATTTTAAGCTTAAATAGTGTAGCATTATTATAATGGATTCGTTTATGCTTAATTATTTTCTTTGATCAAGATCAGAGAGACCGTTGATCTGATTTCCAGGGTTTTTCTCACTGAAAACAAAACTGAAATTTACCCAAAACGACATGACATATTGTCTCCAATCCATCTTGATGATGTTTGATGATCAACTATTGAAACTGTGAATATGTACAAAACTATCATTCTTTTTCTTAAGTTTGTCTTTCTTATTTTTATTCGTGTCAATTTGCATTTTCGCCCATTGTATGTTTGTTCAGAAAATGTTCTTGAAAGAAATAGACAGCAAAAGAAACAGAGAGAGAGAGAGAGAGAGAGAACGAAGAGGTGTGTATTTGTCATTCAAGTGGATATGTATCTTATCATTCATTCATTCATTCATTATTCTCATTTTTCGACGATGAAAAAGAACTGCTACTATTAAAATTCCTTTTCAGATACACACTTCAATCTTTGATAGGCAAATATCATTATCGTCTAATTAAAAATGAGACAAATGTGTATTTTAGCAATGATCACATTGGTAAATAGAGTTTTATATTTTTCTTTAGAAAAAGAAAAAAAAGATTGGAATCGAAATGAAACACATTCTTTAGCTTAAAAAGTAAATAAATCAATGAATTTCTATGTATGAAAATAGGAGACATTAGGTTTTGCTTTTTCAAGAGACAAAATGGCTAGGGGAATGATTAGCAGGCCTAATTGTTAATCGTTCATGACCAACTGGCAATATTGTGTCGTCAAGAATAATGTCATCAGTGCAATTTGGTTTCATATTAAAATCTTCGAATGCATCATCGCCATGATCCTCTGTTCTGTCAACACTGTCTTTTTCATATATGACTGTTGGTCGACTTGATGTACAATTGGTACATAATGCAAAATGAAGATCACGTCTCAACCGTTCTTTGATGGTTGTTGATTTCTAGAAAATTAATTTACATATTTCTTTTAAAATGAAATAAAAATGCAAAAAGTTTTTACTCCATCTAATAATCGACGTCGTTTTGCTTTAAAATAAAATTCTAGTGATGTAACAATGAATGAAAATGACAGGCCAATGATTAGCATAACAAATATGCCACCTTTGAAAGAGAGAAGAAAAAAAAATAGAATAAATATTTATATTTTAAGGTAATATGTTTTCACCTATATTTTTCAAGTCAAGTTCATTAGTAAATGACTTCTTTCTATGATCAACATCGGAATCATCGCATCGTTCAGGTAAATTACGTTCTTTCCACCATTTTATATATAAATTATTTAGAAAACCATTTTCTTGTAATTGTAAAATTTCATTCGATATACGATCACGATATGGCGAACCATGTGTCGTACCAATTCCATAACTTTTTGATTCAATTAAGCCACCTAAAATTATTATATTTGATAAATGAATTCTATCGATGAAATAGAAGTAATCCTGAGAGACTTCGATTTGATACTACGCTTATTTCAATGCACGTTTGTTGATCTTCCAGAGAGAGAGAGAGAGACAATTTGTATTTGTAACAAATATTGATTTATTTCGATGTGGACCTTTTCGAAATTTCTCTGAGTAAAGAAATGCAAAATATATTAAGACTTCGTCAATGTCTACAATACTTTTCGTAGGAATTCTTTGTAACTTTATTCATCTCAAAATAATTATCATGCATATTCTAATCATCTATTGAATAAAATATTCAATCGAATTCATAAAGATACATTAAACTTATAGGATATGCTAAAATGGCGGTTTTTTGCTGCATTCATCGATTAAAAACTTACCAACTTGCATAAGTTCACAGTGGCGTTGAACATTATATTCATTAGTGGCCGATTCAAGTAAAAAAGCATAATTACGATTTTTAACCCATTCGATACCTTCTTCAGTTGTTTCAGGAAATACTTCAGGTCGCGATGACATGTAATACCACATTCGTTCATAGAGAGGAATTTTTGAACTCTATGAAAAAAGAAATATTCATCAATGTTTCTCAGCTACTTCAAGACAATCGCCCAGAGAGAGAAATGACTTTGTTAGAATTCAATGTTCTCACTCTTTCTAAAAAAAAGAATTCTTCTGCGATAATATTAGAAAGCTGTCATTTAAACGTTCGTATGTTTGAAAGTAATTGATTGGCTGATGTGAATATTCTCATGTAATTTCATAATTCAATAATCTACTATAATTTTCGTTACAGTTTAACTTTGTTCACATACTCGGAAAAATTGTTCAGTGCTACCACCCTTCAAAGCACCATATTTAATACTAAAGAGAAAAAGTAGCAAGGTTTTATTTTTTTTTATTGATTAAAAAATCTTACCCAGTTTGTTTAGCTAATGCTTCAATGTCATCAATAGGTGATTTAAGACGTATCGTTGTAAGAAAAGCAGCAAGATTAGCTGTATAGGAAGCAATCATAATCAATGAGAAAAACCACCAGGAACCAATAAGTACACGTGTTGATAACGATCGTGGACCATAATCAATAGCTATTGAAATATTTTACACGATAAAAAACGAAATATTTTTCTTTTCTTTTTGATTTACTTTGTTTCATTAGTGAACCGATGGTAAACCAAAAACAATTTACAATAGTAAATCGATTAATAAGATATTCAGTATGACGTTTACATGAAAAAGGACTTTGCCATTCATATGGCGAAAAACGTGCCATAGAAAAAAGAAATAAACTAACACCTTAATATTAAAAAAAAAACGAATTTTTTGGTTTCAAAGTATATATTAGAATAAATCTACTGACCAATATAAGCAATACCCATAAATAGCCATACTTCAACGGTCAATGGAGCCAAAAAAGCAAACAGATTGGGTGGAGTTCTCAATGGTTTACGAAATAGAATTGTTATACCTATTCAAAAGAGAAAAGTGTTTACGAATGACTCAAATTCTCTTACCAAAAGTCATAAATGGTTTTGTAAAATCGATAACTTGTTCTCGTGGATATGTGATGGTCAATGCTCCAATACCTAAATCAGCTGTCTAAATTTAGCAAAAAGAAAAATAAGCTTTTTATTGGCCATGACAGAGAAAGAGGTTTTTACTCGACGAGTGAGTTCACCGATAATTCCTGACCATTGGCCATTATCATCTTCTTTGCCATAAGCAGCATCTTTTGCAATACGTATAGAATAATTAAAATGAAGTCGTCTAGCTATTTCATCCAACATATCAATACCTAAGAGAAAATGTCAAAAAATATTAAAAAAATAAATAACAAAATTTATTTTTCGTACAATATCCTTCGAAGTAAATTGTCCCATTGGTGTGTAATTTTTTTACGACATAAGGTTTTTCCTTGCAAGAAAGAAAACGAAAAAATATTGATCAAAAATAAATCCTGTATCCTGTACTTCTCGTGTAACAACTTGTAAATGTTTTCGAATAGCAGACATTTGTTGAAAAGCAACATAACTTATATTTAAGCGAGTCGTATGCGTCCATGTACCGATGTCAACCATACCACGGTCACTTAAGTCAAGTATACGAAGTTGTGTTGATTGTCGTAAACCTGCATCATCGAAATCTACGATACCAGTTATACCAGGAAATTTTATCTAGATTAAAAAAGGAATGTCATTTTAAAAATGCTCATGTTAAGCAATTGTGTCGACTTTAGGATGGCACAGTTACTGGTAAGACGCATATTGCGATGGTCAGTGGCGGCGGAGCCATTGAGACCCATGAGGCTTGAGCCTCACCTAGGTTTCATAAGATGAGGCTCAGCCTCACTTACCTTTGTACTGAATATTCTTATTTTTTATTCTTGCATCAAAACAGGAGCACAAAAAGTCTTTTTTTGGTATTTTCCAATCATCTTTTTTATACTGACCATTTTTATTTTTACTGCAGTCCAGTAAAAAGAAGACTTATTTTCTGATTGATGAATTCATAAAATTCCACGGTAGAAAAAACATTATGAGTCTCACCTAGCTTAATGACGCTCCGCCGCCCCTGGCGATGGTAACAACTGGTCTTAATCAGCAAATTTCTAGATAAAGAGGAGAAAAGATGTTTGGCAGAACTTTTGTTTTGATCATCTACGCAATGAAATTACTTAAAGCCAAATCATCTCCATCAGAGAATGTATTTTAGTGAAACTTTTCAGTATAACAAATTACACAAGCGAGGAAACCTTCGCAACGTTAAGTACACTTAAGACACCAAGAAATGATGTCAACATCCTCAAAGAAAACTCATTGGGGTATTTCATGCACAGGGAAGTAAGACTGTAGATTAACTATCGAAAAAATATTTCTATAAAAAGTTTTCTATACATGTTCTACTGTAGATTATTAATTTTAGTTATAGGGTTATTGCTTCGCAGGGTATTGCCTACGGTTACTCATTGTTTTCGACGCTTTTAATACCTCATCCGTTTCTAATTTTTGCATACAACTCGACGTCAACAGTGACTTTTCGTGTTGAAAAAAACGTTTTTGTGATTCGCCGCATGTTTCGATAAAAAATCCGCATCTTTAACTATTAACATGCTTCCAATGATTGATCTTACTTTTATTCTTCTATTATTCTGACGCTGACGTTAATTTGTAAACAATAGCAGTAGACAAATGAACTTTTATAGGATTCTCCACTGATGAAAAAATAATTTTGATTTCAATTAGAATTCCGTTAAATAGACTATTTCCGTTATTCACAGAAAACAAAATACTCAAATGAGACTTCGAATCATTACCATTCTACTTGTTTGCAATAGTTTTTCTCCAATATTTTGTGTAAAAGTTGAATAAATATTTGTTGCAAACAATTTATTCCACGAGCATTCTTGTTGTGGAATTATTGGGTGTGTTCCATAGTCATCGAATAATTTTCGTAAAATATATTTTATTGAATCTAATGCCTCTTTAAACAAAGCGAGTTCAATCTATTTTAGAAAAGAAAAATAGAAAGAATAAATCTATATTTAACGAGTCTAACTAACTTGATGATTTTGTGTAGGTCTATTTGGCACTAATTGTAAACTAGTTAATTGAACGCCGCTTTCACGAAAATGTGTCCAATTCAATTGTCTTGAGTCCTATTTAAAAAAAAACAATGTTCAGTATAAAAACAAAAGAAAAATAATGATACTTACCACTCCGATAACTAATAAATGATAATAAATGCTAACGATACCTAAATTTTGTGCCTTGAAAAAAAGATAATGTAAATTAAGTTAAAAAACTTGTTTATTTCTACTTACATCATGTAAAAATTGATTAAGTGACTTTTGACTTAAAGCAATAATGATCTTTTTACTTGGTTCAGCTTTATCTCTCAATTCTGCAAGTATTGAACGAGCATGTGATGTCTGTTTTGAATTTACTGTTATTGCCTTTAATATAATTGCTGGTTGCCGATTGTTTTTTGCACGTAAAATATCAGTTAAAAGATCGAGAGCTTTGAAAAGAAAAACGAAGAACAAAACGTTTTTCTATTTTATTTTCTAAGATACAAAACTTCGAAAATGAAATCAAAATATTGACTGATTTGGATCGTCTATAAAGTTCTCTAATAAATAAAGTTCACAGATGAACTGTTAGGAAAAGACGTCTTTTTACTGTTTGTTATGCATATCACGGTTCAATAGAAAATCATAGGAAATTCCGGTACTCTGTGTTTTATTAAAATTTTAGCACTATAATATAGTTTGATTGAAATGGTAATTTTCACACTGTCTTCTGGAATCGAAAAAAAATACACTTTTTCGATTTTCTAAAAACCTCATATCCATATTTCAACTAATATTTAGATCTATGTTTAAAAATCTCGATCCGTTTGTTTTAAACGCTGCAAAAAATCAAATTCTTACTCGTATGTTTTTCATAAACAAATAGTAATTTATTATGATCATAACCCCAATCAAAATGATCAATTATATCGCGTAAAGCCATACTCAAATGTTCGGAACTTGTTTGCATATGTAATGTATATCCATTCTTTGTATTATTGGGTATCATCGACATAGACAAATGTGGAATGTGCATTTGTGAAAGAGTTGTATGAAGATACGTTGGTGATTGATAACGAAAATGTGTTATAGCAAATAGATAATTGGAAGAATTTAAATGTTGACAAACTAAAATGATATGAAATACTGAATTGAAAGGCACGAAGAAAATAAGAATGATCTTCTACATTTTTCTAATATTTTTAATTGATTTCGATGTTGATATGTGATTGTTTCAACATGTAATTTAGTATTGGTTTGTAAATAAATAGATGATACTATCCATTCTTGTTCATAGTCAGCAATTAATGTTTCAATATGATATTTTAATGATTGATCATGATAATCAACAACCAAAACTAAAATTAGAAGATATCAAAATTCTATGCTTTTAGCTAGAGATTTTTCATTGCATTTAACTGACGAGTGAACATTCCCAAATGATTCGCACTATTTGGTCTCATATTTTGCTCATAGAAAGGATCCCATGGGACTTGGAAAAGCCTACCAGATTTCATGCTCTTAGATCTTTCCTTCGAAGTTATGACCGTTTTACTGAATTTTCGACCTTGGTCAAAGGTTTCATAGAAAAATTGAATAAAGGAATTATGAGCTGTAATAATGTCTAACAACAGGTCTCATTGGTGTTAGGATATTGTAAAACTGATGCTTCCATTTAGAGATATTGCAGATTGAAGAAAACGGTCATGGTCCAAAAATTATCGTAAAATTGACTTTTCTTCCATCTGCAATATCTCTAAAAGAAAGCATCAGTTTTAACTGACAGTTTTACAATTTTCTAACACCAATGAGATCTACTGTTAGACAAAATTTCAGCTCATAATTCCTTTATTCAATTTTTCTATGAAAGCTTTGAACAAGGTCGAAAATTCAGTAAAACAGTCATAACTTCGCAGGAAAGGCCCAAGGGCACGAAATTTTGTAGGCTTTTCCTAGTCCCATGGGATCCTTCCTATGAGCAAAATATGAGACCAAATGGTGCGAATCACTTGTGAATGCTCACTCGTGAGTTTTCTTTTTTTTTACCGAGGTGATGATATACACTGAAAGGAATGTAAGTTGATCTAGTGTAACTAATTTTTTCTGTCAGTTGTGTTCAAAGATTTGAAAATTTAAGATCTGTCACATTTATTACTGATATCAGTCAAAATGAATAGTAGCGAAAGAAAAAAAGAAAAAAAAATTCAAATTTTGTCTCTATTTTTTTTCCAAAGCGAAGATATGCTTTTTTTAACTACAACACAACTTTTTTAGATAGTGAACTGTTGAAACAATAAATGCATTTTCTCATGAGCTTTTAGTCACTTGTCATAATTAATTCGTTTTAAAACGGGGCATATAATCTTTCAATTGAAGATAATTCTTTCTAAAAACAAACGATTAAATTAATATATATTACCAATAGTTGCAATTGGCCGATGTTGTTGTTGTTGACCAATTATGATTGAGATATTGATAAATATGATAAGGTAGAATAACATCCGACTGTTAATCTCAGTCATTATTTTTACAATTAATTGTGTTCGGAAAGCATCATGCTCTCTTCTATCTTCTTCCGAAACTCAATACATTCTTTCTTCTTTATATATGTTGTCTTGAGTGCATAGCAGGAAATCGACTCATGAAAAAAGAAAAGAAAAGAGAAAGGAGTCGAGGGAGGAGTAGAATAAGACGAGAAAAAGTCAATCGGAATTCTGTTCATATGAGAAGAGTCACATACACAATAGAAATATAGATCAAAATACAATGTTTGGAGCTACAGTGGCTATGTTCTCTTTGTCTTTTTATTATTCTCATTGATCATTCTCTTTATTTATTATTGATTTACACAGCTAATTGCGGTATTTTAATATAGGATAAATATTTATTTTTTTACTTATTTACATATATCAACTATTGTCTATTCAAGAAGAATAATCACTAGTTTCTAATAACTATTCGTTTCGTTTTTCTCACTTGCTCGTCTTTTTTTTTTTGATAGATCGATATGATTAACAACTCACGAAACATACTAATGGGTAAAGGAAGAGAACTTTTGTGGCGTGTAGAATTTGCTATTCTTGTTGTAGATCTCTTCTTGATTCTCTTTAATTTGATTAGCTCACAAGTGCATGCATACTTAGAGCTTTTTCTATAATTGAATCTCGGAGAGAGATCGAGGAATTAACTCAAGAAAAGAACAAAAACTAAAATCACAATTATCATTTTAATATACATCTATACTTAAAATAATTCTAAGTATAGATATAATTGTCGGACTAGGTGTTTGCAATAGCATGCCAATCAATTATATTGAAAAACATCAGAAAAAATAAGATCTATTATATACTATAGTACGTACCACCGATCAACAAATATAAATAAAACAACGCGAGGAAAATAAAAATAATTAGGAATACTGCCTACAAGTTATTTAAGAAAAAAAATTATAGTTTTGGTTTATCTTATAACTACAATTTGACGCTATAAATGAATGAGTGTATTCATGACAAAAATGTATGTATATGCCCTGCATATATTTATACAAATGTAATACTATCGTTCTCTTTTATTTAGTCTATCGAGAACTTGAATTGTTGTATTATGTTGAGCGTGCGGCGATAACATACAAAATATGGTTTTGTATTGATTCATACGGAGATGTTTTACTATTATAAAAATACTGGTAGTGCTTTTCCTAAACACCATTAAATGTGAATAAAATATTGATGAGAATGATGTAAAAGATTTTCTTTTCTCTATGAAACACTTCTTAGATTTCTTAGCGTCAAGGAGAAAAAAGATAGTACAATTAATTAGGATTACTCTAATTCAGTGCTTCTATTGTAATAACAAGTAAGTTTTGAAGCCTATTCATAAAAAACAGAAGTAGTTTTCAGTTGTATTTCACTGAATTCAATGCGTCAGAGTATTAAATGACTTTGCACATTTAAATTGCAAGAGGGCCTATGACAACATCTGGTTTACATTATTATTATTTTTTCTTACATTATTCAATAGAAGATTATTATCTAGCCAATCAAATTTTTCAAGAAATAAAAGCATTGTAAAAAAAAACCTTTTTTGACTAAAACCGAAAGTTTGATTCTTATCGAGAATTATCAGTAAACAGTAGGAATGCACTGTGTTGGTGTAATTCACTAAGATAGTCAACAGTAGGTAAGAAGAATTACAGGCCAACTTGAGTCGGCGTTCTGCATGCATTGGTATTCATTGAGCCATTGTAATCTACATTTTTGCCAGTATTCAGACATCAACGCTATCAAAAGATGTCTGTTTGCAGTTGTGTGCTTCAATGCTCCAGTGAACGTTGTCGACAGTTTGTCAGCAAGAGCTGCACATCCCTGGTAGAATGCCGAGGTTTCATCATCTACTCTCGCTATAAATGTTTATGTTACAGGAAAAACAACTGAGAACACGATTTTGTTTTTGAAGAAAAAGGAAGCAGTGAACGTATTAGTCAAGCTGAATTCTACAGGGAACTATTCTTATAGTGTTTTCATTGATTTTTCTATACATTAACTGTTAAAATTTTGTCATAGATTAGATATTTTTATCACGCAATTATTTTCATAATTGAATTTATCAAAATAGTCTACAGATTGTACATAGAATAAAAACTTGTATTTTTGGATCCTAGTCGAAAATATTTTCAACAAATAATACTTTAGAAATGTTTCACATTAACTAAATTGATCCTATGCTTTATCTTAAGGGTAACATATGAATTTCCAACTAAGAGATAAAAACAATAAAAATATTTATTTACGTTAGACACACAAATAACAATGATAAAAATTAATACATCAATAATTAAGAAGCGCACAAATAAGGTTAACATGCAAAATCTCCTGAATAGAATTTGAATCTATGTACTAGCGACAGGCCTGCTCTGGTACACCGGAGTCAGAAAAGCAGGCAAATATTTCAATCAATGAAAATTTTGAAAATGATCTTATCAAAAATATGAAATAAGGCATACGTCAATAGATTTAATGTACCAAGCGGTGTTCGGCTAATTTGCAAGAGAATACCATATAAAATACTCAATAATTAATGTCATGCGAGGATTTCCAGTTACGCAAACTATCTACTAATATGAGATAAGCACAATACTGAAATAGATAGTAATAAAATTGTCCTTGTGTCTCAACAATAAATGATGCAAGCAATGCTTTCAAATAATCAAAGGAGAAGATTAAAAATATTAGCACATAAAAGTAAATTAATAATAATCAGTCATGAAAAGCTACTTACATGAACCAAGCATTTGTTTTTATGGGCTCAAACAATCCTGTTCAGTTATGTTTCTTTTTTGTCACAACTCTAACTTATTAGATAAAATACAATGTTTCTCATCCCATCAGCGAATGCCGGTTTATGTGGCTTTTCAAATTATTTTCTATTTACAAAATATTGAAATAATCTGTAAACTGAATAGATACACTCGATCATTTGAAAACTATTATATAGAGCTTTCTCTGTACATGCTTTTGTATTTGTCTTATTTAGCTGAATGATTTTGCTCTTGTAAATAAGTCTCAGAAGCATTGCAAAGAATCAGTTGATTCGGTCACACTATTATTGATGATGCATTAACATCGTTTCTTAGATTTTCTATAAATAGTAAACATACATTCAAGAAAGGTACATTTTAGAGTCATATATGTCAAACTTGAAACTTGAATTCAATTGAAAATTGAAAATTGAAAATTTTCAACTTTTAAGCCAATAGCATTTTGAAGAATCGTGACTCACACATAATGATATCGCTTTGTGCTGAAAGTTGAAAGTAATCATTTCGAGTTACACTAAGAAAATTTCTTAATGACTATGGTGAAGTCATATGTCATATATACGATGATCTAAATTTAGCATTAATAATACAATGTGGAAAAGTTGTAAGAATAAGCAGAGTATTTTCTTTATTTATAAATATTCGTTAGTTTCATATTTGTCTTGACATTTCTTCAAGTATAGAAATAGTTCTCGTTAGTATGAAATCAAATTATGAACTATTTGTAATTGATGGCATTAGGGTCGAAATGAGAAACTATTAAATGAAATCGAATTGACAAGAGGTTAAACTGAGCAATTGTCAAATAACACCTTTTGGGGTTAAAGATAATCAGAGGCAAACCATTTTTTGTTGATATATATATTTTTTTTGTATTCAATAGATCTCTTTTCTTTTACCTAAATCTTTTAAATAACTCAAAGCCTTCTAAGTTGATTCATAGTCTGTATCTAGAATTCAAAAAAACACAAAAAATAAAAGTGCTATTGAATCAGAATCAAAAGCTGCTAGATCATTATAATTCGAATCATATCAAGGAATCATGACTGTCGGTAAATGCAGGATTACTACTATTTCAGTTGTTATTTAAAGTGAAGCTCGAGAAAGATGAAAAACCGCAAGAACAGCTTATGTACTGATTGCGATACTAATAGCTCCTTGTAGTTGCTGAAGAAAAAAGGAAACTAAAACTATAGTGGTTGCTCTTATGATAGAATAAAGAAAAGCGAATTGCCATTGCATATAATTCCAACAGCATCCTCTTTTCGTTAATCTCATAGATCTGATGACAAAGAGACTTTTCATGAAATGCAAAATATTTTCTCTTTCGTCGAGTAAATTATCAAAGAGCACTTATCTTATTCCATGCACTGTGCTTTAACTTATACCATCGACATGATTTCGAATCAATATAATTAGTTTCAAAGAGGAATAATAACCAAATTAGATGAATATATTATTATTTGATAGAACAAAAATTGTTCAATTTTGCCTGGTCTCTGTTTTGGTTGTCGCTAACAGAAAAACTTGCAGAAATGTGTTGAAAAATATGTTTGATATAAAAAGAATTTAGTCATTGTTATCCTAGTAATAATTTTCGATCATTATGCAAATCGGTCATTAGAGATGTGAAAATTCAATTGTTAATGTTCAAGTTTGCATAAGAGAAAACACGAAATTGTCTATTAACAAAATGATGAAATAAATGAGAATTTCCACGTCAAAAATTTCCTATTTATATCCCAATAGGCATTTGCATTATTTGCCTGCTAGACAAGAAACATTCAGTTGTTCTTTGAGTATATTTTGACTATTACTCTATTGATAATTGGTGTCATTTTTGTTCTCATTCCTAATAAACATGTATATTGAAGTGTCGAAAACAGCAATATTTGAATTCCAGGTCGTAGTAGGAAGCTCTTCTTTTTTTTTCAATTTTTGTATCGTAAAAATCGTTCGGTTCACTCAAACGACAGTCAATACTACTCAGTTAATCGAATTGATTATTTTTCTGTATACTCTATAATGTGAAATCGATTTCAGACTAATTCGAGATTGTAATTGCGCAATAGGTACTTGTAAATCCTAGTTAATATGTTTTGAATCGTCTAGCATATTATAATGGACTTGTTGATTACTAATCGACGTGCCAGTCATAAATCGAAATGAAATTTAAAACAAAATAATAGCTACTTCACTGAATTCTAAATTGATCAGACAATATAACATCACTACTCGATGGGAATATAACTGAGAATTTGTTTACATAAGATTAGTCATTTTTGGTTTGATTCTTTTTTTAAATTGCTTTCGTAGACACACAGACAAATATATTATCCTATCGTATTGTATATCTGAATGATAATGCTGTAAATAGTAATTAATAGTTTACATAGACTGAAGCTTTTTCCTTAATGTCCTTGATAATATAAAATATATTTCTAGCGAATTGCATTTTGAACGTACTACACAGAAACTTGCTAGCTTTTATAGCTATTCATTTTTGCAGTAGATTTATTCACTTGAAAACGCTTGAATTCTTATGAAATATTTACAAATAATTATATCGTTGAAAGTTTCTCTTCGAAAAATGATAATATAACAAGCATATATTATCAAGTTTTATTTAATAGTTGCCAAAGACTTACGTTTTTGAAAAACTCCTATTAGATTTATCTAGAGAATTGTGAATTAAATCAAATAATTTGCCTTGGAAATGATATGAATTTGAACACACGTGAAATTAATTTTTTTCCTACATGATTTGTTAAATTTTTATGGTATTCTTCTTATTTTTGAGGGATTTCTTCATTATGATGGACTCATAAGACGCGATGTTACATATACATACAATAAGATAAAAATTTTATAATTTCGTTTTTTCTCTTCCTTTTGTTTTAATGTTTTTTATTATTAATTATTTTCTGATTTTTTTTAATAATTAATTATTTATATTTTTAAGACGTTTCCGAGATATTTTTCTCTTTCTTCAGTTTGATTTTTTTTGGTGTTATGTTTGTTTTTACTATTTACAAGACGTATCTGACTATTATTTTTCTTTTTCTTTTCTTTTTCTTTAATAGTGGAACGGAACGTCAAAACATATGAGTTTTATCGGCCAGTATTATCGTCTTGTCATTCCGTTCCACTATTAAAGAAAAAGAAAAATAATAGTCAGATACGTATTGTAAATAGTAAAAACAAACATAACACCAAATAAAATAGAACAGAAGAAGGAGAAAGATATCTCCGAAACGTCTTAAAAATATAAATTATTATTATTAAAAAATCAGAAAATAATTAATAATAAAAAACATTAAAACAAAATTATAAAATTATAATGACCTTCCTAAACACATGTAATTGTTTATTCATGATATGACGTTGTCTAAGGTGAACGTAATTCAAACTTGTGGAAAGTTTGAACTACGCGGAAGTTACATAAAATAAGTTCTTCAAAAAAATTAATTCCAACCCAATTTGATAAAACACATTTCTCGTAGAAAATCTTTTGTGTCACATTCATATTATATTTTCTTCCATGAACTAGAAGCGTTCTCTTACGCTAATATTATGAGTTGTGTTCGATGGTCTTAAATTGATACATAAAGTTTAATCTCAAATTGCAATACAATTAGCGAGTTATAGGTTATGACCTTTTGCGTTTCAACCAAATCTCCAAGTTGTATACTATAATTTGAATAAACAGTATATATATATATATATATATTGAATTCTCCAAAAGATAAATTATTTAATTTTATGCTTATTTTTGTCCCGTGACGGTACTTCCAAGATGTCGAGTAGATCATTATGAAAATGCCAATCGGTCTCATGTTTGCAAAATGCAGATTGTTTTTCTTCTAGTTGTTCTCTTGGTAACCTTAGATTGAAATACGAGAGGGAATCATTAATAGATTTATGCAGTAAGAGTGTCATGTTGTTTCTCGACTACAAATCACGACCTATTTAAGATGTTTATTCTAAAACAAATCGTTGAAATTCATTGGTAAAAATCAAGATATTGAAGCGTATCATATTAGAATGTGTCAGAGCACAATTATGTTGAAATTTTCTAACACTAAACGCGGTTTATTAATTGGTTCGTTTAGTCAATTACGTTTTGAAAACAAGGAAATTCGCGGAGTTCACTTTCATTTATATCACTATGACGGCGAATTTCGTTTCTATCTTAATGTTATCATCGAATATAAGTCAGAAGTTGCCTATTATTTTTGATTTATTTACTCTTTAGGTCAGTATGACTCATCAGAAGCAGTAGCTTTTAACAGTGATGTTTATCTCTAACAAATTTTTATTCAGACTTCTGATTAAATTTCAGCCTTATATACTTGAGTACGCCGGGGGGTCTTCTGTGAAAGTTGAGATACATGAGATCTTTTTAATTGTGTAATAAGTATACTTTAAATATTTTCGTATCTCGATTACCAACATCAAACTTTACCTATCTATGTAAATAGCATTTCTCTATCTTATTCGTAGATTGGTAAATTCGTTTTTTGCATGCCTGTGTGTCACGTCATCGTGCAGCTTAAGACATTCCGTGTTATGGTAAATGTGATTACTGGTGCCATCTGTCGCTCTCAAGCATTTTAGTCTTTTAATTTGATCTAATGTTTCTGCGAATCAATGTTTGAGACCATGATTACAGTAAAGTATGATTATAAACATTTAAAATAAATAACGAGCACAGATTTCTTGCTAAAATTGGTATGTCTTTTAAGCAATCATTGGAAAACATGTATGAGATTAATGATGATAATAGCAATGATTATTTTAATTCTCGATATCGAGCACAATCAACTTCATATCTTATTTTAAATGATTCCACTAGTGTTAAATCCGTTTCATCAAAACAAAATCGATCTGAAACAACATCAGTCACATCTTCTTCAAATGTATCATCTAGTTCTAAAATAAATATGTCTTCACAGCTTAGAATTTCCTCATCAAATCCTAAAACGAGTATTTCATCATCTCCTGACGATCGTTTTGTTATGACAATAATTCGAAGTCCATCAACTAGTTCACAACGTATCTTGCCAACAGAACCTGTAGGACCTACAGCAATGAACGAAGAATTATCAAATAATAATAAGTTTTTTAAAAATAAAGTTACAGCAGCACTCAATCATATGAAATATCGTAAGTAGAAATTGATTCTTGGTTCTTTTTTTTAAAATTATTTCTATCGCCTAGGGTGGGTTGTGAAAATGCGTCCAAATTTTCGTACGAATGAATCACCAATATATTTACTTGGTAAAATGTATAATGGAAAAGAAGGTCAGTAAAAATAAAGAGAACATAGGATCCCTTGGGAGTCATATCCACAGAGAGCTATTTTCGATAGATTAATGTTTCTCAAAATATTGACATCCACTTTTGTCTTGTAAATGAAGTATTCATATATAGAACAATGCGCGTTTTATGTACATATCTCCAAGCACGACACTTCAAACAATGTTAATTCATTATCTGCTGTTTCTATAGTTTTGTTAATAGTGAATATGACAATATCTGAGCGTTATGTTTATACGTTTCTATTCTTTTTCAATATCACGAAAGTTTTTTTTTCTAAAGCTGAACTCATTAAAATAATTAGATTTGCAACTATTATTTAAAATTCTTGAATAGATCAAAAAATACAACTTGCATTAGAAAATTATGCTCATGTTGAAAACGAGTTCTTAAATATGTAGAATATTATTCGAACATGAAAGAAGTGACATGTTAATAATAACAAAGTTTAGATTAACTTCATTTTTTTTATGCTTGCAGTTTATCATTTGCATTATTCACAAGTACAAAAATTCGAAAATATATATAAATTCAATCGATTTATTGAGTAAAAGTCAAACACAAGATTAAAACCATAGTCTACATTGAAATTTTCATTGAAGGTGAATAGTACGATAGTTAGGTGGCAGGCTTAGTTTTTAAAGTGTCTTACTATGGGCTATTCATATCACTTATAGTTCTATTCATGCATCCATGTGTTTATCAAAGAAGCTATTTGAAGTTGATCAAATATAGCTCTTATGTCTAAGGGTACTTCATAAAATGCAATTAATAATATTGTCTTGTTCTTTATTTAGAAACAACTCATGATGATATTCCACGCCCACAATCTGAGCATTCTTATGCAAACTTTTTAAAATCTTTTTCACAACGAATTTATTTTTCCTATCGAAAACAATTCGAGCCATTTGCTGGTTCACGTAACGGAGACATAATAACTTCGGATGGCGGTTGGGGTTGTATGATACGTTGTGCTCAGATGTTACTTGCTCAAACATTGCTTATGCATATGACAAATACATTTAGTACACATTATGCAAACATTCAAATATCAGATAAATGTATTGAAGTTTGCTTTCTTAAAATTTTGTTTATAGCTACTTATTTTTCAAGGTCCAAAACGTAATTCCATTGAATATATGCGAGGTGGAAATCGAATGAATCGTCGTACAAGAATCTATACTGATATCATTCGGCTGTTTGGAGATTTTCCACATCCTAAATGTCCGTTTGGAATTCATAAGTAAGAACAAAAATTTAAGGTTTCAATTATTTGATTGAAAGATTTTATTTGAATAGAATTACTGAACTCGGCACGCCATATGGTATCCGCCCTGGTGATTTTTTTGGACCTGTGAGTGCTGCTCATTGCCTTAAAGAAGCCGTTCACGCTGCGGTTGAAGCAAAACAAATACCTGAGATACTTCGCATATACATAAGTCAAGATGCAATAAGTAAGATCTTAATCAAGTATAGTGTTTTGTTTTGTTTTACTACTATTTTTATTTTCTTTAGTCTATCGACAAGATGTTAACAATTTGTGTAGCCAACCATTATTGGATCATAATTCTAATGTAAATAAAAATAGTTCACTTTGTCCATCCATAGAATATGTTACAACAGAGAATCATACCAAACGTTGGGTCACATCTGCATTAGTTCTTGTACCATTACGATTAGGTTTAAATGAACTTGATTTAATCTATGAAGATAATCTAAAAGAAGCTCTTAAATTACCACAAACAGTTGGAATCATTGGTGGTAGTCCACGTCATGCTGTATATATAATTGGCTTTCAAGATGATAATTTTATCGATCTCGATCCACATTTTATTCAAACATCAGTGAATGTATTTGAAAATTCATTTGATACATCAGTAGGAAATAAAAATCTGATTTCTTTCTTTTGTTTTAAAAGAGAATATTTTACTTTTAGAGTTATTCATGTTCATCACCGAAAATATTAACTGCAAAAAAAATGGATCCAAATTGTACATTAGGATTCTTTTGCCGAGATAGAGCTGATTTTGAAATGTTTTGTGCACAAGTAAAAATTATTTATATTTTTTTTTCTTCTTTCGAATACCTTAAGATACATATAAGTACATAGGATAAAAATTCATAGAATCTCTCATGATAAATGATCTACAGAAATTTTAAACAAAATTTTGACAAAGGATCAGCTGATTATTTAATCATTGTAAAATTCATGCATAAAGGGCGTCTAAATATTAATCACATTCTTTCACTCCATCCCTCCTGTGAGCGTAGAACGAGTCACTTGTATTCACCCTTCTTTTGTATTGTGTCTACATATTTGTGATTGCTTTATTTTCAGCAGTACATGTCGTACACTTCTTTTTGATCATTACTAATCATTTCCTGTATTAGGTACAATGATTAATTCCTTTTAACGTATGTTATGAGTTCGTTGTTTATGATTCATATTTTTGACATTAAAAATACGGAATATTGTTTTTATTGAAACGAGAGGCGTTTGTCGACTCGCATTATGTGCCCAACTTCGAAAATTCATATTTCAAAAAGAGCGCATTACTTTTTTTCTTTCGAGCAACTAATTTGTAAACGGTTCGGTTCTTTTCTCTTCGTGTCTGACGACACCCATCCTTTTATTGACAAACAAGATTTCTCCAACAAAGAAAGTCATGACAGTACCATTGATAATTTCCCTGTTTAACGATTAAACATTTCTGTTTCTTAGAAACGAAACTACATCTTTGTTTTCTATTTGACATTAATTCTACTTATGTCGTGACAACTTAAAGAAACGTAAAAACACAGTTAATGTTTTCCGAAGCGGAAACATCAATGTATAATTTTTGCATGCGTCATAATTATCATATCATTGAAAGTTACTTCAGGGAAATATGTGACTGTAATCATCATCATTCGACACTAATGCATTCGAAAATCCTCCGATGATTATCTTTAAAGATTTATCTATTTATACTTTTTTTCTTCTCTCGCAGTGGAATTATGTGTGTCATATGGCATCCGATGATAGACGTGCATGCCCAATATTCCGTATCGAACCTGGAACATTTCAAGAAAGTCATGCGCGTGCATTAAATTGTGACTTTCCATCGATAAATGACGATGAAGACGTTTTTCTTCGTGTAACTAAATTATCATCGGCAAATACTTCACCATTGTCAATGATAAGAAAAGTTTCAAATAGTGGGAAAAATCTGCTTATCAATTCGGCAGCGAATAATTCATCAAATACTGATTCGTGGGACGATGTTGCCCGATCTGTGCAAGAAAATAACAGTGGCCAATTACATTCAGTGGTGGATGACTATGTTTTCTTGTAGTGTGAAAACAAAAGAAAAAACAGTGAATTTTATTTTAAAAAAAAAGAGTCTAGTCAACATTCTTGTATAACAGTCCTTTTTGCTCTTCGTTGTTATTGTCCAAAATGAATATATTTTTTTCGTTGCCTGTGACTGTATACTGTGTGATATAATTATTTATGAAAACGTTGCATGATTTTATTTTTTGATTTGTTTTCATGAATTAATTTTTTTCCTTTCAGATGATTTCAACATTAATTATTGTTTTGTGAGTTTCATTCAAAGATATGCATATTCATATCGTTATAGAATTTTGCTTTAGTACTTTATTTATCAATGCCAGTGCTATACTTGATATTAAAATGTATGTCGTTTGATTGAGATCTTTTTTTTTGTTTTGATCATATCTTATTCTTGATAGGAAACGCAAAGAAATTGGTTTTATCGTTGAAAGTCCTTCGATTTGTAAGAAATTCATGCATGAATATTTTTAACCTTCAGAGAATTTAATTAGAAATTTTTACATTTCATAATCAAGTACTGTGAACTCATTAATTCCGGCAAGAAGTGTATGTAGCTTGACGCTAATGTTTCGCCTTTAAAAAGAGTCCATTTTCAGTAATGTGCTTAATGAAATACTAGAAAATAATTTTCTTCACATCCACACCCTGAAGGACCAAAAGAAACAATTTTATTTCAAGCATCTAGATGACATTCAGATAGTAATATGAAACTTTCAAAAAAGCTGTACGTGATAATTGGAAAGTTTCATTTACTATCGAAGCTATTACTTTTTTTGTAACAATGCGGCTTTAAAAAAGCATGAAATTCCAAACAATAGTGAGAGATCTTGGCATTTATCTTCAGCATAACAAGAATTGAAAAGAATTATTTTTTAAAGTAAAGGCGATAACTTGTCATTGACAATGTGAAAATTATCCTATCCGGTTATTCAAAAAGAAAAACAGATTTAATAAACACTTCTTTGAATAGAAAACTAAAGTAATAGTCTGTATTTCTACTTGTTGCTCAACATCATACGACAGCAATCAGAAAAACATGTTGCCATTACTTCACATCAATTGGTTGTTTTTCTTGCTTATATTTAAAATAAAAACAACATTTTCAATGACTTGTTAGCAAACACACTCAGGATATTTTGCTTGCTTGTTTGGAATGTTATAGATGTAGCGATAGATTTAGAAGTTTGTGCATAAATTTTATGCTTTTCAACTGATAAATTTTACTTCTTGACTGCTAATATCATTTTCGGTACCTTGAAGATGCCGATAATTATTAGTCGACGTTCACCCGATGCAAATCTAACACTGTTCAAATCAATTGATTATAGGTTGTGGTGAAACTATTTCTTTGATTTAGATTGAAATATATGAGATGTTAATGATGTTTCATTTTTTTAATAGAAATAAGTAGGAACTCTTATGACTTCGTAATTTGAAAAAAAATTCTGATTTTTAAGAAGAGAAAATCGAATTGATGAGAAACGCACTCTTTTTTCATTGGCCAATTTTAGGTGATAAAATACGTGAATTTCTTACAAGTCTTCAATATTTTCGAGTATTTATTGGTCTTTGGAATATGTTAATCATCCTCGCTATGTTTACGTAAGTGTTTCTTCTACTCACCATTAATCTTCCTGTATCATACATTTTTGTTTTCTTATCGTCAAGTATATTTGGCTATTAGTTGTTATTCCCCAGAAAATGACTAATGCAACAATCGCTTTATGTGTTTGTTTTCTCAATAGATTCTCTTTTTTTTTCTATTTCTCTGGTCGATAGCACAAAATCATAATCCTACTGACACATCTATGACATTTATTGTGTTCATTTAATTGCAGTACTGTGATCTGTTTTTCTTTTACCTTTTTTCTCTGTTATTCTTTAAAATTAATTTCTTTTCAACATTTAATTGCTACTTGTCTCCTGTCGATATATATTTCTTATCATAATCGTTTTTTTTTCTCCCATATGGTTCATTCAATATAATATATAACTCGGTGTGTTCTTTCTTCATCATCATCGCTTTCCTTTCGCATACATAAAAAATACGATTCGTTCTTCATTTCGCTTTTTTATGGGTATGTGTATGTCTTAAATACATCTTTTCCTCTCTCTCTCTCTCTCTTTTTTGCTCGATTGTACTTCTATGATTACACGGCCTCGAAGCAACAGCGCTACCATTTACAAAAATGGATGAATAGCATTAATGGTAACTAGCACATGTTTACAATGATGATTTATATATACATAAATATATATATACACTGATAAACAAGCACACACAAGCAAAACATTCTCACTCTTAGATGATCTAATATCCTACAGGATCTACTTATTTCAGATTGATTATCGAATGTTTCTCAATGTCACCACAAGCATCAAGGCAGCAAGTGATGACAAAATCAGCACATGTGTCAGATGTCGAAGCGGGAATAAAATTAAAATCTCATCACCGGCGTGAACAAAAATTATGTACAACAGAACGTCTTCCAGCTTTATTTACTTGGTGTCTTTTATTCAGTACTTCTTTCGCTTATCTCATATGTATTTTACCGGAGATTATGAATCTTCTACCATCCTATCTACCAATACTTATTTTACATTGTATTCTATTTGTTATTCTATCGGGAAATTTTATACTTGCAACATTTATGGATCCAGTAAGAAGAAGAAGAAGATAATAATAACTTTCAATTATTTTACTTGTATTTATTAGGGTGTTTACGAACAATCATCAAAAAAAGAAACTTCGACTATAAGCTATTACACTCGTCCATCGAAACGAAAAGGAGCTACTGATACAGATGACGATGACGATGATTCATATGAACCTCAATTGCGTCTTGTTCATATTAATCATGGTAGAATTTCAATTCAGTCCTTCATTAAATATTATTCTTTAAAATTTTCTATAGGATCAGTTCAAATGAAATATTGTCGAACATGTAAATTCTATCGGCCACCTAGATGCTCGCATTGTTCTTCTTGTGAACGATGTATTGATGTAAGTGTAATCTCGCGTTACTTGAAAAGAAAAGGAAGAAAAAAGAATTTCGTTGATTCTTTTACGACACTATTTTCGTATTCGTGGTTTACAAAAAAGGCAAATATGAGTGCGCTTGTAAATTTTACTAGCATAAAATTGTTAAAAGGGTGTGCAGTATTAACTTTTTGAATAATTATTCAGGTCTGAATCTTATTCAAAGTTTAAAATAGGAAACCAATGAAAGTTTACGATATACGCTATCGATTGTTTTTTAGTCTTCTCGATAAAATTCACAATATCTTCAGATATCTAATTGAATTTATTTCTGGTACAGAGATTTTTCGTTTACGAAGAAAACGCTCGAACGGGCGTGTTTCTGTTTGAGATCATATTAAGCCTAGAAGAAGGTCTCATTCCTATGTGGATATCTATTGAATTTAAATTCAGCTTTAGACACATACCAGAAAGTCAAAAAGACGAATTTCACCTGTGGACAACTATTTGCGAATAAAACCTGATGCTATGCTTTACAGGGATTTCTTTAACACATATTCATTTGAATGGTTTCATGGCTCTTTCGTTCATAAGCAACATGAAATTTATTACAACACTAATATCAACATTTAAAAAAAGTTTTATTCAAGATCATCTCACTTCTCTAATGTTTGTTTTTCATTTTCTAATTTCAAATTTATGCTTTATGATCGATTAAATATTTCTCTCTGATTCAAAGTCAATCGTTTCGATTGGTGTGTTCACTATTTGTGTTTTGTAATCATGTTATACAAGCTTTTTTTACGAGAATCGTTGGGAAACAGGAAAAAAACTCATCTTCACTTATGATTAGTCCAATAGAGTTAATCTCAAAGGTAGACTCTGACAAGACTACTAGAAACTTGTCAGTGAATTGGTATAGTTCTACGAAATTTTTATATCTAGTGAAGTATCTATGAAATAATCGAATCCAATATTTCCATGTAAAAATAGATCTCATCGTTCTTAATTTAAATGTTACGCAAATATTAACTGTTAAAAGCGTTTAACTTTCTTATCTATAGGATTCAATTTTTAAAGCAGTCTAAGACTTACGAGACCTATATTATAGATAAACTATAAATTTAAGACGAAAATCACACTTGAGAGTCTCCTCTCGTTACTCATTTATCTCAGCCATAAGAGATCCTTACGATAAATATAATGATAGAGTCACTTCTTCATCGATATATAACTAAATTTGTCGGATTTTAATTTATTAATAATATCAATAGACAAACCAAACAGAAATGTTGATCGTACATGTTTATAAGACTCACTAGTTTCACGCTTTTTCTTTAATAATACAATATAAACAGATAATACTTATTTTAAATAATATTTTTTCTATCTAAAACAAACCAAAAGCATTCTTATTATCATGATAATCAATCCTCAAATTCTTTCATATGGCAAACAATCAGAAAGTTCCAAGTTTCCTGAAATAGACTCTTATTACAAACAGTTGCAGCTATGTATCCAATGACGCATGAAGTACCCTTAAAGTTTCAACAGAAAATTCACATACTTTTGTTGAAATATCGAATTTCTAAAAAAATGATTGTTTGCTGCAAACATGATGCAAAGATACACTGTTCGTCAGAACGCAATATTTAAACAATAAAATAATATTGTTTCAGGCGGAAAATAAACTTTTAGAAATATGAGCTACGGTTTTTTTTCGACCTTCATTTTTCAGTGCAAATTTTAAATTAAATCGAACATTGAATTTAATAATCTTCAGCCCACTCCTATCGCCCATAGGGAACTAATCTTTTTATACATTTATCAGTTTCAACGAGTAAAAAAAGGACAATATTCACTTCAGAGGTTTTCCTTGTTACTCTGATCGATGTGACTATAGTAGAATAACCGCATCAACATGTACGAAAAATTGATCCGAAATATCGGAATTTAAAATATCATAGAATTTTGTTTGCCATTTGATAATTTGAGTGCTATAATGAATATTGATTTTGTTCTAGACATTCGATCATCATTGCCCTTGGATAAATAATTGTGTGGGTATGTACTCGAAACAGAAAAAAAACATGAAGGAAAGTCGATTTACTAATTTTATTTTAATTAAAATAGGTCGTCGTAATTATCGTTATTTTTTTCAATTTTTATTTTTACTGTGCATTCACATGATATTTATATTTATATTTTGCTTATATTACGTTCTAAATGAACGTCATCATCAAATAATAACCCCAAGTCTTAGTTCTGATACATATGAATCATTAGTACCAATTGATGAAAATGAAATATCATCAACAGCTGAAACAAAAACAAAATTTATCGGCTTTTCTGATTATCGATTTATTATTTCTATTCTTTTACTTCTACTTCTGGGTCTTTTATCAGTACCAGTCTATGGCCTAACGGGTTTTCATGTGTTTCTTATAGCAAAAGGTCGTACTACCAATGAACAAGTAACAGGAAAATTTCACGAACAAGGCGATGCCTTCACAAAAGGCCTTACTAAAAATATTATCTACTTTTTCTGTCAACCATTACTTCCACAATTAAAATCGCCTAAAATAAAACGTTACAATGTTGAATTATTTAAAAAGATGGCCTATGAAAATTATCATGTATCAAATGGAAAGAAAAAGTCATCGAAAAAACCTGAAACAAAAGTAACTTATGAAAAAATAAACGAAGATAGTGGAAAACAACCAAAACGAAAGAAGAAGAAAACTGTTCATCATGAAAATAGAGGAAAAAATGCCACGCCTAATATTTATGTTAATCCAGCAGAAGAAAAAAGTTTGATTTTATTATTTATTTTTTAATCAAAATTTTACTGTAATTATTTTATAGTTGCTAAACCTAAACCTAAACCTAAAACAAAAACGAACAAAAAACCAATTAAAATTCCTGTACAACAAGTAAGTTCAATTTCACTACTCCACTACAGTCTAACTAAATTTTAATTCGTACTATCATAAAAAAATCGATCATTTTTAACAAGCAAAATTTTATTTACTGAAAAAATTTATCTTTATTACAGCAATATGTAAATAGGATCTATATATAAAAAGACACACTAGACGTTTATCTATGATTTCTGCACGATAATGATAAATCATTGTTAGAAGGTTAATCTAGCGTCAGGTTATGCTATAGGATCTAAGTTAATCATAAATCTTTGTTATTTTTAGCATATCTTTCAAAGGAATAATTCAAACGGAATATAATTTGATGTATAAAAGATTGATTATCTTCTGAAATAACATAGACATAGAAGTAGTTTATTATAGTCATCTGACGATGATCCACAAATCAAATTTCGAATCCGAATAAAAGCATGCAGTGATTCAGAAGTAAATAGGAGTAGAGGGCTGCAGGGTGCAGGATTTTTATGACTTGTAACCTGCCCTGTAAACATTTTTGCGTATCCTACCCCAACACTTTCTATTGTAACCTGTAACCTACCCTGCCCTGCTATTTTTAAAATAGAGAAATATCCAAAATTTCCTATCAGTATTTATAATACATTTAATTATATGTACTTCAAATTTGAATCGGATAAAAATAACGCTTAATTTCTTTAAGATTTCTAATAGAAAAATATCGAATAAACAAAACTAGCTGCAATCTATTATAGCCGATCATTTTTTACATTATCAGTGCTATTAGTCTCGGTAAATTCATCTTTCTTCATGCATCATTTTTTTAAAAGATACCGGAAATGTCGGTTGTTCAAAATTAATCCCAGGTTAACAGGTTACGATATGGACAACCTGTAACCTGCCCTGTAAAAATTTCATAGCCTGGCCCTGCCCTGCCTGGCAGGACAGGACAGGACAGGCCAGGTTACGTGTACCCTACAGGGCTCTAAATAGCAGTTATCATAAACTTGACTTGATTATCATCAATGATTCGATCTATCCTTTTACATTGGTAGGGCTTAGGTAAAAACCGATTCCAACTTAGACTTATTCAAAAGTCGTACGAACTTATTTATATCATCCATAGCGAAATTCATATTTTGATATATTATCTAACTACTCATTTTTGTTTTCTTTAAAGCCAACTTCATCAAGTTCACCTTCTTCGTCACGTTCATCATCTCCAATTCAATCGATAAAACATCAACAAAAACCCAAGGCACCTATACATCGTAGTTCATCTAATTTATCAATATCATCACGTTATTCCTATGATAATATAAATGAAAACGAAGAATATTCATTTAATATTCATGGTCAACGTCAACGAGCATTACCTGCAGCGTCCACTGATTTTCGTCAAAATAATAAGCAAACAAGGAGAATGAATACAGTTAATCATGATGTTCACGGTGATGCAGAATCAATGGCTAGTGCATTGACACTTCGTACGGAATCTTATCGACACGCACATCCACTGAAATCATTTGCATTTGATTATCCTAAACGAACATTAATGTCTCAAACAATACCAAAAACTGATAATCAAAATGGAACTAATAAAAATTATGAAATAGCTGTTTAGAGATAATATTTCTGTGATTGTGTCATCGCCATTTGTTTTTTTGTTTTCATCAGTACTGTAATATATTTATTGGAGTAGTGGGATTTGTTTTTCTGCAAAAAAACAAGGGGTAAAATGAAAACAAAATTGCTGTTGGTTTTTCTTTTTTGCTCATATTGTTATTGTTTTCTTGAAAGAAAAGAACATTTGTTAATGTACATGTATTAAAAAAAGATCTTCTTTGTTAAGTCTTTTGTATTGTACAAGCAGAAAGGCTAAAACAATTTTTTTCTGTTGGTTGCTTGTACTTTATGCTCTCTTTAAAAAAAGAGGAAGAACTATTGTTCATTTATTCAAGTTTTCTCTTATTCCTGTTGTTTATTGACAATGTCTTTAACTAATACAAATTTCAGTGCATGCTCGACACTGGCATCGTATAACAAGAGGATATTTGATAATTCGCGGTTGTCTATCATCACATAGAACTTTCATTTCACGCGATACAGTCATTTTTGGTGAACAACAAGTGATATTATGTTGATGCCGATATGGTCTTGATTCAGATTGCCAATCATAGATAAGATAATCTTGAGAAGAACAATAACCTTGGCAATAAGTTGTTTCGATTTCTATTGAAGTATTTAAACAACCTGATAGATGCAATAATTCTGTATGAAATTCCAAGTGACATTGATAAGTTCTTGATATCATTATTGCTGCTAGTAAAGCCGCATAGAAAATAAGATGAAGAGTCACTGTCATAGTCCTCGTCTTTGAATGTGTAAAACTGAAGAGAAATGAGTAAAAATTAAACTATTCTTTTCTTTTCTCCCGCTCATCATTTTTGAAACAACAAAAGCGTTTAATCTTGAAATTTTTTTCACTACATCATTTATTTCTTTTGCCAGTAGAAACAACAACAAATATAGTTATGTTAATACACATACCAATAGCAAGTTGTATACAAAAAAATATAGAGACAAGTACACAAGTTCATACATACAAATGTGTCATTCTACAACAATTAGTACACAAAAAAGAAAGAAAGAGCAAATTTTTGTTTTCATAACTCGACGACAAAAAGCAGAATCATTAATTAATTGGTTTAATCTTCATCTTCATCTTCATCGTCATCATCATCATTGTCTTCTTCGGAGGATTTTGATTTAGCTGATTTTTTTCCTACGGGCTTCTTTGGTGATTTTTTTGATGGAGCTGCTTTTGCTGAACCTTTGGCGCTTGCTTTAGCTGGTGAACCGCTGCCGCTGCTCTTCTTATATTCCGAAAGACGTACTTCATATTTTTGTTTTTCGACAGCAGCCTTTTGTTCGTAACGTTTTTTAACGTCATCACTATAATCAGGAGAAGAAAAAAAAAGCCCAAGATTATATTATTGTTACATATGGAAATTCTATTTAAATTACATACCTAACTTTTTTCCAACGAGCACCTATTTCTTTCGAAATGTCACCGACCGACATCGATGGAGTTTTCTTCTTGATATCTGGACGTTCATCTTGTGAAAAAAGAAAGAATGCGGACAAAGGTCGTTTTGGTGCATTTGGATCTTTATTTGCTTTTTTGGATGAACCAGCAGCGCTACGTGGCATTGTTATAATATTATTTGAATTGAATATAATAAATGTTAGAATCTAAAAAAGTTAATACGTTTGCTTTCACAATTCAAGCAACTGAATATGAACACACAAAACACATGAATAAATACGATCTCGTTGCTCTCCTTCACTATGAATGAACAACGAACAAGAGAAAAATGTGACCTAGTCAGTCAGTGGTGAATAGAAGAAAACGCACAAACATGACGTGCATGTCTCTCTCGCTTGCTTGCTGCTTTTTTTTTAAACATAAAGCAGCCGACTATGTGTGTCCGTCTCCGTCGAGTAATGTGAAAAGGAAAAGAAAGAATAGGGGGAATAAAGACAACGACAGCGCGAAACAGCTTGTGTGCGTGTGTATGTGTGTATGTATGTGTGCATAGAAAAATGTAACAGCAGTATGTGTGGATGAGAAAAATGGCAAATAATTTGTTAAAATCATGTACAGTGAGGGAAGCGAGAGAAGAAAAAAGCAATTAAAGTTTAACATGATGATTGAGAAACATGAAAATGATGTGTTCGTCTTTCACATTATAACGAAAATTTCAATACGATTTGAAATTTAATGTAAATCGATTTAAATAACAAAACAAAGAAGAAAAGAAAGTGAATTTCTTATTGGATACAAGTTGAACTTATTTGTGAAATAGATTTTGAATTAATTTTAAGCGTTTGATTGTATACATAGCATTTATCTGATGTCATTTGTTTTCTGTGTGAAATAAGAGACGATTTCGGTTTTAAGTTCAATTTCTTTTCAAATTCTAACTGATCGTGGTCTTGGGATTATTTGTCTTAGTTTTTTTGTGCATAAAACGCACCCCATAAATTATATCTCGGCACTAGTTCAATCAGTTTCACTGAATAAGATGAACAAATACTTCTTTGAAGTATGATGACTGTATTCAATAAAGACGTACACCCTGTGCTCCAGTATAAACAATGCACCTGGAGAAATTCATCAATAATTTGTATTATTAGCCGTGTACAATGGCATGAAATCAGTCAAGCAAATTAGTTTTAGAATAGGATGATAGAGAAATGACAATATTAATCTTTTAAATGGCTGAAAAACTGTCAAAACTATTTAGACACAAATCTTGAAATATTCTAACTGCAGACTTAAATTACAAATCCATTCAAAAAGAATTTTTTTTTATTGGTTTCTTATCATTTATCAGAGATTATTGTTGAAAATTATTTATGGATCGGTTTGTGTGTATGCTTGATATTTAACAGCTTGGTTAAATTGAAGTCACTGATTAAAAACAACGATTGAACTAGAGTGAAACATTTATTCATGTGATGTTAACATGTTAAAAACTTAGCTATCTCTACAGAATAAATAGTTCGATCTTGATGTTCACATGTGAAGTGTTGCGATAAGAATGAACATGTAATTTGAAAGAGAAAGCTGTTACAATGTTAATGTAGGATTAATTTTCTTTGATATTAATAGAAGAATTGGCTTAATAGTTAATAAAAACAATTGGAAGAGGATATCTACATTATGGATTCAATTTCATTAGAAAGGTTTCAATTGAGTATATTACAGAGTTTTGCCTATTCGATTCACTTTTACAAACAAAACCTGCTTCATATAATTTATTATAGCGAAATATATGTCATTAGTTTTTATCATATTCAATTTACTAACAAGTATTTATTCTTCGTAGGATATTATATAAGATGGTGATCGTAAATTTTACTTTTCAATTAAGATAAATGAACTAAAATAGATTTTTGTATCGGTTAAAAGTTGGAATGAAAAAATTGTTTTTCTTGGAGTAAAAGCTTCGATGAGTTTTTTTGTTGTTGAAAAAGTAGAATTGTTATTTAGTTTAACTATGTATTCCATTACTCGCTTTTATGAATAAAGTATTCCCTTATTAATTAATAATTAATAAGAACGAGCATTTTACATAACTTTCTTTTTTATGTCTCAAGTGAATCCACATCGCTTCCGTTTTCTTTGAATAGGCTAAAAAGAGAATTCGGCTTTTGACTTAATCATTATAATGTAGGATGTTTTTCGTTCTAGCGACAGATTTTATATTTCTGTTTTTCTTTGCAGAATTATCATTTGCTTTCTTTCGCAAGGAAAAAAATTAATTACTATAAGATTCACAAAAGATTCATTGCACGTCTAAACGTAATTATTATTTTTCAGGTTTGAGTTTTAAATATCAATTTTTATTCGCCATATCTGAATCGGACGGAAAATTTTATTTGACTGGATCTACTTCATAGTTGGTTTGCATAACATACAGGTATTTTTTATTTATGTTTGTCGTCACCATTTATTAGACGAAAAAAAAAATGGGAACAATTAAAGCCAAATAAATGAAGCTATTGAAGTTCTCAAATGGATGAAATAGAAATGTTGAAAAAGCCTAAAACAGTGTTGATACTTTGATTGATTTAGCTGAGACAAACGAATGCCAATAGAACGTAGAATTTAAATAATACGATCTTATTATTTTTGGAAAAATTAGTTATAGGACATTTAATTTAATTTTAGTAAATGAGTATTCCAATAACTGACTTTGTATTGAACATCTTTACTTGCATTGAGAAAAATTTTTAAAAACTATTAGTATCACTTTATGTTCAATTGTTTAAGGAATTCAATGTAGCTAAAATAGAGTCTCCAAGATATAAGTCATAAAGTTGGAAAAAACAAGAGACATATTAAGTCAAATAAAAACCATTGTTGGAGACGATCTGTTTTTTTTTGTCATTTGCAAGATTCTGCATTATGGATTCAACAATACGATAACCTACGCTCATAATACTGCGCCAAGCCAACGTCAGTTAACAGCTATGAAAAATCGCAAATCGTACCAAACTAGAGTAAATATATTTTACGTGCAGCCTTCATGTCGAATACAATCAACATCTACTGGAATGTTGATATATTGTTTTTCTTTCTAATTAAGAAATTGCAAACAAATAATTCAGCAAACAGAACTATGGAACCGCTTACTGCAAAAGAAACAACTACTATAAACTGATGTCAGGGTAAATCAGTACTTTTGTTAGAAATCGTATACAGCCCTGTACTTTGCTCGTGTACTATGATGTTCTATCAGGAAAAACACGATGACATTCACAGGAAGAAAAAAGCTCTTTAAATGTCTTGGTAAGCAAAAGCTATTTTGCGGTCTGTGTTTTTCTTCGTACATTGTCATATAGATATCTACGATCGCAATACGACTGTAATAAGAACTGTATTTGTTGACTTAGAAGGGAAAATACAAACTACATAGTTTCTAGGTCGATTGTGTAATCTATTCTGGAAATCAATAAGAACTAATTCACGGACAAGCATAGAGCTTTGAATGTCATATTGTTTCGATTTTTCGATGAATGAAAATGCCATATTGTTTCGATTTTTCGATGAATGAAAATGCCAATGCTTAATCTTCTAGAAAAACTGTATGGAGTTTTGTAATTATTCAACATATATTTTTGTATAGTTATTTTATTTATTAGGAGAGACATCGTCACTGACAGTTTAGACAATTTGTAGATGAACGTTATGTTTGTTAGTTATTTACAGAAATCTAATGGCTTTTGAATTGGTTGATGTCTGCAAAATTGTAAATATTGCTATTAGATATACCTTTCCAACAAAAAAAACTCAATGTTATAGAAAAGGACACTAGAATCTTTTTTTTCTTATTCAAAATCAAAATATATATTCCTTGAATAGTCCAAAACTCCAAACTATGCTTAGTAATATCACGTAGCTGGATCTGCGATTGTCCTTTATTTTATATCTTATACGTATAAAGAAAATTGTCGACCTAATATCATAATGCCTTCAAAATGTTATAGTATTGTTGACAGATCTCCTCTTTCTGATATAATTATTAATACCAGGTGTCCTTGAAATACATCGATTTTTTGCGCCTGCCGTGAGAAAAAGATAATCAAGGGTTACAAATATTTACCATCGAATGCATAATGGTTGATAGATAAGTACTGAAAAAGTACATGTTTTTCTCCAACGCAAATCAATGCATTAAGGCTGTGTATTTAATATCAAGCGACTAATTATTGATTACCTCAAAAACGGAAAAAAAAGTTTGTTTTAAATCTATTGATAGTTGTACTGGTTTAGATTAAAATGAGTGCTGAAGATGAAAATCAACTGGATTTAATTGAATCTTGTTTAATACCCATTCTACAGCACACAATGATCGAATCTAGCAGAAAAATCCTTGATCATACGCGGTTTTACTTTCGATACTTTGTCGTTTCAAAACGCAACAAATAAAATTGAAAATCAAAAGATACCCTTTTTTCATTTATAAAACTGTCCGATCCAATGCAAAGTAGAGGCCAATTATTTCCTTCAGATATTTCTGAAATAGAATATTCTATTTGGGAAATCCTCAAGGATCAAGTAGGAAAATAGAAACTGCTAGAATTTGCTAGCTTGATAAGTATTAATCAACAGAAATGCAAGAACCATCATAGATTAATTTATTATCTTGACAGATGTTACATTGATCGTCTACGACAACAAATGTATACTGTATCATGGACGAGAAAAAATATGGGAATCTTAAATTTCAAGACATTAAATTCTGTTTCATCAATATTTGTTTTTCAGAGTAAGAAAGAAAAGAAACAGAAAGAGTGACTGCAAAAAAAAGTCTGGTCCCTATGAGGATCGAACTCATGACCTCCGCGTTATTAGCACGGCGCTCTAACCGGCTGAGCTAAGGGACCGCGTTCGGTGTCTTTTTCAAACTGGATGCAAACATAGAAGAAAAACAACATACACTGCTAAATCTTAATTGTCTTCGAATTTCAGAAATAGTTAGTTTTCAGCCAATAATAAAATTAATAACTCTTTTTCAAATATTTATTAATATCTATATTTATAAGTATACAATAACCTTTTTATAAAACATAAAAAAACTTAAAATGGCAAGACTAGGAACAACAATATCTGACATACAATTATATACATTCGAAAAAATGGGTTTTTATATACTACAATATCTAATAATTTACATTGCCTGTACGTCCTTCTTTTAAAAGAACGTATTTGACAGCTTCCAAAACGTCGAGTTCAATATTTGTTGGCAATTTCCATGGGTTTTTACCATCAATTTTATGCTTTTTGGGATCATAAACACCTGTACATACTAATATTGAATCGCACGCTGTTGCACTTAAAAACATTGGATCAGACAATAAACTGTAACCACTGAGACTTATTTTTGGAAGCATTGTTTGTTTTAATATATTATTATACATATTTGCACCAACGATATCAACATCTGGATTATCACCCACAAAATAGATTTTCTCAACTTTCGGTTGGCCATTAGCTAATGCAATTTTATTAGCCATGGTTTCAGCGTATTGATAAGAAATTTCATATGGTTTACCAACAAATGCTCTATATTTCAGATCGTTACCACTTAGGCTCTAAATAGAAAAGTGAAAGAAAACTCGTCAGAATTCCTTTTTTCAAAGGAAAAAATATCTACTTTATAGAGTGTTTCTAAACATGTTAAAAAGGCACCATGACCGAAACGTGGTAAATCTGCAGCTGCTTTAAATACAAGATCTCTGTTACAAGCAATAACAGGTATATGATCATGATCGATATTTAGTCCACCTGGTACAATAGCAGGGTTACCATCGGTCAAAAGAAGATCTGTAATAACTTGTAATGCTCGTTCCCATTGAACTGGCTCGCCAAGTAAAACGATAGCTACAAGAACAGATAATTTTCTTAAAAAAAACTTAATATGAGAAAAAACTCAATATTTACCATCAACAGGACGAAAATTTTCATCATGAACAAGTCCTTGAGTTCGGATCATTTCACTCTAAATAAATAAAATAACAATCAATATAACCAAAGAAAACTTGTTTTTCTCGTCTTACCAATCTAACTCGATTCATATGATCGACCATATCCAATTCTGGAAATGCTTCACAAACCTTTTCAACTGTTGTGACACTTTTGAAACCGATCCTATTTGAAATAAATAATTCATTAGTTTTTCGTGAAAAATTCAAGCAAAATATTTACATTTTAGCGATTTCTTCTGATGAACCTTGTCCAGAAATAAGAACGTGCTTGTTATGAAAATCCGTGAGTGTTTTCATTGGTGTCTGAGCAAGAACAACTTGTTCAGGATGAATCTAAATATTATATAAATAAATATCGTCAAAATTCAATAAAATAATCCAATAGATAACTCACCGTAACTTCAAGTACGGCAGATAATTGTTTAGCTTTATCGGATTCTAACATACATGTATTTGAAACGAATATAACAGGAACTTTAAGCTGAATCAACATTTGAATAGCTGGTTTAGCAACTGCTATAAAGTTTGGACCTTTTGTAATTACACCGTCAACATCAAAGAAACATGCAAAGTTCGGCTATAAAATACATAAATATATATATACAAAACTTCAAATATATATATATATATATATTTACCGCTCTCATTATGAAGATTATTTCCAATAGACAACTACTAATTTTACTTTAAGAAACAATTTTATTATCAACAATTTTTTTCTGAGGAAGTACCTAAGAGAGCGCCAGTATTTATATGCCGATGAAGCAAGAGGAGAGAAGGCCGGTGATCCTCTCCCTTCCATAGAAAACTACGTTGTTTAGTTATATTCATATGACCGATTTTCATTGCTTTTAGTCGTATGACTTAAATGTTCTTGCTAGAAAGCCATACATACCGTGAGTGATAGCATTCTTTTAGCCACATTCCTCCATTGACATTAGTTGTGCAATACTATAATGTTATGAATGGCAGTATAGATATAAAGAACAAAGTACGTAGCCTTTCCTTCTCTCTCTATTTTTAGAGCACTTCGTCAAGGACAAAAAAATGCGTTCTTCTATTTTGCCCATAGATTCCATGCGTGTATCTACTATCGTAGTACTATATTTATTCATATGCACCAAGAGCAAGAGAATACAAACTCCAAAAGTTAACGGCCACACTTGTAAGAAAACAGTTCACACTCATCGAAAACTAGGTCATTTTCATCAAATATCTTGCGTATGATTTGATCATTTAGGCAACAACAAAATGGTTTCGTGCAATAACCTTTCTACGTTCTTTTTTTTCACAGCTGATTGTATTGCGCTTTTTTTATTTTATCGGTAATCGTAAGAATGTTTACGTGATATATGTAGCTATGCGTCGTAATACAATCGTGAAATATATCTCTTGTGTGAATCAATAGTCATATGATTCGATGATTGACAAAGTTTCTAAAAAATCTGGATTATAACTCAAATAGAGTGAATTCAGTCTTAAAAACACAATGCATATAATATCTTGAGTACTGTAAATTTTGCAATACATCGAAATAATACTAGTTTTATCGTGTTATGATAAGTATCGATCGTATCAGTAAATATCCTTATTTTCACAAACTGTTGTTAGAATGAAAATTTTCTGTAAACGTAGATAGATATTGGAAAAGCATCGCTTGTACTATACTACTATCATCGTACAGGAAGAACCGAACTCTCTTTTGACAGCGATAGATTCGAAGAAAAATTGATGCATTCTATTAAACATAAAAATTCCCTATAAAATATACATTTTTGTTAATGATAAATAATGCATAGAAGCAATTTTTTATTCAAAAACAAAATACAAAAAACAAGCTGCTTCAATGCTTTCTATTAATAAGTAAATCAATCATATGATCGATGTACGAAATTTACGCTGTTGTTTGTTTTGCAGAACGAACACTCTTGGTATTCAAATTCCGTAAATAAAAAAAATGTTCTGAAATCATTCTATTACTAAAAGATTATTCATGTTACATAAAAGGCGCGTGCAAGGGACACGTTTTTTTGTGTACTCAAAAAAAAAAGAGTACACTATAGAATCGGTCAGTGTGTCCGGCCGTCCGTTTATTCGATAACTCTTCACAATTACATTCGATTGAGCTGAAATTTTGTGCACAGAATTGTCTTATCAATATCTAGGTCGAGTTCGAAGATGAGAAGGATCCGTCAAGAAATGGCTGAGTTGTCGAAAAAATTGTCATTTTTGATCAGACCATCCCTGAGGGGGAGTACAGGGATTTTCCAAAAAAAACTTTTTCTCAGAATTATTCACAACATATATAAATCGACTCAGTTTTTAACGCTGATTCTAAATCTGATATTAGTTTTGAACTAAGTCATAGCTTTCTAACGAAACATCGCCTGAAAAACGTCTCAAAATTCACAAAAACTCCATCCAGAAATCAAATTGTCTAGTTTCTCATGATAATTTTCGTGTTCAGGCATTCTAGAATGACTCATATGTCGCATGCACTTTTTGCAGTACACATAACTCTCGGATGAAATCCGGAGTTTCCACATTTTTCTATGTTGCGTTCGAAATTCAGAAGAATTATTTTCATGTTTAAATTGAAGCTGGTACTAATTTTAGTTGCCACAAAACTCACAAAATGGAATTTTGATTAATAAATAATAATATATCAAAAAGCATGAGAAAAAGAATTTGTTTAATCTATTCTTAATTATAGCTTTTCATTGATCTGAGGAGCTGAAAACTTGCCACACCTCCTACGGTTTCAAACGGTTTATTTGAGTTAAATAGATTAACACGTGACAACTTTCTAAACAGCTGGTATAGCTAGGATTTCGTAGAAAATGCATTCTTTTTTTTTCATTCCAAATAACTAGGTAATTCAATCGATGAAAGTTTTTCTTGACTGAACTCAAAAATTATCATACAACTAACAGTGGCAGCGGAGCCATTAGGTCTGGGTAGGCCCAAGCCTATCCTAGATTGACGTAAGGTAGGCTTGGGTAGGCTCAAGTCTAACATAGATTGGAGGCGATTAGGCTTAGGCAGACTTCAAACAAGACACACCAAGGACTTGATAGGCTCGGTAAAATAATAAAAATTTTCGCTTGATGTTTATTTTCATATTTTTACGACCAATGACGCATTTTTTGATTATGAGTCTACATTTCAGCTACTTCTAACTTTTGTTCAATGACATATTTTTTTGTTTTGGGTTTCATTGGCGCGTAATTAGGTTGACATCGAATTCTTTCTTCTTCATATAAGACAGTTGAGTTTCTTTTTCCAAAATTCTATTTAAAATAATTTTTGAATTTTATCCTTGTCACAAAAACCAGGTAGATTTTAGAGGTTAATCGCAGTTTACTCGAAAAAATCGCCGCTAATGACTGTAATAGAGCCGATTGCTGAACCGATAAAATCTTTAGTTTTTCCTGGTTTTCACTACGTTGCTAAATACTTGAAAACTATTACTCCTTTTCTATCATAATACCAGATAAGCAAAATCAGGGTTTATCTTTCTTTCACAATAAAACATGCAGCCCACTAGTTTTAAAGGAAGTTCATCTTTTATTGAAATTCTATTTAACAATTCAAATGATTCTAATAGTGACTTAGGATTATGAGCAGAAATTTTATTATTAAAATCACAAAAACCTGACTATCATCTTGATCAAGCATTTGTACCGATTTTATTTTAAAAAATCAAGAGAGGAAAGCGTTTTAGCTACGGAATAGTTCTTTTTCTTATCAGATTATTTTTTCTAGTGCTTTTTCCAATAACCCTTTTCAGTTACTTGGATAATTTCTATGGTCTCGGATGCAATTATGCATTAGATAGTTATCACGTTTATAAATAATCAAAATCTATGCAGAAAATCTGCAACGATCTTTACTGTAAAAAAAGAATAAAAATGCTTTTCAACTCGTTCACAACCATAAATATAAAATTAGGGCTGGCATCAGATTGAAATGAATTAAGAATTTCTTATAATAATGAACTTTTAATCCATTGGCAAACGGTTTTCTCAAAAACAACTTAAAGAAATCGAAATTTCATGAATTAAACGATTGACACTGGTTATAATCGATTAAGAATTCATAAAATCTAGATTGTAACTGGTGTAAACCACGCTAAAACTTTTCATTTGCCATAAAGAGAAAAATTAAAATCTTGTGATAATAATCAAATTTGAATCCTGTATTTTGACATGGACATACATCATTTTGCTAAAAATGTGAGGGTACTCTTGACTGAAATCGTTCCACCGCCTCTGACAACTAATAGCCTTATTGTTACCAGTTAATAATGCTATCGAAATTAATCATACTTTGTTTGACGCATTATCGAAAAAAAATCGAAATACTCTTTATTTCTATACAAAAATTTGTACGTATGCAAGATTTTTAAGATTGATTGTCATCGCTTCAGTAACGAAAGCAAAACTTTATGAGAAAAATATTATTTTAAAATCAGAAGATATTATTATTTATAGATTCTGGTGATCAGAACTCTCGAAAAATTGTCTAGATGTATGACGACTCCACAAGCTGTATTTTAATGGACTTTCAATGCGATGAGTCATTGAGATTAGGATATGTTTTACAATTGTCGGCGCCAGAAGTAGATGGAGAAAATTCAAGGAGGAATATTTCCTGAACGGATGCAGCTAGCGAGCTGCGGTTTTCATCATTAGAAAGAAAGCACACAGGGGCATCATCCACATATAGTAAAATATGGCTGGTCACCAATGGATCAATCGACTGCATTCTGGAACTGTTTCTCAACTTTGTTCGATTGCTAATTTATGTTTTTGATAGAAAAATTGTTCCATTCAAAAGTTATTAGAGTTTTCCTGATACCCCTGATTTCAGCCAAGTGACCTTGGATCACCTAGGAAACAGTGTGGGATGGAGTAATTCACCATGCTGAGTCGAATGGTGATACTTGTTTTTTTTTATTCGAAATCAGCTTACAATGCTTTTTACAGATTTTTTGAATTTCATAGTGTTACAGTGACGTCGCTATCCGGATCGAACAGTACAGCCCGTATACGGCCGTTTACGGTTACTTTACGACTATTTTCCGGGCGTAAGTTAGCCGTAATATCTGGCGCAGTAATACGGACCGTATTATCATGAGTACGGAGCACAAACAGCCGTAAACAATGAAAATTCAGTGCCGTTTACGGTGCCGTATTACTGTGCCAGGTATTACAGGCAAATACGGCCTATTTACTGCCGTAAATATACCGTTTTGAGATCATTTACCGTCGATAAACAGACAGTAAACGAGTCCGTCTTGATCAACCTGGGTAGTATATACACTCGATATATATGTGTTATCCTCTATCGTCTTCTGTAATCTTCATTTGTCTTTTCTCTTTTCTCTCTTCTCTTGTCGTTCTCGCTATATATTTCATGTAGTATAGAGTTAAGGACACTTTTGTTAAATAAAGTTAACGTACACGTTGTACGTACACACATACTTCTCCCACATTTTTCTCTCACTCTATCATCATTATACACTTGTATCATCGATGTACAGATAGATTGATATGGTATGATAAAGAACGAGAGATACTTTCGATTTATTTTCAATGAAATAAAAGATTCTTCGATTTAATTTTCTTTCATATTTTATTCAGTGAAAGGAATTTCTGTATGCTTTGGATAATTATAATATTTATAGATATACAGAAAAAAGGTTTGTCTCGAAACTCACTATTCGCTTATTGGTTACGATTAATTTCCATTGATGATAGTAATATCGATAAAATTACATTAAATTGTAAATAACCACGCACTTCTATCAAATAGACACATGCAGTACTCTGCTAACCTATTAAGAGTTATTGCAAATTTTCGTGAGTAAATTTATAATGAATAATTTTTATAAAATGAAAGCTTGTTTTGTTAAATAATTTATTAAAATTTAATTTCTTTTATTTTAGGAAACTTGTTATCACGAGCTCAAAATTTTGACAACAGTTGTTTATTACCAAAAACTTACGATCGTATTAAGAAATTTTTTCCAGAGATGACAAATTCCTTCATTTCGCCTGCTGTTCTTCTTGCAAATACTGATGAATCATCTGGGAACAGTGGCAAGAAAGCAGATGGATGTTCACCGAATGCAGCCAATATTCAGCATTCTGTAAGTCTGCAATAATAATTTGAATTCTTTAATGAAATCATATTGCGTAGCAATCTCGAGTTCATGATAAATCTCCTTCTCGTTCAACTGAAGTCTATCCACAGCTTGACAATATATCAAATGAATTCATTGAGGATCTTGAATACTATGATTCGGATTCGACAATGTGTCCCTCGTATCAGAGTAAAGCCGGCAAGCCAGCTTTTTTTGGACATGCTGAATTACTTGCCATTGCATGGAACTTTGTGGCTAATCCGAATACAACACGAATTCAATTGACATCTAATATTCGTATTTGTAGTGATTGTCGTAAGTGAGCATTTCAGTATATTGCTTTTATTCTTAATTTACTTTTATTTTCAAGATCGTACTATTAAAATGATAGCTGCCATTCGTAAATGTGAAATAATCGTTCGAGATTCAAATCGTATTCACCACTTCTCCACAAATGGTAAATGTTCTTGCAAGGATTATTTCTAAAAGAAATAATTTAACCCGTTATTTTTCGTGCTAGTTATTCAGTGAAATAAACATAAAATGAAACAATGATTTCCTTTTTTATTCGATATCGAAATGAAAAAATAGATTATGAATAACTTGATCATTCATTGAATTAGCATTATCATAGACAATGTTTTAAATTTTAAACGACTGTTAGTGAACTATTATCAAGAGAGAGAATAAAAAAAATCAAAATCTCGCTTCATTACTTTTCGTTTCATAAATTAAGAAAGAAGAAGATCAGACTTGAGTAGTCTCAAACAATAATAGACAAAATTGCTGAACGCCCGGCAAATATGTTAGACTACAATGGGAATGGATACAAGTAAAACTTATTTCTTAGTGAAATGATGAATATTATTCTGGCTGCGCCATGTTATCAAACTGCTACTATTAATGAAAAGGTTGAATATCGATATCTATCAGCTGGTTTGCAACATATTCAATTGTCTCATCTCATATCTTCTTTACTCGTAATCTTTGCCGAGAATAGGTACATAAGATCGATATAATGCAGAGTTCTTATACTCCGTAGCTTCACCTCCTCATATACACTAACTAACTAACAACATGTTTTCTATGTTTCTTCGATAGAAAACAATCAACAATGCTTATTTCGATTATTTAGAAAGAATAATTCAAGTTTTTCAAAATGTCCATAACTCTTTCTTTTAAGCTAAGAAAATTATTCCGACTGTTGAATTAACCGAGTATCAAGTGCAGATAATATGAAAATGATGCTGAATAAAATTATAACCATCGGCACAGAGAACGGTGCAAATACCGAAATAGATAGCGAAGTTGAATGTGAAAAACATATTTATATTTGGTATGAAAGTTGAAGATGCGAATCAACTACTTGAAAACGTTTACTGGCTCTAAAAATGATTTGACAAGGTTTATTTATAATTTTTGTCCCACTTCATAACAAGAGTTTATAATATGAATACCTAGCCAGTTGTGTACGATGTTTGGCAGCCGACATCAGAGTTGGAACCGGTCCCGTTCGGCCGGTCCAAAACATTTTCCAAAGCGGTGAAAACCGGCAAGTTTACAATATTTTTTTCACATAAAAAATGAATGACAGGCGAAATTTCTTTGTAGTGCCTGATAATTCGGAAATGGCCTAGCATTTCTCACCGAATAATATTTCAAATTAAATTCAATCTTTAAAAATAATGTTATGAAATGAATTAGACCCAGGCAATAAAAGCTTTGACTTTATTTTTCAAAAATGAAACTTTTTTTTTCATGAAATTCAACGGTTACTTTGATAAAAGCATGAAAAATTGTTATTAATAGTTTTTGCAAGGAAAAAATGGCAGATCTATAAAAAAAATTTCAACCGGCAAAAACCGGTGATGACCGGTCGGTTTAAACATTTCAACTGGTCCGGTCCGATCCCAACTCTGGTCGCCATACAATAACCATAAGTAAACCTTGCAACATTGTTTAGAATAAAAGTTTTTCTATCTTCAAACTTTTCATTTACCAATAAACTCATAAATAAATAGTGTAGATAGAAACCAAGTGAATATAATGAACATGAACTAGAATTAAAACAAATATTTTGATTAATATGAGATGGATTCTTTTCAATGACAGATTGAACAATGTTTCCTAGCATTATTAAACATTTGCTTAAATTAAATAATCAATAAATTAACGCTTTTTCTATCGAATAAAGCATTTCTTATTTCATCTTAACGTTCTATGTAACGAGTTGATGATGTAGAATGCGTCAAAGCACAAACAGATGTTGAACAATTATAGGAACTATAAATATCACAAACTATTGTTTTCTTCTATTATTGATGTGTTCAACTTGCTCTAGAATCAATATATAAAATGGTAAACCGTTGTAGGAAAAAAAACTACCAACAAGTTATTGTGGCCATCCGGGCATCAATAATGAAATTGAAAATATTAAGAAGGCTGAACAGTGCGTTTAATGCAAAGATTTTAAAAATAATAACATGCAACTTTGTTAACGGGCGAGCTTCTAACGCTAGACTTTTAACCAACTTTTATATACTCGTTAATCTTTAGATTTTATTCTACAACTGCCTTTTTTTGTGACATACTTTTCATCAATGATACTTCATAATGTATTATAAAAACAATGATGTCGCCAAATATTGAAAACTAGACTTAAGATGGATGCTATGAAAATATCTGAATAGAAATATTTCTTGTTACATGTTATTTTGCATCGCTGAGAAGTCTATCGGCGATTGACTTCCAGCTTGAATCTCTTGAGAATGCATTAAAATTATTTTTTAACAGATTTGTTTTACCTAGGGGTCTACGGCTCATGTACATATGGGCGCTCATGAGCGTGAGCTATATAAAGTTCTACTTTCACCCAATGAAACAAATTGTTTTTCCTTGAATAGAATTTTCATTAATTGCTTTTTCGATGCAGATATGAGCAAAGACCAGAACTAGAGGGAAAGAAAAGGCGGATACTTTAATCAAAATCACACCAAGTTATAATCAATTTGGTTAAGGGTTTCAAACAGGTATGTAAATATCGAATGTCTGAAAAATTATATACGAAAAAACTAAAATATAAATTCATACATGGAGAATATCAAATGAAAATACAAAGTCAATCTTTCGTAAGATCAACTTTGTTCATTTTTTTTCAGTATTATGTATTTGTTAACATGGTAATCATTACCAAAAGTAGTTTAACCTGCTCAAACTAACAGTTACACTTTTCCTATTATTAATATATATATATATATATATGAAGTATCGGCTAAGAAGAATTATATAGAATTCATAGAATTAGTATATCAATCGCATCACTATTATTACCGTCTTTGTACTTTTTAAAGTGTGAATAGTATTATTTAGCTGAGAACAAAGTATACAAATACGTATGTGAAGTCTTATCATATACAAGCTGCAAAAGGAATTGGACTAATTAATATAAAATGAGATGCAAACCACAAAAGAAGCTATTGATTTTCTGAGTGAATCAGTTTTGACATTTATGGAGATTCTACTGATGTTGATTCGATACTAATAAAATTAACCGATATGTAAGTAACTCTTAGATATGTCTTTCACACTTTCATTCATCAATTTTATAAAGCGTTTTTTTTTGTTCTGGCTTGATGTTAGATCTTCGGGGGTTTACAACACTATTGACAAAGATTGAAAACATCGTCGATATCGACATTTTCATAGAGTTTTATTTTATTTTGAATTCTGACAATCACAGCCTGCATCCAAATTATAATTAACTCTCTTTAATATTCCTGTTAATATCGTTTCTGACCATTTTCAACGATGTATACTCAAATGAGCTAACTTTAGGTTAAAAAAACAAAATCTGAATTCATAAATAACAAGTGTCTCAAATTCTGATTCCAGTTGATTACATTCAATTGTCTCTAGTGAGTAATCAATGAACGAGAATTAACCAGGCACGTTGAACGAAGATTTCTGTACAGATTACGATGCATGCTGAAAAAAAAGTTGTGAAAACAAAACGCCCTGAACTCTATGCCGGCACCTCTTCGAGTACGTTCTGGCTAAAATGTTTCTTTTTTTTTGCTGTATGTGACGTTTCAGTACCACTATTTTTTTCTCTCTATTAGTAGCTCTTGATTTAACGAATAGAAATGCTTCTATTCTCTATACAACATGTCGTTCATATGTTGATTTTATTTCTATACGCTCAACTTCCTGGTGCTCCTCTCTTTTTTCTTAATTTCCTATCGTAATTTTTTCGATAAGATTAAAATTGCTAGTTCAAAAAAAAACAGGTGCACAAAGAAAAATATTCAAATATGATTAAGGACTTTTAAAAATCCAAAAATAGCCTTAGATGAATCTTCAATTGAATAGTGAAACTTTGTCAAGTCTTTATTTCGCTAGTATTAATTATTTGTTTGAATTTCATCAAGAAAAAAGTGATCTCTAGCGCATCTTGTTAAGTACTTCTGATAAAATAGCAACCTATTTTTGATCTCAAATTTTACTAAACAATTAAAAACAAGCAAATTTGAAAGTTATTTATAGAAAAAGGTTCATGCAACTAAAATAATTGACGATATTCATTTCGACTAAGAATCTGGTCATTTTTTTCAATTGGAAAAAAAGCTATTCGAAAGTAGGATGAGAAAACATCGACTTGTATTCAAAAGGATGATTAAATATTTGATTATTATTTGAAAAAGAATGTCTGAGTTGTTTTCTCTGTTGCCATTCTTGCCAATTAGATCAAGTCAAGTAACGAAGAACTTGAAAGTCAAAATCTCTATTCTTTGGTTCATATGGTGTTCGATCCAGGTCTTTATGAAAAATGAGACTAATTATGACTATTATTTCCTGTAGTCAGTTCCTGCTTGTAGATAAAAAGAATTTTCATCGCACATATTCATAACAGTTCAAACAAGAATATGATAAAGTATCACTTAAAGAATGATAACATAAATCGGCCACAATTCAGTTTCCTATCAGTGATCAATTCTTCATTTTCTCATAACAGTGGATATAAAAATTTAGTTTTCTAGGGAAAAACTTACAGTTAAAAATTATTCATTTCGTAATGCTTTTAATTATATTTCATAGAGAGTTATTCACAAAAATAATATAATCTGCTGGACATCTTCCGTAGCTAATCTTCTATAAAAGAAAAGAAAGGTTCTTTTTCTCCCGCTGTTATATTAAAAATAATTGGGATATTTAAAGCTTGAGACATTTGATTCAGATGGATCTTAAAAGAAATGAACTGCCTAGTAGAAAAAGATAACAATTGATCCTAAGTTGAAGATCAAAAAAAGGCTTCGCATAGAATAGTGACATGCCAAATCTATGACTTTGGCTGTGACATAATCCAACTTCGTAAAAAACAAAACACATTAATCTTTTTTGACACATGACTATTAGATGATAAAATAAACTCTAATTAAAAAGTAATTTATTAAAAACAAAGTTTGCCTTCTTTGCCTTCGTGCTTTCATAGGTAAATTTATAGAATCTATTTGAAGTCGTACTACAAAATCAGTGCTCGATTCAGAATTCGGCGCTATTCAATTGCCTTTATTTTTGTTACTGCTGTAGAAAAATGAAAAAAGCATTTTGCAAGGAGCTGACAGTCGCAGGTTTGCCGAACAGGTCGATCCGTCAGTGCACTGAATACGTAAATCATTTGAATAACTAAGAAACAAGTGAAATAATACTATGACACCAAGTATATTATGAATTCCTTGTCATTTGTTAAACCTTTTATCAAAGAAACTCTGCATCAACGATAAATAGAGAACAAGTGGTTTACGCTTGAAAAATCCTTTTCTTTTTCTTTTATGACGAATATTATTATTATTATTTTAGTTTTTGCATATAAAACCCATTCAAAGAAATAACGCACATCATGGCGAATATATAAATGGATGCATCACAGATTAGTACTATGTAGATTGTCTTTTAATAGTTGATGGACATGCAAGTCAGTCAACATGTTACGTACGTTTGCTCTCTTCTTCTTTATTTTTTTTATAAACGAGATCTAATAGTTACATATAGACAAGAAGAAGGAAACAAATAGTAATTTCATGATGCATATTTAACTCTAGCTTCGAGCAAAAGCGTTTGCTATCGTTGGCAGCCAGGCAGACACATAGAGAGAAAGAAACTACAAAAATTATCAGTATCATCATCAACCGAGACGGCATACAAATCGAAGGAGAAAAAAAGAAAAGAAATAGTATAAGGAAACAACGGATGATGAATTGAAGTAGAGGAACTGCGAGATACTCGAAGGAAAAAGATGTGCACGAGCTCCAACTACTCACCGTTCTGCCACTCAACGCAATTATCATAATTATATTCACACCGAACATTCGATACTGACCAAATTAAGTAAGCATTTTGAGTTAACTTAATAAGTGTAAATATTTAAATGATTTATATGAATTTCCGTATGATCAAAAGGAAAGATCACAAATGAGTGTATTGAAAAACAAATCGAACTTTTAATCTGATTTTTATTTCCGAAAACAATTCTATATTTTTTTATTTTTCGAAAGCAATATTTCATATCGTATTGTTTATTTTTTTTATCAAAATTAAATCTTTTATAATATCGAATTTTATAGATCAATCAAAATCATTGTTTTTATCTATTTAAGAAGCGTTCAAAATGTCACGTCCAACGGTAACGATTTACGGCAGGTATGTGTTAAACTTCATTTTTCTTTTCTTCCGAATTTATAACCAATTTTGTCAAGCATAAGATCTGTAAGTGTGTTTTATCCTTTTCAATTCTCGATAGATCTTATCTAGTTGTTTTCTCAATAAGATGCATACTTCAATTTGAAGTGAATATTGATTGACAAATTTTAAGAGCTAAAAACCGTTGTTGAGTGAATGTTGTTATCTAAGTTTCTTTTACCCGTTCGTATTCGTAGGAGTTAGTTATATAGTTTGATGTGGAAAAGATATTACTCGAGAAGCGTTAGGCAAGCACGTATTAAATTAACATTTTATATTATTTTATGAGAAAGTTTTTTTTCTTCTTAATTGTTGTGTAAAAATATGAGTATTTGAAAGCGAGAAATATTATCACTATTTTGTATAAGAGAAGTAACTGTGAAAATATTTCGAATGAAAATGCGACTTGGGACAACAGCAAGACGAAGACCGTTCAGACGAACTGTTCGACCAGTAAGGTAAAAAAAGACGAACGAAATATTAATTTTTATAAAGACATCAATTGAAAAAGATAAATGTTACCGTTCATTATTGTAACTTGCATAGAGAAATATTTATATTTGATCAGAAAATATCAGTTAAAATATCTATCTCACATATATAAAACTAGATTTTTGTAAATACAATTAATTACTAAGATTATATTTGAAATAAAAAGATCTTCAAAGCTTTCCCTTACATGTAAAATATTTGTCATTGCCGGAAGACAAAATGATCCTATATAATTTTATGAATGCAACAAACGTTTCGAAAAAAATGACGAGAAAGTTTCCTCTTTACCGATTTGCTGCAAATTTGTATGTCAATTAGAAGAGTTTTTTTCTGAAAATTTTATTTCCGAATAGAAAAAAACGATTGCAAATTCTCTTAAAATTACGAACCTTAACGAATTCTATGTAAATATGTTAGTGTAACAGAAGAAAAAAGAGCTAATAGTTCTATCTTCCGAGATCCTTACGTTAGACTGGAATTATCCATAGACATAGGTTTCATATTTCTAATAAAATAATATTGAATCGACTATAAATAAGATCATATATGGTAATATTTTTTATCAAATGGAATCAGTCGACCTGTTATTGATCTTGTATCAACATAATATGCCGTGGGCAATAATCATCTATAGCTAACAAAAAAGTGATCGAAACACATCTATCGATCTATATAAGTAGTCGTTCAACATTGCAGAAAAATGAAATAATGAGATCTGTTTTCTTATACTTATTGATTGCGTAGAAATTAGTCAAGACAGATATCTAGGAGATTTTTACTATACGTGTCGTGCCAATAGACAAAATTTGAATCATGAGGAATTAAATTTTTCTAAATGAAATCAGAAATTAGACGAAAAACAGCAGAACATTTGACCCGAAAAAAAAACATTTAATAGGAAAACGTTGAATTTTCATTGTTAATGTGATCGGTGGACTGTTGGTTTTTTCTTCTTCTTCTTCTTCTTTTATTTATTTGTTATCGGAAATTGCTAAACACAATTGAAGTTATCGGTATGCTAAAAATTATTCTGTTGTTTTTCTTCTCTTCAGAACAAGTGGCGGAAGTGGTAATGCACCTCCGGACGTACAGAATGGACATGTATCATTAGCTAACATAGCAACAGCCTTTCTAACTGAACGAAAATCTTCTTCGCGTCGTCAAACTAGTGTTCGAAGAAAAACACATTTGACAATAAAAGGGCGGTCATCATCAAATGCACAACGCCAATCCAATTATCCAACTGGAGTCGATGAATTATTAGAACAGCGGTTATCAGGAGAAAATATGGATGGCAGTATTAGCACACTTTTTGTACCTACTAGTGGAATAATCAATAGTGATGGCAAACAGCAATCAAAACTGGTAAAAAAAAACTCAGATCTCCTTTTTTTTCTTGATTAACATCAATACTTTTCAGTTATTATTTAAATCAAGAACCTGATAGTGAGTGAACCGTAGGCGAATAACATCGGAATAGAAGAAAAAGGAAATGATTATAGATAGTTTCCAGTTTTATATTCTTAAAATGAAAAATAAATCTTGCAGTTCAATTACTCATACTTGCTTTGAATCATACAATGAATAAGTTACCAATAGTTTCAATGAGCTAACCCTCGATAACTAGTTCTATCATTAATATGGGTATTTAAAAGGAATTTTTGTATACTATTCAGTAAACGTACTACAAACAGTAAGAACCTTGATGGTTGACATACTATCATCAAGAATCCGACTTAATGCACTCTTCTAATGAGTGAGAAAAAACAGCTACCATTTAAACCATAATTCAATGTTCACACAACAATTACAACTATGTTGTCTAATGTTAATAGACAATTGTTTTCTTTTTGTTGAACGTCGATCGACTGTCATGCCATGATGATCGCTGATATTTTCCATAACATAAGAATACAAATCATATGATGCTCGATGTTATGTTTATAGCAAAGCAACAAATACGCTTAACCTCTACATATATTTCTAAGCCTCATATAACCTAATAACTTGCACATTCTCAGAAGAGGAAAATAGATTCAGTTTTAGATAATTGACTATCATTACCATTTCTACTTATGAATAATCAACCACTAGAATACTTTTATGCGCTCAATTTTAACTATAAAGATTGAGTGAGACGCTTGGTTTAGAGTGTTAAATTTCTTTTTTTTAACGCTCTCTTTAATAATTTCTACAGATTTTTATTTTTCAACATTTTCTATTATGCTCTATACTCAAGTTCTTTTTATTGTTGTTGCTGTTTGATATGTATATTCTCATTGATCTAACAGCCACTGGAATAAAGACATTTTAATGTTCTAATTTTAGTTTTTTTTCTCGAATAAATATTTACTAATGCAATATAAAAATGTACCGATGTAATAAGTTTTTGTTTTTTCGTTCACGTCAAGTAAATGATGCGTAAACACCAACTAAATAGTTTGTCAAAGAGGAGATTTGCACTTTTATATTGTATGTCAATATATGTCATATTCGCCAGTGTTAAAGTTGAGTTCGAATACGTTTATTTCCTATAAAGTCTATGCGTTTTTTCTTCTTTCTTTTTATTTGATCGCCCCCAGTCTACTTTTATGCTTGTAGCTTCATAGGAATAGTAGTAGAGAAAAGAGTGAAAAAGAGAGAGAGAGAGAGAGAGAGAGGGAGAGGGAGAGGGAGAGAGGGGCTCTTGCTCCATTCATTCTCAAAACATAGTAAAACTAGAAATCAACTGCTCGAGGTTAAAAGATTATTAAGGTTTGCACAATCCATGAATACCACGAAATCAATATCGTCTGTTCGCATTCATCTGGAGCCCGTTGAGGCCCAATCACGACGTTCATCATTTGATTTAAATGCTATTTCATCAATGTTAACACGAACGAAAAGTCGCTTGAATTCGAATGTGATGAGTGTATCAACAGCAAGTCTTGTCGGACAACGATCAGCACGTATCAGTAGTCTTAGTAGTAGTTATGCACAATTTTTAAAACAACGAGATACGGATAAAAATAAAAAAACTGTAAGTTGGAAAACGAAATTCTATGAATGATGTATCATTGTTAATCAACAACAGACCGTCATCTATAAATATAGATTATCATTCTGTCATCAATCTAATTAGAAATTCTATTTTAGCTATCGCAAGAAGATCATCGTCTGTTATTATCATCGAGCGAATGGGTCGAAGATATTAAAGATAGTGATCCCTACGTATCCATTCTTAGTCGGCTGGGTAAGTAAAAACAATTTTTCTATTCTCAAAACAACTTTTGATTTCATAGGTGAAGCCATTCAAGATTCTGAAACATATATGGAATTCGTTAAAAAATCTTTTACTATTGTTACAAATACAAGTAATATATTTTATATACATAATTAAGTCATCACTCATATATATATATATTAATCAGACGTTGCAATCAAATATTCGATTTTTTTATTAATGATTTACATATAAATAGAATCGATGATGAACTTGAAAACAGGCATAAAAATTTGAAAGTATCCTGTCGAATAGAAAAAGTTAGATTAAATGTTCTGATTTATACATAACAAAATATGCCATTAACGCTTTTGAAAGTTGCCGATAAAAACAATTTTATATTGCAGGTCGCTGAGATAAATCTAAGAATTCAGAAAAAAGTCCCTCCTATTTACAAAGAAAGAAAATAGCTTCATGAAAACGATAAAAATCTCTTGGAATAGATGTTTCCATCTTAAATTATGCATTCACTCTCAGCTAATTACGAAGAGTCGCCTGTAAAATGCCTATCTAGCCAGATATCGTCTGATGCAAAATTTTACATGTAAGATTAACAACAATTTTGAAAATAAAATAATTTGCAATATGATGAAAATTAAAAGCTTCAAAATATTTATTTATCTTTCACCTGAAAAGAATTTTAATGTCTATTTTAGTCATTGCTACAGCTTTATTGGTTTTATTAACTGTGTTTCAAGTGATACTTTTCTTCATGGGTAAGAATAATGGAATCTTTTTTTTGCAAATTTAATAATGTATCTATATATATATATATATAGGAGTTAAATATCTAGATGATTGTCCTGCTCAACCAAATCTGCCAGTCTATTTACTGGTTGTTGGTTCAATGGGACTTGTACGTGTATTAAATTTATTATGGAAGCAATTTCGTCGAAGACGAATGCGAAAATTAGAAGGTGTAGAACTTGATCAAGAAGAAGAAACTGACAATAGTTTGTATTTATATTTTTTCCCCGCTTACAAAATTTTTCTTTTTGTATCCTCTTTTTATAGATGGATCGGGCTTTACAGATGCTGTATTAAATCTATTTCTACTTGCTTGGTTTATTGTTGGACAATATTGGACATGGAGTGCTTTTAAGCCACATTTTGAATTCGGTTTAGAAAATCCAGAGAAATATTGTCATAGAAACTTGTACACATTTACGCTTATACATATTGGCTTTGTTTATGTCATGTTTCTTGCTGCTATACTTTTTCTTATTGCGCTTACATGTTGTGCTAGATTTCCACATTTACTTGTTAAAACACCACGTTAGAAGACGGAGTAGAGTAATATGAGAAGTTCTTTTTAACGCATATTTCTGAACCGTACTGTTTTTTTATTGTTATTACTTTGTATGGATTCTTCGATGAATGCCAAAAATATACCAAAACAAAAGAAAAGATCCAATTCGATATAGGCAATTAATGGAAATTGCCTATTTTAATGGGACTATTTTGGTTTTTTTGCTTGTCAAATCAACTCAATTGTGTCACATTTATTCACCGAGGAAATAAAATGTAATGGCAACAATAAAAACATTACCCTCGGGGCATGAAGAGTAACCAGGTCCGTTGCTCCCACATTTTTTGAGAAAGGTTTATCTAAAAATTTCGAAATTTTATTATATAAGACAGTTCGTAAGTAGTAATGTAATAGTAATTATAGTCTTAAAACAAACGAAAGCTTCTTTCTAGGAGATATATCGTATTAGTTGAGATGCGTTCGAATTGAGTTTAACGAGTTTACAAAAACATTAGAATTTGTTTAGGATGCCCACTGTTAATATTGCGTGTACCAGAATCTCTTAGTAAGACAAGAAAATTCTAAACGTGTTAGACTGCATGTGTCTTCGCAGTTGAGCTATACTTATTTTTACAGAAATTTTCGCTCAATTTTGTTTATTTAGTGAATCATCTGAGTTTTCCTTGACACAGTTTTTATTATCAAATGGTTAAAGACTTAAATTTTTTCACTTTTTTTTGCGTTTAACACCCATTATCAACAAGACACACGGTTATTCCCATGTTTATAGTAGGACATACTTGAGAAAACCAATTAAAAAAAATAGACCAAAGAAAGACGGAGAAGATGACAGAAAGGGAAATTACATGAACGATAGCGAAGGAAAAAAGGAAAACACCATGTCAAAATAATGACTACATCTAATAAACGAATCTCTTATTGTTAGCTTACATTTCTGCACGAAAATATTAAATTTGTCATTGATCCCGATTTTTTTGTGAGTAGTAACTATTTATTAAAAACGTTTTATAACTTCAAATAGGAAAATTTCGTTTCGCTCTGATTCTTAGAACATTCTAAAGATTATCCGATCAACCTATGGGTCAAATTCAGATACGCGATATACCATAAAATACCTCATATTCGTTGTAAAATTCATCAAAAGGATCATCATTCAAATTCAAAGACCCATGCGGTGAATGCTTTTAAAATTTTTATTGTTCCATTAATCTAAACATGCTCTTGCATAAGTAGAAGAGAATTTTAATCAGATCAAATATATTGTAATCGATAAAAACGTTGCATTCTCAACTCTCTTGATTTAAAAGATTCATTTTTCAAACCTAATGTCAGTCTTTGTTTTTTGATTGGAAAAATTTCATATAAACAATGAATACATTGTGAACATTTTTATACCACGTAATTATATGTTTATATCGTTGTATTTTGTTGTACTTTTTTTCAATAAATTAATAACTAGGAGTTCTTCTGATATTTAATTAAGACAATAAACTAGAGTATAATCGCGCATAGATAGGGAAACATAAGCACAGTAGTACTACCATGTGAAAGAAAGAAAGAAAAAGAGGTGATGATGATGATGACAACAAAAAATAATAATAGGAATAATGATGAGAAAGAATGTGTGTGTTCTCACTGATCTCTCTGTACAGCTTACACCGGGAACTACACTCTTGCCCGTTTTATTTAACGTGATAAAATAGAAAATATAGAAGAGACAAACAGACGAACATCACACCATAAGAAAGAAAACAAACGAAAGAGCTGAACTGTTCTACAATGAAAAGAAGGATTATTAATCTAATTAGGTATCAATGATAAATCTATTCAACTAAGTTATCTATGGAGATCGACTAGTTTTTATTGAAAGCATTTTCGCCAGCATAAGTAGCATTGCTACCGAGTTCTTCTTCAATACGTAAGATTTGATTGTATTTAGCTAAACGTTCAGAACGACATGGGGCACCAGTTTTGATCTGTCCAGTGCCTAAGCCAACAACAAGATCAGCAATAAATGTATCTTCCGTTTCGCCACTACGATGACTAACCATAACACCCCAACCAGCACCACGAGCCATGGTACATGCAGAAATAGCTTCAGTAACTGAACCAATTTGATTAACTTTAAGTAAAAGACAATCGCATGCATTTTTCTCAATAGCCGTTTGGATTCGTTTGACGTTTGTTACGGTCAAATCATCACTTTAAAGAAAAAAATTATATAAAATTTTGTTTTACCTCAAATAAATCTTTACCCAACAAGTTGTACATTTTTGCCTTTAACAGAAGTAAGAAGTGTTTGAAATCCAGCCCAATCATCTTGTTCAAAAGCATCTTCAATTGATATAATTGGATATTTTGAAATTTGTGAAAGATAATAAGCAACTAATTCTTCACTTGATAACTAAAATAAAAATACATACAGGTGTTTAAATGGTATTCTTAGAAATTAATAATATTTACATAGTGTGGTTGACCTGGTTGTTTATTATTTAAATCGTACTTTTTGGCACCTTCATCAAAGAATTCACTTGCTGCAACATCCATACCAATTTTAACTAAACCTGTATAACCAGCTTTATCAATGGCTTTGACAAGAATTTCAAGTGCTAAAATAATTTATAATAACGCGTTGCTTTCTTAGAGAAAGGTGTCTGTTACCTTTTTCAGCACTTTCAATGTTTGGTGCGAAACCACCTTCATCACCAACATTTGTTGCATCAAGACCATATTCAGCTTTGATTCTAAAAGATGTAGTTTTATTTGTTTTTATAAAATTTTGAAAATAATTCGTTTTATTTTACAAGCTTTTCAAATGATGATAAACTTCAGAACCCATACGCATAGCTTCTTTGAATGTTTTAGCTCCAGTTGGTAAGAGCATAAATTCTTGCATAGCAAGTTTGTTACCAGCATGGCTACCACCATTGATAACCTATTCAATGTAAACAATAATATTTAGTAAACAGGAGAAAAAAAATATATATTTAACTTACGTTGAATGAGGGTACTGGGAGACGAATTGTCGAGTTTGAGAGTTTAGCAATATATTGATACAAAGGTACGTTACTATGAGCAGCGCTAAAAAAGATAGAACAAAATAAAGTAAAAATTCAATCAATAAATGAAACAAAAAATACAGCACAGGTGAAAAATTTAGAAAAAATCTTCAACGGAGCGATATATTTCCAATCGAATCCCTTTTAACATGAAGAGCTAAATCAACTATGCATATAATACAGCGTATTGACTTCCCCGTGAATAACTATGACATTTTTTCAACATAATTTCTACTTTAAAAAATATTCAATTGCATAGTAATGTGCGCCTAGTTTTTCGTTGACATCCCTTTCGTTCGTTAGTCTGCAACTTATCGAGTCGAAAAATTTCTCAAACAATCATAACAAATATCGATCCCGAATTCGTTCTACAGATTTCTGTTTCTAAATCAGATTCATACGATAGTAATTCAATTAGGATAGTTGCTCTTTCTAAAACAAGTAACGTTCATCGACATCGAAAGTCGATTCATTGGGCCCTAGACTGACAGTGCTGAGGAGAAGAAATGCATGGACAGGACAGAAAATCGGTGGTTTGTGCCAGCAGCTGGTGATGATATTTTCAAACAGATCTGTAAAGGGAGTGGGAATAAGTGATTCTGAGGTAAGAATTAGGCGAAAACTAAAGGTCTCAAGTGAAAGCGCTGAAAGTGAAGACGAAAGGCGGACAAAATGGGACTCAAAGGTCCTTAAAGGGGGCAGAGCCTGACTCTTACCTACCCACAAAGATATATGGTTAAGAAATTTCGTGATGGTTAGCTCAAAGTTCCGTAGGGGATCAGCTCGTCCCTCCACTGACCCCATCTCCAGAGCGGACTGTTTCATGTGGCCTTGTCATGCACCCATCCATGGTTTGTGCCACGGAAATGGTCGTTTGTGCCATTGTTACAGACAGACAGGCAGACACAGGTGAATTACGGCTTCTAGACCCTATCCTTTCAGTCTTGGGAATCGATAATCAGTTTGTTTATTCGAACTTGCGCACACGCTCATAGAGATATTTCACAAGAAAAAAAGTTTGCTCAATTTTATTGTAATTAACCCATCTTTTTTTGTATCCTTTGGCACAACTATCAATGAATGAATGAATGAATGTTGCAAAGATGCATTTAAAAAGTCAATGTTCAGGTTTCTCAGCTCTGCAAGTTACTTTTTAACTCTAGTTGAAATAGTCTTTCACTGTGAAACAATTCAAATTTCAACCGTAGAATGTTAAGACGTATCGAAAAATAATCTTACCCAGCTTTGCATACAGCAATTGAGATACCAAGAATAGCATTGGCACCGTATTTCTCTATAGAAAACATATGATAATTTATATTCCTATGATTAAATTTAATCACTTACTTTTACTATCTGTACCATCTTCTTGAAGCATAAATTCATCGATTTCTTTTTGTTGTGTGACATCGAAACCTTTCTAGAAAAATAATTTCAATAAATAGAGAAATAAAACACTAGAAATCTAATGCGAACGTCAACAATCATTTTGCCTAATATTTGAACATTAGCTACGGCTTTTTCAACACCTAAAATTTTCATCATTTAGAAAACAATATAACATTCAAATCTATTTAAATTCACAAATCTACCTTTTCCCATATGTACTGCCTTATCACCATCCCGTAATTCAAGGGCTTCATAGATACCAGTTGAAGCACCTGATGGTACACCAGCACGGAAAAGACCTAAATTTTAAAATTTTAAATAACCTTGAATATTTTCAATGAAGAGAAAAAGCATAAGTTCATCACTCAGAAACATGTCAAACATGAATTTCAAGGGAATGGCGAAAGGAAATGACATATGTAAAGAAGAAAAAAAGAGTTATTACATAGTAATATTTTCACAAGGTCATTTACTGCCTGTATAGATAGCCGACCCCCTTCCGTGTACTATTATACTATTTTATATTTTAAGAAGAAAAATCAATTATTCCGTTTTACGTCATGGGTCTCTGTTAAGATTAAATTTAAACTATTTTGAAACCAATATGAAATATTAACACTAAGAAAGATAAAAATTTTTGTCGATCAAATAAATTGCGGAGTTTTTATTGACAAGAAAAAAAGCAAAAAACCGTTTCGCCAATAGAAATTTATAAATATTACCTTTGCTTGTCCAGAGATCGACTTCAACGGTTGGATTACCACGACTATCGTAGATGTAACGACCAACAATTTTGAGGATTTTATCACTCATTTTGTTTGATTATTCAACAGACAGAAATCTAGAAAATATATAATACATAAAATAACTTGTCGTCGTAGAAAAAGCAAAAGAAGCTTCATTCGAAAATATATTTATTTTTCAGAATAAGAACTTCCTCAGTGTACTGATAGTATAAATATTGGTCAATGAGTACGCACCCTAGTTAGTCTAATATTTTTTCTCTAGTTTTCCTTTTTTTTCTTTCTTTCATAGGCAGAAACAGACGCAAATCGAATAATAGCAAGAAAGTCTTAGCAAAAACAAGTTCTCTTTCTTTCTATTGCTCGCCGGTTTTTTTCTTCTTCTTTTATAACTCTTCGTTCTAAACAATCAGCAAAAGAAACCTTCACAAAAAGCAACTCATCGCATCGACAACATATAGCTACGCATGTAGCTATGCTATTTAACGAGTGACCTTGTATGCTAACCGTAAGAACGCAAGAGAAAAAAAAACCGTCTGGATATATCGTGTAACTGATGACTACGACGAAGAAGATTATAAGATGTAATGTGCAGAACAAAAAGGAAAGAGCAAGAAGAAAAGATATTGTTTTTTATATTCTTCGTCTCTTGCGCCTACCAAGGGCAGACACAACCATAAACCATTATTGCTTATGGCATTGACAAGTTCAGTGTTTTTTTTTACATTGGGCGCAAAAGAAAACCGATTGTCTTACAGAAGATAAATGTTTTTTGGAAAATAATCATAGACAAGTCTATGATAATATGGTTAGTTTACAACTCTAGATTTTATATGCGAACGAACTTGGCGAATTAAAAAAAGAAAATCAATAGTTTTAATAGATACTCGTAGTTAATAGGGAATCTATATGTTTGAACAAGGATACACTGATGAGAGCGCATAAAACACAGGCCAAAGTTTTGTTCTTACTCTCTAAACATAACCTATTGAACACAATTTTATCTAATGTGAAGGCGACGACCTTCTCTAGATTAGATTCACCCTCTCATAATTATCTATGCTCTTAAAGATAAATATTTACCCTTCTGGAAAAGAAGTGCTCAATACAAGATAAAAAACCGCTTGTTTTTTTCCACACTAAAACATATGTTCCGTAATCGCTTCGCTCAATTTTTCTCGTTCACCTTACTTACCGCTCTGCATCATTAATAGCTCAGCTGTTCTATTAAACCAAAAATGTAATCTTACATTTTTTCTTTCTTTAGAAAAAGAAAAAATCTACACTACGCACTTAAATGTATTGCCCCTCTCGACTCTCTAATGTTGTCTATATGGTCCATGTATGCCACGAGTTGGAAATACGAGGTAATGTGTGGATTTGTCGTGTTCTGCATGCTTTCTATCACTGCTAGTAGCCAATAATAAACAACGGCAAGAAACGAGAAAGAGACCGATAGATTTTAGTACAGTAGAACACAATGATTCGTCGTTCTTATGATTTATATCTGGCTATTGTATCAAAATTCAATGGAGAAGGGAATAAAACAAATAAGAAAAAAAGTTTCATTCTTTTCAGGAGCTTTTTTTTATTTATATCCAACAATCTAAAGTATCGAAAAGAAGGAAGAAGAAGGATATTTTTGTGTGGATTAGATTGATGACAAGGAGTAGCAAACAAACTCGCACAAAAATTTCTAATCAGTTTTGGGTGCAACAGGCCATGACCGTGGTGGAGGTAATTCGCGTGGTGCCAACATAGCTGAATAACCTTCAGATCGCTCAGCTGCTTTCTTCTGTTCAAGTTCATGTAAACCATCAACTTGTGGACGATAGAACCATCCCTTGTTATCACCACGTGCATGTTCCAAACGTCGAACTTTTCGTTCAAGAGCTCTAAAGATTATAATAAAATCGTTATTGCTTCTTATGTTTTCTTTTGTTTTCATACTTGAGTTGATCTCGCATAACATTTGTATAAATGGCATGAAGAGAAATTTCATAACGTTCATCAAATGGTTGAACTACATATTGAGCCATAAAACGACGTAGTGGATGCTGAAATGGACGAACGTATAGGTTTTCTATGAAAAATATCTAGAAAAAAAGGGGACACCAACTTTATAATATTCCCAATGTCGTGGCTCGTAATCTTCTGGGATTTCGGACAGTGTTGCTTGACCTATTCGAAGATATTACTGAATTTTCAAGTATGACAAATCAACATACCAACAAATACATTAGCATAAAAAACAACACAAAATGTAGGTACCAAACCGATGAGAAAGTAGTAATGCTGAAAAATAAAAATAAATTGTAATTAAGTTTTAATTAAAAAAACGAATTTGTTGAAATCGAAATAGGTTTCAATTTGAAAACCTAAACCATTCATAATTATCTGTTTAACCATGAATTTGTTCAAAGACTTTAAATGTATTTTCTTGCAATTTAAACAGAAATTAGAATATTATCTTATGGAAGTGTGTTGATGTATAAAAGTAGATATTTTCACTTGCAACTTTCATTGCAGTCGCTGAAAGACATTTTAGTATGTCATTAATAAGTGCTCATTGTTTAAATGACTAACTAATAACACATTAAAATCTTATTAATGATTCATGAAAACCTGATAAAAAATGCGTTAGTAACTTATCAATGAAACATAACACAATGGCCTATGAATGAAGTGTTGAAAGATATAGCAAGAAAAGTGAATCACTTGTGTCTTACTCTTGAGAGTACGTGACAAACAGATATGAAAGACGATCTCGATAGTTTAATATGAAGAATAGTGTCCCTTAATGAGTTGAATATCGTATTCTTCTATAACAATCATGTTCCATGGAGATTAAATTGAAATCTTTTTTTTCCTTCTATCATGTCAAGTGCTTAGCTCAAATCTAGATAATGAAGATTACATAAACATAAGTTGCTGTCAAAAAATTCTATGTAACGTTTTAACAAAGACATAGATTTCATAAAAAATCGCCCGTTATTGCTTGGATTCAAAATTTTAACATGATTTCTAATTCGTGTTAGTAATTGAAGATTGAATATTAGCACGATTTAGGCAAGAAAATCTGTACGAATATATTAATACTTATCTCGACAATCAAAAAATTAATTGAGAAAATTCGATTCTTTGATGAATGTTTCGAAAACTTTGAGACAAGGAAGAAAAAAAGAAATATTTCTTATCTACGCCAAGGGTTGGCACTACACAACAAAAACTACAGGGATTTGAGAAGATGATTCAAACAATGACGTTATTCAACCTGGATGAGCTTCTACTATTTCACCTTTAAATGAAAGTCAATAAATATCAAGAAGTTTGGCTCATCTAGTATCTACAATAGCTGAAAATTCATAACTTCCATTCTACTGGGTGAATAAGTGTAAAGTATATTCATTCATGTTTGACAATAGGTATATATAATAATCATCTTCGCATTCTCTTGTTTGTAGTTAGCAGTATCTTCAATTGCATTCACTAGGGAAAATTTCAGTTTTAATTAACTGGTTAACTAAACAATCAATATCTTGATTTACGAGAGAAATATCCTGTATGATACGATCGCTTGGCTGCTATATCTAAGGTATCACTAAAAAAGTGTGACCTCCAGAATTTTCCATATACCCCTCCTGCAAGATTTTAATTGCCGCTATTTTGATCTACTAAGATCTCTGTTGGATTTCTTCATCAACTATTCTCAGCATTATACAAGATCGAAGTACATTTTGAAGTCTACATCTTCATAATGATTGTTCTACATGTTCACAAACAGAACAGATCACTCGAAAACATATGCTAACAAGAAAGATCTATTATTGCAATACAAAACTTCTTTTATAACTTACAAATAAATCAAAAAATTTGCGTTCATTAAATTCCGATATCATCATTCGCATACGTCGTTCGGAACTCCATCGTTTTACAACTAAAATTGCATAGAGCATTCATTTTTTGTTTTCATAAATATAAATCTTTACTTGTTTGTATTTGTTGTGTTGGTTTGAATACCGTTTGTAATAACGGTCGAAATTTACTGAATAGAACCATTGCCTATTTGAACTTCTATGACATATCTAAAAAATATATATTTCATTGATCATTGATTAATATATATATATCTTGATATCTGAGAGTCTAGTTTTGTGTAAAGACAAAAAATTTATAATAATTAAAAACAGGATGTTACATTGAGTGACCACAGACAACAAGAGTTTAGTACATTCATAAATACAAATGAGCAAAAGAAAAAAAAACGAAATATAAAATTTGGTACTTCTTCACATAAACGACATTGCAATTGTATTGGTCGTAACAATGAGAGGAACGGAAAACAAATATTATTGGGTCATCTTATTTGGTCAATAAGAAATAAGTCGCTAATATATATAGAGAGAGAAACGCATATACATCAGAGTTATTTAGTAAAAGGAATAATTTAAATAAATAAAATACTTCATGATATTTATTTAAAAGAAAATAACAAAGAACGAAGGATAGCTAGGATGAAGATGAATCTCGAAAAAAATCAAAAGTAATAGAAATCAATTATATTTTCCTAATTCTCATAAGTTCATTAGTCATGTAATTGTTTTCTCCCTTATTGTCATGATTAGTTTTTTATTTATCACTACAATAGATAGATATAGGAAAGTACATCATCTCTCTATTAGGGATTTATTTCTCATTGACTGAATGAGATGAGACAATAATATGTTTTTCTCTTACTTCTCTTATGATTACGATGAATGCAATGAGGATATCGTTGATCTGAAGGAGTACTACGAGTTTAGATTGACTACTAAAAGAGTATAAATGGAGTGTAATACAGATACAAAAAGACAAACGATGAGAATATGACCATGAAGATATAAGAAAACAAAAAAGTTAGAAAATCAAAATAATAATAGACTTTTTATCATAGGAATGTCATTGGAATCGTTTTTAGGTATGGAAATATCGTTTTTAAAATAAATTTATTCGTTAATCATTAAATTTTCCGCCATGCCATTGTCCTTCAATGAATGCATTTCTATCGCTGATTTATCATGTTCAATAATATAATCAAGAAATGCTTGACGAATATTATACGAAAATGGACTACTTTGATCAACCATTCGTTCTGGATGCCACTATGTGAAGAAAAAAGAAATCAAAAGTGCCCCAGGTGAATGAATCCTATCGAATCTGATCGGATCCAACTAGCCGACAAATTCCACTGGAATACGGGTCATAGCATAACTAACGGATCGCCCTGATGAGTTTTCCCCTGTGAAGCCCTCTAAGAGGTCCAGAACTGTACTCTGAAAAAAATAAAGGAGGTTTACAGAACCCTCCGAAAAGGTTCTGCAGATTTCCAAAATGCTCCAAATGTGTTCAAAGTCTCAAAAAAAGGATAAAAATTTTGAGAGAACCTTTTAAAGGTTCTGCGTTTTACCCAAGTGCAGAACCATCTCTTAAAGAACCTTTTTTTCGGTTCTGTACAGCAAAAAAAGGTTCCGTGAGAAAATACGAAACCTTGAAGGTTCTGTACGAAACCATTAACCGTTGGTGCGTAACCTTAATGGTTCCGTACTGAACCCAATCGTTTTGTACAGAACCTTCAAGGTTTCGTATTTTCTCACGGAACCTTTTTTTTCTGTACAGAACCGAAAAAAAGGTTCTGTAAGAGATGGTTCTGCACTTGGGTAAAACGCAGTACCTTCAAAAGGTTCTGTCAAAATTTTTATTTTTTTTGAGACTTTGAACACATTTGGAGCATTTTGAAAATCTGCAGAACCTTTTCGGAGAGTTCTGTAAACCTCCTTTATTTTTTTCAGAGTACATAATGGTGAAAAAAGAAAGAACTCCTTGAGGGATTTATGAAGGAATACCGGAATGTAGTCACCGTTTTATTGAGAGCCTATGAAAGTATATGTTGAGAATCGGATTAGTTCGATGAAATGATTTAATTTATTTTCTAACATAGACTCTTTTCGAGTGATAAATATCATTTAGACTTTTACATCAAATTTCTCAGCAATAACTCATCGTTTTGACGTGAATTACCATTTGATTCGTAGTTCGTTCAACGAGGCGAGGTCTGAGGGAATGCCCTGGAGATTTATAGAGGTAGATTTGACTGGGGCGGACGAAAATTCTTTTTTTTTATCAATTGATTACCAATTAGTACCTGAAGCCAAGACAAGAGGGTAGTCAGAGTCAAGCGTTGGGTTCCGTCACCATCAAAATATCATTTAGAGAGCAGAAATTCGATAGAAATGCATAAAAATCTGATCGGATTCGACTGTTGGAATGATTCTCCTGGGAGTACTTTTTTTTATATAGATTATAATTTGATTCTTATTATTACCTGTACTCCTAAATAAAATGGATATTCATCTACATTTTGATATTGCATTGCTTCAACAATTGGTTCTTCAGCTCTCGCTGCTACTAATAAATTTTTACCGAGTGTTTCAACACATTGATGATGTGAAGAATTAACAGCACCTTTGACACAGCCGGTTATTTGATTAAGAAATGTATTTTCTACAACATGAATGTCATGTCGTTGATCTATACCTAAAATATCATAGAAAAAATATTGAATGCTTGATTATTATATTGAAATAAAAGTCTTAGATGTAGCTGTAAGATATTTATTCTTTGTAACACTGAAATAGTTGAAAGTAAATTACTGTTTTGTATCAATTGGTAATGTCGGACTCAGTCTTAATTGCAATTACTAAAAAAACTTGAACCGGTTTAATGGTTTCACAAAGGTAATCGGGTGAGAATTAGTCAAAATCTAAAAATTGACTTTTGTCTCGAAGAGGCAATTAATTTTCACTATGTTTCATTCTCATTTTGATGGATAAGATACATCGTTAAATATAGGCATGTTTTTTATATCAGGTTTAGTCCTTAGAAAATAATAGACTAAGTTTACTGGTTCATCTCTATTATAGACAATCAATCGATTCGCTGATTAACCAAATATCTACAATGAATCATATTTGAGTTTGAGGCGACATTTTATCGGTTAAGAATTCATTCGGCGAAGTTGGCATCGGTGGGAAAAACATTTCGGCGATGAAAAATGACTAACTCAAGTGAAGGAAGTACAGAAGCAATCATGAGATGCCTAGTTCGAATTCGAATATAAATAGACATCCAACTACATGGTATCCATTCGAAAATAAGCGATAGAAATAGATTTAGTTTTAGGTTTAGGTTTAGTTTAAGATGGAGTGGGTGTGGTTGAGGGGGGCTAAGGGGTAACTGTGGGTGGCGGTGCGAGTGAAGGCGGGTGGGAGGGGTACCCATAGTACTCAAAATGTGGTTGTGGGTGATGGATACCATGGAAGAGTGCTCAGATGTGGGTGAGGGTGAAGGTATATATATATTCATATGTCGCATATATCGGAAAGTTAAACTAAAACTAAATCGATTCCTAAATTTAGTTTTAGTTCAACTTTTTCTTTTTCTTTTCTCCATTTATATTCGAACTCGAATTAGGCAGCTACTCGAAGCAATCATACTGCTTCAAGTGTAGGTGAAACTAGAAGTGAACGTTTTTTTCCAGAACAAATACATTGCAACCTACTGTACTTGTGCTATCTATGGTACATATGATATTCAAGATTCAATAGCGTTTAAAAGTTAGTGCTTATGAAAATGTTTAAAAAACTGATAAGAAAACTGATTTCTTATCACTGTTGGTTATTCTAAATAGTTATGTAGATTTAATTAATCTATCAATCAACTATCAAAAATATGTACTTTTAATAATGAAATTTGTTTCGATGTCTGTATCATACAGTAAATCCTTCTAATCGAATCGTATTCGAACAGAATGACATGCCGTACATCCGGAAACTTCTTCAAAAGAATACCTTGTACTTTCGCATGTCCATTGATGTTTGTAACTGTCGGAATATCAAAAATCAATGTGCCACCTTGATAAACATTAAATAATTGCATACCTATTCACAGAATAAAAAAATGTTTGTATAGATATCTATAGAATAGTATTCTAACCACGACAAATGCCTAGCATTGGTAGTTTGAGTGTAAGCGCTAGAGCAATAACTTCCCATTCGAATTGATCACGTTTTTCATCAATATCGGCCAATTCTAATCGGTCAAGAAGATCTGGTCGTTTGTATCGACGTGGATCTACATCTTCACCACCGGATAAAACAACGCCTTGACATTTTTCAACATCGTCAACATTATTTAAACTATACGAAAGACGAATAACATTAACTTTGACGGGTGCATCTAAAAACCATCGTTCATAGTTTGTATAACGTGCGCAATCAGTAACACCCACGGTAATACCGTTGATCGAAGCTGAAGTTTTCATTTTTGATTACAAATATATCCCAAAGGTAGTCATTAAAAATACAGCACTTGTTAGTGCAAAATAAAAACTCTTAATGGGGTAGGAAAAATAAACTATCGACTATAAATAACACATGAAATATGAAAACAAATTCAGGAGGAATATACCGATTCTATTTGATTGGCTCAGTGTTTCGACTAGTGATATTAAATTTGACATATATAAATTACCTTTTTAAATCATAGAATCACTTATGATTCAATAAAATCTTGTATTCTAGAATAATGGATTAATAATGCGAAGTAAAACAATTCAGAATTTTTTATAGCAAGTATCTAATTGAGTGTAGCGCTCTCTACAATTTTGTTCTGGCATGCTTAACAGCGATAAAGTGAGCACAGAACAGGAATCATCAATATATGAGAGTCGTCCCAATATTTCGAAATAACTTTTATGTTTCCTTAGATGTGTTCAAGAATGCACGACTTCAATTATGTCAGCAGATAAAATGCATATCGTCGAGGCCAATAGCTAACACTTCAGGAGGCTATGGTGGTTGCTAGGCTTAGTTTCCTATACTGAGAAATAATAGAAATGTTTCTTTAGCACTGAAACATCATGAATCTAATTGTACATAGTAATTAAATCTTTCTATGATGTAAGATGGAAGCAGTATTCCGGTAAACGGATCCGCTGATCAGATTTATCCGGTTTCACCCGGAACCGAAAGTACTCTGGCAAAATCGGTACTCTAATATGGTCACTGAATTACGGTGTCAAATTCCTGGCATTTCCCGTCAGAAATTTACGGGATACTGCTTGAGGAATCAGTCACCTGGGACATCATCATGCACTCTTTCTCACATGCAATCCTATATTATCTAATATAAATCAGAAACTGTCTATTCTTTTCAAAAAGTATTAGTTAATATATATATATATATAGCTCTATAATGATGTTGAAGCAACAGTTATATGAGTAGTACAGTACCTAAACGATGCTTGCCTTAGAAATTGCCACAGAAATGCATGAGTAATAGTACAATTTTCATATTGTTGAATATACTAGGCAGTACATTTGACTCCTTCTAAAAATAAAGCATCTACGAATCACATTACATTTTGAACATAGTAAACTTGAAGTGATAAGACCCAGATCAAGCAATCCAACAGTAGGCACCAATCGGAACCCATCCGATCCGACTCGTGTCCAGTAGGATCTTATCGGATTTTGTCGGACCCTACAGACCTATCGTCGGATCCGGGTTCCGGGTTCGAAGTTGGATCCTCAGTGTCGGATTCCTATGAGTTCCAAAGAAACACTGTTGGATGTCATCGGAAGTTCAATGGGTTCCGACCAGTGGTACCGACGTCAATTCCTCGACCCGAATTCCTATAAGATTCTGTCGGATGGTAGGATACTATCAAGTTCCTATCGAATTCAATGTGGGATTTCTCGACCTGGGGAGCCATTATATAATTAAATAAAGTGTTTTAATTTGTGTTTAAATGTCTGCATGATATGAAATGTTATTTTATATTTTGCAACAGAACTTATGCATGATCGATATTTATCGGCAAAATTTTCTGTAAATATAGAAGAATATTTTATTTTAAGTTCGACAATGAAATTAAATGAATATAATGCAACAAATACCTATAAAAACTTGATTTCTTTGTTTTGTTCATAATATTTGAATGTATTCAAGAGTCGTCCCAATATTTCGAAATAACTTTTATGTTTCCTTAGATGTGTTCAAGAATGCACGACTTCAATTATGTCAGCAGATAAAATGCATATCGTCGAGGCCAATAGCTAACACTTCAGNTGTTTTGTTCATAATATTTGAATGTATTCAATAAAAAGATGATTCATTCTCGTGAAAAACTTGTTTTTGTTGTAACTGCTGTATCAGTTGAAAATTTTTCTATCAGTATCGACTCAATGCCTAGATTTTTTTATTATCGAGGCATGATCGAAAAGAAATATGTGAGAATACCTTGATGATTGTAGCAAAACTAATAAGTTAGAATCGTAAATGCAGAGTACAATTTATTATAGTTATTTTAATATTTTGTTTAATAGATGTACTCACTCATCATAGTAGATAAGTTCAACAAATATGTTGTCTGCATTGTTCATTATATCAATATAACAATATTCTTATGAACTATTCATTGTAGATATGGCATTGCCAACAGAAAAGCAACCAAAAAAGGATAATGATAAAAAAAATGAATCAAATCGAATATTCGAATGTCCCTTTAAAAGTAAGATACTTACATTAAGATCTGGGCTGCATGCATGAAGTATTCCNATCTGGGTTTCGGAATTATTGACGAATCCGACGGAAGAATTTTAAAATATATCAAAATTCTATTTTTAATACAAAAGAGCTTTTTAGAAATTGAGTATAGCAGACTTTTTTGGCGCATCAGATCCTGATCCTATGGATCCGAATCTCGGCCCAAAACCCGCCCATGTTGCGAATGCCGGATCAATTTTTGCGGTAAACCGCGGTATTTATCCGTTCTGCGGTAATGGGAGCCGGTAACCGGACCGGTAAAACCGCGGTTAACCGCCGATTTTCATGCGGTTTTTATTACATGGGCGAATCCGACGGAATCTGTTGGCTCTTGCCAATTTTCATGTAAGATCCGATGCAACCCATTTTCAGATCCGATTGGATCCGATTGTAGGAATGAACGACCTGGGTATTAATTTATGATTTACTTTTACATTTTTTTCATATTAACCAGTGCCTACCAGTTTGCCTTCGCCGAGTTCCAATAAAAAAAGTTTTTCTCCAAGATGTAGTAGTTCTCGTAAGATCTGTGATTTCAATTTTCTAATCATTTTATTGTTATCATTTTTCTGTTGGTAGACCTTCAGTCAAGTCTCTTAGCGTCTTCAAATGTAAGCTCAAATGTTCGATCAGAATTATTGATTTCAAGTGCACGACCATTTGAGGAAGTTGCCATGGGAATAAATTACGATGAACAACGTGAGCCGTACCCAAAACCGAAAGACAGTGTTTTGTCGATGGCTACTAAAAACTGATAATATTCATGCATCACACATTGACTGTAAATCAAATGTAGCAAATAATTGATTTTATTGATGCAATGAATATGACTGATAATTAAGTATTTATTCAACAAAAGAATTTTTATATGCAAATAAACTAGTGAGCGTTACTTTACAAAATCTATAATTTATTCATATTGATCAAAACTAGTAACCGACACGTGTTGCATTATCCGGTATGAGTATCATTATTTTGATTAGTATCTACTATCATTCAGACTGATTTGAATCGGATTTTTTCGAAATTACCATCAAAGTCTGCTAGATTTCATCTCTTTCATTTCCTACAGGAAACAATGCGCTTATTCAACTATCCAAAAGTTGTTTTCTGAATCATTAGCATCGGTGCTGGATTTTCAATCAAAGATAGACCTACTTCTCACTTTAGATATGAGTAAGGTTTTTGCAACTTAAATGAAAAAATACAATTTTTTAAAAATAGCTCAATCGTTCAGGCTCTTCTAATTACCATGATGCCTATCTATATCCATATGGTTTTAAATAGAAATTCAATCGTTGAATTGTTGCTGTTCATATCGCAAGTATTCTAGTAAAACAGTCATAATTCAAAAGATGGAGACCGAATAAACAAACACAAAAACAGAATCGATTGGTAATAATGACAGAGCAATTTGATGATCAGCAATGTTTAATTTTGAAATCGATAGACAGAAAATTGTTTTAAAAACGTTCAAAAAACATTATATCTTACTTTCTAGATGAAAAATATTCTACAATGGTTCTAATAATAAAATTGCATATAATACAGATTGTGTCATAATTCACTAGAAATAATCATATGTCGATAAATTTCGAAATGTCAAGAAATTCCTAAAATAATTTAGAAAATAGCATCTCTGTGATCATACTATTTAAAAGCTTCACGTATAATAGGAAACTAGTTCTTATATATAGTCGTTTTCTATCTATTAAATTACTATACTTCAACGTTGTCATAGAACAATAATCAGAATATAGAATTCGATATCGATTGTTTTCGTCTTGTGATTGTGAAATGTATTTCTTCGATACATATATTATACAATTTCATCACACTATAATTATCTTCAACGTAATATTTTTTCTTATCCTTTCACAGTTTTATATTGTAGAAAAAGTTATTTACTCTATTGACGTCAAACATATATTATATAGAACAATTGAATCGTTCTCAACGATGAATAATCCAGAAAAATTCACACTCAAATACATATAAAATCAAGGTTAAATTTGTGAAGCGTGCGTATATATTTTCGTTTTAAGTTGATGACTATCTTATGCACTTAAGTCATACTTATGTGTTTTTTCATAACAAATCATGTATGTACATTAATCAATACTTTTATCTCTTTCTTTCATACGAAAGTCTAATTATATTTATGTCGTAAGATATATTGGAATGAGTTAAAATACGTCAGTTATTTCTCGAATATTCATGAAAACAACGCAATTCAGTTGCAATATGATATCTATCTTACATATAAAAAGATACCAATTTTTATAATTGACTATTATTTAGTTTACATAAGAGCAAACTATGTCTTATTTGCCTACTACACACTATCGTTTATTCAACGCTCCATTCGATCGATTCTATGGTGATCAACTCAATCTTTTTGATCCATGGCGTGATTTTGAGGCATTTCCAACAAATTTACCAGCCCTTCCGAATACATTTCGATGGATTCATGAACCACATCGAATGGTTCGCCGAGCATCAGCATCGAAAGCATCCTCATCTTATACAACACAAAATAATCTTCCTGGTGGCAATACTCGTTTTCCTCTGCCAACAATTACAATAACAGCTCCTGTAGCTATACCAGTTCAATCAGAGAAATTTCGTGTTCAACTGAATGTGGCTGGTTTCAATCCCGAGTCGATAAAAACACGAATTGAAGACCGAAAAGTTATTGTTGAAGGTAAACAGGAAGAGCGAGATCTCAGTGGTGATTTTAATATTCGAGAAATTCGAAAAACATATGATCTTCCTGAACATGCTGGTAAGATATAATTGCATTCTTTCATATTTATATCTAACTACTCGACTTTTTTTCATTTCAATAGATACAACGAATTTTGCTTCGTTTGTTACTCCAAATAATATGCTTGTTATTGAAGTTCCTGTTAATGCTCCACACATAGAACGTCGTCCATCTCAAACACTGGTCGATAATCAATCACTTTCTTCATTTGGTCAATATCGTGATCCAATATTTGACTATCCAGGTTTCATTGCTTCAGCTGAATTTCGTCCACGTATTGTCGATACAGATAATGGAGAAAAGCTAGTTAAATTGTCTTTGGCAGTTAAAAATTATCGTCCTGAACAAGTCAATGTTGCAGTTAAAAATAATGAATTAGTTGTACAAGCGGAAAATATTTATAATGATAATAATCGTGCAGAACGATCATTTTTAACGAAATTTATTCTATTACCACCTGGTACGCAAACAAATCAATTAAAATCAACTTTGACACCTGAAGGACAATTAGAAATTCAAGCACCATTTATTGAACCTACACAAGATCGTTCAATTGAAGCTCAACAGGCGTAACAATTTGCAAACATGTTATTGTTTTTTGATTGTTGTACTCTTTGTTTCTTTAAATAAATAAAGTCGAAATTCGTCCGATATTTATCAAAGCTAACAAAAATAAATACATCATTACACGATGATTGATTGATTGATTGATTGATTGATTGATTGATTGACAAGAAAGTAATGAATAGTTACACTAGCTCACCTATAACGAAGGACAATGTAGAATTTACGTAGAATAATATGTAACGAAATTTTAACTAGAGAAAATATTAGGAGTTGACTATTTGTTAATTAAACAAAAAAGAATCATAGATCAAAGATATGAAGTGACGCTTTTCTTATTGATGCTTATTTTTTATGACGATAAATATATTTATTGTGTTGCAGTCGAATCAATAAATGCAAAGTAAACGCAGGTACTGATAAACTACATCACTTTGATTCTATCATATGATACAAGACTAGCGTTTTTTCGTCCAGTGTAATTTTCAATAAAAAAAGATAATCATAAAGAACTCGTACGATCACATTTTTCAGTAAAATATTGAATTTGTCGTATATCAAGTTTCTGTACCACTTCATGGTAATACATTTTCAAAAGGCATGAGTTATTTTTCTTCATTTTTCGTCAAACACAAATGATATTGTTCGATAGCAAATATGATAATAGATTTATTGAATGAATCAATGCATTGATTGACTTCAAATCGGACTCAACGAACCAATGTAGAATAAAATTTTGTAATGAAAAATCTTGAATCTCTTAAAAAAATTCTTTTTTTCTTCTTCAATTTTCAACAATTGGATTGATAATTTGGAACAGTGCGTTTTCTCAACTACTACAACTGGTCATTATTACCGATTCATTGCAACTACTTGACTCGATTGTCAGCATTTGATCTAACAACACATCAGTAGCTGCTGCTTTTCGGTCTCACTAAAATTGTGTTTTATCTTTGAGGATTTTTTTATTTATTATGAAGAAAATATTTTGAAACGTGTAGTTTTTACTAAGTCATATAGACGAAATGTCTTTAGCGTTTGAAAGACGTAATAGTACGTAGGTCGTCTATAATGGCAAATCCCATCACCGGCCTATGACGTCCACCTTTTGATTGAACTCCATGAAAGCGACCAACTATATGGCACGTTTTCGATTCATTGGTTACTTCATTGTTTACTTGAACGGGTATGACCAATGATGGGAGTTTTATATCTGTTACGTGATGGCTTTTGCTGTTTTGCAATCCATAGAAAAGGCGAAGAATCCATCCGCCGTTGATATAATCTCCTCCTCTCCTGAAATATGAAGATCTTATTTGTGCTTTAAAACTAAGTATGAAAATGACAAAATATTAATTGGATATACTTTTGTCTTCAGAGTTATTATAACCTTTGAATTATTGCTCTTTGCCAGATATAAATTTAAAATACTAAATACTCACACTCCAGATTGCCCTGCTTTATGATTTATTTGCATTACTTCATCCCAAAATTTATTGTTCACGTCGCCCTTGTAGGTTTGAATGAATTCATCAAGGATAGGCAATACTCCATTGATATAAGTAGCAAAACTATTCCAATTATCAGTAGTGAAATTTTTAAGTTGCTCAGTTTTACGACGCAGCAATGTCCAATCGTCGAGTGTACCCATGAAATGCGCTCGACGAATGCCACACAATGTCATACAGGCTTCATATTCAAAATACTTCTTGAATGTATCCATTGTAGCTACATAAGAAAGAAACAATTCAACTTTGGTAGTTGTTGAAAAATTTGCTCTAAGTAATTCCGTGACATTATTTTTCACATTATCACTTAATTGTGTTTGTATACGTTCAAGAAAATCATCCCAGCTATAGAAGCATGAATATTTTTGGTTAATCTTCGCTTCAAAAATTAAAATCTACATACTCAATGTTGGTCATACCCACTTGTTCGATAATCAATTTTTTCTGACCGTTATGATCAACAAAAAGTGGGCGCAATTTTTCAGCATTTTCATTGACATAAACACAAAAGTATATACGTATCATGAGCCAAATATCATCGGGAGACAAAACGATATCCTCGTGTGAATTGTAAGCAAAGAGAAAGGCCGCAAAAATCGGATGATTTTCAATCAATGTGGTATCTAAACACAAAAATAAAATGTTTTTCTTTTATTGATGAAACAACAAAATTCCTATCATTTACATGGACCGTTTACCATGACATGTTGCACTTTGTAATGTTCTTGTTTTGCTTTTTTGTCCATCTTTCTGACCCAATAATCGGCAGGTGGAAGATCCTGGAAAGTTTCCTCACTGTAATATTTTTTGATTGTCGGAAGATCTTCACAAATTGAAACCGTATGGTAGTTGGATGAAACATCATTTGTGCTGATTGACATTGTTGCAGCCATACCAATATTCACGTTTTTTTTTACTAGTTTAAATAAAAACAGTCACTTTTAAAAGATCAAGCAAAAAAGTGCAACTTAAATACACCAGAATGCAAGAATAAAAAAGGAAGTGATGTGTAAACAAACAATGGAATGTGATGCAAAATCATGTGCATAAACAAAATCATAGGTTGCGGCTGATGTGTTAATCAAGGCGTTGGTGTACGTTATACAAAAAGAAGAAGAAGAAAGAAAATCATATTAATAATGTTTATACAGTAAGATTTAGCCTTGAGGATGTGGATGAGTTAATGACCGGAGATATACACAGTGGAAATTGTATTTACACCCACACTAAATATCACAACATTTTTAAAGATGGTATATTCAATTTAGTTGAAGAATAGTTGAAATTTTTCTGCAGTCGAAAGCGAATATTACATTCACTTTTATTAATGTGTACTCAAAAAGTGAGTACACTCTAGAATCGGTCAGTGTGTTCGTCCGGCCGTCCGTTTACACAATAACTTTCGAAAAGAGAGTTAGATCATGATGAAATTTTCTACACAGTTCAGTCTCATCAATGTGTCAGTCGAGTTCGAAGATGAGAAGGATCCGTCAAGAAATGGTTGAGTTATCGAAAAAATTGCCATTATTGACCAGACCATCCCTGAGGGGGAGTACAGGGATTTTTCAAAAAAACTTTTTTTTCTCAGAATCATCCGCGACATATATAGATCGACTCAGTTTTTAACGCTGATTTTGAATCTGATATTAGTTTTGAAAAAAATCGTAGTTTTTTAACGAAACATTGACTGAAAAAGGTCTCAAAATACACAAAAACTGCATCTAGCAACCAAATTGCCAAGCTATGTTCCAGATGACCAACAGTTTGGGGGTTTCTCAAATGCCTGATTTTGTAGCTAGTCAAAAAGACTATCGAAAGGTAAAAGCCCGAACTCGATAGCTATTACTATTGATGATTTATTATGAAAATACTGATGCCTGTATCTATCATATATCTCTTATAAATTCATGAGGTTGCTTACGATCGTAATCCTGCTAGATACAAATACAAAACCATTCAAAAATAACTGTTCTTATCCAGTTTTCGAAGCTGAACACGAATTTGAGCTCAATTTCTGTGATCTCTAAAGATATTATATCCCGCTGAGAGTAGAGTCAGTGATCACTGGATAGAGTTGCATACAGTGTGGTCCATGCTAACTTAGCATGCCTGTATTTTCTCCTTGTAATTTAGTGAGAAGGGATGTATCTTGATGAGATCTATGCCTTATAGAAAAAAATGGATGTACATTTTCGCTTTTTGAAGTACACATAACAATCGGATGCAAATCCGATGTTTCCGCATTTATATTATTTATTAGAATTTATTATATTGACTTTCAAAAAATTATGATCAAATGTTATCGGATAAAATAACAAGATGTTCGAATGCGTAAAAAAAACGACTTCTCTTTGGTCATGAACTCTTTTTTTTGAAGAGGGTAACTGTGGATGCAATAATCTCTTCGTAACACACACTCTCCACTCTCGTACCTACATTCATCTATATCCAAATCCCTCAGAAAATCGTATTTTTCTCAATAGTTCGAAATTGACTCCTTGGTGTAGAACGCAGTAATTACCAAAGTATCGTCGTTCAGCACCAGTTTACCTTTATTATGAAATACTCCGTTTTAATAGGATTTTTATGGAAGATTTGTATCTAAAGTATGCAAATATTTCAAATATTCCTGCAAATAGTAATTATTATTATTATTTCACCAATGTAGTTCATCGAAAATAAAAACAATAAAATTTTGTAATCATCGATCACCCAGAAAAGCGATCTCTGTCAAATTGTATTCAACCGGTTCTTCGTAACTATTCTAAAACGGACTCCATGCTTTCAGTTCTAAATCTACGATTTTCGCAGTTCTAATTTCCGTCCAATTTTCTGTAAAAGTGCTTCTTGATGTTCACAATTCGTTATACCATAGAATATGCTGCTATTGTGATTATCACGCGCTAAACATGTCATGTCATAATATTCTTGTACAATGTGACATCCGACTTGGCTCACGCGGAACGCAGACCACTCTATCACGCCGGTTCCAGATTTTCCATAGAATACAAGACTTTTAAGCAAGTTTTGTACCAATAAAAGATGAATTGGCAAATCAAAATGCTTTTGATATAGAGGATCTACTACAAATGAACATAAGTAGAGGGAATACTGCTTGTTTTGTCCATCGTTCCAGTTGCGAATAGCATCATCTATGATGTCAAGTTTTTCATCGAATCCTAGTTGAAGAGTTTTTTGAAAAACGTCTTTTTTCAATGGTATGACGAAAATGTATCCGATGAGACGATTATTAATTTTAGCTCACCACCATAATGAAGGATTACGTTGATACCAGCGGAAGAGTACATCAACAGAAATAGCTGTAGAAGAATTGTACACTTTCCTTGCCAAAAATTCAATATCCCGCGTCATTTCTTCAGCCTCATCATGTACTAGCGTATGAGTAATAATCAAGGGTGTTGCTTCCATATGTTCCTAGTTTGTATTGAACTCGAATCTCACCTATCTAGAGAGAAACAGATCCGATTAGAGCATAAATATCAAATCATGCATATACAACTATGAATTGAAAACAAGTTCAATTGATAATGTGAATGCAGGTGTCAATGAACATAGGAGTCGCATACGCCGACACTGCACATCCCTAACCACAACCAAATAATATTAACCAAAAAGTCGCAACAAATTCGAAGGTGCGTTGTTGATTTTAGTTTATGTTATATACGTGAGAGCTTTTCTGTTTGTTATCGAATGATTCGTATGCTACTATTCGAAGATAGCCACATTTTACTTATCTTATCTGTATTGTTTTTAATATTGTAATGCGAAACCCGACATTTCTGTAATTCTTCGCAAGTTTTCTTTATTTCTATGTTTCGAGAATCTGGGTATCGGCTGTTTCTCATCTTTTCGTGTAGATTGACATCTATACCCTCAAGGAGAGCAATGCAGTTGCGTTCTTTCATAGATAATGATAATTCTATTAAATTGAACACAACCTTTACAAAAAGTGAATACTCAGTTGGTATATTTAACTTTTTCGTCTTCAGAATCGACAGTAGCATTCTATTATATGAAGAAATAGTTGAGAAAATAACAACTTAAAATTAATTTTGAATCAAAAACTTATTTACTAATAAACTTCATTCACAAAAATAATCTAACCTTATATTTTAGAGTCTAATTTTTCGATGGTTTTTAACTTGATTAAAGCTTTAGCTAACATTCTGTTATATTATGAAGAGGGTTGCCTGCCTAATGAAATCGGAAAATTGGAAATTTTATTACCTTAGGATTGTTTTAATGTCTAATATATATTTTCCAGACGACCATCTTTGTTAGTTAATAGTTTAGCTATTTACTCTGTTAATATGAATGAAGTCTATGTTTCATCAAAAACTATGTTACATGTAAAAAGCTTACAAAAAAGAATTACAATTCAACTGATAAAGATTTATGTCAAAAACAGAATATGATCGAAGAAATTTGCTCTATTTGATAACATAGCCACATGATTTAGTATTTAAATATGAATATTTCAAGGTAATTACCTCCTGTTATACTTTGTTCTTTGGTAAATTTAGAATTTGTTACCTTACTATACGCGGTACTTAAAAGTAACTAAACTCAGTTCTACTTTATTGAGCTCCTATGTTTATAATTATAATGTTCTCATTTTTATATAGTGAATCGATGATTTGTGTTATCTAGTAATGGAATATTCACAAAATAACTCAAGTTTTCTTGAGTTCTTTTTTGACAGTTATTAATGCTCTACATGTAGCTGAAACACACTATACAGTTACCTTTTGAAACATCTGTTTTTTTTCAAGAACCAAAATTCTTCTTTACGCATGATTTAGATTTTTGTAGTTGTTGTTTTCTCGGTGTGGTCAATAGATTCATTCGTGAGTTGCAAAAGAAAAATATATTCGACAGCAGAACAGAAAAAAAACGATAAAGAACAGAAAGAAAAAATACAACCTGGAATATCAATGATCATGCACGAGTATTCTAGAACATTCACGACCGTTCTTCAATTTTCTACTCTCATCACCATCGATCCCATAAATACTGCTCGACGTCACACTATGCTCCACAAGTAGACAGTTCAACTCTCACTCTCGACTACAACAAGCTTCCTCTCTCGCACTGTCAACGATAGTTTTTTCAACCGCAACTTAAACAATGGCTTTCTTTCCAATCTACCATTATCGTTGTCATACTAATCCAAACGATCGATACTTCGGTGATCAACTTGATTTCTTCGATCCATGGCATGATTTAAATACATCACCAACAACGGTCCTCGTGGCTCCAAATACTTTTCTATGGATCAATGAACCACAAAGATCAAGCCATGCGCAAGCTGCTGGCAAACATTCGAATCAAATAGCAAAAGCACCGAACTTGGAGAAATTCCGTGTTCAACTCAATGTAGTTGGCTTCAATCCCGAAACGATCAAAACAAAAGTTGAAAATGGAAAAGTAATTGTCGAAGCTAAACAAGAAGAACGTCAACCTGATGGTGATTACAATATACGTGAATTAAGAAAATCATATCCCTTACCAGAACATGCTGGTAAGTAATGAAATATTCTATAAGACAATTTTCAACCTAATTTTTTACCCTCGTTGTATAGATGTAAATCGTTTGGCATCGTATGTCACACCGAATAAGGTATTAGTCATTGAAGTTCCAATTCATAACCCAGAAGTAGAACGTCGACGTGACGAAGCAAAGAAAAACACTCAAGATCTAGCCCAATTTGGTCAACATCGAGATTCACTTTTCGATTATCGTAGTTTCTTGCATGGATCAGATTTCCAATCACGAATCGTTGATAAAGATGACAATCAGAAACAACTTGAAATGTCTATTGAAATGAAAAACTATAAGCCCGATGAAATCAAAGTATCAGTTAAGAACAATGAATTGCTAGTTAAGGGTGAACGTCGACATGCAAATGACAATAGTTTTGAACGATCATTCTTCTTCAAATCAACAACATTACCGCCGGGGACACAAGTCGAACAACTGAAATCACAATTAACAGATGATGGCCAGTTGAAAATAGAAGTACCTTATGTAGAACAAAAACAACCTACAAAATCTATCCAACAGCAACAGCAAACATAGACATAGATAAACTGATCCAATTTATATTATTTATTTTACTCTTGTGTGTGATTAGATTTCGCTTTTTTCTAAAAGAAAATAAAGGATATATTCCTTGAAAGTTCTAAAGAATGATCTCTAACAAGAAAACAATGAAACTAAGCACTCTTAATCACAAGACTTAACTTGCAATGATACCCAAGCCGCGGTAGTATAATGGTAGTACATCCGGTTGTGGTCCGGATGACGCAGGTTCGATTCCTGCCCGTGGCATATGAAATTACTTTTTATAGTAAACTACTGGATTCACTCTCATGAAGCCGGAACGTGCAACCTCTGCGTGGTATGAGAGAGAAACTTAAAGATATCTTTAAGGTCAATGCGCGTACGCAGAAACTATCGGGCAGCAGCGATAGTGGATTGCTACGAAGTACTCGGACTGCGCTGAAGAAGGAAATGGTAAACCACTTCAGTATTCTTACCAAGAAAATTCAATGAGCAGACAATCAACGATGTTTCAAGTTATGGTGCTGGAAGATGAGACCCCCAGGTCGGAAGGCACCGAAAAGATGACTGGGGAAGAGTCAAGGCCGAGTACAATTAGTACTGTAAATAATGACGCTATTGAATCAAAGCCGAAAGGAAGTTCAATCGCTGAGCACTACAGATACAAGCGGAAAGACCAAAGCTTTTTAAAAACACATAAAATTGGTACATGGAATGTAAGAAGTATGAACCAAGGCAAGCTCGAAATAGTCAAATCAGAAATGGATCGAATCAAAATAGACATTCTTGGAATAAGTGAACTCAAATGGACAGGAACTGGTCATTTCACATCAGGCAACTACGAAGTTTATTATTCTGGCAACCAAAACACCAGAAAAAATGGAGTGGCCATGGTATTAAACAAGAAACTCGTTAGTTCAGTAATCGGATATTATCCAAAAAACGATAGAATGATTACTATTCGACTTCATGGAAAACCAACGAACTTAACAATAATACAGATCTACGCACCAACTACAGAAGCGGAAGAATCAACAATTGAAGATTTCTACATGGAATTACAACAAACGCTCGACGACGTTCCAAAGAAAGATGCCATTCTGATAATTGGTGATTGGAATGCAAAGGTTGGCGAAACGGCAGTACCTGGTATAGCTGGAAAATTTGGTTTGGGAAAACGCAATGAAGCAGGCGAGAAATTGATTGATTTCTGCCAAGAAAATCATATGATCATCACCAATACATGTTTTAAACAACCGAAACGACGAATATACACATGGACAACACCAAGTGGACAGCATCGAAACCAAATTGATTATATCCTCTGCAATAGACGATGGAAAAGCTCAATAACATCAATCAAAACACGACCAGGAGCTGACTGCGGCACTGACCACGAACTATTATTAGCGTGTCTTCGAATTAAGCTTAAACAACATCACAAATCAACACAAACAGCAAAACCCGATTTACAAAACATCCCGTACAAATACAAGATAGAAGTAAAAAACAGATTCGACGCGCTCAATCTGATGGACAAAGAACCTGAAGAATTATGGCAAGAAATACGCGACATAATCAACGACGAAACGAAAATAAATATACCGACAATCACAAAGAAGAAGAAAAACAACTGGATATCGTCAAGCACTTTGGAAATCGCGAAGAAAAGACGAGAAGCCAAAGCAAATGGAAACAGACAAGTCATTACAAAACTTAACGCCGACTTTCAACGGGCAGCAAGAAAAGACAAAGAAAAACAAATTATGCAAGAGTGTGAAAAAGTAGAAGAATACAACAAGAAAGGTATGACAAGAGATTTATTCAAGAAGATAAAATACTTCCGTGGACAATTTATACCTAGAAACGGCACCTTAACGGATCAAAATGGTAAAAATTTAATAAATGGTGATGAAATCAAAAACAAATGGAAACAATACACCGAGGAATTATACAAGAAGGAAATCAATGGTACAGGAAATTTGGAACTTGATAATTATGAACTAGAACCAGATATTTTGGAAAGCGAAGTTAAATTCGCCATTGAAACATTAGCAAATGGGAAAGCCCCTGGACATGACGGTATTCCGATTGAATGCTTCAAGACAATTAAAGAAGATGCAGTGAAAATATTAACAAAATTATGCCAACAAATATGGAAAACACAAAAATGGCCTCAAGACTGGAAAACATCGCTACTCATTCCCATACCAAAGAATGGAAATGCCAAAGATTGCTCAAATTACCGAACAATCGCTCTTATCTCACATGCCAGCAAGATCATGCTGAAGATTATACAACGGCGATTGGAACCTTTTCTCGAACGGGAAATGCCAGTCACACAAGCAGGATTTAGAAAAGGAAGGGGAACACGCGACCAAATAGCAAATCTACGGTGGTTGATGGAAAAAGCTCGTGAATACCAAAAAGAGTTTTACTTATGTTTCATCGACTATAGTAAAGCTTTCGACTGTGTAGATCATGAGAAACTCTGGTCTGTACTACTGGAAATGGGTGTGCCAAAGCATTTGATTATCCTTATGAAGAACTTATACACCAATCAACAAGCAACGGTGAAAACGGATTATGGAAATACAAACTGGTTCAACATCGGAAAAGGTGTGCGGCAAGGCTGCATACTATCTCCATACTTATTCAATTTATATGCAGAGCATATAATGAGAAAAGCTGGGATAGAGGAAGCAGCAGGTGGTATAAAAATTGGTGGACGAAATATCAACAATTTACGTTACGCAGATGACACTACAATAATGGCCGAAACAGCTGATGACCTCCAATACCTCCTACGGAAGGTAAAAGAGGAAAGTGCAGCTGCAGGACTAAAACTGAATATGAAAAAGACATTCGTGATGACAAATGCACCCATTCAAGAATTTTACATCGACAATGATCAAGTGGAAATAGTCAAAGAGTTCATTTTCTTGGGCTCTAGTATAAACATCGATGGTAACTGCAGTAACGAAATAAAAAGAAGACTTCTTATGGGTAGAAAGGCAATGGTTAGCCTGGACAAACTCATCAAAAGCAAGGACGTCAGCTTGGCCACCAAAATTAGAATAACCAAAACGATGGTTTTTCCGATAACAACGTATGGATGTGAAAGTTGGACAATAAAACAAGCAGATCGAAGAAAAATCGACGCCTTCGAACTTTGGTGCTGGAGAAGATTACTTCGTGTTCCATGGACGGAGAAAAGAACCAACAAATCTGTTTTGCAAGAAATAAAACCTGAATGCTCACTGGAAGCTTCAATGGTGAAGTTAAAATTATCATACTTTGGACATATAATGCGACGACAAGCTTCGTTAGAAAAAGAAATAATGCTTGGCATGGTCGGTGGTAAACGGCGCAGAGGAAGACAAAAGAAAAGATGGATTGACACAATAAAGGAAGACACACATTTAACATTAACCCAACTCAACACAATGGCACATAACAGAAACATGTGGAGAGGTCTGATTCATCGGATCGCCAAGAGTCGGACTCGACTGAATGGATAAAACAACAAAATCACAATTAATTTATTCAGTATGTAAAATTTGCTAATTTATGTTCATTAAAGAATTTTGTTTTGAAGTAAAAAAATTAATTGAAAAAGAATATATTATCAGACAGCTGTTATGTAGCTATGGTAGACATCAAGAAAAAAATAGACAAAAACAATTCATCGTATATACATCGTTTTACATACGTATATATCTATTTGTATAATTCTATAGATAAGAATGAGTAACGTCTTCAAAAAATACAGTAAGGAACAAGATGTCAGGTCGATATTTTCTTTTCGAAAAAACTGAGTTTTGACTATATATATGAAACTGATAATAATTAACATTAACTTGTTATTATTATTATTATTATTATTACTATAAGAAGAAGAAGAAGAATTTAAAAATATTACTCAAGAATCTATAAATTGTAAAAATTTGTTTTTGATAATAAAAAAATAAAGTTGAAAAATCGACGAAGAAAAAGAAATGAATATACTGTTGTCCTCCGACTATGTGCTTCTTGCAAGCAGTAGTTTATACGATCATTTTTCTTTGAGAATGATTATGATTTTTCTATCAATATTTCACATATTTTATTATCAAAGGAAATAAACTAGATTCATGATATGCACCTTACTGATGGTAAGAGAGTGACATTTCAAAATTATGATCCTCTATCGATAAAGTTTTAAAGTACCATATGCTACGAATATGTCAAGTCAAAATAAATGTGTTCGTATGTTGAAATCGAATAAATCCTTGAAGTGCTTCATATTGATGAAAAAGTCAACTACATTCACAGAAATGAAATAAGTCAACATTTTTAATTTTGATGATGAAAGAAAATATGAAAATTCTGTCAAAATCATGCATGACTTATACTACAGAAATCAATAGAATATTAAGATGATTCATCATTTGAAATATTTTACCTGTTCGTATTTGCGCACAAATAATGGGATTCTTTTTTGGTTTCAATCTGAATTGTAACGTATGTTGTTGAATTTTGTCAACAGGGCGAAAAAGTATTTCATAAAATAATGGGAAAAGTATTTCTAATTTGATATTATACTTAGTCATAATTCCATAAGATTTAAATTTTTTTCTGTAAAACATATTATTCGATAATTGATAGAAATAATCTTTATTAGTTGCCCAATACAAAACATCTTCAGACCAAATAGAATTAATTGAGCGATTATTAAGTAAAATTTGTGAAACATTTGAAAGAATTTCTTTTCGAGCATTTGCTGTTGTTATTAACATTTTACGTGTTAAATTAAAATGACGGTGGTGTGTTATAGGATCGACAGCTACTAATCCATCAATTGGTTGTGCCCAATTATATAAATTTGGACGAAGAATATGAGTTAAATTACATGGATGAGTGATTTCAATGCGAAAGTTACGGTCAAGCATTAATGATAACATAAATGTACTCATTATACCACGAAGACGATCTCCCCAACCTTAATTAAATCGAAAAGATTCAAAAAACAATTTCTTTTAGTGGTGTATATTTAAGAATTCACCTCCACAATTTTCATGACAAACATAAACAAGATATTGTCCATGTCGTTTTGAGGCAATAATCGCTGTTAAATTTATTCCAAGTGTTCTAGAATTATTTATGAGCCAATAATCAAGACGATTTTCATTGATGGATAATGTTGAATTTGTTTGTTTTTCGTTCTCTTCAATTATTGTTGTGGTACTATTTATTGTATTAACAAGTGATGATGAAATAATTACTTTTAATGTATCTTCTTCTTCTTCTATTTTAATTGATTTCTCATGATATTTCCAAATAAGTAAAGCAGTAAAGAAAAATATACAATAAGCAATTATTGTACGTTTACAAAGAGTATTTCGAACGATCATATAACAACACCATCGATCCTAAAGAGCAAATGTTAGTAAAATGATCATAACAATTTTATTAAGAAACTGCGATGCAGTTATTTGATGAGAATAAAATATCAAAGTCATACTTGTAATACGAAAGAAAAAAGAAAAAAAGCAGGTTGAAGGTATATAGACGTTATAGTCGTTTACTTGAAAGTAGTAGACTCTATGCTTTTCTTGCCACACTCCACTTTTCTAAACAGTATGAGATCGGCGATGAATAAAATATTTGGATTCTTCACTGAATCTATACGGTATATTTCACTGAATTTTGATTCTAATATTTCATCCTAATATTCTTGACATTTTCATCGGTGCGACGAAAAGAAAAGAGACGAAGTTGTTTCTTTGTCGTTAACAAATGAATGCGGCATATGAAAAGAAGAAAAAGATTTTTATTCGAGTTGACGATGTCTTACACATCTATGAAAGAAAAACAGCAAATCGATGTTGACATTGATAAGAAAACAGAATCCTTTTTTATTTCTTTTCATCGTCTACTGAAATTTTATTAGATGGAGATTCTTTTTATTTTTATTCTATTATTCTAACACGCTATTCTTTATTTTACATTTTGCAAATAAGTACTATGCTGAAGAGTAACAGACACTTGAGGTAACTTCCAAAAATCTCTTTTCGTTTATGTAATCTGTCTTGTTGTTATTTCAACATGTTTAATATAAGTTGGATTTCATTGTGTATTGTAAATTACGTGACAAATATTTAAAAGTGATCGTATGTCAACGTGCTTGAGAACTTGTGCCAATAGATATCAACATAGTACGCCTTATTCTGAGAATAAAATATAATAAAAAAACTTAATCTTACGAGGGAAGGTCTCCAAGTGATACCAATCATTCGGGCTCATATTGTGCTCATAAGTAGGACCCAGTGAGACTAGAAAAGCCTAAAAGATTTCGTGCCATTAGGCCTTTCTTTCTAAGTTATAACCGTTTTACTAAATTTTCGCCATTCGGCAAGGAATCTACAGGAAAACTTAATGAAAGGTTTTCGAACTGAAATTTTTCCTAACAATAGGTCTCATCGATGTTAGAAGGTTCAAAACGTTTCAGTGAAAATGGATGCATCATTCTCGAGATATTGCATATTGAAGAGAGGTTAATTTTACGGCATTTTTTGGAAAATGGCCGTTTTCATCAATATGCAATATCTCGAGAATGATGCATCCATTTNCCGTCTCTCTCTTACAACCATGTAGAAAAAGCACCGAAGAAAAAGAACTGAATCGAAGGAAATATGAACTATTTCGTTGGCAGTTTTATTAGTGACTTATAATATCGCGTTGTATTGTTTAGAAGTCTAACACAAAAACGAAGGAAAAAAAACTTATGCTTTATATGGATTGAAATACATCTTCATATCGTATGATGAAGCACGCAATACAATTGAAAATTTTTCTATATGAAATTCGATAGGTGGTTTTCAATATCACGAACTGCTGGCTGTTTCAGTCAAGAGATCATACTTTATACTTGATTAAGAAATTGATACAAAGTCACATCAGTTTACAAAAAACTAACATCTACGAAAGAGATATTGACAATTATATAAGATGTCGAAAATTTCTAGATTGCCTTTCATTCTTTCTTCATTTTTTCTTATTAGATTATATATCAGTTATTTCGGGTAAAAAAAATGAATACATGCAACTTTGGGTATTACCAAGGAATATTTTCGTCGCGGCCTTTTTGTCTATTCATAGACATATGTCAAAAGAATGGTTCTTTCAGTTGACTATTAATCAAAATTATCTAGCTAATGAGCTAATTTATCAGAAAATCATTTGTATATTTTACTAAGAATACAAGAAAATATCCGAAACCTTCGAGATAAATATTAGAGAGTGAATGCCACTTGCGATGAAATTTTCAGTAAAATCAAGCGTCAAAAAACTTCTTCACAGGAATCAGCTTTATAAAAAAAAATACTCGTAAATCTTGAAATAAAAATGTTTATCTAATCATTATCTAGAAGTTCTGAAGAAATGTTTATACGATTTGAACTTTTTTCTGGTTACAACGATATTGGTTCGTTTGCATATTTACACTCCATAACATTGTTGACAAAAACTAAACCAATTTTTTTGCAAAAAGTAATGCAATATATAGATTTCCTAGCCTAAGAAATTTTCTATATAGTTTACTAAATTTTTTCAGAAATTTTATTTCAATATGAATTATTATTTAATAACAGTACATAAAGTGAAAGCCAATGTTTTATTCTGAAAGACGTTATCACCAATAGATTCTTCTTAATGATTTCTGTGAAATCAAACTTCTAGCACTAGTTTTTTCCAAGTATCTGGAGTAATCTAAGTTGAAATTAGCGTAGAAAAGTTAACTCAAAGGAAGTTCGTTATCTTCCTATAGAAGTATTGAAATTTTTCTAAATCAATTTTCTAATGAATAAATTTGCCCCAAAATTAATCTTCGATTTAACGATAGAAATTTGTGAAATGTTTTTTCTTGAACATCGACAGAAAGCTAATTACATATTGGCGTAATAAAAATAATTTTTTGTCGCTTTGATATCGTAAGATTTCTTTCAGCTTAAAATTATCATAAAAATTTGTATAGAATGTGATTCTATTTTTAAAATAATTTAAAATATTTTTTTCAAATTGAGAACTCTAAGCAATTAAATTTTTTTTTCATTATAACATCGAGTTGAATAAGAGAACAAAAAGTAGCATCTGTATTTACGAATGTATCTGTTGTTTTCTGTGGCAACAACATAAAAACATTCAAATGAATGTTCAATTCATTGGATTAACAGTATACTCATTTTTGTTTCACCTTAAACTAATTAACTACGAGAGAAGAATTGGCATGCGGTCAAAATCATTTAGATAGTTTTCTAATAGTCAGCCAGGTAGTTATTATGATATCAATTAGAAGATATAGTATTAAATTAAAACAAAACGAAACTTTGAACAGAGAGAATTAGTACATAATTCTATTTACATACAAAATGATTAATATGCATCGTATACTTTTGAATCAGATATATAGAATCATAATTACTTTCAGATAGTAGATATCTCGTCAAAAACAAAATTTCTTAATTAAATTGGTAACATGTAAAATATTTCTACTGTGTGAATCAAGTTTCTTATTTAGTCACAATCGTAAGAACAAAACTTTGAAAGAATACATTTTTCTTATCAATATATCAGTACGCATTACTTTCTCATCTGTTTATAAGCTTTTCAAATTATATTACGATTAGATTCAAAAGCATAATTCATGTAGTCGATTTATGTGCAACTACATGATAATATAACCTATTTCATGCATTTTAAATACATTATTTTGAAAATAATACATGATCGTGCGTTATTTACCTATATAACGCATGAAACAAGTTGCATTATCATTTTATTTCATTGATTATGTTTGTAGCGGCTATATCAAAAGTAATCTTACATATAATCTGTCAGAATTTTTATCAAACTCTTTAAGATTTCGTAAGCCTAAAAATTTTCTTGTCTGTGATCTTTATAATACACATTAAACAATATTCTTAATAACAAAAAGAGACTGGCAGACAATCATTAATAAAAAGGAAAAACAGCTTATTTAAAAGATTTCGTCTGTATTTATTGATTTGAAGAGTCAAAGACAAAACTAAATCTGATCTATACATACGTATGAAATGTCTTGAATAAAAATGTTTTTAAGAATATCAAATATTCTCTTATAATTTTTATCCTAAGAAATAATCCTACTTCCATAATTTGATGTTTTGAGTAAATAATTCGACGTAAAACAAGTTTAGATTGCGATGACAAAATAACCATGTGTAGAAATTAAATATAATGGATGGAGTGAGGAAAGAGATCGCATAGAAAATATGTTGATTATGACAGGATATCATTAAAAATATCTGTAAAATATAGTCTCATATCAGTTCCATAGCATATCTTACTTCAATATCGATTCATGTAGAAAATACAATCATGATAATTCTTCTTAGTATTGTATGGTACTAACTTCGTCTTCTGCCATAAGGACAACATCATAAGTGATAAACAAAGAATGCAAAAGGAAAATAAGAAGAATAAGATTAGTAAGAAAAGGATAATAACTTCCCGTATTATTATTCATCATAGAAAACGAACGACTAACCAACATCTGTCTTAACACGAGTAATGGCAATAGAAAAAGAAAGTATTCTCAATGTCAATGCTTATTATGTAATAGTGAAGGAAATTTTATGGTCTTAATATGCAACTTTTATAACATTAAACTTTTTATTATACAGACTTAATCAAGATACTGTAATAGTATAAGTATTGGAAAGTGTGATGGTGACATCTTTCGATCGAACAAATAAATCGATATCGATATCAATCTTCACTAAAGAGATTCTTGTATTTCGAACAAGCTAAACGTTTCATTCTTGTTTTATCATTGTTTTATCATTGTTTCTATGAGATAGTCATCAAAACATGATAAAATATCGTCTTGTAGATAATTAATGGTTAAATCGATTAGTTCATAAATAATTTAATAGGGTTTAATCTGGAAAAACCTGATAACATTTCCCAATTATTCATCACACTAGTGTATAGGAAGATGTAGCCTTTTTTTAATTTGAAAAACTCTTTAAGGAGATAGACGTCATTCTGATCATGAAATATATTGTTTGAAGTTCATCCTTTTGAATTTTTCTCTTAAGGGACATCGAAAAATATTTTTTTTACTAGGAGTGATAGCTCTCAATGCTATTCTCTGAATTCGACAATAGACAAATGAACTGATATTGCAATTAAAATGAATTACTTCAATAAATAGTAATTTTCTTTTTAAATATCATTGATTTATGCGATTTTTAGACTAAGTTGAAAGAATAAGATATAAAAACATTAAATTTTGTAGATATCATGCTACTTGTATTGTAAATTCTTGATCAATTTTACTGATTGCATATAAAATCAGATGAAATAGTGCAGAAACAAGTAAATTCTGCCATGAAAAAGTCCTCTTTTTTTCTACTATTTGATTCTCCTTCATAGCCACATCAAAATCAAATTATGTGTACTATGAAAATGGCATTTCCTAAAAGATACTTGTATTTTAGAAAATTATACTCCGTTTATTTAAATGTGTGAAAATAATCGAATATCTCGTAGATAGTTATATGTTTTCACATGATTTTGTATAAATGAGGAATAATTAAGACTAATTACTTAGAGATTCCTTTAGGCGTCTAGTTTTATGACATGCCAGCAGATATAATGAGAATGCTAAAAAATTGTCTGTTCTAAGAATCTTGACCAGTAGTGTAATTCACAAAAATCAAACAATAGCAATACACCGGGACTTCTTACTATACTACTTTAACATATGAATATTTTTTTGTAAAGAGACCACAAAAGATCTTAAGATCTTACTTTCAAGTATGAAAACTTATGTTTTTGACCATATTTTGAACGCAGATTTTTTGTCTGAAGTACTATTTAAAATTTTTGATATATAAACATTCGATTCATTTAACGGTTTAACTAATCAACCAATGGAAAAGAATAGTTTGTATCGATTTGTAGAACTTATAATTCAACTTACGCGAAATGCATCGCTCCCATTCTCATGAACGTTGTATTAGATATAGAAAACATACTATGTAAATGAAGACAGCATATATATCCTGCAGAAGCAACTGTTTCATTATTGATAGATCTTTCGATAAGAAAAAAAGAAAAAGACTAATCTCACTGTGAACAAATCTGTGAGACAAGAAATGAAATACTCTTTGCTATGCTCTTCATAGATGGTTGTTTTAGTTTGTTATAAGATCGAGAGAAACATAATTTTAAGATTTTAAGTGCATGACTGATAGTAGATAAATATCAATAGAACTGAATCTGCTAGTTATTACAAACAATATGTGAACGTAACCAATAAATCATTTACTTCATGTACATCTTTGTAAATGTTTTTTATTTGATCTGAATTCGATCTGAAAATAAGCTTAAAACTAAATCGTTGTCTTTTACACTATGTCAATTTAATAGTTAATAAAATTTTAGTTCTTCATTTCTCTAGAATTTCACAACAATTTTTATTTCAAAAAGCTTTAAAAAGTGCTTTTAGGAAATGAATTTCTATTGAATATAGTATTAGCAAATCTTTCTGTAATTAATAAAAACCTCCTCGTTCTATTGTCTTTGTTCTAGAATTTTGAAATAGATCTGTTTCAATTACTTCAATAGAGATAATCTCAATTTATGAATCTCATCGTACTTTTTCATAAAAAAAAGAAGAAGTCATTTACACGACAAACAGTATTGCAAATGTCTATACTGACTATAATTTAATTGTCGAAGATTATCATCGATCAATTAGTTCATCGTTTGCAATCTAAAAACTGGTTCGATAATATGGTTCATCAGGAACATGCAAATTAAATTTATTTTTATTTAACCAAATATTAAAGATGATTTTTTTTGAATATTTCAGAGAAACTATAAACTATTCTAAAACAAAAATTATAAATAAAAATGAGTATTCCATCACAATCTCAATCATCACCAATTATTCATTTTACTAGTGTAAGTCTAGAATAAATTCTGAGAAAAGAATTTTAATATATTTTCTTTTTTCAGATTGTTCGCCATGACTCAAGTACATCGAATCGACTCATTGTTTCTCCTTCTACATCTATTGATTATGATAGTCAACAACAATATTCAGCATTAGTCAGTCGACCTCAATCAACACCAAAATCATGTTTACTACTTCAACGATTATCTTCATACGTTTTTGACAATCAACAAACAAACGAAAACGTACAGACAATTGCAAAGAATAACAAAAAGCAGCGTATGGCAACATTTGATTATTCATCATTTACAAACGTAACAGCTCTAAATGAAATTCATAATAATTTAAAATCTCCAGTTCTTTTTGAAATACATAATGATGGCGATGATGAAGACGATAATGACGACAATAACAACATTAATAAAAACTATAATCACTACCATGACCGATATCTACTTCGACCACCACCTCTTATGGTACTTTCTCAAACTGTCCAAGCTAAACATCCTGAGCAATTAATTGATACTAAATTAGACTATCAATTTTCATCTATTAAAGATTTACCTAATGCACCAGCAAATCATTCATTTGTCTTTTACGGTTTTACATCAACGTTTGTATTTCAAGAAAATTAATTTTTAGAATAATTCTTTTCGTGGTATTTTTATGCAGACAAATAGAAGAAGCTAAACGATTAAGTCGTCGTATGGGAGATTGTTTTACATCTGAAGCAATCGATCTAACAACAACACATGTTATTGTACCGAATGATGATCCACATATAACCATCACACTTGATTTCATTCTTGCACTTATTTATGGATGGTAAGTAATACGTTTTAAAAACTTTTTTTTCCCTCTTATTTGTTTATTTTCTATATGAATAGAATCTAGTTACAATTCAGGTCATAGAAAACTCATAAAATTAGAGATCAGAACTATCATCTAACTAGTCTAGTTCATAGGTCGATGTGCGATTCGAATTCTTATTTACGAACTGAGAGAAAACAATGAATCTTTCTTGTATAGCTTTTTATGTCACTGTGATCATTACAGTCGTAATGTATCAGTTACAAAGATTGGCAGTGAAGAAAAAGAGAAGGTATATTCAGATTTCCAAAAAAGAAAATTACCGAAATTTTCGAGAGAACGTAAACTCACAGAAAAGTATTTTTGAAACAGATTGCGGATTAAAGAAATTTTGGAAAGTGCAATTTCTGGAAATATTGGAAATTTCAGAAATGACCAAATTTGTTGAAGTAACGGATTTTAGAGATGAATTACTTTCAAAGTTTCCAAAATTTCCGTAGTTTCCTTTTGTGGAAGTCTGAACACTGCTGAAAAAGAGTCTAGAAAAACAGGCATAACAGAACCAAATGAAGTGGCAAAAGTATTGGATAAAAATATGTTGAAAAGTTTGTAGACACTTAGCGAAGCATTGGGAGAATCTCTTTCATTGTGCATTACAGTGGAATCAGTAATTCTATGCTATTATATATACGTTTTAACTAAGCTTAAAACATTACTATGTGTTCTCAAACGTAGTGATCAGTACACAAAACGAAATTTCGGTCCTTTGTCTATTATCCATATTTGCCTATTCTACGTTTGCCTTTTCAACCCTGTCCACCAAACCCTGTATAACTAAGTTTTCTCATAGTAGTATTGAATCATTTCACTGCCACGTGGCAGTATATTTACCAATAATCGTAGTGTAGATTATCCAGTGATTATTTTTCTGTTTTTTTGTCTTAGATATTTTTGTACATTGTCAAGTTCTTCAGGACTTACATAGGAATCAAATGAGACTTAAGCAGTAGAACACACAAGAAATTAGGCTAGCATGTCTAGTACGTTTATTTAATACTAGTAGGGTACCATGCAACATTTTTGGATAATTAAACTAAGAAAATCATGGAGAAAAATGAATAAATAAAGTAGTAAAGTAGAACGAACGTGTACCAGAATAAACAACTGAGAGAAAAGTAGATAAAATTCTATTTTCAATTAGATTTGTTTCATACCAATCAGCCTAGAGCACATAGTAGAAACTGAAACTGAATAAAAACAAACGATATCATTCATTTCATTACTATGCAAATGTTTATTGACTTTGTTTTTGTTTTTGAATGCATCTGTATTCATCGCTAGTAATTTAGAACTCTTATTCTTTCAAGTAGCTTTTATCATTTTCAAATGAAACAGTTGAATACAATTTAAAATGATTTCATTGTTAGTCGTATCGTAACACTTGAGTGGCTGAAATCTTCATCACGTATTGGCGAGTGGCTACATTTCAATAAATTTGAGCCTAAGAGTTTATTGAATTCGAATCCATCATTAAATATTTATCGTAAGTATCGTCAACAGAAAAAGTCAATCGAATTATTCAATCAATGTGGTTTAATTTATATAACATCTATTGTTCAACAACGTCAGTTATTATTGAAATTAATTACATTATTAGGTGGAAATGTAAATATTCAAGAATTAGTGTTAGAAAAATTTTGATGTTTATTCTTTTAAAGATTACAATTAATCGAAATCGTGCACAAATGATTGTTGGGCAATCATCAAAAATACTTCAGATAATTGTTCACCCTCAAGTTAATGAACAATGGGTCATAGGTTTGATCATCTTTGATTTTATTTAATCCTGTTCTGATTTATTTTCCCATTTTTAGATTCAATTAAAATGGGAAAATGTCTTCCTACAGATGATTACTTAATTGATAATGATAATAATTGCTGAATAGAGAACAAATTTTAATTGATCGTCATGTTTCATTTTTGTTTTATTGTATTTCGATTTTTTTCCTTTAGCCTATTTTACATGTACAACTAATAAAAAAAAATGAATAGTGAAAAAAAGCTTAATATTTTAATTTATCGATGAAATAAGAAACACTGGTTCGATATATAAAACAATTGTTCAATGAAAGCTTACGGTTCTTTTTATTTTATTTTTTTCTAAATCTATTGCATGAACAGCGCTGTGAGCATGCAACTAAAGTGGTTGTTTTTTCTTTCTTCTCTGACTCGTTCTCTATTTTTTTTTAACATTATGGTCGCAGCATCGACTTCTTAGTTAGTTCTGTTCTCTTTACATCTCACGCTCTATCATATATGCGCAAAAAAATCTAAAGAAAAAGGAGAGAAGAAGAAAAAAAAAGTGAAAACCATTTTGTTGCCGTTGTCGTGCTGATGACCTTTGAATAACAAGTGACATAAGATAAGTTGAACAGCTGCTTTTTTAAATATATTTCATCGATAAATGGATAACAGATCGATTGGTAATCGATTTCGATCTATTCTTTATGTTCTTATTCATTTTTCTTGTTCATTGATTCAATTGGCTTGTGTATTTGCCATATTGGGCCTACAGATAACATTGACAGTTACTGAAACATGTGCATATCGTATTGGTGTTGGCTTTTGGTCGGCTCCATTTTTGTTAGCTGCTCCCATTAGTATTTGGATGTTAATTTGGAAGCAAAATGCTTTTTATTGTTTTATAGCATTTATTATTCACATTTTCTCAACGTTGCTTGCAAGTACTGTTATTATTATCAGTTTTATTGCACTTATTGGACAAGTCGGATCTCCATGTTCAACATCTTCATCATCGAATAATTATTTTTTATCAATAAATATTTCTTTAATTGGTGTCACAGTACTTTTTAAGTCATTTATCTATGCTGAAATCATTGTACTCTACATGCTTCAACGTTATATACATGAACAGCCTATTTTAGATTCATATGAAAAGAATTATCGAATTATATCAGAGGATGTAAATAATAAAGCATGGGATTCCTTTGGATCAATTATTACTAAACAGCAACATAGTATTAATGATATAGATGTTTAATAAAAAAAAAGAACAATGATCAAAAAATAGTTATTTGTTAGTAATTATCTTCTTCAATGTTGTATGTACTTCTTGATATTGAATTTTCATGTTCGTAAAAAAAACATTTACAACATAATCGGACAATTTTTCTGTTAAATTTTGATTTAATGATTTGATATGATAAAACTCTGATATTTTTATCACATGAAAATATTTGTTTGATTCTCTGAGCAATACTTAGAATTAGTGAGATCTCTGTAAATTAGATAATATTTTCTAAAATAGCTGTATCAAGATTAAAAAGCATAGTAAAATAATCAAAATGTGTTTTCAATGAGTTTAAAATTAAATTCGTGTTTTTGTGTACATCAGCTATTTTATATTTGAAAATACATTCAAGGTTAAAACGGGATTAAATATTGTTTAACGTAGTGAATATAATTCGCATATATAGTGAACAAGTGAACGAGAAATAATAAGTTATAGTTCTTCAAGCAATAATATACATATTTGTATTGTCATTACAACAACGTATATATTTGCACCTATTTATGTGCATATACATTTACGATGAACAAGTGAGAAGTCGTACAAATGACAAGTCAAATGAAGCCAAAGAATTCGTTCTATCCTATTATTTCCGATGATAGGTTTTCAGATGTGTCTAATGTGCAATTACATGAACATATAAAATCTAATGATGAAAAGCTTTCTTACAGCAGTTATTCATAGAACAGTTTAAAATTTCATTCATGCTGAGTCAGTCATCGATATGACTCTATGAGATCAGAGACGATACACAGACATATAGGACTATATTGTTAAAAGATTCACTGCATATATAAATAAGCACATTAGAGCAGTAGTAGATATAAAAATATGTAAATGAATTTACATAAAGATTGAGCTTTAAGTAGATGATATTTGAATTCAATTAGTAAGAACAAAGTATATGTACGTGGCTAATAGATGTTAGAAGGAGTTATACATGTTTCATATGATATAGTTATTCTTCCTTTTTATCTTTCGATGTTTGAATTTTCATTCAGAAGAACAAAAATGGTATATTTAATCGTGTTTTGGTAGCTCAACGGTAAGAGCACTAGTTCGGTTAACGAGCTGCTGTCTTGAGTTCGATTCCCGAACGAAGCATATCATTTTGTTTTTTCTGAATGAAAAATTCAAACATCGAAAGATAAACAGGAAGAATAATTATCTCATATGAAACATGTACGTGGTTGTGATACTGAATTGAATTTCAATTGAAATTAATTTCTCTTTAAAATATAACATTCAATAACATGAATTAAATGTAATTTTGACAGCGTTTACAACAATCATATAAATAAATATTAATTCATTGATTAAGATAGAAATGATTCTTGCGATTTTCGTTTTATATAATTGTTAATGTAAAATGATCGTTAGTTTTTGTTTCTGTTTAAACGCAAATATATTATTTGCAACGATAGATTTTCTTTATGTTAAGTAAAAGAAACTAGAGATACTTTCAATGCAAAACATTTCATTTCATTTCATAATCATACCAATCTTGGCAGAGAATCTTAATTTTGATTCTTTATTGCTTTGCTCATCAGTAACAAAACTATGTGTATAGTTATATATAACTACTGATCGACAGATATTGTTTACTTTTGTATTTCCAAATAAAAAGAAAACACTGTTGTCATAATCATCAAAAACCAAGCAAAGAACACACATCTATGTACAGTTATTTTAGTATATTTGTATCTTGAGAAAATATACGAGTTCTATGAATTTGTACAGTGACACTTGTATCTTCAAATTTACGTAACCAGATATGAAACTAAACACAAATCGACATTTACTTCTCGGTTATGTTTGTTAAATAAATACTTTGTGATGAGAAATTTGATCGAAGATCATTTTCATTGATAAATTTCACTATGTTATTGTTATTCAATTACTCAATTTGAACTAAACTAGTTCTAAATATTACACAGGGAAAAAACCTAAAGCCTACGAAATCATTCTCAAATTCAAGTTCAATCTCGATGACTTAAAATAGCATACTTCATTGACTGATAGTCATTGTGAAAAAGAATCAGAATTATATGAGATAAAATAATATATTGAGAACAAACTTGAAGGTTTGATGTAATTTCACAGACTTTTCAAAAACCATTGTTTTATTTACGATTGAAATTATGATAGATGCTATCGTTTAGATTTAACGACGCTAAAAGACAAAAGCTTGTTTTGGAACTATTTTTAATTTTATTTTTAACAATTGAAAATGAAATATAGAGTTTCAAGAGAAAAATTAATCAGATGCATTAATAAGAATATATTTATTTATACAAAATAAAAAAATCTAGCAGATGGTACCAGAAAACTGTTTGTTTCTTTATCAATGAAATCTGTCAAAACGTAAAAACAAGTAAGAGACATAGTCGAAAGGCCATGTAATATTATTTGAATGATATTGATTCCCACGAGAAAATATTCAATCGACCTCAATCTTATTTTTTGAACAGACTTACATCATCATGGATTCTTTTTTATCTGTTTTACGTATTGTCCTACTTTTCATTCATAAGAATAACGCTTCTCATGCTATATGATTTCATCATTTATTTAAAAGAAATCATAAAAACCTCGAAAAAATCTTGTATCTTGAGATCATTTCATTTACTTACACAATCATGTAATATGTATATTATAGAATTTATCGCTAAATAAAGTCATCAAAATATTACTTAGAATGGTTAATATAAAAGTTTCATTTATCCTTATTATTGCTGGTTTATTGTGTTTAACAAGTGTAATCATGTCACTTTATAGTATCTCTACTGCTGAATGTAAGTGATCAACTACAAAATCAATGTAGAAAAAATTCTATAATTCTTTTTAGGGTCAATTATAGGTACTTTTAGTATTGGATTATTTCAGACATGTACTATTTCTCAATGCATGAAGAATCGATACGAAAACATAAATAATGAAACAGAGCCACCAATAATATTTTCCAAAAGATTTTACAATGCTGCTCCATTGTCTGTTGTTGGTGTATTCATCCAATTAGTCGTTTGTTTTCTTTTTTTCTTTACTGCATTTCGTTATTTACCACTAAAGCCTTCAATAACTTGTTACATCACTCCATTATTGATATTTATTGCTTTTCTTTTTCAATTAAGTACATTAACCGAAGCTTCGCGTGGAATTTATTTAAATGGAAGAAGCTCGGTTGTATTCGAAGTAACACTTGTTCTTCAAGTTATTGCTATTGTAATAAGTATCATGGTAGCTGATCAAGTTAAGAAAACAGCTGGTATTGAAGATGCCTAAGGCTGATGAATATAAACAAATTTTACGTTGGGAATCCTTAACTATTTTAAGTAATCATATAATTTGCATTGGGTTTTTATTTAAGTAATATTTTATTTATTTATAAAGTTTAAAAATCGGCTTCGAACATATCTTCATAATGTCTTGAGTATATAGATATTTTTATAGACTTGTTAGCAGAGAAAAGAAAAACATGCCAAGCTTAATGAAAAGAATTTTTTTTGTTATATCCAATAGGTTATACCGATAAATATCGTATCGATATTACACTAATCGAAAACGTTTCAACTTTGTCGATCAGTGTAGTTACAATGAGCAACATAAATAGCGAAGGAAAAAAAGTGTTTCTATATAATTGACAATGACTGAAAGATATCGACATAAAAAGTAAAAAGAAAAGAATCGTTTTTATTGAACAACAAATGTATGATAATGCTACTAATGTTTGATCGAAATGGAGTCTCATTTCAATTATCCAGTGCTTTCTCTGTGTTGTACAGCAATTCATTACGTACGAAAAGGATTCTGTTCGACATAAAAAATCCAAAAAATAAGAAGTGTAGCATGAGAAAAAACAATCTTATTGAATTTCTCTCAGTGATTTTCGATTTTTTTTTATAGTTCACGGTAGTTTTTGATAATTTGTTTTTTTGGATTAGTAACATCAACATCATTATTCCTATTGCATGTAGTAAAATGATTTGGAACATATGAGATTTATTGTTGAGTAAGCTGTTACTCTTCTTTATGTTATGATATATTTCTAGAATTATTCTACTTGTTCTTCAGTCAGAAGAACAATAAATTTTTGTGTTAATGTTGATATTGGCGTATCAAGTTTTGCAACAACAACGGATATTGTTAATGCATGGGATGACATGAAGAACCAAAACGATTTTAGCTTTTAGATCAAAAGTAAATACTAAATTACCATATTAATTGTTGTTAATTTAGCTCATTTTTTTTTATCAACTTCATTATTAGTTTCAGTGCTACGCTCAAATTCAATCAAAAGATTTTCATTTAAGCTCATAGACTTTAGTAATTGGTTCACTCCAGTAGTTATAAATAATAATTCATAGTGATATTGTTTATTAGAAAGAAGTTTTCCAGATAAATTGCCAACAGAATTCAACATGCTAAATCGTACATGTGGATTTTATAATTGTTCTTTTTCTATAATTAAAAATTCAATTATCTCCTCTTCGTGCACGAGCGATGTAAAATAGAGTAGAATTTCATCTAAATAAAATTTAGAAGAAGCATAAACTTACTGAGAAATGAAATGGATATCTCATAGTTAAATAATCATTTATTGATGAAGATGTTGAACTAGAAGATTGTGCTTTAACAAAGATTACAGCATAGCCCTTGTATACTAGCAGAAATTTCAAAAATGGAAGAACAAAAAAATTCAATCATTATTGAAACCATTTCATAATCATATTCAACGGAACGATCATATACAATTCAAATGAACTTTACTCTGAGAGAATTTAATTCATATTTACATAGTATTTGATATAAATATTCTTTCTTAAGAAGATCTAAACAAAGAATTAAACCAATTATATCATTTATGGTCATTTTTGCATGATGACTGAAGTACATTGTCAGATCATGTAGTGTGATAAGTCTTTTCGATTTCTCATTGAGCTTATCCATTGGATTTCTTGCAGTGTGAGTTGAATAGTTTTGAACTCTAATAGATTGGTATAGTTAACTGTTTATTACTAGATGATCAATCGATGACTTTCTCTCGTTTACTTGTACTGGCAACATTGGAAGAAGATAAAAAGGGAGAAAATTGGCATAAAAAACAGGCAATTACATTTAAAAATAAAATTAGTTTCAAATAACATCATCGTGACAACCAAGAATCAAGATTTAAACATTTTTCTATGGATTTTGTTAACATCATGAAGGATAAAAAAATTTACTCATTTGTTTAGTGTACCAATCTCTTTCTAAATGATGATATTTTACTAGATATTTTTTCGGTTCTATTAACTGTCCAAATATTTTGATAGAGTTAAAAACCGAATCTAAAACACTTTCCCAACTACTTTTTTCGATGGAATTCTTTCGATAATTCTGAAAGTTTCTGTGACAGATTTTATTTTTTGGAACTCACATATATTTTCGAAGAAAATGGTGAGTGTAAGTTTAAAAGCGAGATTTTTACGGCTCCCTTTTTCCATTACAGGCAACCACTCTGCAGTAAAGACATTAGCAAGCATGCAAAAACTGAATAAGATATTTTTTTCTCTACTGATCGATTGTTTTGCAGCACATTTCACACTTTTCGTATTGAGTATTAGTAGAATTGGGCGAAAAATCATATGTGAGTTTCACATTTTAGCCCCGAAGGGGCTTCGCTAACAAACGTTTTTTCAATGATTGAAGGTCTCCTTTCATGATGAACACCTGAGAAAAAAGTTCATTTTTTTAAATTTTCTGAAATTTATTTACATGCATTATGATAAATTAGTTTATTTATTTTCGCCTGATGATTCAAAAAAAGAAAGTTTACTAACAAAACACAATATAAATGATTATTTTTCATATCGAAGATTTAATACTTAGATTGATTTACTATAAATAGAAGTAAAATGAAATTATAATACTGTTCATTAAGAAGTGATTGCAAAATTCAAAAGAAATTTTCTAAGTTATCAGGTTGAACATGAACAACAATGGGAAAGAATATTAATATATCAGGTTGTTTATGTCATTCGAAGATGGAGCCACATTCAGAAATCTTGAATTAAATCTATGAAGAAAGGCTATAATAATAATAATAATAATAATAAGAGAACTATTCGAGTAGTTATCTTTCAAGCGAAATAAAATTTCTTGGTTTAACTTTAATTGAATTCTTAATTAATACCTGATAGTTGCCATGCGACTAGTTCAATAAATCTAGATTAATGGCTTGTATGTATGTTTTATTGACATGCATGAAAAATAACCACCGATAGAAAAACACATTTGAGATATTGTTTGAGTGTTGATCTGGTATTATTCATTTTCTTAAAAATGAGCCATCTAGATCCCAGGTATGATTTGTTTTATTAATTTTTCAACTTTTTTAAATATTTCTACAACATAGTTCATTGGCTACATACAATTCTCTATCGGATCCTCATTTACAAAGTTACTTTAGCAACGAACGCATTCGATCTCATTTAAAACATGCTGGATTAGTAAATTGACCTTTTTTTTCAAGTTTAATACAAAAAAAAACTATGAATGCTTTTATTTAAGATTTCCGGTCGAGGAGAAATTATAGCTGATGGTGAATATCGATCAAGATTAGCACGACGTGAACACGACAGGCATGTTCGACATGTACTTGCTGAAAATATTGTCAATAGGTAAAAAGAAAAAGAAAGAATTCAACTAGTTTTCAAAGTGAGAATATTTAGAGCTATTGATATGGAACGAGTACGACAAGCTGAAATGAAACGTCAATATGAAATGATAGCTAGAGCAGCTTCAGTTAATAATATGAAAGTAAATATTTGAAAAATATTTTATCCAAAAAAATGCTTCTTAATTAGGAATCTAAGAAACGTATTGGAAGTTCATCTGGTTTACTGGTAAATTTAAATGACGTGGGTTCGTTGTCTCTTGACTTATCGTGTTCCCAAATGCGACCAAAAGGCGCTAATCCTCAGCATGAAATGGTTTGTCTTTTATTGTTCATTTCGAAACAAATTTGAGATAATTTTATTACTTTTAAGGATAACGAAGGAGGTCGTATTCCTCGATTACAATCGACTCAATTCAGCGATGATCAACGTATAACGTACTCTTCCAACATTCTCGAGCGTCGTCGTCGCCGCCGTCGGCGTTCTTCTCAACAAATTAAAACATCAAATAAGAAACAATTATCATCTACAGTAAAATACTATTTATTAAAATAAACATAGTAAAATTTTTCCTATTTATCTTTTGCTAATCAAGCAACGACCTCATTCATCAAATAAATATTCCGATTCATTTGCAGCACCGTCATGTCAAATTACAATGGTTTATTATGGTCCACATACGAAAGTGGATTATGATCATTTAGTTTTTGAACAAATCGATGAAGTAATTGTTATGCAACAACATTGTGGAGGAGAAAATTTAATTGTTTATAAAAGTCATCTTAAGCCTGGAGGTTTAGTTTTATAGTTATTTTTGCTTCCTATTCTTAACGATCTTGTTACTATTATTATAGCTGAATTTACATTTGAATCTCATCGTCATTCAGATTATCCATTCGGCTTATCTTTGTATGTCAAAGGCTTGATTGATAGTCGAATTTCAACATGTTGTGAATATAAACATCGTCACGGTGTTAAGCTAGGTGGCGATCGAGGACATTTTGCAATTAAATCAGTACACGGTTCAAAACCATGTGTTAGGTATGTTTAAAATAAACAATCAATTGATTACTAATCTCATTTTTATTTTTATTTCAATTGAGATGTGTATATGAAAAAGAGGCACGTTTAAAAAGATACGCTCAATCACCAAAAGAAATAGATGATGAAAATAAAATGCCAATAATGATAGCTTTACCTGTCTCCGATGAAACGAAAACAAAAGAAACCTCTGTAATAATACCTATTTTACATGAAGCTAAAGCGAGAGAAACTTCCACCATAATACCTGTTCAGCATACATCTATTTCAAGTAAATTAGTTTTCTATAAGCATTTAATTTCAATAATGTTTATTTATTTATTTATTTAGATATCGATAATAACTATTCAGAAGATTTTGATGATTTAGATGATTTAGATATCCAAAAAAAAACAGCTAGAGATGGAGATTCAACTGATTCAAGTCATAAGCAATTGCATAAGCGTGAACAAACAGCCAAATCAAGTAGCTCTAAACCAAAGGTTAGAAATTATTTGCGCTTCTTTAATGTTTTGAAAGAGAAAAGAAGATTAAGGGTTATCTTTAGGAAAATTTTTACATAAAAACTATTCAAGCACTCTATTAAATAACGGATTTCTTGTTGAAAATAATTTTAAGGTGAAAAATATAATTTTACAATCATCAGGATACATATTCGATATGTGCAGAAAAAAAGTGATTCGTTTTTCATAGTAAATAGATTCTTTTATTCAAACAAAAAAAAATTTTTTTGATAATAATCTTAATATAAATATTTCATCTAACTCTTATTAGTAGTATTGCGATGGAGACATGTAAAAGAAAAAGCATCTATTAGATATACAATTACCAAGATCAAAGATTCATGTATTGACCTGACTTTTTAGATTGATTTAGTACGTATTTTTCAGGATGATCTTTTGATGAAGTCATTCATTATATTTGAATATTATAACCTACTGTACATTTAATGACTGTTGAATAAAACAAGCGAATAAATGATTTTTGTCTTAGACTCATCAACCATTGGATGGGACAAAAGTCAATTCAGGGCACAAAAATTAAATATCTCTGTCATAGATCAACTGAGTATGGATTGTTATTTTTTTTTAAAATGATAATAAGAGAATATTTGTAGCTGATGTTCATAAGAAAAAACTTTGAAAACATTGATATGAATTAAGAATATATTGATTTCAGCAAAAATTTTCATCCTTTCATTAACAGCATAAAATACGATTCTAGCGTGAGTTGAACAACTGTCTTATCGTTATCAGCGCATGAAATACATCTGAGTGTTACTGTTATGACATATAATAGTTATAAAACTAATTAAATTATTAACGTTTTATGTTGGCAACATTACTTTTGTTTGCTTTTCCTAATATGCACAGATGTATCAGAACAGAGCTTTTCGTTGAAGCAATTCTTGATACTCTAAAACGTCTATTTCCAACTTTATCTTGACGAACATGTACTCTGAACATTCCTGTATCATTTACAAAACAAATTATTTTATTCAATCAAGTTACGTTGAAGAGAGTCAATTTTTTGTATTATAAATGCATTTTTCGGATGATCTTGATTTAAAAATTCTATTGTCAGCGAACTATTGCATTTTTACTGTTTCAATAACACATCAGCGATTTCATCAAAATTCGCATCAGACTTGCTTTCAACAGTCTCTATGCCGAGGAAATTGTTATTCATTTATTTTCATATTTTTGTCGTTAAATAATGAATTACTGATAAAGAAAAACTGTTGATCTTTATTGTTTATAGACTTTTATAATATTAACAGTATTGCTCATCCTGTCTGTTAAACTATAAAATTGAAATAATTTTCTTTTATCATCATAAATCTTTTAGGTATTTCGCCGAACATCGTTAATTGCTCGAGACGAATCATCATCAATAAAATCCAATTCTGATTTTGAAAGATCAGCCAGAGAAAAATCAAGCAAAAAAACTTGGCAAATTATTTTTCATGGATCGACCATTCAAGCAAATAATAGTCAAAAAGAGAAAAATTATGTACCTGAAAATAGTTTATTAAAATTTTCATTTATTGGAAATAATCAAAAAGAAGAAACTAAAATGCATGAAATCAATATGAAACAATTATCAGAAAATTTAGATCCAACTAAAAGCAATTCATTTCCAATTATCGTTAAAAATATTGAAAAACCAGTACGAATTCGATTAAAAATTCACACTCTAGACAACGACGACAACGATGACGAGGATGATTTCAATTGGTATCTCAATTACGTAAGTAGAATATTTTTTGGAAATCTTCGTTTCTTGTTCAGTATTATGTACTAGTTTTCTCTCTCGAAAAATCGATCTATTAATGCTAGTTGTCCGAATATGAAGACTTAATCTCGAGTTTATAGGTAGATTTTATGTTTTACAGTAAACCGATTCTGAAAGAACGAATCCTATCATCAGAGAGACACTTACTGTTTTAATACACAATTCTGACTAAAACACTGACTTTAATAATATTTATTTCATTTAGATTGAAATCATCGATCCAGAAACTGAATCTCATTTAAGATTTCCTTGTAAACAATGGATTAAACAATCAGAAGAAAAAATTCTTCAACTTTCTCAAGTACGTATTTGTTTTACAATATGAATGTGAATCCGAATAGAAGATTTAAAACAGCACGAGATCAATTTTTTCAAGGTCATGTAATTTTTAATTATGAAACAACCATAGAATAGGATTTGAAATAAAAACACATTGAAATGTTTTAGTTGTGATTCTTATTTGAGTAGGCTTTCATATTTTAATACTGGTTTCAAGCCTATTCAAAAACCAGGTTTTGAATGTCTCGAACTATAACTAAGTTCAATTAAGATTTTTTTAATCATTTCAATTTTCGATGAAAATCAATCGAATAAACCCTGTCGAGATTTATAAAAGTTTTGATGTGTGTTTACCACAGGTGCAATGCAAATAAATATGTGTAAAATATACGTTTTTGTTTTCACCATACCATATTCGCTCATATCTTTACCTTTTTCTTCCATTTAAGAGCTCATATTTGTATACTATGCTACGGGCTCCGTGAAAATCCTTGAGAAACGATAATCGAATAATGTTTCAAACTACTTGCAAAATATTTCAATAAGAAAATATTTGTAATTTGCATAGGATGTTTCTCGTGTTGAACGGCACCGAACAACCTCTAACAATAGTTCAAGATCATCTTCGAACGAAAAAGATCATCAACAATCTATAAAAAGTGAAACCAAAGGCAAACCAATTTATCGTTCAAGAACGTCATCTAATACTTCAAAGCAATCAAAAACAAATTTTGATTCAGCGCGTCGAAATTCGATAGATAATCAGTCAAATCAAAGTGAAAAAACAACTTCTCGTAATGATCTTACTGATCAAGGTTAATCATTTCATTACCCTATCATTGCTCTTTTTTTTACAGTTTGATAACTTTATGATTCTTTCTTTAGAAATTAAAAACCGTTATCGTGTTACAATTTATCCATCACATGGAAATGACGGCAGATTTAATCCAAATCCAAATAGTCGAATATTTTTATGTCTTAATAGTCAAACAAGAGAAATGAACATAAAAAACGAAATTGATCAATTATGCCCAGAATTTGATTCGGGTGTAAAAAAAGTATTTGAAGTTGATTTAATACAAAATATTAATGAAAAACCTGAAAGATTAACAATTGGATATGCGAATTCTGATCCTACGGCAAAAACATGGAATATTGAAAAAGTTTATATTCTTTTGATTTTAATAAATAAGAACTGTATGTTTTTTGTTTTTATTTTAAAGATTGTTTTGTTGAATATTAAAACTGGTGATGAAACAACATTTCCATGCGATGAAATCCTTGTTCGAAATGAATCGACTTTACATGCGCAAAAGACATTTTCAGCTCAATTGCAATATTCTAGCGAGGACGGTAAGTGAAATATGTGAAATTATCGATATTTCATTCGAATATTTTTTCGAAAAGTTGAAATTCCACTGAAACCTTTGAAAAATATATGCATTGAATATTTAATAGATTAGCCAAATCTTGCTAGGATTTTCACTACACCACTATGTTATATTTATAAATAAAATTTCATTGAAATTCGAGAGGAAGGCACTTGGACAGATTTTCTGGATAGTTGAATTAATAAATTGATATCACATAAAAAATTATTTTCTTTTGATTGAAAATTATTTTTTGATAAAAAAAAGAATCTAATTTTTCAACAAACAGTTATTTTACCGAAATATTGATTTGTTTTCACCATCATGTTACATAGTTCACTAAAAATATCGATACGAGAAAGATATCATCCATCAGAAAGCGATCTTATGAACATACGATCATCACTGATTATGTTGTACGTATGGTACATTGGCACATATAGATTGAACATTCATGCTGACGATGACATACTATTTTTTTTAACGTCATACTGTACATAATTATTCGTTTTTATCAGATCGTTTTATAGTAATTTAGATTCGAAATCTGTGAAAAATATATATTTCATCATTGAAAACTTCTTTTTCAAATAGAAAATAGACATAGAGATAAAAAGAATATACGGACTATTTTAGATACACCAAGAAATAAAAAAATCAATCATTTGACATCTGACCATGAATCACAAATCAAAGTATTGGAAAAACAGCAGAAGAATAATGATGATGATGATGATAACAATAATAAAATTAAGAATGAAAATAAGCAAAGATCTCCTTCAATTAAAAATATGCATGACGAAAATGATGGTAAAAAGAAGAGTAAAGAAAGGTCTCCTTCATTTCAAAGTATGAATGATAGTGATGCTGATTACAGAACGATTTTTACAAAATTAGATCCAGATAATGAACTAAGATTAGGTTCAACTACAAGCAGTCCTTCACCTCGCTTTAGTCGACAAAATGATATTCAACAAGAAAATACAAAACACATTGTTGATCCGCTTGTGGGTCTTGACAGTCTTACAGATCCAACTCCTCGTTCAACTGATCAACTTAATCAGAATTCTTCATCACATAGAACTATTGATAATGCACAAAATCGATTGAAAAGTTCGCATCGAACTACTAACGACAATGATGATGACGATTAAACAGTATTCTCTCTTTTTTGTGGCATATTAATAGTTTTTCGTTTTTATTTCCATTTACAAATACACTATGAAAGTAACTTTTTCTCTTCTTTTTCTGCTTCTTCTATAAGAGTGTTTTTAAAATAAAGTTTACATAGGTCAATTTATAGAATTGAATATACCAGTCACATAGGGAGGCATATGACCACGCCACTGAAAATAAAAATAAAGAATTTTAAAGTAAAGAAAAAAAATAGAAACTTTATACTCGATCGATGGACATAAAATAAAACTCATCAGGGCAATCATCATATCCTTTCACAAGTGCATTGATCATTGTTTTTGATATACTACGATCAGGTATTATCACATGAATTTCATGGCGAGTCATATCAATTGAACGAATAAATCCTAAGAGCATATTATACTAATTTTTTTTTAAATATGAGAATAAAAGCGTTTTTACCAAATCCAAGACATTCAACATTCGCTCGTTCATCAATTAATGCTGGAAATGCATTTGAAGCAAAATATAACTAGAAATAAAGAATGAATTATTTTACTTTGCAAACCATTCAATTCATAGATAAATGCTAGACGTAATACTTGAATTTATCTTTCAATTTTTGGCAATCAGTTATTCGTCAAGACAAATATCGTATGTTCTGCAACGCTAATATTTACCAATCGACCAGTTAACGTAATAATATCTAATTTCTGGCAAATTACTCAACAGAAATATCAGCTTGTTTAATATTTTGCTCACTAAATTTGTTGTCTAGTCACAAGGATTGATCCATATCAGAAAACAATAGTTTTACTGTAATTTCAGCAGAACTACTACACACTAGCGGTACGTTGTTGATTAGTTAATGGTATCAACGTTTCTTATGGATGTATTTTAATCAATCTGTTAATAATCGAAGTTGATTATTATTCAATATGGAATAAAAATTAGTGAGCAATATCTGATAGTATGTGTATCTTATGCTAGCTCTTGCTTCACTATAATTCAGAAACAAAAAATCGAGTGAGCACACTAGAATTGGTCAGTTATCACTTTAAGTCAGTTAACAGTTATCTAATAACTAATGCAATTTTTTTCTCTCCATGATAAAGTAGCTGATAGGTAATGATTCACTAATAACTAGCCGAGTACCAGCTACCTAGGTAATTAACATCAAATATATGACCAATTACTAGCTGATAGTTTGAGTAAAAGTAAGTTATTTTATTCAGAATACAGTAATAGTTAGTTATCGTTAACGATCAATTATTTTATCATCCATAGGCGCATCGAAATCTATAGAAGTATATTTACATTTCCGATTAAACTATACTCTAAAAATAGACTCATCTGCATACATTTACTATTGAAATGAGAATGTTAATTTTCGAAAGAAAAATACACTAAATTACAGAAAAAGTAGAAAACGATTTTTAATAATCGTTCTCGACAATTGTTTGTTATGTAGAAACATCATTTTCTTTTTCACTAATAACTATGATCGATTTTAAATAAATAACATGCATCAATGTAACATATTTTTATTTATCTTTGCTAATATAATTACGTTCATTAAAGATATAAATTGTTTGATTTGAATAAATTCCTATACTAAATACGTATATTCAACTTATAGTTGACGACATTTATTATTATCCTTAGTATTAGAGTTTCTATAAAAGAAAACGTTTCTTCATAGACATTTTGTTAATAAATTCATTTTTAACAAATGGAATATTTCATTTTATGAAAAAAATTCGTCTGGAAGAGAAACTTAAAATGAGTAAAAACATCTGCTAACATCAACACAATAGTTTAAAAATAATTATGTATCTTAAAAAGAAAAGAAAATGAAATAAAAAGTTTATTCTATGATTGATTCTATTCTTTTTTTCATATTTTATGAAGTATGATTTTTCTGTCTGATTTTCATATAGTTTTCTTTTGTTGAATAAAACATCAAATGACTTTTTAAACAAGGGCTCAGAATAGCAAATATTCATTAAATTAGAAATAACTTTCATTACTCCGGCTATAGTTTCATCGTTGCCCTTTGTTTCAAAGTGGTTGAGTAGATTCGAACTTATAATTTTCTCATTTTTCCTATTCAGCCAAGTAAACTAATAAGCAATTTAAAAAAAAATAGAAAACAATCTTATTACCATATCATGTTTAACTCTACATAGAGCAATAATAGATCCATTCAACACTTGCAATAAATATTTTGATTCAATTTGTCGATGTAATAGTCCAACTCCAATTTTTTCAAATTTTAAAATTTCAATATGATTAATACAATCAATTAATGGCTTTATAATTAATTTTTTTGTTTCAATTTGAGAAAAATATGACCAGAGACATGCTTGACGAGTTAAATTTGATTTTCCATGACTATGTTGACGTACTGGTGTTAACAGTAAATTATAATCATATTTATCATATGAATAATTTAACGGTATTTCATAAACGTGACGATACAGATTGGAAATCGAAGCATTTTTTGACCATAAAGGACTAATATCAGGCATTATATGACGAAAATGTGGACTAGATGAACGTAATTGTACTAAAATAGCCGGTTTAATGAGATCAATTAACTCTTTCATTATAACAAGACCCGTGTCTAAAAATAAGAAATTTTTTTTTATGAAAATTTGAAAAGAATAACAAGTTTTAATTAACCTGATCCCCATCCCATTGTATTAACAAGTAATAGATCATATTGCTGATTTTTTATGCAGTCGTAAGATAATTTAACATAATTTAAATAATTAAGAATTTTATCATTTTCTACTTTAATATTGCCAAAATAGAATGATTTCAATGGTTTTTTTAAATGTGATGCTGATGGGCCAAATAATGGTTCTGTTAGATTATTTATTAAAGATATTGAACCACTTGGAGTAAATTCACTTTGACCTAGATCACAATCTAAAAATGCTATTCTTGGAATCATATTCGTTTGAGACAGACATTTATTGATTAAATAACGTAGATATGTTGATTTGCCAGAATCTTTTGCACCACAAACAAATACAGTTAATGGATCATCAGTCACTTTATTGAAAAGACGAGAAATTATTTCATCAGTTGTTGAACGAATTTCAATTGGATACACAATTGAGCGATGCTAAATTACGTATAACACTTTCATTAGATAAAATATTTATTCTTGATTATGTACTTAGTAATTCTAGTAGTATTAATTACTATACTGTTTTATAACAGTTAAGTTCTATTTCCGTAATGATTATTTAAAAAGCATTGGAATAAAATATTGCGCTATTTTTTCAGTGATTTCAGCAAGTTCATAGAATTTTTAAACGATCACTTGAGATAAAAATGTTCCGTTGTTTCTACTTTAAAGTTCAATATTATAGAGAGTAATAAAATTGATACATACTACACCTTACGTTTTAACATACTCAGAATTGTTCAAATAACTTTAACAAGCTAGATTCATAATTCTTAACGCAGAAGTTCTTGAAAAAATTCTGATTCTGATCTCATTTTTTCACATGTGACAGTTTTAGTATGAAAATTATGATGTTATTCTAGAGAATAAAGATTCTTGATTAAAGAAATAAAAATCTTATTTTGCTCAAAAGATTTTTCTTGATTGATAAAAATAATTTGTTAATCATTAATTTTTCGTATTAGAAAAATATGTTCAAATCTGGCTAATCTACAAGAAGATGTAATGAAGCGATTGTGTATGTTTTATAGCTCATCTTATAGAAGAGCTACTTTTTTCTCCCGGAAAATTCTGCATTTGAGTAACATCCAACTGCAGCTATAATACTTAAGTGGGCACTTTGATGAAATATGCTTTATTCTTTAGTATATGAAAAATAAATCATATCAAGTCGTTGGATATTTTAATTATGAATATTTAAATCTTACATAACTATGCTTGAAAGCTCCCATGCCAGGCCATAATTGTTTAAAACCATCTGTATTTTCTATTTGTTCCTCATCGTTATCATCATCATTATGAAATAGCCATTGATTTGAAAGATTACTATTACTAAACTGCTTCATTGATTCAATCCATGTTGTTTCAAATTGTTCAACAAAAAATACTGATAGACCATGATGAAATTTTGCTAATCTTTGAATAAATTCAATGTAAATTTCGGGTAACGGCAGTTCAATACGATAATCATTAAAAAACGAAAGAATTTGATTCTCATGCATTGAAGTTTTTGAAGAAGATGATGCAATTTCAATTGACATCAATGATTGTGATGAAAGATTGAATACGAAATAGGATTTTAACGGTTCTAGATTGAAACCATGAAGACATGCTGGTGGGCCAGATATTTGCATTAATGAAAAAAGACCAAGAAGAGTTAAACGAGATGATCGAGGAGAAAATATTAAAGCACGACGCGTTTTTGAATTAACAAAACAAAGACTAAATTGAAATAAAATTGAATTTTAATCAAATACAAACTAAAAAATAGAACCGATCAGTACCTGCATTTTGTATTAGTTAACTCTTCGTCGTTTAAAGTATTTTCTTGTTCATTATTTGAAATAATAAATAAAATTGAATTTTTATCTGAGTCTTCATCATTATTATTGAAACTCAATTGTTTTTTTATTTTAATTTGACGTTTTTTTATTCGTTTTTTTATACTTTTTAATGATGAAGAAGAATTTTCATCTAATCTTTTGATTTCTTTTTTTAATTTAGTTTTTTCTTTTCGTGGTGATGTACGTAATTGAATAGGAGGACGAAATTCCCGTAAAAGAAATTTTCCAACTGATGTTTCGACGATTACTGGTGCTTCTTTAGATTTTTTCATCTAAAATAATTTTATTTCTATATTTTCCTTGATTTTTTCATAAAGGAAATAGAATTGATGGTTATATTTGTTGGAAATTATCAAAAATAAGTGTATGATTGTATTGAATATAATTTAGTGTTATATCTACCCGTAGTTAAATCGCATTTGTTTTAAATTGATTTATATCAATTTTCAAGTTTAAATAAATTTCTTAACTAAACACTCCACCGTGATTAGACTACTTTTAGGAAAAAAGAAACAGAATCTCAAAGATGACTGTAACAATCGATTATCTTTATTATCAATAGAATTTGAATGAACAATGTATTATTTTGCTTTTAAGAAAATCTTCAAGACTGTCACATAGACCTGTTTCGATTCAAAAAGAAATTCATGCATATTGTGTAAGTAGAAAAGATCTTGAGATGAATATTCGTATGAAATTTAACTGTAATATGTGGTTAAATAATCCTAGAAACTATAATTGTATATTTCATTTAGTGCAAAAATAGAACGAATACAAATTCAAATTGGGATCAGACATTTTTACTATAAACAATAGAGAATCTGCTGAATAGATTGACATACGATGAATTCGATAAATACTTTTAAGATCAACCTGATGTCTATTGACTAGCTACAAGAGTTAGATTCTTCTAAAATAATTTTCTTTCCATCTTCATCTCAATTTAGAAAGACACTATCTACTCTACTAGATTCTCTAGTTCTCGATACTAATATAAAATATAAATATCATTATAAATGATATCAATAGAATCAAATAAAAGAAAACAATATCATGGATGCTAGCCGGATTACGCTAACAGGTTTTTCAGTAAACTGTACTGTTTGTATATGAGAGGAATACAGTTCATTATTTGGATTGAATAAAAAAAAAACTTCCTATGTTAATCTAAAATAGGTTTCAAAAGAACTTTGAAAATAAAAATAACATTAAGAACTTTTTAAAAAAGATATGTACTTATTTATGTAAATTCGATGAAACATTTTTATACAGATGAATATTTCGAAGATAAATATTTTTGAATTCATTTTAAGTTTAGTTACACGTTTCAATAATGACAAGTTACTAGAAAAAATTTAAAAACTAATATCTTTAAATTAATTGAAGAAAATTAAAACATTCCGTTCTTTTAACTAGTTTCACATATTCGAAGCAAGGTTTCTAATTCGAAGAAATCTAAATGAAAACTAAATTTAGGTTCACAGCAAAATTATGAACTATTGCATTACATTTCATCAATCGAAATTTAAAGAATACTTACTAATTTGATAGGTTCTAATGTTTTTATATTAAAAATTGAACTGTGTTGTCAAAAAGATTAATCATCAGGTGCATTGAAAACAATAGTTACGATTTTATTCTATTTGCTGATCAAACACTTTATCTATAGTTAATTTATGGAACGAATTAGCTTTCTTCATTATCTAATATGTATCTATTGAATTATGATCAATTATCACCATCGTTTCGTTGTCATGGTATAATCACGAAAAAGAAATCAAAGCAATAAAACGGGTCAAAACAAAAAATTATTGCTCTAAACTATACGATAGACTAGGTCATACTGAATTCATAAATAAATCAATGAATGAATACAATACAATTCAGTTTTTTTTAACAAAATGAATTCTCGACGAATCAATCAATCAGAAGAAATTCTGAAGTGACATCTTCAGAGAAGAAACTATAACAATTGTTATAATAATGCGTGCCATCTACTTCAGCTTGTGCACTTCAATTTTAGAGTAGATGAAGCAAATGTGTAGGTGAATGATTTCATCAAATTCACATTTATCATTTGGTTTCTATTGATTCACTTATTTTATTTTATTTTTTTGTTTTGAAAGCATTGTTTACACAATCTAGAAGTGTTAGCTAAGATTGATTAAAATATTTATGCCCGAAGTCAGAGTATCATTCTATAATATGAATCCAAGTGTTATTATTTCTTCGTAAAATTTAAGAAAAATATTTGCTTTTGTAGTAAAAAATAGTATTTCAGGTTTTATTACTAATATTATTCAATAACGTCTTTCAAAAAAACATGCGATTAGTACATACGCTGTTGTGATTTTTACAAATCAAATATAGTTTGACTTGCTTATTGTTAAATACAACCATATAATTGTGAATAAAGTTTTCTTCGTGATGAAAGATTCGTATTGTTGAAAAGAGTTTCGATCAAGGGAGAGCAGTCAATACTTGATTTTTATTGAGTTGTTCAAGTTTGAAAGAGTCAAAACATGGTTTGAAAAAATGAAAATTTGCTTAAAATTGATTGAAGCTCTGAAAATCATAGTCCTTCGAATTTATTTTAGTTCACTGAAACTGAATTGATTTTTGAATAATTAAAATCAATTGCTTTTCAATCAATTGGTATCGTTTTAAAATCAAAGATTGTCACCAGTTTGTCTGTTTGAAATATTACTCATGCATACCACTATTTAATGAATTTTTTTTCATGTCTTCTTAATAATACACTGATCATCATACAGGTTCTTCGTCGGGAAAAGAATGAGATCTGTATTGCATTTATAGGGAGCTCTGTTGGATCGTAAATGAACATATTGCGACATTTGGTTAACTCAATTTTAGGCTAATATTTATTGTTGTGAAAAATGTTCAGGACGCTTGAGATTATTCAGTCCTCGAAAATCGCTGTTTTTTAAAACAAAAATGAAAAAAAGTGAAGACAGCATTGTGAAAAATATCATGTTGTACATTTCAAATCTATTGCCGGTAAAACCGAATTTAGTTGCACATTTTATATTATCCTATAGGACTCGGTACTGAAAAAAGGCCGACTCTTAAACTATATTTGGACACAGTAGAGTAACTTATTGATTATTTCTCTTATCTCTAATTCAAATGCACAGAACAATGGAGATGATTTAAACTCAAATTCATATTTCTCGATTTCGTTATTAAAAAGTAGTATCGAATGACGTTTTTCATCATTGAATATTTCTACTCTTGAATTGACATAAAAGGGTTGCACGAATCAGTTCTTTTTACATACATCATTGTACTTAGTAGCATTTAATTGAAATGAGTGTGTCAATACTTAAAATAATGTTAGAATCTTTGTTTTTTTAATATTATAGTCTGACGTAATGATCTGCTTTTTATTATTCAAAAGAGTAATATTGTCTCAGCATTAATGTTGATGCCACCAAAGAAAAAAGAAAAACAATGTGAAGTTTTTCTATCTATTCTTTCAAATAAAAGTAAAATTTAAAAATGAAAGCCGCCTAAAATATATTGTTGTTTGTTTCTAAATGGATGTTTTCTATTGAACAAATGAGCACAATTACGTCCGTATTTCGATCGTAATTGTAATAAAGAAAACTGCTTACAGTCACCCTACTCGGCAAGTTTTGTTGTTGGCGTTGTTGCTGTCGTCGTATCAGCAACCTAAATTCATGTTATTGTTGTCCTATTTTTTCTTTCTTTCCACTTAATGCATCTAACGTGTCTGCTATGTAACTCAAATATTCTTCATGCTATACATTTTGTATTGACGTAGTCACGGTAGTCATCGTCATAGAAAAATAAAAGCAATGTCAAAAGACTTTTGTGGGATTCCATCGTTCTGATAAAGAAAAAGAAAAAAAAGTAAAAGAAAAAAAAAGAATCATTTGTTGCTTAGAGCTGAGCTGAATTGACAAACGATTGTGAAATTTCAAGGTGAAATTATATAAAAAATGACTATAACTTAAGAAGTGCCAGTTTGTTAATAATGGGCTGTGGATCAAGCTTTCCGGTTTTACCTTCGATTAATAATAATAAATCTCCAAAAACAAGAATAACACCAAATACTTCAACTAATAAATCAAGTAAATTACCTCCGATAAGTCCTGAACAAAAATCAATTCGCGAAAAAGAAGGCAAAGCTAAAAATTTTGAACCATTTACACTTATTTGTCTGGATGAACATTTCAATGAAAATGATAAGCAGCTTCGATCAATAGTTGATTATGTTTGTTGTTTTAATGACCTTGATGAATGTGAACAATCTGTCAAGGATATCAATACAAATAGCGTCATATTTTTTATTGTGTCCAGTGAGCATTTCAACAACATTGTTTCACATATACATGAACTATCACAAGTTATTGCTATCTATGTATTTAAAGACAATAAACAGAATGATTATAAAAAAGAAAACATTGATAAACATTGGACAAAACGATATTCGAAGGTAAGTGTAAACCGTTTGAATAATGTTTTGGTAAGAAAATACTCATAATGTAGAAAATCATTTTTCATTGCTACAACCATAATTAAAATCTAATAATCATATTCTTTATCGATTTGTTATTGAGTCATGAAAACTCATGAAAAATATTAATTTTTGTCGGAAAACTCAATTTTTATATTGAACTTAAAAAGATAACATCAATATTGAATTCTTTGAAATTATACAATTTTTTAGTCAATATCTAGGCCACGCTTTAATAGTCACTGTGTAAAGTGAATATCTATAAATTTTACTGACTTTCAATGTATTAATATCTGTTTTTTCCAGTCTATAATTGTTCCATTAAAATCAAGGTGTTTCTAATAGAAAAATAGAATTTCAGTAAGTTTTGTAACTTATAAAATTTTTCGATATTACTTTTGTGAGAAAAACGCATGCCTAAGATTTACATTCGTTTATTTGAAAGAAACGTTTAGTTCACGAAGATTTTTAACTATGTTTTCTTTTTATTATTTAAATTATATTTTCATAAATGAAAAATAAATTATTTAGTTGGTTTAATAATGTTGAATACTTAAAACCAATATTTTGCTAGTAGACGAAAAGTTTTATTTTGCCAACGGAACTATATCTATGATCGGTTAAATTTCTTTTTGCCAAATACTTAAATGGAGTGATTATTCTAAAAATTTTATCAAAATCTAATGCAAAATTATATGAGACCTGAGTGCAAAAAGTTGACTTTAATATAGAAATAGTATAGAAATGATGTACACAATTTTGGATTACATCAAACTGAGTGTATGGCAACAAAATTCATTTCAATCACATTTTATTTTCTAATAAAAATAAATTTCTTCATATAATCCAATGAAATTCAGACTCAAAAGCATGCGTATCATTTTTTAGATCTTTGTATGAAAATGAATTTCTCGGTTGATTCTAAATTCAAAAATTTATCAATATGATTCCTATTTGTTTTTGAATAGTAAACTAAGTCTCTTGACACATCTCAATAGTAGAGTAGAAATTTTATTTGTTGCGTTCAATATTTAAAAATCAATTCTAGTTAAACATCAGCTACCTGTAGTAATCTAGACATTTGCAATAGTATTATCCTATGATCTGTTCCACAAGTTTGTCGAATTATTTACAGAGATTTTCATTTGTTGAATATTTCATACTATTGTTATCGATTTAAATACATTAGTGTTTCATCTATAATGTTAAGCTACTTTCAAGATTCAGTTTTCCTGGTTCTATTTTCAACGTGAACTATAATTATGTTAAAATGTCGATAGACTAATGGTAACAAATAATTCTCTATTTTGGTTCATGTATTTCTTCTAATGTAGTTGAGTGCTACAGTTTGTTGTTCAAAGATAAAATATATTGTTTCAATAGATCTATAGAAGAGAAAATTCTGTTATCAACTTCAAATTAAATACTAATACAGAAATATTTAAGATGAGAGAATATTGATCTCTTTTCTGCGATTAAGAAAATATAAAGATAACTAAATACGAAGTTCTTTTTCAAAACTCATTGCAATCTGTGATAGACGATAAGTTTTAATTTTGATTTACAGTTAGGATTTTGAGAGAAAATGTTTCATGTTCTGTTCAGATGAAAGGTATGTATTTTGATCGTGGAATTTTATTGGAACAATTAAAAGCCGACGTGAAAATTTCTATCAATATACACGACTTGATACCAATAACTGTTTATAGTCGGATTGATGCGATTCAAACAAATAACAATTCAAATGATCATCTTCGTTTTTTATTTTATCAGCTATTTATTCAACAGTATTGTTTAAATTCATCGTCATCCCTAAATAAGAATGATTTCATTAATATAGCTCGTAATTATTATTCTTCCAATCGAAAAGAATCAAAAACAATACATGAATTTGAGGATGAATACAGTTCAATTAAGAATATATTTAATTGGTTTGCTCGCGATTGTTTTATACGGAAAATGTTAACACAATCTTTATTAACATTAGATATTCAAATGTTATTTTCGCTAAGATTTTTTATCAAAGATATGTTTAAAATAATGATTGAGAAAGTCTCAATGTCAAGTCAAAAGCAGAATATACATTCTAATACTCCAAGAAGATATATTAATGGACGATCAACAAATGAAGAAATATTTTATCGAGGACAAGCATTATCAAAAGAAAATTTTGCTAAGATCAAATCAAATATTGGTAAACACATATACATTTATTATAGATGATCTCGATTGATTTTTTTCTTTGATCCTAGGTGAAATATTATCAATGAATAATTTTATATTAGCTAGCAAAAATCGACAAGATTCATTAGGATTGATTCGTCAAAATATTCCACAGACTGATTTAATCGTTCGAGTTTTATTTGAAATGAAAGTTCCTTCGGAATATTCTTTACAGAAACAACGTCCTTTTGTTGATATTTATTATTTAAATGATTATAATAAATCATCTGATGAAGGCAACGATCCATATTCAGTTTTATTTTTTATTGGTTCCATATTTCGAGTTAATACGGTTGTATTTGATATGAATAATGATTGTTGGATAATTCAGTTAACATTATATGATGAAGGAATAAATCAAGATTTTTCTCAAGTATTTACATTTCTCAATGATATGAAACGAACAAATACAGAAAATGCCATAACATTAGCAAATCTTCTTCGTCAAATATCTCCAAATTCCGCTGAGCAATTTTATAAACATTTGTTAAAACAAAATTCAGAATCTTTATCGAAATTAGAATGTTATCGTGGTCTTGGTCTGTGTTTTTATTCTAAAGATGATAATGAACAAGCTTTAAACTATTTTGAAAAAGCATTAAATTTAAAACCAAATGATAAATTAATAAAATCCTCATTACACAACAGCATAGGTCTTGTTTATGCACAACAAGATCAAATAGATGAAGCATTAATTCATTTTAATAAAGCATTAGAAAACAGTTCATTACCATTGCACATCGCTTGTGTTCATCATAATTTAGCATTGGTTTATAGCCAACAAGGAAAATATGACGAAGAACTTGGTCATTATGAACAAGCTCTTAAATATCGTACACTTCAATTACCAGCACATCATTTACAAATAGCATCATTACATAATAATATTGGTATTGCATATTCTGATATGCATGAATATGATCAAGCTTTAACCAGTTTAAGAAAGGCACTTGACATGCGTTTAAAATTATTATCGGATAGTCACATTGATGTGGCTCGTAGTTATGCGAATATTGGAACTGTCTATGCTAAAACACAAGAATTTCGAATGGCTTTAGAATATTTTAATAAAGCATCTCTTTTATTCGAAAAACAACAACAACAACAACAACAACAAATAGTTCAACAAGACATGGAACAGCTTAATACAAATATCAAAATTGTTAATGACAAACTTAGGTAATGAAAATTAGATGATTGAGATTTATTTATTTATTTATTTTTCGTCTTCTAGACGGAAAACTTTTTAATCAATACGTTATCTTGGTATAAAACAAAAAATCAGAAAAATCCCTGTGGAAATATACTTCTAGTTTTTTTTGAATGTATTTCTCATTGAGAACATTTGTGAATAAATAATTTTTTATTAAAATATATCTTATTCAAATTAAATATAATTTTATTAATCATTTTTTGCTCAAACATGATTTTTGAATTTATAATCAAAGAATGTTTATCAGTTTATTGTCAAGTTTACTTTGATTAGTGCGTGAACTTTAAATTTATGTCAGGGAAGTATAAAATTTTTATCGATAAGTTCCTGTTATTGTAGAACATGTTACACATAATTTAATTGATACAAAGTAAATTTAATTATTTACTATAGGTTGAGTAATTTTCAAGACTTACATATCTTTAAATAGACCATCTAGGCTATTATTTCAGGATTGTTGAAGAATAACTCATCATATTAGGTTGAACATTCTCCGTAAACGTATAGATCTTGATAAATAGAGCATTTTGTTACTGTCGTCTTAAATCATATAATTATATATTATGATTCAAAGAGAACAAAATTCGAATCTTTTCACAGATACTCGACTTTGTTGGGATGAAAAATTTGTCTTGTTTTTTTTTAATCTTCGTTCATTTGGAAAAAATACTAGACTCGTGAAAAAAAAATTAACACTTTCAAAATTTTTCTAATTAGAATTCTGTAAAACCTTACAACAACTGGCGTTATAGTATTTTAAACATTTTCTCACATAGTTAAAAAAAACTATTTTTTTAGCTCCATTGACAAAGAGAGTTGCAGATACCTATAATTCTGGACAAGAAACCGGTCCGAACTCGACTGAATTCAGAATTAGGTTCCTTGTTGTTACCAATACTATCAAGCACAGCTTCATAGTTGAATGTATTTTACTCGAAAATCTTGCATCACTGTCAACTTTTTTTTTCATGGCTATGTATTAAATTCATTCGTAAAATAGATGTCCAATAGATGACGAATATTCATGCATAGAGAAAAAAGAAATTCTCGATTTCAAAAACAGGGAATAGATGTCTACTGAAAGCAGATAACAACATTCTATAGCACTGTATCATATACTGTACATTATTAGATGAACACAGCAGTATTTTAAACTTTTTTTTATGTGTTCGTTCTATCCATGACGCGATAAAATAATCAGCTCAGAAACACGGGTGTAGAATCATAAGAAATTCATATCTCCAAGGTATAGTTTCATCATTGCCGATAAATTCTAGAATATAAATAGTTTCAATTCACCGAATCAGATTTATATAATTAGAAGAATCATGACGCATGTACGGTTCATAAACACGGTCTAAACATTGTCATCAGTTTCGGTGTTCTTTAGTCGGGATTCGAACACAACAACTATGGATATTGTATTCTAGAACGACTGCACAAAAGTATTCGACAATTTTCTTAGTGCATTTTCATATCATATTAGACAACAAAAAATAAAATACCTCTCAAGAGGACACCTTCGCAAAATCATTATATTCATGGAAATTTATTGAAAAAAAACGTTTTCTTTTTTCTCTAAGAATGTTTGAATTACAAGTATTTTTTGCCATTATATAATGAATCAGCGGCACAATGAAATATATTAAAAAAAAACGTCGTCTTCTACCTATAAAATTAGACATATTCATTCGTACAAGCTAAATGCAAAGAATAATTTATTTTAGTTCATTTTTATGTTTGTAGGTATTATAGTCTTTATTTTACCATTAGAATTAAATATATAATATTTATTTACAAGGTAAAGACAGACAATTATTATACATATTTTTCTCTTATTCTAGATACTATAAATATTTGTTATGTCATTACAATTACATATATATATTTTTTCAGAAGACGATATTAAAGAATAGTTTATTTTCCGTTTCTTCTTCTAGATAGTATATGTTCCTACTTGTGTTCATATTTTATATTATTATTTCTTGTTGTGTACTCAAAAAAAAAGAGTACACTATAGAATCGGTCAGTGTGTCCGTCAGTCCGTCCGTTTATTCGATAACTCTTTACAATTACATTCGATTGAGCTGAAATTTTGTGCACAGAATTGTCTCATCAATATCTAGGCCGAGTTCGAAGATGAAAAGGATCCATCAAAAAATAGCTGAGTTATCGAAAAAATTGTCATTTCTGATCAGACCATCCCTGAGGTGGGAGTACAGGAATTTTTCAAAAAAAACATTTTTTTCTCAGAATTATCAACAACATATATAAATCGACTCAGCTTTTAGCGCTAATTCTGAATCTGATATTAGTTTCGGACAAACAATCGTAGTTTTCTGACGAAACATTGACTGGGAAAGGTCTCAAAATACACAAAAACTGCATCTAGAAACCAAATTGCCTAGATATGTCTCTGATGATCAGCAGCTTGGGAGTTTCTCAAATGCCTGGTTTTGTTGCTAGCCAAAAGGACTATCACAAGGTAAAAACCCGAACTCGATAGCTATTACTATTGATGATTTATTATGAAAATACTGATGTCTGTATCTATCATATATCTCTTATAAATTCATGAGGTTGCTTACGATCGTAATCCTGCTAGATACAAACACAAAACCATTCAAAAATAACTGTTCTTATCCAGTTTTCGAAGCTGAACACGNACAAATCCATTCAAAAATAACTCTTCTTATCCAGTTTTCCACGCTGAACACGAATCTGAACTCAATTTCTGTGATCTCTAAAGATATTATATCACTCTGAGAGTAGAGTCAGTGCTCACTGGATAGAGTTGCATACAGCGTGGTGCATGCTAACTTAGCACGCCTGTATTTTCTCCTTGCAATTTAGTGAGAAGGGATGTATCTTGATGAGATCTATGCCTTATAGAAAAAAATGGATGTACATTTTCGCTTTTTGAAGTACACAACAATCGGATGGAAATCCGATGTTTCCGCATTTACTTTGTATCATTTATGAAAATTGTTTTTTTTATTTCCATTTCAACAACTATTTCATATATATATATATATATATAGTAGGTTCTATTCCTTGTATATTTTTCAACACTGATGAATCTTTTTTTTTTAATTATGTGATACTTCACCTTTCTCATATCTTGTGCGGCTTGGTCGTAGCAAGCTAACCAGACGTGGTATCCAAAGAACATGAGTCATGCGATTCACTTGTTTTGCTAATTCTTGCTTCGCATTGTCAAATCGAATTCTCATCGAAAATAGTGATTTCTTTTTACGATCTTCAAATAATCTAAATAAAATTCAAAATGGTTAAAGTTTATATTCGCGCTGTAAATAGTTTAAAAAACAATGGACACCTCAGTATCCATCATCAAAGAATTCAAAATGGAGCTGCAGCTGTTTTAGATGCGCATGGGGAGCTTGGTGAATGAATGATGATTGATATAGTTGCACATTTACATCGTTTAAGTGTTGAACAAATTTGACAAGATTTAAATGATGATCAGAAAGATTAAAAAAAAGATTTAGAACAAATTGAATCTTCAAATTTGAAAACGAAGTAAAAATATGTATGAAAGAAATCGAAGATGGTATTCATCCTATATTCTCATATATTCATATATGTCTATTAAAATTGATACCACTTTCATGGTTGTTAGTTTACTGTTTAATCGTAAACTTACATGTACTATGCATGTTATTACTCAATAACTACTGAACAAATGGAGCAATATACGCGAATCATGATATTATTGAGTTCATACAGCAGATGTTCAGACATTTATTTTATAAATTAGTATTGAATAAACCAACTCCATTATATATGCATTACAAGTCAATCTAATTCTAATTGAGATACTGTCAATGCAGTCGTTTCATGAGAAAGTGCCTTTTGGCGCTTTAACTGCGCCATTGAAAGTATATCTGAATCAGCATCGGACCAGTCTGACATTTTTATGAGAATGAAGTTAATGAAACGAAAAAAAGCATTTTTTCTAATACACTATTAATAGAACGATTATTAGACGCTTCATTTTCGGTTGAGTCAAAATATCACTTTATAGACTAGCCTATAAAAAAAGTAACAGAAACATTAACTTAAATTCAGATTTTACTGAAACGAGCGGCATGATTACAAAATTAGTATCGTTATTGTCTTTGATTTTTTCATTTTTATTTAGTTAATTGATATTATGGTGAAAATCAGTTATCAATTGCTTATCATATTGATTGTTTTCTAATTTATGTATCAATATAAATGGAACATTATGCCCAACACGCCAATATTGAAGACAAAAAAACAGGAGAAATCTATTTTCCCTAATATTTGAAAAGCATTAACAATTGCTATATATGTAAAAAATGTATTTTAGTTCTTTTAAGTATCGTGAGGGTATTTCACTCCTGCGGAAAAAAAACATCTATATATACATATATATATATATATATATATTACGAATCAATAACTTGGAATAAATAATATAGTTGGTACTATTTAACATACTATCAATCAAATATGTATGTTTGATGTAGTCTAATTGCTTTGCAATTGTCACCATGCTTTTCAATATAGTTCTTTTCAATTGTAAAATATCTCATTTAATAAAAGAAAGTGTTATTCGGTATATGTTACCAATTAATGTATGTCTCATTATTTGAGTCGTTTTCATAAACATACATATTTTTATGTTCTTTTTGTCTTATTGTTTCACGAATGTTTAGAGTCACATATACAATGTGTTATTAGCTATCGAAGGTAATTAAAGAAATTCTGCGTTATGCATTGTTTTTCATATCTTTCAAATTTCTCATCAATTTAAAGACAGACACAAACATTTTTATTATTTTTTTCTAACAGAATGAAATGCAATCTTAATCAAAGTTAAGGGATATTCAGGGACAGACTATATGTAAGAAATTTCGATCAAATTGGAAAGAATACATAGATACGTGTATCTTCGTAGAAGCGACACAAATAAGAGACATTATGTCAGCTTAGATTTAATGGAAATACTGCTCGATGAAAACTTTATATGAAATTTTTCCTACAATTGAACCAGATCAAACATTCAGTTTATTGACGCTATACTAAAGTATACCAATTAGATAACTCATTAGAGTATGCCGATTGTTTAAGAAATCTCTTAGATAAGCATTGAATGACAAGATCAAAAGATTGAAAATTTTCAGAGAATAACCAAAAGCAAAGCATTTAAAGACATATCACTGATCATGTTGACAAAAGAAATTCAATAAGAGAAAACTCCATGTAATAAAAACCGCATGGAAATCGGCGGTTAACCGCGGTTTTACCGGCCGGGTTATCGGCTCTCCTATCAGTGTAATTTATCGTAGAAAGGATAAATACCGCAGTTTATCGCAAAAAATGATCCGGTATTCGCAACATGGGAAACATTCAATGAGCTTACTTCATATGAAACCTTGAGTTTTCCTTCAATAGAAATATTTTGATTAAATATGTATAAACATGACATTAACATTTTTTTAATTTTATACGTACATTGACAGCTGATTGTGAATTGTGATCTATTTTCTTCATTATCACAAACATTAGCTGTCTCTATCCCAGGTCGACTGATCCGATAGGAACCTTAAAATATTCTACAATCCGATACAATTCCATTGGATTCCGGGTCGAGGAATCGATGTCGGATCCTCAGTATCGGAATCCTATGAACTTCCGATGACATCCAATGGTTTTTCCTTGAAATTCATAGGAATCCGACACTGAGGATCCGACATCGATTCCTCGACCCGGAATACAACGATAATTCTGTAAGATCTGACAGGATCCGATAAAATCCTATTGTACTCCAGTCGGATCGGATGGGTTCCGATAGGTGCCTACTATCGGATTGCTCGACCTGAGATGGCTAGAAATATTTAAAAAAGAATTATACCCAGGACGAACCTTATAACGACCTGATACGATCGTAAACGGCTGCAAACAGCAACGCATACTGCCGTTTAATAAGGTTTCAGACTGTAAATCGTCGTAATTTTACGTTTTGACAGGCACCGTATTACAAACGTATTTCGCCGTGTCGTCAACGGTTACTAACGGCCATAATGTGGCCGGATTAGTGATGGGCCGAAAATGTAACGCACAATGCGTTAGAAAGGCGTAAAAGCGAAAGCAAACATCTCACGACTATTGCGTACGTAAGACGTCATTTTCCTCTCCTTCCTGCATAAATTACGAATACCGTCTTTAGCACGGCACCAAAATATAGCAACGTGATACGGTAAACGGATTCGACGGATAAAAACATTTTCTTAATTACCAATGAATAAGTATCTAGTGTCAACAGAACACATGGATCGAATGCTTATGTTGTATTCCGTTGAATTCCGACGCTGAAACCTATCGGATTTCAACACTAGGGTTCCGATTGTAGCTCCCACACCGGGTCCCGATAGGATTTCGTCGGTTTAATGAAATTCATATTATATCCGATCAGATTTCGACACGTATCTGATAGGATTCTACTATCGGAATCATTCTCCTGGGTAGGTATGATGACCCTAGCGTGTATCCTGCATATCAAGAAAGAGCGAAGGACAATGAATTAGACGCAAATTTGGAATAGGTGCTTAAAGGTCGAAAGGCAAAACGTCGAAAAACAAGAAGCAGAAAAGCACATTGCAGAAATAAAAAAATGTCGAAAGTGAAGATGTCCACAGGTAATAATTCAAAAAGACAGATTGTCAAATGAACAAACAACATTTAAAAAGGCAGGATAGGATAAATATTAATAATGTCATTGAAAATATATTCTATCAGCTTAAGATAAAAAAAAGATCTCTTAATTAGCTTATTTGTCTGTCTATCAATTTGAATATTTCGTCAAGAGGATCTAACAATAATGATTAATTAATACACTGTGTGCCCAGGTCGAACATTACGGTGACCTGATACGATCGTAAACGGCCGTATACGGCAACGTTTCCTACCGTTTTATAACGTTTCCGACCGTAAATCGCCGTAATTCGACGTTTTGGCATGCGCCGTATTACGGCCGTATTACGGCCGTATTTCGCCGTGGCGTAAACGGTTACTAACGGCCGTAATGTGGTCGGATATTGTAGTATTCGACCGTATACGATCGTATATGGCACGATGCCAACCGACCGTAATACGGTGTATACCAAACGGCCGTAAATTGTGGCCAAACGGCCGTGTACGACACAAGTTGATCGACCTGGGTGTATATATTATAGTAGCTTGTATTCACTGTTATATATTTCATTTCAATCGTGCCTTCTTTTGTTCTGAATATTGTCATGAGTAATACGCCTACAATAACATTCTCACAAAGCAATAAAGGCCAGCGTGCACTTGTCTGTGATGGTAATGTGTATCATTTAAATAAGTCATTTTCGAAGGTCAAGTATTGGCGTTGTGAAAACCGTCTCTGTGCTGCTGTTATTCATACTGATATCAACGACCAATTCAAAGTACTCAAAAGTGATCACTCAAATCGTCTATCTTCGCCGAAACACATCGAAATTATTGACTTTAAATCTAATATAAAACAGCGCGTAGTTACTGAAGCTACACCAATTGGGCGTATTTACGATGAAGAATTAGCCAAAGCTCAATTGAGTCAAACTGCTCTAAGTATAGTCGCATCAACTCAAGATGCTAGTAAGTATCATTTGCTTGTCATCATTGATTTGATCTGGCATATTTTAGAGTCATCATTAAATCGAATTCGTCGACTTGAAACTCCCCTTCTACCAAAATCATGTCGTTTTGATATTCCTACTCTTTATAATCATACAATTAACATAGAACGATTTCTATTTTACGACAAAATGACACGAAATAAAAGAATCCTTATTTTTGCTACAGATGATCAACCACATGTCCCTTTTAAAGCTAAACACATATTAATGGATGGCACGTTCTCGTCATGCCCACCATTTATGAAACAAGTTTACACGCTTCATGCAATTAAGTTCGAACAGAGTGAGTAAATGATACCTTGCATTTCTTTTAAATTCTAATAAATTAGTTGAATGTTTTCCATGCGTGTTCACTCTAGTTCTATCTTTAAGGAAATGCTTCAACAGCTCGAAGAAGACGTCGAGCGACCTCAAATGGACTTTGTACCTAATCAAATAACAACTGACTTTGAAAAGGCACTTGTAAAAACATTACGAGAACAGGTAGGCAATTTCTTTAAGATATTATTAGCTCATCATTTAGTTTCTAGTTTTCTGGAGCTCGTCACACCGGCTGCTTTTCCCGCTCTTGCCAAGCCATCTACAGAAAGATTCGAGAACTTGGCTTAAGTAACACATACAAAGATGATACAAATGTTCGCAATTTTTGTCGTCGTCTGATGGTCTTACCCTTTCTGCCACCACATGAAGTAGAATTTGCATTTGAAGAACTTACTGAACAACGCCCAGACGTTCTTGCACCACTTTTCGTCTCTTTCCATAATTACTGGATGAAACAAAAATATCTTTGACTTTATGGAACGTTTCTGACTTAAAAACACGAACTAACAATAAGTGCGAAGGTTAGATCTCTCTTTTATCTGCTTTTAATGATTCTATTCCACTAGAATTAAGGCTGACACATCGCTTCAATCGTCGTGTCGATAAGATGCATACAAAATATGGCATTTGATCGATGTTCTCAAGAGAGAAGAAGTTCATTTCCAACAAAAGCGTCTCCATACGAAGAGTGGCTTCTTCAAAAAACAATCGAAAAGAACCTGCATTATTCAAGAACGTCTCGAAGCCTCAGCCATTCATTTTTCAAATAATGAAATTGATGTGGACGAATACCTCGAAGATCTTTCAAATGATCGTAGAAAAGGATGAAACGAGAAAAAAAACTGAAGAGCTAAACTGATTAATTCTCTCTATATTATAGTATTATTCGACTGATTTTTTTTGTTTTGAATATTCTTATTCTTGATATGAATTTTGTTCTCTTAACTTATTATCTGTGTAGTATTTGTTTCCTTCATTTTCTGGATAATCTGTAACTTATTATTTTTCGATGAATATTTATGAATAAATAGATGATTCGAATTTTACTATTATTTTTTTCGACCCTTTCGCTTTCAACATTTTTCTTTCGACCTTTTCGTACTTTATCGAAAATTTGTATAAGCACTGCTTTGATAAACAGATCGACGAAAACACATATGAACTATTTTATTCGTGATTACTATAAAAAGCGAATGAATTACATATTCCAATTCAGTTTTTATTATGTTTTTTGTACCCAGGTCAATGATTCCGGAGGATGGATACCGTAGGAACCTGCCAGATAGGCGCGGGAAAATCACCGTATCTGGCCGGAAAGCACTTTCCAGCGCTTTCCGGCCGTTTCCCGCCGTACCTCCACGACCTGGGTACATCAAGAAGCGACGCAACTTAATGAATCACAGCGATATTCTGGCTTTTTTTAATGGACAGTCATGCAACATCTATATATAAACTAATTGATCTGTTAGCCAAACATGAGATTGATGATGTTATGACACCAGTAGAATACGATGCATCAAATAAAATCTTTGAAGTTTATTATTATTACTCTGATAAGATAAACGACATATGAAAATTGGAACAAAAAGCTGGTACTTCTATGTGAGAAGTCTTTTTTTCTTTTTCTCTTGTTTCTATTTTCACCATAGTTTGTTGTTCACATAACTTTCTCAAGAATAAAAAAAACATGCTATGGACAATACTAGATTTTTAAGGAAGAAGCTGGTCGGGAAATAAAGAACGATTGATAGGGATGAGGAAACACGGGGAAGAGAGGGCGGAGATTATCATTGCTCTATGGCTGTGATATAGTTAAAAACTGAAAGTTGGACTTGAATTGAAGTTCTTTCGATTTGATTTAAACCTATTGAAATGGATTCTGCTTATAACTATTAGATATACGTGCAGTAGCATTGAGTCAGTATCAGTGGTCACAATATTTGCTTTCTCGAGCATTAACTTTCGGCAGTTCTTTCTCTCATTCTTTAATATTATATACTTATTTCAAAAGCGATACATTACTGAAACCTCAGTTGAATAGTTTGATAGTGATTCCAATAAATATTGAAAGCAAAAGTACATTCAATATAGTTGATTTGTTTGTCTAGTAAAAATGAGTCTGAAGAAGAGGTCTCGTGTGTTACATATCCAACTTAATGACTGTTGTGATGCCTTGTGTTTTCATATTGTTGTTTTAGAATGCAATCATAATTATTTATGATGATGTTGAACGCTTAATAACTAGCGTCATTGTATTTTAGTAGTTTGCATGAATACGATTTATTTATCTATTAAATACTCACAACTCTTACTGATTATAATGGCAAGAACCAATACGTGAGAATCCCCTTTATTGAACTATTTAAAATATCTCTAATTTGTTTAGAACAGAAGAAAATTAGAAAACATTTCGATGGACTATTATTTCTTTATCAATAAAACAAACTTACAGAAGTTTCATGAGAAGAAATTTTATTTTCGAGGCTTGCCATTTTCAAGATACATTGTAATTAATTAATCTAATCAAATTGTGATATAATTCTATAGAAAATCTGAATTCATATTTCCTATCGAATACATTGTTATTAATTCAAGGGTGTAAATCATCAACATAGATTCAATTTAAATTTAATCTTTAAAAAAATTCGAGCGCGAGAGGTTCCTTCTGACGAATTTTAAGATTTTATTGAATTATAGACGTAGTTATCTTTTTATTTTTATCTTATTTCAAATTCTAATGAATAGCCTAGCTATGGAGAAGAATATATACTTTTTATTTCCAGTCTAACATTTCTTATTTGCAACAATTTGAAATGTATCATTACATAGACTACTAGATAAATGAAGCATAATTAAAATTTAAAAAATAATTTAGTAATCATTGTTTTGTTATAAAATCAGCCGATAAATTAAAAGTAAAAGTAGAATGTGGGAAAATTTAAAAAATATCACAATGCAATAACGGTTTAATTTATTCGACTTGGTGATACCCATCCTCCCATCGCTTGTTCAATTTCTTGTGCAACAGCTAAAGTTAATTGATCATGGCCTCTACCAGCAATACATTGAATACCTAATGGTAACTGTTTACTATCTAATCCTAATGGACACTGTGTGGATGGTAAACCTAATGCATTAATAATACCACAATAGATATAATCAAATGTATTCATAAGCAACGGCCAAACATGAACTGGTGCTGACTGAGGAAATGTTGGGAATAATAAAACCCCATCGTCACCTAATAGAACTTGAATTTCATCAAAAAACTTATGTGCTAGTCTATGAAAACGTCTATTGTATTTATTTGGTAATGCTTCTAATATAACGAGACCAATAGATGGTAATGTATGTGTTGAACGAAATAAAAACTTTTTTAATAATTCATGATAACCATTAACATAGGATGTATTATTACAAAGTGATAATGAAAAATCACGTGATGACAATTGACCATCGACCATCATTGCTGACCAAAGCGATACGGCATAACGAAGACGATTTAATCGTAAGCGTATTACATGAATTTTATATTTATTTTCTAAATGTTCAACAACCTATGAATTACAATAATTGATATATGGATTTCATTTTTATATAAGATACTTTACTTGTCGATGAGCTAATTTTTGTTCTCGATCAACTTTATTAACAAAATAAGCATCTATTTCATCAATATAGAAATACCGTAGTTTACCTAAATTGACCTTAAAATAGACAAATAAAACTTATTTGTTTGGTCTAAAATGAAACTCGAATATTTGCTTTAGGTTTGCTTAATTGATTTTAAAAACATCAGTAATTTTACTGTATACAAGAGTTTCTATCTTAAATGAATTTTTCGAATATTTGCATTTTTTATCATTATTCAAAAGAAATTGGGTTACTGCACTAAAGAATATCTTAAAAAAACTTACATTTTTTTAAATTTTATTTCTGAATCTTACCGGAGTATCAATATCTAATAATCTGTCAATATTTTCGGGACCTGCTAATACTTTAAGCATTGGTTGTAAATCACATGCATAACGACACATTGGTCCAGTTGCTAAAAGATACTTTTGATGATGATCTTTATGTGGAGGATATTGACCATCATTTGGAACTATATCTATTCAAAATATAAAAAAGTAAAAATATATTGTGTTTTTCTTTAAGTATTTAAATAGAACGGTTTTGCCAGTACCAGGCGATGTTTTATGTCCAAATATTCCATTCATAAATGAGGGTAACCGAATACTTCCACCAATATCTGCACCAACAGCAAATGGTACACCAGCTGCTGAAACTATACAACCAGCACCACCTGAACTACCACCCACAATTCTCGTTAAATCATATGGATTATTCGTTGTACCATAAAGAGAATTACGGCTAAAAAACAGATCACATAGTTGAATTTCGTTGACTTTGACTTTTATGTATAAACTTACGATTCAAACCACATACAACCTTCACTGACATTTGTATTACACAAAAGAATAGCACCTGCTTTCAACATATTTTCTACTGATGTTGCTGTTTCTGTTGATATGAAATTTTTTCTTGCAGCAATACCGGTTGAATTGTGAAAACCTCGATATTGCATTGATTCTTTAATAGCAAATGGGATACCAAGGAATGGAGCCTTTTCCTCGTTCCATTTAGCCGGTAATGGTTCGCCATTATCTAAAATTTCATCTATTTCTCGTGCTTCATTTAATGCTTGTTCAAATCTTTCATCAACATAAACATTTAAAAATGGTTGAATAGACTTTATGCGATCAATGTAAGCAAAAACAACTTCATAAGCTGTTATCTAAGAATAAAACTGATTTTATCTGTGTGTATTTGTTTTTTTCCTCCTGAATTACTTGTCTTTGGCGAATGCGTTTAGCAACTACAGTTGCTGGTTGAAGCAATATTTGATTCTTTATAGACGGTAATTTAAATTTTTGATTTCCATATATCAAACGAAAGCCAAGATGGATCCATATTGATAAAAAACTACGAATCAACCCGAGTAGAAATGTAATAAATTTCAATGTCTTGTCCATTACACAACTAAAACAAATATATAAACTAATGCAGAAAAAAAAGAGCAACGACGAAAGGAGAAAACTATCATCTTTAAATGAACATCATTTTCTCCAATGTTACTCATTTAGCTAGACCAAAGCAACCGAGAGATTAGATAGCAATGACTAAAAAACAACTTTCTCTCTTCTGTAGACCATTAAGAGAAAAAACATCATAATATCGTTTTCTTTCTTATCTGTCATCTTTCCTCGATTTGATATAATAAAAGAATGCATTGTAATATATGGAGAGAGAGAGAGAGAGAGAGAGTTAAGGAGAGAAGTCAGTGCACAATAACAGTACGACCATAAGGAGCGTGCGATGAATAACATTACAATAAAACAACTGAATATCCCTATGTTAATACAATCAGATTGATTTAGACTTTGGTAATAGTATAACTTTATTCAAAGCTAGTTCTTTTTGTATACGGATAAGACGAATAAATACTTCAGTCGAAATTATATTTTTAACTTCAACAAAGAAATATATTGTTCAGTAAGATAAATATCTATGAAAAGTTCTTAATCAAGAAAAAGGTATCATTGTTTTGAACAGTTAGATTATTTTAACTCATTTCTTAAGTTCAAAAAGAGCATTGTCTCCGACTAAATCGATCAATTTTAATAAATGCAAATAGTTAACTATTGAACTTGAATGAAAAAAATCATTCTGTTTTTTTGGTACATGAATTTGAATTGTATAACTATTATAGAATGACTTTCAATTATTGATCAGTCATAATCTCTTCTTCATTTTTTTTTCTATGGTTAAGATGTTTTAAAGGTGGATTCACGTTTCGTCGAAATTAATACTTCTAACGCAAATTACTTCAAAGCATATTGAAACAGTGAGGGTACGGGTGAAGGTGATTTTTCGACGCAACGGAACCTAACCGTTTTAAGTATAGATCATAGTTAACTTAGTTCTATTGGTCCGCCTTTAAATAATCGATACATTATACTTCTCAAACAAAAAGAAAGGCACAATTACAAATCAGCACTATGTTAACTAGACTAGAAAGGAAAAAAATAAATTCAAAGATGAAAGCAACTGAATGATCAGTACTGAAACAAACTTCAACAATATTTCTTACATAAAATTTTTATTTTCTATCACTACTCAATAATTTGTTTTACTCTAGTATGACCAAAAAGTAGATATTTATGTTTCATTTATTTGTAGACTTTTTTATGTAAACGAACGGGAATTCGATTAAAAAAAAGTAGAAATTTAAATAAAAATAACATAAATAAAGAAGATAGATAATTTATGATTGATAGTATATTCTATGTTAAAATCTATTCTCTATAGATATTGTGTTCTTACTAACTATCAAATATTATCGAAAGATAATTTCCAAAATAATTATTTATTTTCTTTTATTAATTAATATATTATTAATTCTTCTACTGTTACATTCAATATAATGTTAGAGATGACGAATTGTGACTTTCAATCAATGTGTAATCTCTTGATCTTGAGAGAAAATTAAAGTAAAAGCTCATGTTCATTAGTTTATTTGCTTGTCATTATATTCAGGCGCATATATCAACAATCACAGCTCATTAGCTACTATATGGACCACGCATCAGTTAGCAGTCTTACATTTTTTTCGCTAAAGGACAACAGTCAAAGAGAAAAAGCATTTATGAACAATGAGTTACATAGTCAGATTCGATGAATGAACTGTGTTATAAAACAATGTGTCATTTTTTTCTTGACAAACAAAAAACAAAGAGAAGAAAAAATAGATATGTATATACGTATATATGGTATTCAATAAAATCTCTCTATAGTGGACACCCTTGGGACTTTTCAAAAGTGTCCACTACGTATATGAAGGTTATGCATTTTCAAAAAAATTTTCTCTTTGAAAGATACGGACATTCTTTTAAACATTGAGACCATTAGTGAACAAAATAGTCACATAGAGTACTTGATTACTTTTCTTTTCAAGTATTTTTTCAAAATATAAAAGCCAGCAATTATCAAAACAGTTTTTGATAGAACTTTGTGTGACTAATTTCTTCGTTATGCTTTCATTTTATACCTTCGTTCGAGTTGGAAGTATAATCAGAGAATTTTTCGCATTGATTAAAATTGGGTGACAACACTTTTTTCTATCCTGCATATGTCGGCTAGTTTTCGTACTGATAAACAGGTCATTTTTTACTTTCTTTGATTCGCATGATTTTTCTTGTTAAGGCTCGCCTATTCAGTGTAATCTTATTTTTCTCTTAATGGGGATAGAAAAAAGTATACAAATATTACCATACGATTGCATATATGCTCGTCACGCGTATTCAACAGAGAGGACACGTGCTCTCTCTCCCACAAAGAAATCTTTTTTTTATTCAGCCGTTAGATCATTAAATAAAAGACACTATTCTGAATGAGTAATGATGATAATCACGGCATTCTCTTTGAATTCATGGTCAGCGTCCACTATATAGAAGTTATTTATGCAAAAGAGATTGTGAAAAAGTGCCCACTATGCAGAGGCTCAATTCAAGCAACAATCGTTTCGTCAGACCATGGAACATCCACTATAGAGAGGCATCCCCTACGGGAGATTTTACTGTATATATATACACGTATGAATATATACAACATCATGACCAGTGGAACACGGATATGCAGTGTCTACACAATAGTTGTAACCTCATGGATTTATCTGATGAAGTTCTTATTATTGCCATGGAAAAATTGGATCCAATTGATGTGCTCTATTCACTAGTATAAACCAACACATGACTCAACAAAGTGGTGCGTTGTGTAGTATCAAATTAACAAGAACTTCATCGACAGGTATTATTTGTTCTCCCAGCAAATCAGAACTTGATCAAATTTGTTCCTATACACTCCTTTAAGCGCATCATTACATAAAAATGATGATTGCTGGATGTTCATCTATGCAACGTATGCTTCTTTCTGGTAATTATCCTAATTTATTCGATATTGCTCTTCTCAAATTCGAATATAAGATGTTCTAGCATTATTTTTCAGGTACGTTGTTAAAATAAATTATTATACTCATTTCATAAAAACTTGTATTAAAAAGATAAATTATATCTCATTTAGATTTCTTTTTAATTTTGAGGGTTTCCTCAATTCAACATAAATTGATATAAGATTTTTAATATTCTAAAGTATTTGATTCTGAAGAAACTTGTAATGATCATTGTTTCTTTTATTAAAATTTTTATCCTCAAATAATTGCTTTTTTCTCAAGAAATTGTTGATTTCTTTTAAACAAAACAATTACTAATCCAAGCGAATCATTTCACTAATTCATAATCTATTTATTTTTAGATCATTCACCTTGAAGTCGCTTATCCACTTAGCATGAAATATAAGTGTCTGCCTTTCAAGTGTGACCCAAGTAAATAAACCTATTTGAAATCAATAAAACGAATAGTCGAAAAAAACTCAAAAGAGGTAGAATCTAGGTGATGTGAACGAAGAATTATTATAATCACCGCTTCGAAGAAATAAGGGAATATTTGTTAATTCATACATAAGACCAAGCAGGAGAGGATTAATGATGATATGATTATGCAATGCACGACGAAGTGTTTGATTCATAAGAAAATAATATAGCTTATATATTGTTGCTACAATTGATAATATGTGGACAATAAGAAAATAGCACAACCGAATGTAATGAGGAATTCTGAATATTGGTATAGGCTCTGAACTAAGAACTATGGAGCTATTACTTAAATTCGACATTATTGAAGAACAAAGAAATTCGATGAATGGAAGGAAAAATATGAACAAAGCATTCAAGCCAGAGACCGAAACGAATGACAAAAATATCATTCGGTCCGGTTCGCCTTTTCCGGGCCTGGATTCGGATTCGATTCTACTCTTCTGGTGTCTCAAACTTTTCATACCATTAGGTTCCGGTTTTCAAGACCGGGATTCGGATTCGATTCGGCTTTCCCGGTCACCCAAAAGTTTAATTCGATTCGATTCGATTTCGTTTTTTCAGTCAAATCNTTCACAATTATATTCGATTGAGCTGAAATTTTGTGCACAGAATTGTCTTATCAATATCTAGGTCGAGTTCGAAGATGAAAAGGATCCGTCAAGAAATGGCTGAGTTATCGAAAAAATTGTCATTTCTGATCAGACCATCCCTGAGGTAGGAGGGGTACAGGGATTTTTCAAAAAAACTTTTTTCTCAGAATTATACACAACATATATAAACCGACTCAGTTTTTAACGCTGATTCTGAATCTGATATTAGTTTTGAACTAAATCGTAGCTTTCTAACGAAACATCGTCTGAAAAACGTCTCAAAATGCACAAAAACTGCATCCAGAAATCAAATTGCCTAGTTTCTCATGATAATTTTGGTGTTCAGACATTCTGGAATGACTCATGTCATGTCCCATGCACTTTTTGCAGTACACATAACTCCCGGATAAAATCCGAAGTTTCCACATTTATTTAAACATATAAATGCCGACAAAACGTCTTGACTGTTTGAAATGTTTGATGCTTTCTAAGATTAAAAAATTCAACTATGTTCACTTTGGTTCACTCCAATAGGTTGTCGTTTGACTTTTTTTAGAAGCTTACTTAAAATACATTTTTCATACGGATAATATAAAAATAATTCTGCCAAGCTTAAATTTACAAGAGGCTCAGTAGATAACTTTGTATATTCATTTATGACAATATAAAAAAATGGTACAAATAGCTTAGTTGATTGTACTGTTATTGATGGACACTAAGCAACCATTAAAAACAGCATGTTTAAACATTCAAATTACTTCACTATCACACAGCTTAACTTTGCACATTTTATTCACGTACATCGATATAATATCAATCATACAAATTGTTTTTATGTCTGCTGAGTGCATAGCAAGGTTGATTTCACTATTCTGCTTCTAAGTAACATGTCTATTTGCACATCTTAATTTATTATTTTATTTTTTGAAGACATTCTTCTTGTGAGTGACATGAGCCTTTTTGGAATTGCTTTTCTTTCGAAAAATTTATCAAACAATTTGAAAGTAAATATGTATCTTCGTCAACACTATTTCTCACATCTTCTCGTATTAAATGAATCGATGAAAAGCTGCTTGGACTAATTAAGTATATTAGGTTCATAAATTTAATAGAAAACCAATTATTTTAGGACAAACATATTGTTTCATACGTAACCAATAGGATGGTACTAGTCAGTAATCTGAGCATGAAATAGTTTAATAAATCATTGTAGAATCTTAGTAAAGATTTTCTAACTATAACTAAACTTCAGTATTGACTGCTGCTTGTGTTAAATCGAAAAATTCTTGAAGAAAACTGTTCATTTTTTCTAAAACAAAAAAAAGAAACAATATAAATACTTCAATAAAATTTAAAACTAATTGAATGTTATTTAAACTTACTCATAAATGTTGGTTGCATTTTACGAAAAACAAACAAATAATAGAATATTAAACCGACAAGTAAAATAAGTGCTGCAACAAGAAAACCAATATTTGGACTGGATATGACAGGCGCAATAATGAGATAGAGAGCAACTAATAACATCACCATAATTAGAGGCATTGGAACCTAAGCAATCAAAATTTATATTATCATACACAATCTAGACGAATCTACTTTAATGGTTCGATGAGCTTTAGGCTTCGTAAATCGACAACAGACTGTAGCAAAAAATGTTAGTCCGGTGAAAACCCAAGAAACAAAGCTGAAAAGTGTGATCAAACTATCTATATCACTTGGAATGCAATAACAGATGGCAAAAATGGTCTTAAAAATAGAATCAATATACAAATATTTCTAATTCAACCAAGGAATTAATTTAGTACGAACCTGAAGCAAAATGCCGGGTAATGGTGTTAATCGTTGCTTTTGAATACAAGAGAAAACGTCAGGTAAATAACCGTAACGTGCGCCGACCATACAATAACGAGCAGAAAAAAACAGCAATCCATTAACATTGCCCAATGTACTCACAGATATCAAGATTGGCAGTCCACGGGAAACGGGGCCCAGTACGGCCTCTCCCCATGTCTGTAAGTAGTTAGAAAGAAAAAATAGCCAATAGATGTATGTTATAGTATGAATTTAGAAAAAAAAATGAACCTTGCCGACATAGAATCATCGATTGGAGAGAGAGAAAATTTAAGTAAGCGTTCTATATTCCATTGCAAAATCACATTACAATATCTTTTTATTGTATATGGCCGATGGACATTGTTTTCTCACACGAATATGTCGATCGTTTTTATATTTAGAACTTCCAAACAACTAATAAAAACTTGAAAAGAGTGAAGTAAAAGTATCATTGAAGTTCAGATGTAGGCATTTTGCTGCTCTATCACAACGACAAACCGACTGATGAAGGAAAACAATGAAAATAAATTTATTTGTCTATCCTAAGATTAGTTTTCTACTGAATACTATATTTTATTAATATATTCATTTAAAGATAGAATAAATGAAATTTTCTCTTTGTCACATATTAAAATTTGAGTGAAATCGAACAAAAAATATAGAATACTTCTTAAAACGATCGATATTCAAGTATACAAACTACTTTTCAAGTATTAAATAAGACTTGATTAATTTGCATAATATGTTATTATGAACCTGCTTATTATTCATTTATTTAGATAAATTAATTAATATTTACCACAGCAACAGCATTGGAGTTAAGTAATTCATCTTTGCTCATCACTGTAAAATAGGATATATTGGTGAGTACATATACAATAATAGTTAATGTCACAGCCACTACAATAGACAACCATAGATTTCTATCAAACGTATTGAAGAATTAAGCACATGTAGTATTTTTAAGTTTATAAACCTTTTTGGGTTTTTAATTTCTTCAGTCACCGTATTCAAACTACCCCACCCTCCGTAAGCCCAAAGACCTGAATAGAAAGCAAGTGCAACACTAAATGGATTATTTGTTGTACCTATTCTTTTGAAAAACAAATAAAAATTAGAAATATTTTCAATGAAAAATTTCAACAACCAGCGAAGCCATTTTTTAAGTTTTCAGTATAACCTAGTCAATATTAAGAAACAAAAACATGCAGCTGATCTAACTTTCAAAAATCTTTACAAACCTTTTCCAATTCTTACGAGACCACCCATAACGATTACTAATATAATTATTGTTTTCAAAATGACAAAGATAATATTTAGCCGATTGGCTGCAGTCACACTTAAAGCATTTACATTAGCGAGGATCACTACATGACAATGCATACATAAGTCGAGAAGATAAAGATAAAATAAAATAATCTAACAAACCTATGGCAAATATTGCCAATATTTTGACTAATTCTATCGGTGAACCACAACCTAAATTTAATCATGAGAAAGTTAATTGAAGATTGATATTATTCAAGTTACTGTCCATGACTCCGGATAAAAAGTACGTTGAAAATGTTAGAGAAAGAATAGCAATAGTTGACGGTTGAAGAATGAATGTATTCGCCCAATTGAAAACAAAAGCAAGCACGTCACCAGTACGAGCATGAACCGATCCGATACCTAGATTCTTGATCAATTAGTGATACACTTACCATGAAAAAAATTTATAAAAAAAATTGTTTCGACGCCAGTTTTTAGAAAAAAAAATATTTTAGCTATTAAAAACATTGTTTTTATTAAATTTGTTTTTATTTTGAGAAATAAATAATTTTCTTCAAACAAATAGTTTGAATGAATATTTACATTTGCATTTCAATCCAAAAAGTAATTATTCAAGTGAAAGCTTGATAGTTTCTTTTTCTCAAGTAACAATTATGCAGAGGGTATTTTTCTTGAATTCTGAATAGAAATTCTATTTATCCATATCGATAGTATTAAATTCATCTAAACAAAGTAAATAACACACATCTGCTAATCGATGTGAGACGTTTTTTATGCAAGTTTTAACTTAGCTTCTATTATTTTTATTATTACTGATATCTTCGCACTGGAAAATATTATTTGCTTAGTTTTCAATAGAACTCGAATGTTTCAACAACATGATGGTTCGAAAGATAATAAACGTTAGCATACATAGAGTTTAGCCCTATTGAAAGACAATTTACGAGTCATAATGATAAGAGCTTATTTTCAATTTTATGGCTTATTTTGTATTACTTTTATATTATTTACTATACAGATTACTTTCAATATTCAAATTAACGCATTTTGAGAAATAAAAATCATGTATTTCTCACATATACTTTTATATTTTCTATGTCTGATTGGCGAAATAATATTATTATGCTAACGTTTAGTCAAAAACAAAGTCGAAGTATGCAGGATTTTCAATCGATAACTATTTAAAAAAATCTCGCTTTCTTTCTATTTGCACATAAGAAAATTTGTGGAAGAGATTCTCAACGGTTCTTGTAATACATGACACTAACGATGAGTGAAATTAACGATGCATCGTTATATATCTAAAAACTGTTGAGTTACAGTCATGAAAAACTCACATAACTTAAAAGAAGAGACAATTATTAACAGATGCTTTGTTAATGGAAATAATTTATATGATATCCTACGTATTTAGCTATATTATAATATATGCTCTTAGATGAAAATCGGATGAATCGAAGCAAACAATCTAGAATATATAGATGATTTATTGTCTTCAAACCACATCCAAATTATATGATTTAGTCGGCGTCTATACTGTGAGCACAATAAGGATTACATCGAAAACATCGCCGTACATTGTAGGGAATTGGTAAATGTCATATTGTGATTCTTTTTTTCTGCTCAAAAACTATGATCTGATAATTTTTAAATTATTCTATTGTTTTTTTTTTATATATTCGTTTTCTGTTTATTTTCATGCTTTCAAGGAAGATATATCGTATAGTCAATATTGCAAAATTTCGGAATTTTTTCTTAGGTGTACTCAATTTAATGAAAATGAATTTAAAAATTTCAAGATGACCTTCTTTCATATAAACCAATTCGGAACCACTCAATGGCAATATTGTTCCTATTTCAGCATAGCATAATGCGCCTACAATAAAATAGTGTAGTCAATTATATAACTATTCCTGCCAATAAAACTCTTACCTAATAAAGCTATGAATCCACACAATGCCCATATTACTAAGCACAGACCAACTGATTGTGTTTCACGTAGAACACCTTTTGGGGATATGAATATCCCAGATCCTATTATAGAAAATGTTTCAAGTACAAATCGTTTAAAATTAAAAAAGATTCTTATCACCAATGATCATGCTAACTATAAATGAGATTCCAGAAAATAAACCAAGGTTTCGCTTAAGAGTTTTCTTTTCGTGAGGTAACACTCCATTTTCACTATAATCGACTTGATTAATTAATTCACTTGAAGAATGTCGAGATTTGATCACCGATGAACTTGTGTGTCGTCCTTGAACCGATGTAGAATTTTCATGAGCATTAGAATCAGTAGGTTCCACTCGATTATTCTAAAGGTGTAAAGGATAAAAGAAAATTTTCGTTGAATGGCGCCTCTTGCAACCTCTTTATCATTACCTGTGCTAACATATTCTTAAAGCTGTCGTATATTTCTTAAATATGACCAAAATTATCAATCGCTTCTCTTTTAAATCTTCTTTTCTTATCTCAAATGGCAATAGGTAATAGTTTACTAGCAAAGTGAGCTATAAAAAAAAGAAGAAAAAAACATGCTCTCGTTCTTAGATATTCATTCGATAATAAATTGAAGACACTTAGTACTCAATGAATCATGCAAGACATTATTATCTCGATTCGCTCGTTTAGTTATTCGAACAGCATGCACGCGTAGCTCCTGATTGTCATTGACAATAAAAACAAAAAAAACGTATTTGTGAAGTTAATTGCCATACGAGAACACTGAAGCTATTGTAGTAATATCAACTTTATTAGTTGGCTATTCATATAGAAATGCCTATAAATCAACACCATATGAATTAAGACTAATGAAATTTTTTCTCTAGAATCGAATCACAATCCTAGATTTAAAGAAATTCATGGATGATGTCCCATAAAAGAACTACATTGCCGTCGAATGTCGAGTTGTAGACGCAATCGGTAATGTTGATCAATAATAAGAGATAGTACAATGGATTTCTATTTTGATAATGTATGCCCTGACAACTTTAAATGATATAAAAATACATATCAGAGCAAGGTAAACAAGATACTGTGTACTTGTTTGATGGATTCATGAAAGGCATGATGGATCATGTTTTCTTTAATACGCATGAATGAGAATCATTCAAGATATTGAATCTACAAAGCATTGAAATCTAGAATTTTTTCCGTAACGTTTTCCTACAAGAAAACAGCACGCCATCAAAGCAATGATCACCATAACATTTAATATGTAGGAAATTATCAATCTTCGATGTCTTCATTTTTCATCGTTGGTAAGCCTAACGCTAATTAATCTTCAACCTCCACTGCGTAAACAACAAAAAAACAGCTCACAAGCCGTTAATGATAATGATGAAAATTCTTCTAAAGTCGTGTATCCTCGTCTGACGGCTATGGATTTTTACAATGCTCATATTGATTATGTTGAAGAATTTTTACATGAACATAATACACATTTACTCTCTCTGACATATCCACACATTAAATATGAACAATTAGTGTTCTACAAAAAGCAATTTAACCAATAACAGAACTAGTCTAAACTGTACTGTGCATACGTCAAGAAAATACATTTCAATGAACCAATCGTACTCTCAAAAAGATTTCTCTTCGTATTTTCCTTCATTGTAACTGCAATATACTTTTGTTTTCATGTGAAAATACAGCGGAAAAATCTTTTTTTTATCGATTTATTCTTTTCTATTTAAATCTGCTTATTCAGCGTTTTACACGTGTCGACACCTCAATAGCAACTGATTTATTGAAGTATAATATAACTTACATCTAATAATATTTTAAATTTAAAATCATCGCATGCAGCGCAACGAGCGATGTTGATAGAGGCTTGCACTGTGTAATGATAGTTTTTCTCAAACAAGAAAAATGAAATCGAAAAGAAGATGCGAAAGATATGAAACAATTACTGTAAATATACAATTATTTATTTTTGATCTTGTTCTATATTAAATGTTTAAACTTGAAATGTATTCTAATGCACTCGAATTACACGAATTTTTTTGAATGTTTCAAAGATGGTTATCAAAAATTCCAATTCTATCGTGGAAAAACAAAATTTGAAGCAGAAAATGAAATTATTGAAGAATTTAAAGGCTTTTAACATTTTTTCCATTACCTGAAAATTCGAGCGAATCATTACCACCTCGAATCAAGAAAAATTTTCTATCAAGTCATTTAGAAGAATGTTTCATTCGTATTTACATTACGCAGGTGCATTCGTTTACAAGTAAAAAAAAATGCAAATAGAAAATCAGACCTATACATTGAAATTCAATTAGAAAAAATTTGAATTTGAATTCGAAATCTTAACAGAAAAGAAACTCTTGAAAGCCCAGTAAGACGTGGTCGTGAAAAACCAAATCAACATTCGAACTTTGAATTGCATAAGTAATTATTTTGATTTTTCTTGAAAAAAAATTGAATCTTAATTTCAGATCGTCCAAAACATCTTGTTTGATTTACATCTTCATATCGTACATTTAAAAGTACTAGTTGGAACAAATCGAAATGGTATTTTCTCAAAACGTTTTTTTATATGTTTTATTACATTATTGCTTTTATTTCTTTGGGCAATGCCTGCTAGTTAAATTCTTTCGAAATCAGATATATTCTTTATTAAATATTTCAGCAAGCACTGTTATCTTATGTTTTACATATGCTCAGGTAATTGAATGTGCATTAGTAAATTTTTCTTTAATCGGTCCTATCAACTAATAAATTTTGATCATCAAGTAATAGATTTTGAACTCTACGCCGTTCAATTTGTGTCAAAGAATCTTTTGTTGGTCCATTTGCTAAGGCGCTATTTGTACGTGGTGATGAATGTAATGATGAAGATACTTTTTCTTTTTGTGACGATGCTGTATTTGTCATGAATGCTTCAAAGCGAAGTGCGCTTAATGCATTCGGTTGAAAGGCAATTATTTGATCAATTTCATCGCGATAAGACTTTGAAAAACGAAGACGAGTTGCTCGAATTCTTTGATTAAAAGTAAAAATGGATCAATGAAATACGATGAAACAAATGAACCTTACCGATTTCTTGCTTCAGCAGCTTTCAATTCACCAATGACAATAGCATATTGTCGAGCCATATAGGCTTCTTGTTCTAATTCAGCTTTAGTTTTTTTCTTTGTAACAAATGATTTCTGATCATTCGATGACTTTTTACTTGGACGTCTTTCGATTTCTTGTTGCGCCATTGCTTTTGTGTTTATTATGATGAAAAATATTGATATCCATGATACGATACTTTTCCCATAACAACCATCTTGAACGTGTACTTCGTAATTCAAAAAGAGATAGTTTTTCATATTTTTTTATGCTAATTCTAATTTGAGAAAATATATTTGTAAATGAAAAAAATGCTGAAAATAATGAAAATAAATTTTCATAGATGACGCCTCTAGTTTTTTTTAAAGTGATCGGTTCTTTCTTTCTGAAGTCACCAATATAGCTTTTTGCTATTTTAAGTAAAAAAAACTTCATCTAATCGTTTGATTCAATTAATATTAGTATTTGTTAATTGTTTTGGCAAATATTAATGCTAGCATATCCGAAATGAAATTTAGTCGTAATCGTAATCATTTGGAAGTTGTGTTCATTTTGATGTGCCAATAGATATTCAAGAAAAAAATGTATCCTTGCCATTTTAATTCAGATGTTATTCGCGGTAAAGCAAATGCAATGATAACTACTATTATTCATGGTTAGATACTTTGTTTTGTTATACTATAGCGAAGTGGTCTCAATCGTGTCAAGCTAAAAAATGTATCTCTTAATCTCATATAACTTCGATTTCGACGCTACGTCTATCATCATAAGTTACATAGAGTCCTCACCATTAGAGTCAATATTTATTTGAGACTTTTTTGTGATAGCAAAGATTCGTAGAAACCGCTGCGATTTTTCCATGTTATTGTTTTTGTTCTCAAACAAATCCAATAGGTACATTATTTCTTAATTTTTTCAAGTAAATAATTAATAAATTTTACGACAAAGGATCTATTTCAAAACTAACAGCTTCACCTGTTTTTGAAATTAATCAGATACATTTTTAGTCATGTTGATGGTTTCTTTTAAAGCCTATTTAATATGATGGAAAGAATATAGTACATTTATAAAAATCAATGAAATATTCACAGTAAAAAGTATCACAACATTTCATATTCTTACTAATACTAGTTTAGTTAATTAAAAATGTATTTATATTAACTAAGATTATAAATATATCCTCAAAGTAATAATTGATTAACAATTAAAAACCAGTTTATTTTATTTATCCTCGGAATATCTGAAAACTATTAATAGCTATTCATATTTTCCAAACGTTGACCTAACGAACGATATTCGTAGATCTCGTATAGTTCAGTAGCAAAATTGATGTAAAAACGGAACAGATCAATGTAAAAATATTAGAACAAACGAATCAATTATCATAACTTTAATAGGATCGTAAACTTTAAAAGGAGTGCAAATTTTTATTTTTTTACATCTATTGAGATGTAAGTTATTTTCCTTAACTGAAGATCTTTTAAGAATTATTCATTGATTTAAGATGGATAACAAGAAATATCCAAGCACAAAATAATTTTTCATGTTCGTTATCCATAACTAAACGAACGTGAATGCATTATGAAACTCAAAGAAAAACGATATGCTTCAATCAATAAATTGTCATAAAATCAACGCTACAGTTTTATTATTATATTGAATAATTTGAATTCTATCTCTATATTCTTGAAATCAACAGTGTTTCTATCGTTTCATATATTTAATTGATTCGACATAATGCACGAAAATACTTTTGTCTATTCTGATGATAAAGAAAATGAAGGATAGATTTTTGACAGTATAAACGAACCTTTGTTGTTATAGTTTCTTCGTCTAGATATGTAATTTTCAATGTTTTGCTATCCAAATCATGATAGCATGCATTCGTAAGAAAAATAAATTGATCACTACGATCTGTGTAATAGAACACATTATTAATTTAAGAAAACACTGGACATCTTTAACAGAAGCTGGACATATACTGTAGTAATCAATCAAAAGAAGAATGCTCGAACGGAATACCAAAATAGTGGCTTATTTTTCTAATTTTCTAGAATGAATGTGTACTGAATATAGTTTGTTTATTACTGAGTGAATCAAATAGTTACCTTTCGTTTTTCATTTTCAAGACTAATATTCCTCTTTCTCTCTCATGCGAAATATCAATCAATGTAAGAATAAATAATAAAATTAAGATAAATACATGCTAGGACTGTTTTAAGTACGATCTTTGAAAGATAATATCATTTTTTTTCATTTGACAACTTCTTGTAAGCAAAAATTTTCGCTGATTTCTGCTATTATTTCCTTTAAAAATAGATTGCTTTTAAAAATTTCAGAAACTATTTTCGGTTTTTCATTCATTTATACTTTTTTGATCATGCATCTTAGAACGCTTCAAGTAGCTTCATTTAGTCAAGAGCTCTTTTTTAGTTTGAAAAAACATGTCAGCATTCAATCTACGATGGAGCCCCTTCTCTGGAATTTCTCATGATTTCGAACTGCTCTTCTTTAATCTCTTTACAAAAAGTTAAGAATCTAAAAAAGGACTTTGCCAACTTCTACAACTTTAAAGTGCTGACTCAAGATGGAAAAAAATTGTTTCTAGAATAAATACTTATATGCCATATTGAATTATCAAAGAAACTATTTTTGATTGTTTTTGTAAAATATTTCCCGAAAATGTTGTTTTAGCGATGACAATTTTATACTAGTTTCTTCTCTACAGTTTAATAATTTCTTGAGAATCTTATGTAATTTGAATGTACTGAGTCTAGAGTAATTTTTTGAGAGTGCCAATCGGTATCTTCAGGTTCACTATATAATCCTATGAGTAAATTTACGATCTTAAATGAAGTTAAGTTGTCTATTCCAAGTGTTTACAAAAAGAGGACGAGTAAGAGATTATTAGAATCGAAAGAAATTATTTTTTAAAATTTGTTGCGATTACAAGAATTTCTCGGATGTAGGAAGAAAATAAATATTAAACAAATTTCTGTTTTCAATGAACTCATACATAAATTTGATACTTTGCTGATGAATAAAATTATCCGTATATAAATGTGTAACTTAGTTTAGAAATGGTTGAGCTAATATTTGATTCATTTATTATTAGTCTATTAGTAGTGTTTGCTTCGTTCTTGAAATTAATAGTGGTAATGCCACTGTTCAGTCATAGAAATGTAAGAAACCATTTCTTTTTGGCAGTCCTATGGAATAAGTGTCTAATATCATAACATAATGGTTCTTGATCTTGAAGATGTTTTTTCAAAATAACTCAGTAATTTTATCAGCTTTGTGTGTTTGTGTTGTAGATATTTTGTAGTTAAAAAAAAACTAGATTAAATCTGGTCATATTTTTATTTCAATAAAACAAATAAAGCCTTCTATAGTCGTCTTAATTAACATCATCGACTGCGTTCAATTTGGTTTTTCGATTTCTCCTTCATTGCTCTGAATTTGTCAGCCTATTAGGAGAAATATCCATTTCGTTCGCTAAAGACTAAAGTTAGCAGCAAGACAGGCCTTATTGATGGTTATGGTGATAAAAACAAAAATTTTATTCATCAATATAACGCAGAGATTGTAGTCCAAGAACAAAATGAGATGTTATGCATGCTTTTGAAATGCTTGATAATGAAGAGAAAATAAATTTAATATACAATTAACGAAAAATATGCAGCCTTGTTTTTTTCCAATAAAAATCTTTAATATTTAGATAGTAATGCTCTCTTTGTTAGCAATAATGTGTAAATACATGAACTGTTAGATTAATATTCGACACTTTTAAACTGAAAAAACTGACGCACTTTCTACATTAAAACCATTTCAGAGATTATACCCAAAAGTTATATAACAAATCGAGAACTATTTTCATAGGTTGTGCAAACTGATTAATAATTTTTTCACCGCAAAGCGCTCTTAATATAACAATGGATACCACAATATTCATTCGTAATGATGATGAAAAACATCAAACATGCCCCATTTATTGCATCTATCGAACTGCGTTATTTTATTGCAATCGAATAAATCAAGAGATTCAAATAGCAGAACACTACTATCTACATGACAAAAAAATGTTCAATAAACTGTTCTTATCATATTCACATACATCACCAGTGACTTAAAATAAGTATATTTTATTATAAAATTGTTTCAACATAAAAGATGTTCGATATGATGATTGCTTTTTCGACGAAAACATCGATGTATTGCGTAAAATTAAGTTCTTTCGATTTTTCTTTTCTATATTTATTCCATCACGTTCTCTTGTTATAACACATGTAAATAATTAGTTCATTTCAACCATGAAGTAGTTTTGCTCATTATTTTGTTGCAATTACTATTCAAGTGAACAACGCATATCGGAAACAATGGTCAATGTTTTCATGTGTTTTTTTCTATCGATAAATTTGCTTCAAAAGTGAAAGATTGTTTTTGTTTTTCATAGAATTGGATAAAGTAATATTAATATAAATTTGTTTTTACTTTTGTTAATATATTTACTTATTTACTCGCAGTTTTTTCTTGTTTCTAAACAAAATTTTTATAAATAGTTACTTTTTCTGACATGATTGAATAAGAGATGATCGAGTGTTTCAAAATAAGCTGGTCACTCTGCTTTCTAGAACATTCTCACTATAGAATTTTAGCAGTTTTCTAGACTTGTTATCAAAAGATACTCCATGACATTCTGTATAAGAGTGCGTAAAAGTATTTTTTTTGAAACTTAGATATAAAAAAAAGTCTGAACAAGCATAATTTTTAAGCTCTATTGTGTCGAATTTTCTAAATTTTTCATCGAAAACTCAGTTTCTCTTTTGCTTTATTCACGATGTAATGCAATAAAAAAAACTTCTGCGCGTCAGTTTATAGTGCTAAAACGTCCAAGCTTCAGCTACTAGTGTAAAATTCTTTCATGAAACTGTAGAGCACAATATGATACTTTTCATTGTTTTGTAGAACTCACATATGTTTTCGAAGAAAATATAGTGAGCGTAAGTTTAAGTGCAAGGTTCTTGCAGCTCCTCTGTACTCCACCCTTCTCTTCCCATTAGAGACATAAAACATGAAAACGTAACACAGATGCGCTAATTAGACAAAATTTTGGTACAGGTAGATTGTCTATGTTCACCACTGCTCGTAT